ACAAATAAGCAAAAACACTTGACATTCAAAGCTAACTTGTGAATACATATTTCCCATCAATATCAGCGACAGGAGACCTAGTGTATCTATAGAATTATACATAACTCTGAGCTAAAACAGCCAGGACAAAAATAAATGACTAATCAAAAATCATGCCATCTTGATGGCAACGGTCTGGCAGAATCTACCAAAGGGACAAGAGGAAGAAAGGGCGCAGGGGGAGGGGTCCAAAGGCCTCCACGGAGAAAGCAAACAAAAAGATCCCTCCTCCTTCTAAAACATCAACCAAGATGGTAAGTGGTGATATTCTGACTACATGGTACTCTGCTCTATCTTCACATGTCCAAACTTCGGTTTCTCACCCCAGGAAAGCAGTGAAGGTGCACTCTTTTTCACCAGTCAATGGAGGCAGAGACAAGAAGTCAACCCACACACGGCTTACGCTGCACACAAGGAAAACAAAACACCCTCAACTAAATCCCTACCTTTGAAGGTTATCAGATTGCTGGCCTGGCTCTGCTAGGAAGGACACCACCATCCTGTGCCCCCCGAGGTGTCCTCGGCAGTCAAGGAAGGAGCTGTAAAGTTACCTTTCATCATCTGTGTGCATCATAAAAATCACAGGTTCAGGATGACAATTTCCGAAATGCTCTGGGGTGAAGCCACAGCAGCCCTAGGTTCACCATCTTCTAAGGTTTCAAGTGCTTTTTTTCTTGGGGGGCGGGCGGGGGTCAAACGTGGTTTTATCACACAGCTCTTATTTCAGGGGAGCAAGCACACTCTAGCGTTCTAAGTTTACTCTCTAATCCCTCCACAACTTCAAGAACCACAACAAAACTCTTTACTCCCTTCACAGTAGTTAAGAAGGGGATTCAGAAGCTGAATGTCAAGCTCTAAGTGGACTAGTCAAACTACACCTAGGGAAACAGGCTCTCTCAATCCAGGCTTGACAGATGGTCACGCTGTGAACAGCACCTTCTCAGGGCTGATTAGTAAGTGGTGCCCCTGTCCAACTGAGGATGAGGAGAAAGAAAGAAAGAAATGAACTTCCTTTACACACCAAACAGCTGAGACTAAAGGGCAAACAGCGTCACCTTTTATTAACCACCAAAGTGTAAGAACAAGTACATTGATAATGGCTGTTATAAGGTGACATTCAATTACAACCGTCTCCCCAAATCCAAACATCTTAATCACGCCAACGCGGAAAGATGTCGCACATCTTTCAGAGCCGCTCTGAGCTTATCTCTCCTCTGAATTTCACTTGGCAGTATAAAAGACCAGCTCTGGCTAATAGTGAAATAATCTTGGCTAATAGTGAAATAATCAAAGTAGAGGTTTAATACTCCGGCTTGGAACAATTGTTCATATAACCTATTCTTCCTACTTTGAATGTCAAATGATTCTGAACCACCAAAGGTTACGAAATGGTTTATCTAATAATCACTATGTCCCTGAATCTTAACATTTTTATTTTGTATCAATTTTCAACTCTGCCAGAGAATCTTGTCTTTAAGATTTCAGAGTTTCACAAGATTTGAGGTGGGTTGGGCCTCCCTGGTGGTGCAAGGGGTTAAGCACAGCACTGTGAAGCTGTGTGCAGCCTCTGCAGCCTGAGTTCAATCCCCAGCCAGGGAGCTACCCACATGGCACAGACCTCTCCTGTCTCCCCGCTGCTCCCCTCATCAGTGTATTCAGTCAGTCTGCCTGTTCTGTTCCCCACTGTCGCTGGTGAATCCTCTCACACCCCGCACCTCTGGCCTGTACCCCAGTTCTATGCAATAAATCTTAAAAAAAAAAAAAAAAAGATTGAGGTGGGTTCAGCTAAACATCTAAGAACAAATTGACTTTAGGTAGTTAACACACACACACTCTTGAATTTCTACAAGGCTGGCTAGTGTTTTACCCTTTAGCAATGTAAGAAAACATAAACCACCTCTTATTCCTGCCAATGTCCTAACTCCCCTGGTATTCTCCAGACAGGGCACTACTCCATTCTAATTACAAAACCTATTCTAGAGCCTCCCCTGTGGCTCAGCCCTTGAGCGCTGGGCTGCGAAGCTGCCCGCAGCCTCTGCAGCTCGGGTTTGATGCCCGGCCACCAGCGAGGGTCCCACATGGCGTGCAGACCTCTCCTGCAGCCTGCTGCTCCCCTCAGCAGTGTACTTCGTCAGTCTTCCTGCTCTACTCCCCGCTCTGGCTCTGGTGAATTCTCTCACCCTCCCGTGCTTCTGACTGTACCCAGTGCTGGTATAAATAAATAAATCATTAAAAAAAAAAACTATTCTAAATAACCTCTTCTGTATCAGAATCAAACGCCTCACTCTCTTCAAAAGTTTATTAAATTTAATTCACTAAGCCTAAACCTAAGGGAAGTGCAGACATGAAAAGTCAAAACTACCTGCATGCAAAAATCTAATGTTTTCCAACTGTTTCAATATATGTCAGAAATGTACAGACAGTATAAGAAACAAAAGTAGAAAAAAGGAATCTAAAGCTATTTATTTTTTTGCATTTTTTAAATTGAAGTAACACTGTCTCATAACATTTTTTTAAATAAGTGGTACCGGCCAGATGTGCGGGAGGGTGAAAGGATTCACCAGAGTCAGAGTGGGGATCCGAAGAGGCAGATTGACTGAAATACACTGCTGAGGGGAGCAGCAGGGTGAGGCAGGAGAGGTCTGCCACGCCATGTGGGTAGCTCCCCAGCAGGCTGGGATTGAACCCACACTACAGAGGCTGCAGACAGCCTCACAGGGCTGCACTCAACCGCCTGTGCCATCGGGGAGACCCTCATTACTTTTTTTTTTTTTTTAAGATTTATTTATTTATACATGCACTGGGTACAGTCAGAAGTGCGGGAGGGTGAGAGAATTCACCAGAGCCAGAGCGGGGAGCAGAGCAGGCAGACGGACTGAAGTACACTGCTGAGGGGAGCAGCGGGCGGCAGGAGAGGTCTGCGCGCCATGTGGGACCCTCCTCCAGTGGCCGGGGAGCAGCTGGGGATCGAACTGGCGCTGCAGAGGGTGTGGGCAGCTTTGCAACCCAGCGCTCAACCGCTGCGCCACCGGGGAGGCCCCCCCTCATTACTTTTAACTTAGACTTTTTTAATATACTTGACTTCACATATGAACATAACAGAGTCAAGGAGCCATTAAGTCATATTTAACTTTCTGGTAAAATAATTTACGCAATCCAAATTACTGTTAGCCTTTTGCTCTGGCTGAAAGCAAAAATATCAAAGAGTGACATCTAAAAATATCAGGAGTATCTGAAGTACCACTATCTGGAAAGGGAAAAGACATGCCAATAAGTGCTAAATATTTCCCTTTACTACTAAATCTGTCCACCGTGCCAATCCTCCCGTGGGCTAGAGGCTGAAGCAAACGTTGGGTCATAAACAGGTGACTTGAGACTGCCCTGGCCTCTAACAGAAAGGACACCTGAGTCAGTGTTAAGAAGTTTGAGGTCTGGGGCCTCCCCGGTGGCGCAGCGGTTGAGCGCTGGGTTGCGAAGCTGCCCGCGGCCTCTGCAGCGCCGGTTCGATCCCCGGCTGCTCCCCGGCCACAGGAGGAGGGTCCCACATGGTGCGCAGACCTCTCCTGCTGCCCGCTGCTCCCCCAGCAGTGTGCTTCGGTCCTTCTGCCTGCTCTGCTCCCCGCTCTGGCTCTGGTGAATTCTCTCACCCTCCCGCGCTTCTGACTGTACCCAGTGCTTGTATAAACAAAACAAACAAACAAATATAATAAATAAATAAAAACATGCCTCTATTAAAAAAAAAAAAAAAAGAAGTTTGAGGTCTGCACACACACAAGCATTTTTCTTCCTGCATTGGGGGGAGGGTGAAGAGCTCTTAAATTAAGGGGCCACTCTAAAAAAAACCCCGCCGTTTTACTTTCCCGTCGGTCGCACTCAGAATGCAATGTGAGTTCTAGCCCTCTGATGCTTTTACAGGAAAGGCAAAAATCACCTCCCAAGCAACTAAAAATAGATGTACATAAATAAAGCTGCAGCTTATGAAGGAGATATTTGTGACCATATATTAGCTCATCCGAGCGGCAACACAGAGCGAAGCAAAACGCTCCCTGTGGCCAATTCGCAAGGCGAGGACCCAAGCCCAGGCCGAGAAGCCGGGCGCAGCCCCGCGAGGCAGCCGGCGGGAGGCGGCCTCTCCCGGGCCCTGGGCAGGGGCAGCAGCGCTGCGGATGTCCAGACATTTCTGGACCCCCCGCCCCAGCTCTCATCACCACCCCCACCCCGCGCACAGCAACACCACACCCTCCCCTCCTACACGCAGTGTGTTGCCAGTTCCCAAACTCCACTCCCGGCTTATCTCCCAGCTCCGCTCGCCCGAAGGCGAGAGGACGCGGGCCCCGCGCCAGCGCCCCCGCGCAGTCCCGCCGCACTCGGAGCCCCCCGCGGCCCCAGCCCCGACGCCGGCGCCTCCTCTCCGGCCGCTCGAGGCTCGCGCTGCCCCTTCGCCACCTGCTCTCGGGATCCTCGGGCCCCAGGCTCCCCTCGCGACTTCTCGCTCCTGCCCGGGGGAGGCAGTTTAGAACCGAGCATCACCCCGAAGGGAGTCGGGCGGGAAGGGCGGCTCCGACCACTCACCCCACAAGCCCGGCCCCCGGCTCTGCAGCCGGAAGCGCCCGCAGCTCTCCACACCCTGCGCGTCCCCTCGCGCCTCCCCACTTCTGGCCCAGGGCGCCCCTCAGCCGGGCCCGGGCCCGCGCCCGACGCCGCTCCTCCACCCGCGGGACCCCCGAGCGCCAGGGCCCGCGTCCCGACCCCCCTGCCCGCCGCCCCCTCCCGACGCCGCCACAGCCTCCCGCGGCCTCCGCGGCCCTTCCCTGCCCCGCCGCAGCCCCCGGCCGGCCGGAAGGCGCGCCCGCCCGAGAGCCCAGCGCGGGCTCCCTCAGCGCCCCCGCCGGACGGCCCCGCCACAGGCGCCCGCCCGTCCTCCCCGCCCCGCGCGCCGCCGCCGGCCCGGCCCCGCTCACCTGTGGACGCGCAGGAAGAGCCCCCGGGGTCCAGGGCGGAGAGCCCGGTCGCCGACGGCCCCGGGGCCGACGCCATCTTGGCAGCCCCCTCCCCCGCAGCGGCTCGCCCGCCGCAAGCGCTTCCTCTCTCGGAGTCGAATCTTCCCACGTCTCCCGACAGACCCGCGTTCTGCGCCCCCCGCCCCCTCCGGCCTCTCCGGCCCCGCCGGCCGGCGCGCGCGCCCGCTCAGGGCCGCACCATCCCGCCGGCCGGGGGAGACCTCGCGGCTCGCACGCTCTCCGCAGCCCCACGGCCTCCCGCGGGGGCCGGTCTCCCGGCTCGCTGGGCGCAGGGCCGCCGGGCCGCGCGTCAGGACCGAACCGCGCCGAGAGGAACCAGGGGGCGTGAGAAGTTCCGGCGGCGCGAGGCCCCCTCCCCCAGCCCGCCGCCGCCCGTTTGTCACTCGGCCGCGCCGCTCCACCTCGGAAGCCGGGGAAACCCGGCACCGCGCATGCGCCCCGCCGCGGCGCCCCGCCCCCCCGCGGGCGGGAGGCGGCCTGGAGGGGAGCGAAGCCAATCAGGAGCGCGAGCCGGTCACGTGACCGCGGCCTCGCGCCCTAACGAAGGCGAGGACCCACGCACTCGGCCCCGCGGGCGCCGCTACGGTGGCCGGGCGGTCGATTTTGACTGGACTCTCGGAAAGGGCTGGGCGGCCGGGGCCGGGCCGGGAGGGGTCCGCCGGCCGCCCCCGCAGGGCACGACCCGGGGAGGAACTCCCGACCCTAGCGCTGGGTCCAGTCAGAGCTGTTAGGCTGGCGAGTATCACGGGGCCTCACGTGCCGCCGCGAATTCTCGCCGGTTTTTTTGCCTTGTGGACTGTTTCTGTCAGCGCGCGCGCCTCGCCTTCCTCAGAATGACGCTTTGCCTCGAGCGCTGCGCTGACGGCCCGGAGCTCAGCACACAGCTGTGAAAGCGCGAAGGCCGGTCAGAAGGGGCCACGGAAAGAGACCAGACCGTCTCAGCCTCCCGCGGGCCCAAGCCCTCCGACTGTTTAGGACCCACAGGGCTGGGAGACACGGACCTCCCCCCGCTCGGGTGCAGCTTCTGCTAACCCTGCTCAGCTTGAATACAGTACCCTGGAGGTTGTGACCCGAGAGTCTCTGAGATCTGCTTCGTTCACTCCTGGACCTCCAGTTCCTCCCCATTACCTGCCTATACCGGGGCTCAATGATCAAATACATGGGAAGGAGAGAGGGGAAATACTAAGTTTTGCAGCCCCCAAGATGGCTTGACTATCCTCTATCTGGATGTAGTCTGGGTCCTGGGACGTGAACCTGGGCTCCAATCATCCAGAGAATATCTCCACGCATTAGCCTTTGCCTTCTACCCCTCATCGTGATCTAAAATAATTGTTTCCCTGCTGCCACCTGCTGGAATATTCATTCTCCCTTGCGTACTGAAGGTAGATAAACTTCAAAAGCTTGGATTACTACATATAATTCCATAGCAAATGGTATATCATTAACGTAATTTATCATTGCTTCTACCATAACCCCTCACCCAAGGTTATAGGTACAGAATTAAAGAGGTTGGGGTACATTGTCTAGCACAGGATTTGGCTCCTGGAGAGTCAATTAATAACTATTTGTTAAATAAATTAACCTCGTTTCTGTAAAAAGGCATGGCGTTTCTACATTTCCTGAGTTACTTTAGAAATCATCTAGTGCAGAGGTAAATCTGTTTCTGATTTAAAAGTTGGAAATAGACCAATGAAACTGACTTACCAAGCTGGAAGATCAAACAGAGGAATCTTCTTTGGGATTTGATCTATGAATTTAATTTCAGTACTCCAGAAAGAAGAGATTCCCGTTCTGTAGCTTCTTAGGAGTCTTTATTTCTCCTTTATGGACCAGAAAAATGGCTACTAATACACCTACCACCTTCTTTTATGTCCGTATATTTGTTTGCTTCCCTCATAAGACCGAACATTTCAGGGCAAAGATTGCCTCTTATCAATTTTTATATCTCAAGCATCTAGAATACTGCCTGGTAGAGAGTAGGTGCCCAATACGTGCATATATGGATGTTGCCTAAATATATAAATGGAGAAAGCCTAAATTTTTTAAATGGGCCAAAAGAAATTTCCCATCTTTTCTCCCTAAACCTTGTCTCTGCCCCCACTTCCATTCAATCCGTGGGGTGCCCTCTGAGTCACAGAGTTGCTCTTTACCAGTAACATTCCTGGCATAGCAGAACTGGGGTGACGTGGCAGGGTGTGGGAAGCAGGGGCAGAGCAGAACATGTTGCTTTGGTGCCCCCAAGGGAATGGGAAAGGGAGTTCAACAACACATACTTTGGAAAAGAGGGGCAATCTGGTGATCTCAAAATAGGGCCACACATAAAGACTTAAAGGGTACACTGCGTATACACATGTATGCACACACACGCACATGCACAACTTCATTAAAGCAACCTTCCTGTCTTAGAATAGTTCCTAAGGTCAGAATGGAGGGGCTAGGTGTTGGCAAGATCAACAATGTAGAGGCAAAATAAGATGGTTACCTTATTCATTAAATGAGTCATCCATTAACTCATCCATTGAGTTAATATTATTTAGCCCTGGCTATAGCCCAGGCACTATGAAGATTCTTGCCTTCAAAAAGATCACAAAAAGAAATAACACATAAATCACTACAATAAAATGTAATAGGTGTCATAGCAGTACAAATATTAAAGCTTGACAACCATATTTTTAGGATAACAAACAAGAAGTCAATAGAGTCTTGACAAAACCACAGACTATTTGAGATCGAAACTATTCTGGAGAACCTAGGCGGCATGCTCTCCATGACTGTGGGAATCGTGCCTGGGAAGAGAGCAATGAGTGTAAACGACAACTTCACTGTCCTGTCATGTGGAATTAAAATTCTGTCAGGTAGACAAGAAAGGGTAGGAATATTCAGAAGAAAAAGCATGGAGGTGTGACAGGGAATTGGGTGTTGGAAAGGTGCTAGATTAGGATGATGTGGCAGGAGGTAAGGCTAGAAAGACAGGGAGAGGCTAAATTACCTTGATAATAGCAGTTATCACCTACCAGACACCCTTGTACTCATCAGGAGACAAGGGTCTCCTAATCATCTCAACAAACTTAAAAGGTAGGTACTGGTCCCTGTTTACAGATCAGAAATCTGAGACTCAGAGAGCTAGAGCGACTTGTTCACAGTCATCCAGCTAGACCTCGGGTTCAAACTCAAACTCGGGTCTGGCTGGCTCTAAGTCTGTGCTCAACCACGCGACATCTCCGCCTCAATGCAAGGATTTTGGACTTTATCCTGCAGATGACGGGAAGCCATAAAGATTTCTGAGCAGGAGTGACAAAGTCTGGGGTTTCAGAAAGGTTCCCACTGACAGCGGAGTGGACCACGGACTAGAGCAAAGGGAGCCTGACCTCTTCTCACTGAGGCTGCCGACTTCCAAGCTCTGGCCTTGCAGCAGCGCGGCTCCCGGCGTCAGCGGGGCGGCCACGAGCCCCAGCCCCAGCGGGAAGCGGGGGCGGGACTCGGGGGTGGCTCCGCGCGGGCCGGGCGGGGCTGACGAGGACGCAGGCTGAGGGGCGGGCCGGCGCGCCCTCGACGCTCGGCTGCTCCTGCCTGGAGAGGAGGACTTCCGGCGCCGGCGCAGGCCGCGGTGTGGAGCGCCGAGCGCCAGAACCGCGCTGGCTGAGCGGCGGCTGCTGGGGGGCGTTATGAGTTTGGCTGGGGGCCGGGCCCCCCGGAAGACCGCGGGGAACCGGCTTTCGGGGCTCCTGGAGGCAGAGGAGGAGGATGAGTTCTACCAAACGACTTATGGGGGTTTCACGGAGGCAAGAGTCGGGCCCAGGACGAGGGAGGGGAGGAAGCTGAGAGCGGTCCCCAAAGAAACCTCGGACAAAGAAGGGGGCGGGGAGCAGGGGCGCCCTGGCGGCGGAGCCTCGGCGCCGGGCGGGCCAGGTGGGGGTACGGCGGAGTCCGGGGGGGCGGCCTTGGGCACGGTTGAAAGGGTCAGGGCACCCCAGAGTGTGGCAGAACCTCGGAGAGGCACCTCGTAGACGCGCGGCGTAGACGCGTTGCCCGCAGCCGACTTATTCACCTGCAGTGGAGACGAGAACCTCTCCAAAGAGGAGGGGCTTAGTGGGCTCCTTTTTCAGCGTTCAACTCTCAATGTAAACGTGTCCCTGACAGTCCTAAAAAGTGCCACTGTTTATTTCTTCATAGATCATTTTCCACTTTACTTTTACATTTGGCTTGCTTTTTATTTTTATATCTGTTATATAATAGTGTTAGAGGATCTGTTTGGCTCCACAGTAATATCTCCAATGCCTGGATTGGGGAATATTCAAAACACCGTTTTTCCCTTACATGTTACAGACCCCAGTGGAAGATTGACAATTAAAATGTTGTATGATAAGGAGGAATATTAGTAGTTGGCTAGGGTGCTGTGATAACAGGTGGGAGCCAGAGTTGTTGGGCGGGGGGGGGGGGCTTCCCTGGGGACATCACGTTAAGCTGAGGACCATATGGAAAAGTAGACCTTGGCTGGATGAAGATCAGCAGGACGGAGGAGGGAGAAGAAAGGTTCTTCCACAGAGGGGCTGGCAGAATGAAATCCTGGTCTGGGATGATAAAATCCAGTGTCTTTCTCCAGACTGTGAAGGAAAATAAAAGTTGTTAAGGCCGGAAGACACAGACACAGGCCAGATCATGTAGGGCTTGTCAACCATGTTAAGTTTTGCCCTTCATTGGAGGACTGAGATTGGTTTAAGTTCCATGATCAAAGTTGTACTTTAGAAAGGTGCTCTATAAAAAGGAGAATGGTTTGTAGTGGGCAGTGGGAGTAGAGAAAAGTGGAGAATTCAAGAAAAATTAATGAAATAGAATCCACAGGACTTGGGGACTGATTGGGAGTCTTACTTACACAGCCCTAACCTGCTATTTAAAATAGAACTTTCTCACCCCTCCTCCAAAGGCCATTTTCCTATTCCTGTCATTTTATGAGTCATGATTTAATATGTACCTTTCACGCTTCCAAAAAGGATTTAAAGAGGCTTACAATAGAAACAAAAAGTAGGAGCAGTAAAAATAGACAGATCAGAAGTAATTGTACCTGGAGCCTCCCTGCTGAAATGGTAATGGCAATTGATATTAAATCTAGCTGTGAGCTTCCTGGCAGTCAAACCTGAATTTCTTTTTTAGTAAGAAAGAAGTGTATACATTCCTTAAGAGAGAAATACTTACTCAGTATTAAGTCCTAGGGAAATCACATCTTTATATAAAGTAATGGTTTTGGTAGAGGATGTAAAAACATTTTTTACCTAGTCACGTCTATTAATGGCCCTTGATGAAAGCCAAAGGGATGATAGTAAATCCATAACCTAGTGAAAGCATTTCAACTGGGCACTAAACTAACATGTACTTGAACTACTACCCTGTGGAGATAGGATTTAATACCAGCTTAGAGCTGAGGGGATTAGTGTGTTCCCAACTGTCTTTCACAAACATGAGCTAGAAGGAAGTGATGGTCATCGCAGCAAAGATGGGGCTGTGACTGGCTTGGAGTGTCAACTGTTGTGCTATTTGCTTGCTTTGGCAGCGCATGCACCAGGATTAGCCCGTTAGTCCACATCTGATTGAAGAGATGATCACATGTTGGAGGTGCTGCCCTGCCCAGTTAACTCCCCAGCTCCCAAGTGTTTGTTTTTTCCCTTTCCTTTCCATTGTGGCTGCCATTTTAGCCCTAACCTGCATCACCCCACATATAAGCAGTACGCCATAGTGTTGCCCCCGCCCAAAAGCTACCCCCAGAGCATTCTGAGACACCAATTGTACGTCTTCCTGTCCCCCGAACTCTTCACTGGGTCCCCATTATATATATATAGTGTCAATACCCACCTGTTTTTCCGGCCCTGCTAAGAAATGGGCCATTTCATGGTAACTTGAGGTCACCTCAACAATGATGATCGGTGCTGGGACAGTAAGGAGAGGAGAGAGAGGAGAGTCACTGGTCTGCAGGGTGCAGTCACAGGGTTCCTAGCCTAGCTCTCGGGTTCTCTGCAGCCCGAAGGCAATCTTCCTTTCAGATCCAACAGCCCTACAAGGTTGTCGGTCAGTGTGGAAGGCGGCTGTGTGGAGCCAGAGGCAGTCAGCTAGGAAACCTTTTTGCCAGTGAGAAACCATCTGCTTTGCTGGGGCCTAAATTCTTATTCATGAACACGCTGTGCACACCCTTGCTTCTGCGCCTTCGTTCCCACTCCCATGTGCGTGAGTCCCGTGCCCCTCTTGGCTGTCTAAGTGCTACCAGTATCTTTAGCCACCGCTCAAGTCTCCCGCACAGTCTACACAGCATTTAGCAATCTAGAGCGCAGTGGCCCAGATGATCCACTCCGTTTTAATCTAGTTCTTCAAGAGACAGCTTGGCAGCCCCCGGCCTAGAAGATACAGGCCTTCCCAGGCCGCTTGCCCATAGTGAGCCTGCCTCCTCTGAGTCCTGTGACGGTTGCTTGCTACTCAGAACTGTGGTGCGGCCATGCACTAAAAACCGCCTTTTATAACTATGACGTGTTCTCTGCTAAATCGCGAGACCCACGAAGGTAGAGACCTAGCCGCACCTTCTCGTGCCAGCGCTTACATAGCGGGCCACAGTGCAGGGCCGCTCATGCTGGGAAGGAGGGAGACTGCCTGCCAGGGGCGAGGGTGGGGTGGCGAGGGAGGCTGAGTTGGCCTCGCCGAGAGCACTGCGAGGTCCTCTCCCCTCTCCCCGAGGGGCATTTGCGCCACAGGCCAGCGAGAGCCTCACTCCCTGTGTCCCAGGAGTCGGGCGATGACGAGTACCAAGGGGACCAGTCGGACACGGAGGACGAGGTGGACTCCGACTTCGACATCGACGAGGGGGATGAGCCATCCAGCGATGGGGAAGCCGAAGAGCCGAGGCGGAAGCGCCGCGTGGTCACCAAAGCCTATAAGGTGCAGGGGCAGGGGAGCTTCCTGGTTTGCTCGCGCTTCCTTGTTCTGGTTCCCCCTCGGTACTCCCAGCACGCCCAACCCTAAGCGTTGCATCTTCTGTCTCCTCAATCTTCTGTTCCTTGGTATCTCATCCCACTCTGTCCCCAGGAGCCGCTCAAGAGCTTGAGACCTCGGAAGGTCAGCACCCCAGCCGGTAGCTCTCAGAAGGCCCGGGAAGAGAAGGCGCTGCTACCCCTGGAACTGCAGGATGATGGCTCTGACAGTGAGTGGGGGTGTCGGGGTCCCTTGACAGAATTGGAATAGGATGGTGAAGCATTGTATGCATGGAAACTTACTGCAATTGGTAGCTTCGCTATGATTATGTGAGGAAAATCCTTATTCTTAAGAAATGTACACTGAGCTATTTAGGTACAGAGAACATAACATTGGTAACTCAACCCCCAGAGCATTCAGGAAAAATACACACACAGAGTCAGCAAGATGGGGCAAATGTCCATAGTGGGTGATCTGAGTCGAGGGTCTGCGGGTGGCCTTTGTATTGTTCTTGCAACTTTTTATAAGTTTGAAGTGATTTCTGAATAAAAGTTTTAAAATAATAATAATAAATGGGCCTCCCTGGTGGCGTAAGGGGTTAAGCACCGCACTCTGAAGCAATCCACAGCCTCTGCAGCACAAGTTCGATCCCTAGCCAGCCAGGGAGCAACCCATGTGGCGCAGCAGACCTCTCCTGTCTCCTCACTGCTCCCCTCAGCAGTGTATTTCAGTAGATCCGCCTGTTCTGCTCCCCACTCTGTCTCTGGTGAATCCTCTTACCTCCTGCATCTCTGGCTTGTACCCCAGCTCCTGTATGCATAAATAAATCTTTAAAATAATAATAATAATAATAAAGAGGTAGGCATGAACTCAAAAGATGTCTTCCTCTCTGCCTTTCCTCCAGGTCGGAAGTCCATGCGTCAGTCCACCGCTGAGCATACCCGACAGACGTTCCTTCGTGTACAAGAGCGGCAGGGCCAGTCGAGGCGGCGAAAGGGGCCCCACTGTGAGCGGCCTCTGACCCAGGAGGAGCTGCTCAGGGAGGCCAAGATCACAGAGGAGCTCAACTTACGTTCACTAGGTCAGTCTGTGGTCCAAGGGCTGTGGGGAGCACTGAGCAGCACGGAGGCCTGAGGACCAGACTACTGGAAGGGAGAAGGTTTGGGCATGGGAGTCAGAAGAAAGTGGTCAGGACAGGAACTGGACGGTTGCGAGGACGCTGAGGACGAGTCGTGTGGAAGTGCTCGGGTGTTGGATAAGGGTGGCGTGGAACTGCGGCCGGGTCCCGCTTCTGTTCACTCGCTGGAAGGCCGCAGGCAAATAATTTCACCTACTTGCATCTTGTGTTCCAAGGTGGGGTGGCCGTGCCTGCTTCAGCGGTCATGGGAATTAGAGATTCAGTAGGATAAGTCATTCGTGAGACAAACTGCTCTAAGGTGAAGATGCTTTAAGACCTGTTGGTCACAGTTGGGTCAGATCACCCAGGAAGAAAGACGAGAAAAGCGGAGCCACGCGTGGTGACGCACCGTGCGAAACACACCCTTCTCTGCAGGGCAGTGAGGGTCTCGGCTCCCGAAAGGTACACGGGAAATCGGGCGAACAGCAGGTTTCGTCCTTGCCATCCAGACTTTCATTGAGTGAAATAACAGAGTCGGCCACAGAGTTGAATTTGGTGTTTCTCCCTCTGCTCTTTAAATCTGTCTCTTTTCTGACTAGTTACTGTATAACTTATAACCCAGATGCAATTTCACTTGGCAGTGGGGGCTTGTTCACCCAGAATATCTGGGACCCAACTACTGCAGTTTAACGGCAGTTTTGAAACGTGGACAGCTCCTAAAGCGACAAGGAGAAAAGGCCAAGGCCATTGTTCATTTCCGGCATCTGCAGGGTGTGGCCTCAGGGCTTTTTTCCTGCTACATTGACTTTAAAATCAAAACTGTCTTTATTTGGGTAGTGGCGGCTTAGTCTTTATAACAGTAGCCAGGAGCCACCTCTCAAAACGTGTAAATGACTGAGCCCCATCGCGCAGATGGTGATGTGGCTGCAGCGACAGCTGCATCCTTTGACTGCATTAATTGACTGGGCCTCTGTGAAGAGGGGGCCTCCCAGGCGAGCCTCCGACCCCAGAAACTGATACAGCAGGCCCTGGAGGAGCAGGTTCAGCAGGAGAAATAATGGGCTCGACTTTGAACACGTTGAGTTGAGGCGTCTGTGAGCAGCATGAACGTGTGTGAGCGCTGCCGAGCGGGGAGTCAAACCTGCAGAGAGAGCCGGGCTGAAAATATACATGGGTGACAATTGGTGACACTGGAGTGGAGTGATCACCCTGGGAGACAGCGCAGTGTGAGAAAAGCAAAGAGGCCCCGAGTCCTCCTGCTAAAGTGGTGCGGTCACACAGCAGCCGAGGGCCTTAGAAGGAGTCTCAGGAGGGGCCATGGAGCTGGAGCGTAGCTGCTGGATGCACTGGGTTCTGGTGCTGAGATCAGGCGTGACGTGAGGGAGCATTTTCTAGGTTTAAGACAGTTTGGCTGTGCAGGGTGTGAGAGGGAATAGACTGGGTCCAGGGCTCATTACAGGTTTATAAATCCAGAGCAGGACTTGGCCAGGTACTGTCCAGTGCTGGTGACGTGCGGAGCCCGCGTGACCCCGAGCACGCGCGAGTCACCTGCCAACAGCGACCTGCCGCAGGCGAGGGCCCATCTCTCCGCACCACGGAGTTAGGGGATCCCGAGGGAGCAGGGGCTGCTCAGCTCCGCCTGTTGCTGCGGAGGATGCACACCAGGGGTGCAGGTTGTCTTGATTTTTAGGAGGGACCAGAAGTCATCTGTGTATAATTTCCTAATTATTAAATGTCAGCTGCTAATTTCCTTTAAACGCAACCTGGGTGAGACGGAACACTTGGGCTGGTTGCCAGCTCCCACCTCTCCTGACTGACGGGGGCAGTGACAGGCGGGGTCCGGGCGCGTGGCTGTCGCCATGGACACGGACCTGGGACTGCTTGGGCTGGCCTGGGGACGGCAGAGAGGCTGTGTCCTTTGTGACCCTCCCTGGTGAGGCAGCGGCTGGAGTGTGTTCCTGCTCGGGCCAGAGGAGGACACCACCCGAGCCGGGGCGCGCTGCCTCCCAGGGAGAGGAATGAGGGCCCTCAGCACAGGCGCCGCCGGCTCCGACGCCCCGGGTTCCCACTCTGTGAGGCAGCGAGTGGACTTGAGACGGGAGAGCAGGCGGGGCTGAGAGAAAACCTACAAATGGGGGTGCAAGTGGGTCAGGGAGGACTCCCTGCTGGCTTCAGGTGGGCAGAGCCCCCAGGCCAGCAAGGTCGTACGACAGACGGGTCCGGAAGCCGGGACTGACCCTGGCTCCTTCCTTCCTTTGGCCCTAAAGAGACATACGAGCGGCTCGAGGCTGACAAAAAGAAGCAGGTTCACAAGAAGCGCAAGTGCCCGGGGCCCATAATCACCTACCACTCAGTGACGGTGCCGCTTGTTGGGGAGCCGGGCCCCAAAGAAGAGAACGTGGACGTGGAAGGGTGAGCCTCGGGGGTTTCTTCCCTCTGTGTTCTGCCCCGTGGCTCCTGCTCTCCTCACACCAGCTCTGGCCTTCGCCACCTCACATCCGTCTCTGTCAGCCTCTCTTCCTCCTGCCTGCCCGTCCGCCACCGAGCAGGTCACTCAGAAGGTTCCCGGCCCTTTGCCCTCTCCTTGCCCATCTCATCCTTTTCTGTACTTGCTTGTTCTGTCTCCTCAGCTCTGTGTTTCTCCTCAGCCTGGATCCTGCCCCCGCGGCTTCCATGTTGACACCTCGTGCTGGGACCGGGCCCGTCATCCCTCCTGCTCGCTGCTCACGTACCTTCATCACCTTCAGTGATGATGCAACTTTTGAGGAATGGTTCCCCCCAGGGCGGCCCCCAAAGGTCCCTGTTCGGGAGGTCTGCCCAGTGACGCACCGCCCAGCCCTCTACCGAGACCCAGTCACGGACATCCCCTACGCCACCGCCCGAGCTTTCAAGATCATCCGCGAGGCCTACAAGAAGTACATCACTGCCCACGGGCTGCCGCCCGCCGCCTCGGCCCTGGGCCCGGGCCCGCCACCGCCCGAGCCCCTCCCTGGGTCTGGCCCTCGGGCCCTGCGCCAGAAAATCGTCATCAAATGAGGAGACGTCTCGTCCTCAACCCGTGCTCCTGCCCCACAAGGGGGTCTTAGGGCCCTTGCTCCCCCTTTATTGGCTCTGGTCTTTGCCCAGCCCATGGCCATGTCGCCCCCGTCCTTTCCCCTAGTTCCTTCTGGTTTTGTTTATGTTTTTTTAACCTAATAAAGTAGAGAGATCCCTTGTCTGGTGTCTGTCAGGTTGGGAGCAGGACGTGTGTGTCTCGGCACACATCGGGGTGCTTTGCTTGCTGGCATTTGCTTGCTGGCATTTACTAGGAGCTGCCCTTTTTAAATTAGAACTTTTTTTAACTTTATCTTTGCGTAGAACTGGGGTGCAGGCCACAGATGGGGGGGAGAGGATTCACCAGAGACAGAGTGGAGAGCAGAACAGGAGAAGCCACTGAAATCCACTGCTGAGGGGAGTCAGGAGAGGTCTGTTGCACCCTGTGGGTAGCTCCCTGGCCAGGACTGAACTCAGGCTGTAGTGGTGAAAGCGCTGAGACTCAACCCCTAGGCCACCAGGAAGGCCCCCCTTTTTTAATTTTTTTTAATATTTATTTATACAAGAACCAGGGTACAGGCCAGATGTGCGGGAGGGTGAGAGGATTCACCAGAGACCGCAGGGAACAGAAGAGGCAGAATGACCGAAATACACTGAAGGGAGCAGCGGGCGAGACAGGAGGGGTCTGCCACGCCATGTGGGTTGCTCTGCGGCCGGCGGGGATTGAACTGGCACTGCAGAGGCTGCGGACAGCTTCACAGCGCTGTGCTCAACCACCTGCGCCACCAGGGAGACCCCCCTTTTTAAATTAAAAGCAATCCTCCAGCCAGATTATGAACACCCTAAAATTAGACACCAAAGCAAAACCCTGAAGTTCACCTTTTTATCACTTAAATTCACTGCTTGGAAGACAGCGAGCACCCAACCTGTGGGCGCTCCGGGCTCTCCTGGAATCTGTCTCTGAGACTGAGGCGGCAGGAAGGGCAGGGGAGCAGGTGCCGTGGCCGTGCGTGGCCACTAGAGGCTCCCGGGCGGGTGGGGTACGCGCTGTGTATATGTGATCTCCCACTACCCCCCACCTGGCCAGAGCTAAAATAATAAAATGCTGAGCTCACTGTTCCCCCACCCGCTCCCCCGGCACCGGGCTCCTCCTGCCGCCGGGACGGGCTCCAGCAGCAGACAGGGGCGGTGAGAGAGGAGGTGGCTCCGGGACCGGTACGTGGGGAAGGAAGGGGGCTCGCTGATCGGAGCCGGTGGGATGCGGCGAGCGGCGCCCACCGGGAATGACGTGCCGTGTCTTTGTGTCACTCAGTGTATGTTTCTGCCACCGCCCGTCCTATCCCACAGCCGCAGTCGACGTGAGTGTAAGTACCACACCCGGGCCGCTCGTCCTCAGCGCGGCGTGGCTGTGTAGCGCGTGGGTGTCATACTGCGAGGGCTGCAAGTTGACCCCCCCCTTTTAGAGAAAGGCTGCCATTTAGAGGCGTTTCCGTCCACTGGTCCGTGTCGCCCGCCCTCCCAGAGCCAGAACAGCGACAGGGACCCAGTCCTTTCTCCGGAGGCCGGGCCACCCTTCCCCCCTGGCAGTCCCCCAGCTCCCCTGAGCCCTGGCTGGGCCTTAGGATTCAGAAGTTCAGCAAGCAGAGTGAGATTTTCGTTGTTCCCCAAACGGCGCGAGAAAGGAGCGGGGCAGCGGGGAAGGAGAGCTGCCTCTTCTGTCCCCCGTGCTCCCCGCTTGCTTCCACCCGTTTAGGACAAGGCTGGACTGGGGGAGAAAGGAGGAATTTCCCCGAAGACCTCTGCCTCCCCCCCTTCCTTTCAACAGGACCCCGGCACGGGGCCAGCCGCGTTGGCAGGGCCCCTGGCAGCTGTGCGAGGGCAAGAGGCACCAGCGACCGGCGAGGGTGACGGGAGGGCGCTGCTAGGATTTCTCCATCACACGATGGGGAGGCAGATTCAGCTTAGACGCGGGGTCCCCATCCAGAGCAGCTGAAACTGGGGACGCAGGACGGCGGCGGCTCTGGTTTTAACCTCACCATTCCCGCCTCCCCGTGCCAGCTAGCTTGCTAAGCGGGGCACCCAGTGCTGGTGCTGCCCGACCCCCTCCGCGGGCACGCACCGCCCTGTCCAACCGCTTTCCCTGCGCCCCTCAGGCTCCGCACGCCACCCGTCGGGGAGGGGGCGGGGGCCATCATGTCGTCGTATCAGAAGGAACTGGAGAAGTACAGAGACATAGACGAAGATGAGATCCTGAGGACCCTGAGCCCCGAGGAGCTGGAGCAGCTGGACTGTGAGCTACAGGAGATGGACCCCGAGGTACGCCCCAGCGCGGGGCGGCAGGCGCCGTCCCCAGGCACTTGGGCAGGGCATAGGTCCCCCAGACGCTGAGACCGGTGTCACCTCCGGGACCTTGAGTCCCAAGAGGGCCAGGGAAAAGGTGTCTGGAGTTGTTCTGGGGAACCCTCGAGGAGCTGGGGCGATCTGACTTGCTCCCCAAAACTCATCCCTAAGAACATGCTCCTGCCAGCTGGACTAAGACAACGAGATCAGACCAAAAAGAGCCCAACGGGACCCCTGGACCGAGAGGCCCTGTTGCAGTACCTGGAGCAGCAGGCCCTGGAGGTCAAAGAGCGGGAAGACTTGGTGCCCTTCACAGGCGAGAAGAAGGGTACGGAGACCCTGAGACCCACGCCTCCTGAACCCACACGCTGTCTCCCCCAGCCCAGCCTGCCTCTCATCTTCCAGCTCCCGGCCGCCCTAGGGATTCACCTCCCTGGCACTTGCAGGCCAGCTCGCGCACCCCAGTCCCCGCGAGGGCGCAGGGACCGGGCACCCTGGGCTGGCGGCGGCCCAGTGCCCCAGCAGCGCGCCCCCTGGAGAGCAAAGGCAGCTGGAGGCTGGGATCGCCGGGGAAATGACCGCAGCCTGAACCACCCTCATCTCTCGGTCAGGGAAACCCTTTATTCAGCCCAAGAGGGAAATCCCCGCACAGGAGCAGATCACGCTGGAGCCGGAGCTGGAGGCGGCGCTGGCCAACGCCACGGACGCGGAGATGTGTGATATCGCAGGTGGGCAGCGCAGGGCGAGGAGGTGGGAAGGTCGGGACCTCGGGGGCCCGCCATGGTCTGGGACTCGGGGGAAGGCCCTGAACCAGGACACGATGTGGGAGAACGCATCTAGTAATGGCTTTAAATTTTTCTTATTTATATGGTCACTGACTCATTTCTAGACTCAGTAAGTTAAGTCTCAGAGACAACTTACAGACTGTAAAGCACAGCAGCGGCACAGTTCAGGCTGAAAACGGAGGGACTCTGATGGGCTCCCTCGCCCTGTGGTGGCTGCTTGGGGAACCTCCGCAGAGCCCTGCCTCGGTGTCCAAAGAATCGCTGCCCTCGGCGTCAAGGCAGGGACCCCAGAGGCTGGGGGAGGGTGGAGCAGGGGCCGGGGACAAGAGCCCGCCTCCAGCCCGGCCTCACCTCTGCAGCCATCCTGGGCATGTACACGCTGATGAGCAACAAGCAGTACTATGATGCCATCTGCAGCGGCGAGATCTGCAACACGGAGGGCATCAGCAGTAAGTGGGGCACGGAGAGCGCGAGGGTGAGTCAGTGGGTGGATGTGGTACCCGGAGAGGGAATCCAGGGGTGAGACCGGGGGGCCATGTTGGGGTTTCCTCACCTGCCAGGTGTGGTGCAGCCTGACAAGTATAAGCCAGTGCCAGATGAGCCCCCAAACCCCACAAACATCGAGGAGATCCTGAAGAGTGTTCGCAGCAACGACAAGGAGCTGGAGGAAGTGAACCTCAACAACATACAGGTATCTGACCCCCCACCCCCGTCCAAATAGCAGACTGCACACGCGTGCCAGTGCCCACCGCCTCCCGCCCCGCAGGACATCCCGATACCCTTGCTCACGGAGCTGTGCGAGGCCATGAAGACCAACACCCATGTCCGCAGCTTCAGCCTGGTGGCCACAAAGAGCGGCGACCCCATCGCTAGTGTAAGGCTGGAGGATGCCCCAGAGCGCTCCCTCCCCTCCCCCAGCACCCTGGCAGGGCTGTTGCGAAGGGTTGTGCAGGGCGCCGCTCCCATCACGCTCTCAGGGTGGCTCCGATGGAGACCCCTCCCTGAGCCCCACAGCTCCCAGCCCCGGGAATTCTCAGGTCATCTTCCCAGGAGACAGACCCCGCTCTCCCCTACTGTCTCCCGCACTCCCATCTCCCGTGGCTCCACCTACAGCCTGGGGAGGACCCTTCCCAAAGGGCATTTCCCTCTGGCTCCTGTCCTCTCTCCTCGGCCATCTGTGAGACGGCCCCTAACCCTAACCCCAGTCCCTACTACACAGGCGGTGGCCGACATGCTGCGGGAGAACCGCAGCCTGCAGAGCTTGAACATCGAGTCCAACTTCATCAGTAGCACAGGGCTCATGGCCGTGCTGCAGGCAGTTCGGGAGAACGCCACTCTCACCGAGCTCCGCGTGGACAACCAGGTCAGCGGCCCTGCGCGGCCTCCCCCGAGCCTGCTGACTCTGCTCCCCGCGGCAGCGTGGGGCTGCCTGTTTCAATCTCCTCTTCATCCTCCGCGTGGGGGCCCAGTCAGCACGTCCCACCGTCCACGCTAGAGAAACGAGTCTCTGGCTTCCCAGAGGTGCACGGTTGGGGACGGTGAGCGGCCCAGCAAGGGGGCCTGACAGCTTTCCCCTCCCTCCGCCAGCGCCAGTGGCCCGGCGACGCGGTGGAGATGGAGATGGCCAGGGTGCTCGAACAGTGCCCTTCCATTGTCCGCTTTGGCTACCACTTCACTCAGCAGGGGCCACGAGCTCGGGCAGCCCAGGCCATGACGCGGAACAACGAACTCCGTGAGTCCCTGCCGGGGGCCGTGGGGGTGACAGGGGCCCTAGACACAGATGGGTGCTCCTGAAAGCCTAGTGACTAAGAGCCTGGGCGCCAGCAAAGCAGCCTTCACACACGGCAGCCAGTCAGTGACGAGAGAGGAGGCGGAGGGCTCCCGCCCCAGGCCCAGCCAGCAGAGCGGAGGCAAGCAGGACGGCCCTGCTCAGAGGCAGGGGATTTTCATTTGCCAGGTTATTTCTCACGGTGCTGTGACAATGTGGGGTGTGCAACTTTGGGGGCTTAAGACGTTACCTCTGAGTCTAGCCAAAGAACTAGAAAGAGAAAAGCACCTGGTGGGAGTGAGGTGGAATAAAGACTGTTCACTCTCCTGCTTTCACAGGTCGCCAGCAAAAAAAGAGCTAACACGCCCTTCGCCTTCATCATGTAGAGCCGATGCCACGGATGCTCAGCTCATCACCTTCCCCCTTTCCTGTAAATAAAGGCCCTTCTGTCCACGCTGCCTGCCTCCTTCCTTGGGCTTTGGGATGGGAATCCTGGCACTAACCCCCAAGGGTTACTGCCAGCTCATCAGGGGATTATTTATACTCTAGGGATCAACAGGCAGGGAGGGTCAAGTTACTAGGAGGAGGTGGGGGAGCTCCCGCCCTTGGGGCTCCCCATAACCCTGCTAATGCCTTCAGTCTCTTCTACTTTCACAGGGTACCTAGTCTTGGCCTTATTCCCAAAGGTGGCCAGGCCCCCGGTGCAGCTCCACAACCCTCGTGTGATCTGAAGGAGGAAAAGACTCAGTGGAGGAGGGGAGAAGGCAAACGACATGAAGGGCAAAGACTTCCTTCTGACAGGCTTATTAATAGGGCACTGGGCTGCATGCAGCTGACGCTTGGCACGACTTCGGGAGTAGGTGGGGGAGGGGTCAGAAGCATGGGGCGCCGTGTACACGGCAGGGAAGGGCTGGGAGTGAACAGATCCGAAGTCCTGAAATGGGACAAGGAAGCAGACACAAGGCGAGCCCAGCGCCTGCTGTGCTTTATTACGGACTGAATGGGGCAAGAGAAAAGAGGGTGTCAGTCCAAAGGGAGGCCAGGGGGCTCCTCCTCGTCAGAGTCAAACTCAACATTCTCATCCTTTACCCATCGACCTTGTCCATCTGGGATCCATCCAGAGCTGGAGATGTCAGAGAAGAAAAGAACTGATCAGGAAAAGAGGTTGATGAAGTAGTGGGGTCAGAAAAAACAAAGGAGAAAGCCTGAATGAGGAGGCTGGGAAGGCGCCAGGAAGTGAGCAGCGTGACTGTGCACACTCACCTTCTCAGGGTGAGGTAGTGAGCCAGAGCCCGTCTCCTCGCGGGGCTCATAGGCGCAGGGGGCGAGACGGCAGAGGACTCCTCAGCCCGGGGGCCAGCCACAGCCTCAGGCTGCCCGCTGCTCTCCTCACCTGGGAGCGCGGCCTCTGGAGGCGGCAAGGAGGAATGGGAGGTGGAGGGACGAGTGGCTTCTGGTCTGGGTGGAGAAGAATCAAAGCCTGTAAAGGCTGCAAAGGAAAGGGCGACTCCCCTGTGACTCCCAAACCTTCCACCCCAGGGTTTCCTCAAGGGTTATGTTCTGCGTACGCGGGACTTTGGAATCAAATGAATTTAGGAAGGGCAGGATTACAAGTTTTTTAAATTTAAAAAAAAAAAAAAAAGGTCACAGAGTTCTTAAAATATAGAAATATTAGTATTCTTCGTGTAGAACGACAAAAGTTCTCTTTCCCAAACTTTTTAAAAGATTAAAAACCCTGGGGCCTCCCTGGTGGCGCTGGGGTTGAAGTCTCAGCGCTATCAAGCTATTGCCATTGCAGCATGAATCCCCGGCCAGGAAGCTGACCCACACAGCTCAGCAGACCTCTCCTGTCTTGCTTGCTGATGCCCTCAGCAGTGTATTTCAGTTAATCTGCCTGTTCTGCTCCCCACTCTGTCTCTGGTGAATACTCTCAAGCCGCCTGACACCTCTGGCCTAAACCCCAGTCTTTGTATGCATAAATAAATTAAAATAACTCTTCAAAGATTAAAAACTCTTTCCTTAAATACCAGCTACCATGTCCAGAACACTAACATTCCTCAGAGTACTGTGTTAGGGGGAACAGGATATCCTAAAGCTAATTTCATACAGGCTTTGTGGACTTTACCCCCACCCCAGGCCAAAGCCAAAGACACTGGGAACTCCAAATCCCATCAACACCAAAGGGAAGGTGGCTGGGACCTGAGGGTGGGGTTAAGCAGCCAGGTTGGTATAAAGCCAGACACGTGGGCTTTGGAGGGTTCCCCCATTTTGGCTCTCCACCAGCTCGCAGCGTCTGGCCAGCTCTGAGAGTGCTTTTTGGGTTTCCAGGTCGGCGGATCGGGTAGGACGCATTAAAGACTTTATTTCCCTATTTTCTCCCTGAGTTGTACATTTTTCTTATTTTCTTTTCCCTTGTAAATAAACCTTTTATTAACCTTTTGTGTGTGCCTGCCGTGGAGTATTAATAAGTCCCTTTGAAGCGCGCGGGTGAGGACCCACAGCCAGGCAACCAGTTCAATATCGGGGCTGCCCTATAACACTTGGAAAACATTATAGAGCCATTTACCTTTTCCTGTCCCTCCCTGCCCCTGGCTTTTCCACCCCACATACCTGGGCTTTCGACGGCAGCAACTGTTATAGTGAGGCGCTCTATGCAGAGCATTCTGGGTGATCAGCCGGGTCTGGGTTAACAGAGGAGCCTGGCATGGAGACGGGAGACGGAGTAGGTGGCTTCAGAACCAGAAATTAGGCACTGTCCAGCCTAAAGTGTGCAGTAGAGCTCTGCCTGGAACACACCCTCCCTTTTCTGATCACCTCAGCTTTGGTCTCTTCCCTTCTCAGTTCATTCAGCTGTCTTGGATTCTGATCCACCCCCTTTCCTGACTGCTTTTTACCATACAAAAGTTGCAAACCTGAAAAGAAACAGAAGAAGTAAAAGCAGAACAAGAATCGTCTGCAGAGACTGGGAGGTTTTACTCTATCTCCTGCCTTCCCCCAAGCTTACTGGATAGATGTTTTTTGCCTGCACGGTGGGCAGTCAGAATGGCCAAGGTATCCAGCACAGGTCGGTGGGGACAAATGGCACAAGCAAAGCTGGAGAAGAGAACAAAAGACAATCAGTCCCTGGGGAGTGGGGGTGTCTGCTGGAGGTCCCACCAAAGCCCTATTCCCAAGTCTCCCAAACTGCACTTCCCGCAGCTGGGTCCCTCACGGCGCCAAAGAGAAGCGAGCGCGAAAGAGCCGCTCCGGCGCTTCACACACTCCCGGAGACTAACGCCGCGCCCTCGGGACGCACTCCTCGCCCTCACCGTCCATCCCGCAGCATCAGCGCCTCGTCCTCTGGGATATAACTGGCCAGCAGGTCCCCGACTCTTCGTCTCTGCAGGAGTTCAGGGGAGAAGCCCCGAGGGGGTCAACCACACAGATGGGAAACGCCAGGGACAGGGGGCCCAGGGCGGAGGGGGGCCTGCACCCCTCTCCCGGCGCCCGGACCCCGCCGGCCCCGCCCCCGCTGCTGTGGGGCGCACGGCTGCTTCGCGGCGCTCGGGGGGCCGCTCGCGCAGCCCGACGCTGTCCTCTAGCACCTACTTTCAGCACGTTGAGTTGGCTCCAGTCGTCCCCTTCCCTTTTGAAAGACATCCCGACAGAGTCCCGGGAGCCCGAACCCCACGGCGGCGCCGCCCCCACGCCTTCCAGGCCACCGTCGCAAAAGTGGGCGGCCGCGTCATTTCCGGCCGGCCCCACTTCCGGGCCGCGCGGCCCAGCATGCACCGCGCGGCGCCGAGCGCCCTTCGCGGCCGGCGCGGGGACTGCGTGACCTTGCGGGCGCCGCGAGGCGGCGGCGCGGAGCCTCTCGGGAAATGAAGTCCCTTCGCGAAGCGCCTGCCGCCCGGCGGGATCCGGGCCCTCGCAGGTCCCGCCGGAGTGACGATGCCCTCCCCGTGGGGCGCGCGTCCGGCCGAGCGGCGGAGCCGGCGCGGAGCGGGCGCCTGAGCGTGCGGGAGAGCAAGGGCGATCGCCAGCCCGCGCGGGCGCCGCGCGCCTCGCCTCGGCGACCGTCCGCTCGAGCGGGCCCGACTGGCCTCCCCCCCGGAGCGGCGGCCCTGGGCCGGGCGGGGTAGGGCCCCGAGGTCCGGCTGCCCCACGCGGGGCGCCCCGAGCCGCGGCCGCGGGCGCCGAGTGCGGGGTCCGCGGGCCGTGGGCGTCGGGGCGGCCGACGGCTGAGGGGAGCGCGGGCCCCTCACCTGAGCGCCCGGGACGCGGCGCGCGGGCGCGGCCGGGCGGTGGAGGAGCAGCGCGCCGCGGAGGGCGCGTCCTGCCGGGCCCGCGGAGGAGACCCCTCGGGAAGGAGCCCCGGGCCGTGGGCCACCGAGCCCGGCCTCCCGCCGTCGGCGGGCGCGGAGATGGCTTCTCCCTCTCGGCAGCCCCCGCTCGGGGCGTCGGGACTGCTGCGCGGGAGCCGGGCTCGTTCTTACGGGAGCCTCGCGCAGTCGGCCTGCTCCCCGGTGAGGGAACGACGCCTGGAGCACCAGCTGGCGCCCGGAGACACCCTGGCCGGACTGGCGCTCAAGTACGGGGTGACGGTGAGTCTTCCCGGGTTGAGGTGCGGCCGAGCAGCTAGGAGAGGTCCATTCCTCAGGAGAGGGGGGGCTCTGCTAGGAGCTCCCCTGAAATGTCCCTACTAGTGTAGTGACTGATCCCCTTGATCGGTTTGTTTTTCCGTCTCAGCCTTGTCTGCTTGGGACAAACCCTGTTCCGCCCCCGGCGGGGAGGCGCGGCTCCCGCTTCTATGCCAGTCCCGGTGCCAGGGGCTTCACAGCCGGAGCCCCGGGGAGCCCCACACCCCTGTCAAGTGGACAGTTACTGTCATCTTTTTGCAGATGAAGAACCTGAGACCTAGACTGGTTAACCATTTTGATCACGGTCAGATAATCAGTGAGCGTTAGGGTGGGAATTCAAACAGGTGTGAGTCCAAAGCCCATGCTATTAATAACCGTGTGGGGCTTTTTAACCGAGCCGGATTAAACATTCATAGCAAATAACGGAGAATTGGTTTTTAGTTCTAGTTCCTAAAGTGCCTGTCTTGTTCTTTTTTCCTCCTCATTGCTCTACTTTCTTCTTTCCAGTAAGGTGGCCTTTGTGATGCAAAACCTGTGCTCAGCGTGCCAAACATTTCAGGTCATGCATTGGGTATATTTGCTAGGCCTAAAAAAATATTGCATTAAAGTTATGAGTTTCTGGCCCTCCTTGGTGGTGCAAGGGGTTAAGACGCAGCACTGGGAAACTATCCACAGCCACTGAAGCTCGAGTTCCATTCCTGGCCAGGGACCTGACCCACATGGCGCAGCAGACCTCTCCTGTCTCCCCGCTGCTCCCCTCAGCAGTGGATTTCGGTCAATCTGCCTGTTCTGTTCCCCACTCTGTCTCTGGTGGGTCCTCTCACCCCCCCGCACCTCTGGTCTACACCCCAATTCTTGTATGCATAAATAAATAAAAATAAATATTTATTTTAAAAAAACCTTTGAAAAAATAAAGTCATGAGTTTCCCTTCCCCCAATTTTAGCCAACATTTTTATGCTTAGTATGTTTAAAGCACTGTGGTCACCATCTTGGGGGATAGAAACATAAATCAAATGTATAACAGCCGCTTTCCTGTAACTGGTGAGGAATGAACAGGGACACAGGTAATGATTGTTTGTGATAGATGTGGTGAGTGTATAGAGGTATTTTAGCAAAGGTGGGAAGTTAGAAAAGATTAATTTTCACTTGGGTTTGGAGGGAATGTGAGGGGGATGGGCATCAGTGCACATTTTAAGGAGCCATCACAGTGGACCTTGAAAGACTTAAAGCTGCTGCTTTGGTGTCTCTCTACAGCCTGTGTGATCAGGTTATTTATATCTTTGCCTACCCAGTAGCCTCTGCTCTCTCTTTTTTTTTTTTTTTTTTTTTTTGTTTTAAAGATTTATTTATTTATTTATACAAGCACTGGGTACAGTCAGAAGCACAGGAGGGTGAGAGAATTCACCAGAGCCAGAGCGGGGAGCAGAGCAGGCAGAAGGACCGAAGGACACTGCTGAGGGGAGCAGCGGGCGGCAGGAGAGGTCTGCGCACCATGTGGGACCCTCCTCTGGTGGCCGGGGAGCAGCCGGGGATGGAACCGGCACTGCAGAGGCTGCGAGCAGCTTAGCAACCCAGCGCTCAACCGCTGCACCACCGGGGAGGCCCCTCTGCTCTCCTTAAAGGAAGGAACTGTTTCCTTTCAAGTTTGCATCTATAATGTCTAGTGTAGCCTCCAGCACATAGAAGCTTAATCTCTATCATGATTTTTTTTAAAGATTTATTTTTATTTATTTATGCATACAAGAGCTGGGGTGTAGGCCAGAGGTGCGGGGGGAGTGGGGGTGTAGTGGTGAGAGGATTCACCAGAGACAGTGGGGAGCAGAGCAGGCGGATCCACTGAAACACACTGTGGAGGGGAGCAGCGGGGAGACGAGAGGTCTGCTGCGCCATGTGGGTCAGCTCCCTGGCCAAGGATCCAACTGCAGTGGCTGCCAATATCATCATAGCGCTGGGATTTAGCCCCTTATGCCACTAGGGAGACCCCGAGATGTTTTTTGAATGAATGAAACTGGCGAAGATTTCTACACAGGAAGGTTGGGAGTTCAAGCAAGTGAGCGTGTCAGGCAGAGGGCACGGCCTGAACACAGGAAGTGGAAGTGAAAGTGCCCGTGGCCCTCCCTGCCAGCGGGGCCCGGGGGCTGAGCTGCCAGTGGACAGGCTGTTACTGTTGTAGTTTCTTAGAGCGTCGTGCCCTTGTGAGCAGAGACAAGCTGCGCGCTGTAGTGACACAGCGTTCTAGCTTCTGGCCTCGTGCACAGCTCGCTAGACCCTGTTTCCTCGCCACTTGCAGGCTGGGGAAGCTGTAGAAGAGAATGATAATTACCTAGTTTTTACCTGCCTGTCTTTTAAGGAACGTTTAGTATGTGCCAGTCTCTGTGCATGTTGCTTTATTTTTGCAAGACTTTATTAGGAGACCCTGGTTATTTCCATTTTTAAAAAGTGGAAGGGCCTCCCTGGCGGGGCCAGAGGTTAAGACGCGGCACTATGAGCTATCGCAGCCACTGCAGCATGAATTCGATTCCCGGCCAGGGAGCTACCCACATGGCTCAGCAGACCTCTCCTGACTCTCCCTCTGCTCCCTTCAGCAGTGGATTTCAGTCAATCTGCCTGTTCTGCTCCCCATTCTGTCTCTGGTGAATCCTCTCACCCCACACTCTCGCCTGTACCCCAGCTCTTGTATGCATAAATAAATCTTTAAAAAAAAATTAAAAGTGGAATGAAGGCCTCCCTGGTGGTGCAAGGAGTTAAGCGTCAGCACTATGAAGCTATCAGCAGCCACTGCATCAAGAGTTTGTTACCCAGCCAGGGAGCTACCCACATGGTGCAGCAGACCTCTCCTGTCTTGCCCGCTGTTCCCCTCAGCAGTGTATTTCAATAGATCCACCTGTTTTGCTCCCCTCTCTCTCTGGTGAATCCTCTCACCCCCAGCACCTGTATGCATAAATAAATAAATCTTTAAAAAAAAAAAAAGAAAGACAGTTCACAAATGAATTCATAGCGTCTTGGACCTCGATGGGGCCTAGGATGTTGCACAGGAAAAACAGAATTAATAGCATCAAAACATGTGGTGAAGTCAAGGTACAAAACATAAGCCAGTTGTAACCAAATTAATCTGGTTTTCTCTATACAAGTTACAGCATGATATTTTATAAGTCAACTTTATTATAGCAGTCTTGCCTCGGGTGGAGACCGCTTTAATATTTGACAGGGATAAGGAATATGATTTCCCAAATTGGTGCCAGTATGGGACGAGTTTTTAGTAAAGCTGCCTGACTCACCCCGATAATAAAATACTGGTGATATATAGCTGTGGTTCCTAGATTTTATTATCCAGTTTATTTATTTATAAAGCATTCTTGAGCCTCTGCTGTGTGCCAAGTTTGTGTGATGCTGAGGAACGCCTTAAGGACACAGGGACAGCAAGTCACCAATCTGCCCTTCAGCATCAGCGCCTGCGCACGGCAAACACTCAGCGTCCAATGGCAGCATGATAGGGGGAGAGGCTGTAGGGACACTGCCGTGTGCGCTGGGAGGGTTGTGGAGACACTGCCCGTGTGCGCTGGGAGTGGCTGGGGGGACATGGGCCGTGTTCACTGGGAGTGGTTGGGGGGACACGGCCCGTGTGTGCTGGGAGCCCTGAAGAAGGTAGCACAGAGCTGATGAGTAGACGTTTTCCAGGCAGAGCGAGGGAATAATAAAGCTACCAAGGTGTGAAAGAGTAAATGTTCAGGGCCCCCCCGGTGGCGCAGTGGTTGAGCGCCGGGTTGCGAAGTTGCCCGCAGCCTCTGCCGCGCCTGTTCGATCCCCAGCTGCTCCCCGGCCACCGGAGGAGGGTCCCACACGGCGCCCGCTGCTCCCCTCAGCAGTGTACTTCGGGCCTTCTGCCTGCTCTGCTCCCCGCTCTGGCTCTGGTGAATTCTCTCACCCTCCCACGCTTCTGACTGTGCCCAGTGCTTGTATAAATAAATAAATAAATCTTTAAAAAAATATATATATATGTTACAATGTCATGGGCTTATTATTTTTAAATAAATATATATATTTTCAGTTTCAATTGATGATATAGTCAATATTGATAGTTCTAATTTACACAAATAGACACTTCCCTCAATAATTTAAAAAAATGTGAAGTGGCCCTGACCCCAAAATGTATGAAAACCCCTGAAGAGTGAAACAGAATAACAGCAGCCCTTCTCAGCACGCTAGCTTGGCAGCTGCAGGGTTGGGCCAGACTGTTTAAAAGGCATGAAGTACTTATACAGATATAAGACTGTCTTTACTGTCATTAATTGTGACTTTTTTTTAAAGATGGAACAAATTAAGCGTGCAAACCGCCTTTATACTAATGACTCCATCTTCCTGAAGAAAACCCTCTACATCCCCATCCTGACAGAGCCCAGGGACCTCTTCAACGGTTTGGACTCTGAAGAAGAGAGAGATGGAGAGCAAGAGAAACAGCCAAGGAAGGATGAGGCTTGTCCACCCTCAGCCCAGAGGAAGAAGCTGGAGGCAGGTGCGGGACGAGCCGACGGCGAGGCGCCCCCCTCAGCTGGCCAGGAGGCCCGCACGCCTGCCCACGACCTCTCCGCCTCTGATTTCCTTAAGAAGCTTGATTCTCAGATCAGCCTGTCAAAGAAGGCTGCCGCCCAGAAGCTGCAGAGAGGTGACAGTGGGTGAGTCTTGCATGGTTCCTCTGAGACCCCATAGGCCCTTTCATCCTTCCAGCCCTGCCTGGCCACATGCACACGTCAGTCAGCATGATCAGCAGGTGGTTCCTTTCTCCCAAGTGGCTGAGGGACAGAGAGCAGAGCCATGGCCACTGGGCTGGGTGGAGGCAGTGGGAAGGGGTCTGTGTTTTACTTGAGTGAGTTAATTGCCCTTTTTTACTGCTTGCATGATCCATGAAGGAGTATCTGGGTCTGGATTTTTCTAGCAGGTACTGAGACTCCTTAGTGCAGTCAGCTCTAAGGCGAGCTGCACAGGAAGGAGGGCAGCTTCCCGGCGACCCCTTCTCTTGGCCCACTCTCAGGTTCTTCCCTTGATCTGTCTCTCTCCCCACCCCGCCTCCCCTGCAGGGTGCCTGTGGAAGATTCAGGTTCTCACCTGAGCTCTCCTCGGATGCAGCAGCGTGCGGTCCTAGGTCCCGTGCCTCTGACCCGAACCTCTCGGACCCAGACACTTCGGGACCAGGAGGATGAAATCTTCAAACTCTGACGTCTCCAGAGCTGATTGAGAGAAGCAAGATGTTGAAGGAGCAACTTGAGGGGGAGAGGAACCTGAGGTGAGGCTCAGGAACTCAGCCGCCTCCCTCGCTCCTGCCTTCTTACCCGCCTCCTGCCCCTCAAGTTCCTTGGCCTGGGACAATTTCATTGACATGGGGCGTGCTGAGTCTGGAGCAGCAACTTTCACATCCCTGCTGCCTTTCCCCTCCTGGCCTCAGAGCAGGACGACAGGGGCCCTCCAGCTCCCCTCCCTCCCCGGCTCCCTACTATGTTGTCTAATTTATTTGGTGCTATACTGAAGGAATATTTATTTGCTATATCTTACTCTTCTTCATCCTTAGCTGAAAAAGTACATTTTTGTATTGCTGGGGTACGGGGAACCCAGAAAAAGAAAGCCAGTGACTGCTGGTCTCCCTCCTTTTATGGAGGACAGGCAGCCGGCCGTCAGCCTGCTGTAGAGGACGGTCAGCTGTACCAGCCTTCACCCCAGCCGCAGAGTAAAGAATGTGGGCTCTGTCTTGACTGACCGATTCATGCTCACCTTTTTGCAACTCTTACTCTAAGAAAAGACAGCAGTTAGGGGCCGGGACTCTCCGCGCGCCAGTTCACCTTCTAACCTGCCTCCTCTGTTCCGCCTCTGGTGAGGATCAGGGAGGAAGAACAACCTGGAGTCTGAAGTCTGAAGAAAAAGACAACGTGGGGGTCTCTTTGCTATGCCCCCCGGTCCCCAGCCTCTCTGTCTGGCCTGGCTCCACGCTGTGTATTGATGTGTGGCTGCAGCACTGCTCTGCACTACAAGGGTTTGAGTTTCGTGAACAAAAGTAGGCAAGGGAGCCCAGAGGGCCTGGGTCCCGTGTGGAGGTGGCGGGGGGGTGATCTGAGTGGTTTCACGTACCGCCTCCCTCTGGTGACACGAGGTGGGTGAAGCTGGGACATTAAACATGGAGCCCTGTGCATGTTTTAGTTGTTTTATTTTCCCTGTAATAATCTCCCTGCATTCTGGAGTGCAGGCTCTGCCTGGAACTGGCGGTCTAGGATGTCTCTAAGGAACCCCTCACCCCCCTCTGTCTTTAGTGTCCCCAGAAGGGTTAGTGGGCTCTGCTCTCCTCCCCTGGCTCATAGGGGAGGGGGCTTCCCTGTTTCAAATGTCCCTCGTGGGGGAGATAGAGATCCAGGTTTCACTTCATCTTTTTCAGGCCGCTTTGTTTCCTGTCCCGGGGCCGGAATGGGAGAGAGGCCTCAGCCCTCAGCCCTGCTTCTTCTCCACCGGCAGTTTGGGGGTGGGGTGGCCTTGGAGTCTCGAGCACTCTGGGGGAAGGCTGAAGCCCGAGGACTGAAGCGCGTTAGTGCAGGTGAGCAGGGTTAGAAAGGCCGTTGTGTTTTCTGGGCAGCCGTCTTGCCGAGGTGCAGGGCGCTGTTTCGGGCGCTCAGAGCTTCCCCTCGTCCAGCAGCTTCCTGAGCCCGTCACAGATCTTGCCGCGGTGCTGAGAGAAGTCGGGCCCGTAGAGGGCAGCGAGCAGGCCGGGGTCAGAGAAGTGGTCGAACACGTGGCGGATGCGGCCGTGGGACTTGGGCGTGAGGTGGTGCTCCACCAGCTCCAGCAGCGTGTCCCGGCACTCGGTCAGCAGGCTGGCCAGCACGGCTGCCTCGAAGGTGAAGTCCACCTCGCCAAAGCTGAGCGCTGTCATGGCGCCCTGCCGCAGCTTCTGGCGGAAGCGGGCAGCCAGGGCCAGCTCGCTGGGCCCGAAGCAGCCGCTGCGGTGCAGCACGGCCACCTTGATGGCCACCTTGATCAGGTCCTTGATGACCCGCTGCGCCTGGGGCCGGCTGTGCGTGTACTCCTTGGACACCCTGTAGAGCTCGTCCAGCACCTCACTGCTGGTCTCATCGATGAAGAGATGAGCCACGGACCGACCTGCCATCTTGCTCAGTAGCTTCTTCTCCGCCTGCAGGGCCAGATTCTTTGAGCTGAAGGACTCCATGGTTCCTGGGGTGGGAGGGGGTAGGAAGAATGTGGTCAGTCGCCGGAAGAACAGCCACAGACCTCCTCAGAGAGAAATGGCTTTCCCCCTTTCTCCTGGGGTTTCCGACTCGTCTCATCTCTCCCTCGGCCCCCTCAGTCCGCTCCGCCTTGTTCGTGTTTTCCCTTTAGTGCTGTCGGAAATAACTTCTGCTCAGCCCAGAGGAGTGACAGCTTTGGGTCGGGATGAGGGCCCCTAGGAGGCTAGGCCCAGGTTAAGTCCTCAGGGAAGTAGGCTCTGCCAGCCTGGCACAGGGTGCCCCAGCTGCCATCTCTGGCCTCTGGCTTTGCCCAACACGCTACCGGGTGGGGGTATCGCCGTCCTATAGCCGAACAGACTGAGGCCTACGTTAAAGAGTTTACCCAACATCAAACGTGCTGTTCCCTCCATTCCAGGAGCCCGTGCCGCTAGCGTGCTGTGCCCACCTTGAGACAGAAATACAAGGGGCCCAGGAGTCTGACGTTTATCGAGAACCTACTATGTGCTGAGAGCTTGATGTGAACTAGCTCAGTCTCCCCTACTCGGTATCCCCACTTTGCGATGAGAAAGCCTGAAGCTAAGAAAAATTAAGCAAGTTGGCCAAAGTCACTGGCAAATGATTGAAATGGGCTTTGAACAAAATAAGCCAAAGCAGCCTCCTTCCCCACAGTGTCCTCCGCGCAGGTGTCGAACACGCGTAGGAGGAGGGGAACGGGCACCTCCAGGGGCCGGCGGCGCGGGAGATCTCGGGTCTTCTGCGGGGGGAAACCGAGGACCCCTGCGGACACGTGGGCTGCCAAGGTGCCCACGGCACACTCCGCATGGTCCTGGCCTGTGGTTCGGGTTGTTTTGCTTCTTACTTCCCCTCCCCAGGATGTGGCTGCGACCGCAGTGAGGAGCAGCCTCGCCCTCACCCCCAACCCAAGTGGGAGTCTGACAAGCCCAGAGTGGGTGACTGGGGGGGTTTCTTTTCCTGCACAGCTCAATCAGGCCAGTGGGAAACTGGAGGCTTCTCAACTGCTCTGCCCTGCCTCTGCCTGGGGCTTTCTGGACCAGCTCAGCGCCGGAAGGAGAGATTGCTCCATGTGAGCCTTCCTTCCTCCTAGGGCTTCCTGTTACCCAGCTCTCATTGCCCCCCGCACTCCGCACCCCGTGCACTGTCCCCCCTCCCCCTGCTTCCATCTCCCTTTTCTCTGGTCTGGGTCCCGCCGTGACCCCCTGGCCGGGCGGTCCCTCCGGCCCTTGCTTTGCCTCCTTGTCTCCCAGATTTCCTGACATCTCTCGGTTCTCGGTCACGCCCCCCGCCGCCCCATCCCCAGCCCTGCCCGCACCCCAAACCAAGCCTACCCCAGGCAGCTCAGCGCCCAGGGCAAGTGCGCTGGGCCGGACCTCGCCTCTGGGGACCCCGGGGCCGCTGCAAGGAGGGTCTGGCACATGCACAGCCAGGCCCGAGCCAGGCTGCTGCTGCCACCGTCGCCCCGAGGCCGCCCTGTCGCCGCGCCTCACCTGCCGCGGCGGGGGGTGCCGGTCTCCTCGGGTGTCCCAGCCTCGCCTGGGGTGTCGGGGCGCTGACAGAATGGAGAAGCTCCCGCGAGCGCCCCTCGGCTGGCCCCGCCCCGGCCCGCCCCGGCCCGCCCCGCGGCCGCGAGCCCCCAGGGAGGCGGAACCCGTGAGGGCGCGGAAGCCGCGGGGCGCAGGGCGCCCCGACACCCGCTCTGGCGCCCCGCGCCTTTCCTGCCGCCCGGCCTGAGGGCTGCTCTGCTTTCTCTCTGGAAGGACGTCGGGGCCGCGGGCGCGGGCCGGCTCCGAAGCCGGCGGGCGGGCGGGCGGGGGCCGCGTCGGGGCGCCCGGGCCGGGGCCGGGGCCGGCGCGCACCTGACCCCGCGGCGCGGCCGGCAGGGGGCGGCCCCGCGCCGGCTGCGGACGCCCGTTCCCGGCGGAACCTTCCAGGCCGGCGGGCGCGCGGGACCCGAGCCGGCGACGACGCCGCGAGGCCCGCGGGCGGTCGCTGCCGCGGCGCTCGAGGCGGGGGAGGGCCGCTCGGGCGGCCCAGGGCCCGGCCGCCGGGGACACGCGGCCGGGACGAGCCTCGACGAGCGGGGCGCGGCCGCGAGCAGAGACGGCGGGGCCCCGCGGGCCCGGCAGAGCGGCCGAGGGAGCCCCCGGGCCTGGCCGGTCGCGGGCAGCGGGGCGCCCACAGGCCCAGGTCGCGCACCTGCCGGGGGGCGGCGGCGAGGCGCGGCCTGCGCAAGTGGTGCCCGAGGAGGGGGCGCCCCTGCAGGGCCGGATCCGCTTGCAGACGCACAGGAGAGCCCGGGAGGGCCCCGAGGGCCTGGTCGCCTTCGAAGAAGGTTCTAGGCTTGCGGGACTGGACAGGCGCCGCGGCGGAGGGCGGAGAGGAGGCTGGGGAGCGGCCGCCCACTGCTGGCCCCGGCCCACTGCCCTTCCTGGGGAACAGTGGCCGGCGCTTGGCTTCCTTCGGCTCCCGTCTGCCTCTCGCCGGGTGCAGAGCTGAGGGTGTCAGCTCCTTCTGGGAGCCTGGTGCAGGGCTGGGAATGGAAGGGCTGAGGGGATGGAGACCCGCCGCCTTGAGGGGTGGGCTGGCAGAGGGGCATTGAGCTTGGAGCCTGAGGACCCCCTGGAGGCCGGGAGGGGGCTTGGGAAGGAGCTCCGAGGGGAGCCTCAGGGACGCCCTGGCATTTGCTGAACGTGCCCTGTGCAGCCAGGTGAGGTCTCAGGCCTCCCCGCCTTCAGGAGTTAAATGCCATCGTGTCCTTTCTGCTGATGGATTCGACTGAAGGTAAAGGAGGCTAAACAGCGACTCCCCAGATTAGCTAGTAGGTGGCAGGCTGAGGACCTTACGTGACCCCCGAGCCTCTGCTTTCTCCCATAGTCACCTCATAAGATTACGAGGCCCCGACTTCAGTCTCATGACGAGCGCGGGCCTGCTCCCGTGTGCCCGTCACATGTCTCACACTCGGGGCACCAGCAGACGGTTCTGCCGGATCACAGCACGTCGGTGCCCCCGTAGGAAGTGCACCGCTGAGTCGGAAAATACAGAGAGTGGAAACTCAGGAAGACACAGCTATGGTAACTCGCTCTGCATCCAGAATGCTGCTGTGCGCCTCCCCCGCGGCGGCGAGCCTGGCCTGCTCGTTCCTCCCACTCCCAGGGTGCTCTCCCTGTCCGTCCGCTCCTCCTGTCCTGGCTCTGGACTTTCCCGCTTCCTGTCCCTCTGCCTAGACTCTCTCCCTGGGCCCCCCCCCCACCACTTCTGCTCACTCTTCAGCTCTCAGCCGAGGGTCCAATCTTCTGCGAAACCCCCCAACCCCTGAAGGTGGAGAGGAGGGGCTCAGAGGCCTTGATGAGGATGAGCTCAGTGGGCCCCGCAGGGACTGGGGACGGAGACTCAGAGGTCACAGAAGAGAATGAAAGGAGGGGAACGTGGGTACAGCAAGGAGAGGTGACCCCATATGTTTCACTGAAGGGAAGAGAGGGACTGAGTGATGCTCAATTCAGACAAGGACCAAAGGAGAGTCTAGAATTTTGTCTTAATCATGGGAGATACGCAAGCGTGTACATATGCTGGGGGGAGGGGGGTTTGCTGGAAAAGGGATAATTAAAAATTATAGATAGGGGGCCTCCCCGGTGGCGCAGTGGTTGAGCGCTGGGTTGCGAAGCTGCCCGCAGCCTCTGCAGCGCCGGTTCGATCCCCGGCTGCTCCCCGGACACCGGAGGAGGGTCCCACATGGCGCGCAGACCTCTCCTGCCGCCCGCTGCTCCCCTCAGCAGTGTGCTTCGGTCCTTCTGCCTGCTCTGCTCCCCGCTCTGGCTCTGGTGAATTCTCTCACCCTCCCGCGCTTCTGACTGTACCTGGTGCTTGTATAAATAATAAATAAATATTTTTTAAAAAACTTAAAAAATAAATAAAATTTAAAAATAAATAAATAAAAATTATACAGAGGGCCTCCCTGGTGACACAAGGGCTTAAGTTGCAGCAGTATGAAGCAATCCACAGCCACTGCGGCACACGAGTTTGGTCCCTAGCCAGGGCGCTGACCCACACAGCGCAGCAGACCTCTCCTGTCTCCCCGCTGCTCCCCTCAGCAGTGGATTTCAGTAGATCCACCTGCTCTGCTCCACACTCTGTCTCTGGTGGAGCATAAATAAAATAAAAAAATCTTTAATTTATAAATAAAACAAATTTTTAAAGAGAAAGGGCTTAGAGATAGGGCTTGAAGCCCCAATAGGAGATAAAGACTTACTCCACCCGTGTGTTGTTATTTAGCACCCTCTGTGCTTGGGTCCTCAGCTAAATGCAGAGGCTTCGGGGTGAGCAAGAGAGGCAGCGGGGCCATGCCCCAATCAGCCGCCAGTGAGGTGGACCTCACCCTGGATGCCTGGGCTCGGGGGAATACAGCGAAGTGCATCTGCAAAGAGTAAAAAGTTAGTAGGATTCTTACCTTATTATGTGGGTTCTTCTAAGTGCAACCTAGTGTGGGGATTCTGAATTTATTAAAGGTGCTAATCTGTGGCATTTTTTTCTGGAAAACCCCTGGGCAGTAGGAACAGACTATTTTGGATTTGTCCTTGGAGATAGCTCTCAGGGTCACCCATTTCATCCTGTCCCCAGCACCACTGTGTCTCACTCACCCTTGAACTGCCCTGTTCTCTTGCTAGTGTGTCTCCTTGTCTTGTTGCTAAAATAAAGCATTTGACAGGTGACACCCTTAACAAGAACTTAAAATGACATCCTATTTCTATCAGATTATTTTTACCTGGCCTTCCTGGTAGCACAGGGGTTAAAGCCTCATGCTATCAAGCTATCAGCAGCCACTGCAGCACAAGTTCGATCCCCAGCCAGGGAGCTACCCACATGGCACAGCAGACCTCGCCTGTCTCCCTGCTGCTCCCCTCAGCAGTGGATTTCAGTCAATCTGCCTGTTCTGCTCCCCGCTCTGTCTCTGGTGAATCCTCTCACCCCACACCTCTGGCCTGCACCCCAGTTCTTGTATGCATAAATAAAATATTTAAAAAAAAAAAAAAGAAAAGAAAAAAGAGCATGTATTTGAGTACCTGAGACCCTGCTAAATAGGAGCTTGTGAAATTTCTTTCCGTTTGAGTGACTCTATGTTTGTTTTTTTTTTAAAGATTTATTTATGCATACAAGAACTGGGGTACAGGCCAGAAGTGTCAGGGTGGGGGGTGAGAGGATCCACCAGAGACAGAGTGGGGAACAGAACAGGCGAATCTACTGAAATCCACTGCTGAGGGGAGCAGCGGGCGAGTCAGGAGAGGTCTGCTGTGCCATGTGGGTTGCTCCCTGCCTGGGGATTGAACTTGTGCTTGCAGTGACTGCAGATGGCTTCATAGGTTATGTCTCAACCCCTTGCACCACCAGGGAGGCCCGTGCCTCTATATTTTGATGTGTCTTTCTCCCAAACCCTCTTTGCAACATCTAAAACAGACCCAACTATCCACTGATTCATCTTAGACTTAACACCTTCAGCAGTTAACCTTTCTTTTAAATTAAAAAAAATTTAAGATTTTATTTATTTATACAAGAACTGGGGTACAGGCCAGAAGTGCAGGAGGATGAGAGAATTCACCAGAGACAGAGCAGGGAGCAGAACAGGCAGATGGACCGAAGACACTGCTGAGGGGAGCAGCGGGCGAGATAGGAGAGGTCTGCCTCGCCATGTGGGAATCTCCCTGGCCAGCCGGGAATCGAACCACACTGCAGAGGCCATGGACAGCCTCACAGCGTGGTGCTCAACCCGCTGCGCCACCGGGGAGGCCCCAGTTAACATTTTATAAGTATTTTTCCTGATTCTGTTTATCTCACCGGATCACAAGGTCTCTCCTGTGTGTGTGTGTGTCTGTTGCTCACTGTGGCCCAGTCAATGATACAACCCACCCTGATCTCAGTCCTTTAAGGACTGCAAAGAAGTGGCAAACCCCTGCCCCTCCGTTCTCTAGTCCAGAGTCCAGGATGTGTGAGGAGGGGGTTGCCCACTCAGATAAAACTGTCCAAGAATGCCAGTGTCTCCCAGGCCACCCACTATCCCAGGAATTTTGAGAAGGTCTTTGTCCCAGCCCCACGCGAGGAAGCACGCTGGCAGGCAATGCCAAGGTGGGAGCTGACAGTGCCTCTGAAGCAGACTCGTTCCTCCTCCCCACTGACATCCCCAAGTCAGAGAGGGTCTCTAGGGGGGTGGAGGAGCCACTGGAGGGGGTCCAGGGCTCTGCAGGAAGATGGGGCATCATTGGTCCTCTGTCTGCGGGCTGGAGAGGCCGCGCGGGGCGGGCCAGCTGGTCACTCTCCCTCCCTCCTGGGTCTCCCTGCGGCCCCGCCGTCCAGGAGTCTCTGGTCTTGTGCCCCCGCCGGGTCTCTGGACTTGAGCCCACTCACCTGTCCTCTGCGTCGGCCTGACAGCCGGCCGCCCGGCTTCTCATCCCTGGCCTAGAGCTCCAGACCCGTCCTGCCCGGCCGGCGGGGCGGGCAGGGGGGGGTGGCGGGGCAGAGGCGGGCGTTTGGGGGACATCTGCCCGTTCCGGGCCTCAAGCCCTCCGAGCACGCTAGGCCTCATCGCTCGGGGTCGGGGGAGGCAGAGAGACCACGGGGGAGACGCGCGGCTGCAGCGGGGGGCGGGGCGCGGGGCGCCGCGGGGAGGCCGCGCGGGGCGGAGGGTCGCCGCAGCCCCCGGGGGAGCCGGCAGGGCGGTCACGCCGGCCCCGGGAGCCCAGCCCGGCCCCAGCGCTGGCCCGTGCGCCCGGCGGCCCTCCCCTCCCCCTGAGCGCTCGCCCGGGGCCTCCCCGCCGCGGCGAGGGCGCCTCGGGGCCGGGGGCCGGGACCGCTCGCGGCTCCCCCGGCGGCGCGCGGGTCCGGCTCCCGCTCGCCCTCCCGGGCAGCGCTCGCGGTGGGCGGGGCCCCGGCGCCCCGCCCCCGCGGCGCTATTGGCGGAGCGGCGTCCGGAAGGCGGGGCCTCGCCGGGCCGCGCGCGCGCATTGGCCGCCGCGGCCCGGGCGGGCGGGGGCGGGGCCGGCGGCGGCGGGCGGGGCGCTGGGCCGGGCCCCGGGCTCCGGGCGGTCGCATTGTTTTCCTGCCCGAGCCGCGGCGGGAGCGACCGCGGCGGGGACCCGGCTGCGCCCCGACAGCGCCGGGACCGGACCCGGCGCCGGCCCCTCCCTTCGCTCCCCGCGTCCCGCCCGCGCCCCACCACGGACGGCGAACTCGGCGGGTGCGGGGCCGCCCCCCGCCCGCCGCCGCCGCGGTCTCGCCGGCCCGACCCGGAGCAAGTACCCGCGGGGGTCGGGCGGGGGGGGGGGGCGGGGGCGGGCCCGGGCGCCGCGGCGGGCGGGCTCGGGGGCCCGCGAGGGTGCGGGCGCCGCGCGCCCCGCTGCGGGGGGTCGGGAGTTGGGGTGCGCGGAGGGCGGGGGCCCGGCCGACCTCGCCGCGCGCTGGGGCGCAGGGTCAGGCGCCTCCTCCGACCCGGCCTCCCCGAGTCGCGCTCCCTGGGCTGGGGAGCGCGAGGGGGGCTGGACGCGCGCGCCCCGCGGGGCGTGCAGCCGGGCCCCCCGCCCCCAGCAGGGAGCTGAGGCCCGAGCCCGGGGGGACCGGCTCCCCGATGCCCTGCGGAGCGGGAAGGGGTCGCGTCCCCCGCACTTCGGCGTCGCGGCGGCACCTCTGTCCTTGCGGCGGGGCCCGGGCGCCTCCCGGGAGGCCGGGGCACCGGCCGGGGCGTGGGGCCCTCGAGAAGCAGCGTCCCAGCGCCCCTCCATCCCCTGCACCCCGCTCGCCCCGGGGCTTTGTTCCGCCGAGGTCTCCCGGGGAGAGCCGAGCTGGCGCTGCCCCGCGCGCCCCGGACCCCAGGCCCGCCCTCCTCGCCCCGCGTCGCCGGCCCAGATGCCCGGCCCGGGAGACCCGCCCGCGCGCCCAGCCCCGGCCCCGGCCCCGGCCCCGCGCCTGCAGCCCTCCAGCCCCTCCTCCCGCTAACGTGGCTCTGGGACCCGGTCCCGGCCCAGACTCTGCTACCCGCCCCTCTCGGAGGGATCCAGTGAGGGGGAGACACGTCGAGCTCCGGCCCGGGCCCACCTCCAGGAGGCTCCGGACACCTGGCCTCCCCGCCGGGGGCGGGGGCGGCGCGGGCCGGGGGCGTCCGCGGAAGGAGCCCGCCCGTCCCGCGAGGGTCCTGGGCGCGCCGGCCCCCCCGGAGGAAGGTGGACTGGGGCGGGCGGCCAGCCCGAGGGCTTCCTGCCATTGTCCCCAGCCCGGTCTCCCCTTCTCCATCCCTCCCAGCCCCCACAGACTCTGGCTGTGACCCCGGCCACTCCCCAGAGGTGGCTGCCGAGCCGGGAGCGGAGAAGGGCCCCTTCCTCGGCCCAGCAAGGGGAGGGGGCGGGCGCCGCTCAGGCCTCCCGCGGACTTCAGATGGGGGTACGGGCCGCTGGGCTTGGTCCCGGCCGGGTGAGCCTCGTCTCAGGCCCGCGGTGGGATGGGGGCGCTCCCCAAAACTGCCACGGGAAGCCCTCTTAAAGCTGTGCCAGAGTGAAGTCTAGGGGGCCAAGGCAAAGGCCAACCGAGTGTTTTCCGAGGCTGGACTAATCCGGCCCGAGGTGGGGGCGGGGTGGGAGGAGGCCGGGCCTGCGCCCGCCGGGAAGGAGGGGCTGGGGGTGCTGCTATCAGAGCATTTTGCCTCGAAATGAAGAGCATGTAAATGAGATGCAAATTAGTCTCCATTGTCCCCAGCTAGGGCGCTTCTGCTGAGAAGGCGGCTGGATTCTGAGGGTTTTGCCATGGGAGTGGTCGGCATGCCCCCCAAAATCTCCGGGTCACCCTTTTCCCCAAGACGGGTCCAGCAGTTCTAGGAGTTTCTGGCTGGGCCAGCCCCAGCCTCTTGCCGTCATGCCTCTGGGCTGGAATCACCAGCACCTTTGTCTCCAAGTTCAGTATCAGCCCCCCAGGTACCCCACGCCCCCCAACCTCTCCCAGGCAGCGTCTCCACTGCCCTAGCCTCTGCAGACCTTGCCGCGTGCCCCTCAGTCTCTTTCCTCCTTCTGTCCCTTCATCAGGTCAGAGGTCACCTGTCCCCCTCCAGCCCTTACGGGAGTCGCCACCCCAGGTAAGGGAAGGGCCGGAGCCCCTGGGGGGCCGGGTGGAGGCGACCTTGGCTGGGAGCAGGAGGAGGGTCTGGCTGCTCTCCCCACTTGCCAGGACCAAAGTTGTTTCCTGGGTGAAGATACCAGTTGCCCTGGGCAACTTGGGGGGGGGCAGGAGGGGGAGGATGAGAGACAAGCTGTGTCCCTTTCTCTTCCCTCCGGGAGCATCAGCACCCGGAAACGTGGTGGGGGAGGGGGGCTTGGCCTGGCGGCACCGGAGGGTGTTAGCTGGCTGCCTGCGCCCCTGGGGAGGGGGTCATCATTAGGTGTTCTCCCTCCCCCCTCCTCCAGCTCTCTTGGGACCCCATCTGACGTCAGCCTTCCCACCAGTGACGCCGGGCGGGGGGTGGGGTGCTTGGGTCCTGGCTCCCAGAGTGGAATTGCTGGGGAGATGGACCTGCTAGGCCTTCTTTAGGGGACATGGCGCTTGGGCAGCGAGGGCTGGGGAGGGAGCGCGTCTCGCGCTTCCTGACCTGATTTCCGGGCCTGCCTGGCCCCTCACTTCAATTTCGGGAGAAGGCAGGAAGCCCGTGCACACCTCCCACCGCGCCCCCTGCCCCCCCTGTCTGCCTTCCAGCATGCCCATCTTTTCCTGGACTTGGGGCCACAACTGCCTGCCCATCTTTGAATTATTTATATTTCCATTTTGAGGCAGCCCGAAGAGAGGAGGCAGGGCAAGGGGTGCGCTCAGCTGCACCCCAGCCAGGCCTGGTCCTGGGGCCTGGGCCTGGTCCCCGGGTCTGCTCTCGCCAGCAGGCGCAGGCGGGGGCTCTGGGCGGCGGGAACAGGGCTGGAGCGCCTGGGAGGGGGCACAGTGGTCGGGCAGACAGCTGCAGTTAGAGCTAAATTTAGCCTCTGATCTGGCTTTGATGCGGATTCGTTTTTTGCTAAGATAGCCCCTCACCCCCAGCTTCTCTCTGCCAGGGCCCCTGAAGTGGAACTCAGAGCAGGACCCCCCCCCCCAGGCTCTCCTTCCTTGGCCGGGGGTGGCCGGGGGCGGGGGGTGGTGGCCACCTTGCCGCTGCCCGGGTCTGGGCACGGGCCTGCCTGCGCCCCGGAGCCCGGGGTCTGGGGGGGAGGGGGCCGACGCAGTGCCCTCTTCCTCCTCCTGGTGCCAAGGAGTCACTATTTATAATTTTAAGGCTTCAGCGTCTAATTATAGCTGAGAAGGGGTTAGCAAGAGGGGGGCCAGGAGGTGTCACCTACCGAATGTCCCAGACCCAGCCGGGAGGGGAGAGGCCGAGCGTGAAGCCTGGGGTGGGGGAGCGGGTGTGTCCTGTCCTCACCTGGGGTCACACCGGCAGGCCTCTTACCAGCCAGTTTGGACCAGTTGCGGCGGGAAGGGCCCCGAGTGACAGTGACAGCTGGCAGGGCCGGAGGCAGTGCCAGAGAGAGGGTTCTTCTCCCCACTCCACAGGGTCTTCTGGGGATAGAACAGGGCGGAGCCCGCCTGCGTGGGGTGGGGGCCGTTGCTCCTTTCCCCCACTTTTCTGTCTCTGCTTTCAGGGCCAGCATATGGGTGAGGGGGCACCCCCTGGGGCCTGAGCTGCCCCGCACAGGATGCCCCGTGCCCCCCACTTCATGCCCTTGCTGCTGCTGCTTCTGCTGCTCTCACTTCCCCATTCCCAGGCCGCCTTTCCTCAGGACCCCCTTCCTCTGCTGACCTCCGACCTGCAAGGTGAGTGCCCCCCCCGCCCCCCTGCGCTGTGCCTCCGTGCCTGCGCTGTCTCCAGACCTGAGGCGCAGCCCTACGTGGGAGACCAGGTGCGGGAAGGCCCTCAGCCTCTGGCCCGGCCAGCAAGGGGCCCAGAGAGGTGGAGCGTGCGGGTCCCTCGGGCCGGTCGCCCTCCCCGGCCGCCTCCTTCACTCAGGCAACCTCGTTTGTGCTGAAGAGCGGAGCGTGTGCAGCCGGGCCAACCTTAGCAAGTCGGGCCCTGCCGAGCCGCTCCCAGCTCAGGGGCTGCCGTCAGGTGCCTTAACTTTTCTTTGCCTCAGTCTCCTCTTCTGCAAATGTAGACCACAGCCTGCCCACCTGGTAGAGCTATTTAGGGTAAAGCGAGGTAACGCGCGTCAATGGCCGGGAACAATGTCCGTGCTGGCTCCGTTCCAGCTGCCCACGAGGGCGTGGCACCCAGCGCAGTGCCACTGCTGACCCTGGTACCAAGCAGAGGCCCAGAAACCCGCTACCTCTGAGGAGAACCTTTCTCTGGTTCCTGTTCTGTGTAGGACTTGGAGTTCGGCTCAGGGTGAGGGAGGCGTCGCTGGGTTACTGGGGAGACTGGGGGAGAATCGCAAACGGGCGCCAGACGCAGTCTATGCGCCTTGCCAGTGTCCACTTACCCTAAACCCAGGGCTTCCTTGAGTGCAGCTGACCGTGGCTTCTGTGCTTGGGCCTGGGGGACGCTGAGCTGGTCAGAGGAGGCGGAGGCCTGGGGGCTCAGGTGAAGAGGCTTGTGGGGGTGCCAAGAGAGGGGGTGACTGAATGCTGCAGAAGGGACGGGGTGTGCTTGGCAGCGACAGGAAATCGCTGGCTCGGCGGCGACTCCAAGGCCGGATGCGGCTGGGCTCTGGAGTCAGACGGCGCGGATCTGAGTGCAGGTACCTGCCGCTGAATGCGCTGAATGAGCTCTGCAGATTCCTTCATGGCCCCAAGCCTCAGCCTCGTGGCCTATCGATGGGGCCGCTGTTAGTCCTCACCTCCCGGGCCGTATTAGCCGAGAGGATGCAGCTCGATGCTGACGCAGCGCTTGGCAGCGGGGAAGGGCTGGGGTTAGCTGATCATTTCTTTCATAACCAGCCTCACGACCAGCTTGACTGGTACCCACAGCTCAGCTCACGTCCGGCTGAGCGCGGCTGCTTCCCGCGGCTGGAGGGGCGTGGGGTGTGGTGTCCTGCTGGCCCTCAGCGCCCGCCGCCTTGCTCTAGGTACTTCCCCATCATCCTGGTTCCGTGGCCTGGAGGACGATACTGGGGTGGCAGAGCTTGGGCTGGACTTTCAGAGATTCCTGACCTTGAACCAGACCTTGCTGGTGGCTGCCCGGTAAGCTGGCCGCGGCACAGCGTGGGCCGACCTGCACGCTCCTGGGCCGCCTGGATGCCTGCATGGCCCCTGCAGCGTCTTGCAGGGGACACGGGCAGGTGTGCGAGCCACAGCCCAGAGCGCAGGGGCCCAGGTGTGGCTGGGGGAGGGGCGGGGCTGCACTGTTGGGCCCCCCCGGGGCTCAGCTCTCATCCCTCCTACCCTCCCGTCAGGGACCACGTCTTCTCCTTCGATCTCCAAGCCCAAGAAGAAGGGGAGGGGCTGGTGCCCAACAAGGTGAGGGCCCTGTGGGGAGGGCAGGCTGGCCGGGGTGGGAGCCGGTTAGCAGGGGTGGAGCGGGCGGGAAGGTGAAGCCTCGAGGAGTCATGAGGAGTCATGAGGTGAGGCGGGGCGCGGCCCCTGACCCCCGTCTTCCCCTTCTCTCCAGTACCTGACATGGCGGAGCCAGGATGTGGAGAACTGCGCCGTGCGGGGGAAGCTGACGGTGAGGAGCAGGGTCGCCCGCCCCGGCTGCCCACACGGGCCCCTTCTGCACCCCATTCCCACCCCCTTCTCCCAGGCCAGGCCACAGAGGAAAGCACAAAGGGGAGAGAATCGCGGTTTCCGGCTTCCTCCGGTGCCTCGTGAAGGGCAGGCCCGGCTCCGGGAGGCCAGAGGCCTGTCCAGGCGCTGGGGCCTCCCCCCGGGGCCGACGGCCACGGGAGCGGCCCTGCAGCCAGAGCGGGTCCTGACGCAGCCGCCTCCCCGCAGGACGAGTGCCACAACTATATCCGCGTCCTCGTTCCCTGGGACTCCCAGACGCTGCTCGCCTGTGGGACAAACTCCTTCAGCCCCGTGTGCCGCAGCTATGGGGTACAAAGGCGGAGGGGCCTGGCCAGATCAGCGGGGCGGCTGGTTTGCTGGGGAGGGATCCATGGGGTGGGGGACCGCCCAGAGTGCAGGGGTCCAGAGGGGTGGGGCGGGGGGCACAGGGACCTGAGGGGGTCCTTGGGGCAGGACTGCAGCACCCGAGAGTTCTGAGCACCTGTTCCCTCTGCCTCCAGATCACTTCGCTGCAGCAGGAGGGGGAGGAGCTGAGTGGGCAGGCTCGATGCCCCTTTGATGCCACCCAGTCCAACGTGGCTGTCTTCGCAGGTGTGCACCGGGGCCTGTGACTGGAGGAAGCGCCCACCTTGGCTCCTCTCCCCATGGGTCTTCCCCAGGGCTCCCCAGTGGAGGGTTGAGGCGGGAGCCGGGTGGGGCCTGGGTAGAGGCGTAGGAGGCCCCCAGAGCCAGGGCATGTCCCCAGAGCCCGGCCTCCCACCCCTCCAGAGGGCAGCCTGTACTCGGCCACCGCCGCAGACTTCCAGGCCAGCGACGCTGTGGTTTACAGGAGCCTCGGGCCACAGCCTCCACTCCGCTCCGCCAAGTACGACTCCAAGTGGCTCCGAGGTCAGGGCGGGCCTGGGGGACCGGTCTTGGGGAGGGGGTGCGGGGCGGCCATGGAGGGAGCAGGGGACGGGGTGGAGTGGGCAGGACGCCAGGAGCGCCTGAGCAGGAGCAGGTGCTTTTCACGCCCCTTCTCATCGCCCCCCAGAGCCGCACTTTGTCCACGCCCTGGAGCATGGGGACCACGTCTACTTCTTCTTCCGCGAGGTCTCTGTGGAGGACGTCCGGCTGGGGAGGGTAAGGCGGCGGGCACGGGGGCCAGTGGGGATCAAGGGAGAGCTCCTGACCCGACCTCAACAGCCCCCTGGACTCCAAGCCCCCCAGCCTTGTGCGCCCCGGCCCCACGGTGCCCTCATCCTCAATCCCGAGGACCAACCGCCCACACCTGGCCTTGAGCTCCGACCGTGTCTCTCCTGCTGCCCCGACTCACCGCCTCACCGCCTTCCTCTCCCGCTGCCCCCGCTCCGTCCCCGCCGCCCAGGTGCAGTTCTCGCGGGTGGCCCGAGTGTGTAAGCGCGACATGGGCGGCTCCCCGCGGGCCCTGGACCGCCACTGGACATCCTTCCTGAAGCTGCGGCTCAACTGCTCCGTCCCCGGGGACTCCACCTTCTACTTCGACGTCTTGCAGGCCTTGACCGGGCCTGCGAACTTGCATGGCCACGCTGCTCTCTTCGGGGTCTTCACCACCCAGACCAACAGGTTGGTGCCGGCCTGAGCAGAGTGGCTGCCTGTCCCTGGCGGCCCAGTGCCCGAGCCCCTGGTGGCCCACGGGGTGCTGAGGGGAAGCGCCGCTCAAAACCCGCCTGCTGCCCTGCCATCTTTTTTCTCCTGCCCGCCCTCTCAGGCTGTGCCCACTATGGTGCCTGAAGGGCAGCTGCCAGGTCTCCGGAGGGGCTGGGCTGTCCCTCTGACACTAGCCGCACCCTTTTCTGGCTCCCTCAGCATCCCCGGCTCTGCAGTCTGCGCCTTCTACCTGGATGATGTTGAGCGCGGGTTTGAGGGCAAGTTCAAGGAGCAGAGGAGTGTGGATGGGGCCTGGACCCCGGTGTCCGAGGACAGGGTCCCCTCCCCCAGGTACAAGATGGGGGTGGCTTTTGTGGGGGCAGAAGCAGGCAGTATCCGCTCCCCAGATGGGGTTATGAGCAGGGAGTACGGTGCCCGAGGCCTGGAGGGGCTGGAGCGGGACTCCGCGGGGGAGCTGCGCAGGGAGGGGGGTTGCGTGAGAGTCACTGTGCAGGGGAGCCAGGACCACCTACACATATGGGAACGGCGGGGTGGGGGGTGCACATCACAGGCCCTGGAAGCCCAGCCCTGCCCCTAAGGCCTGCCCCTGTGCCCCCAGGCCAGGGTCGTGTGCCGGGGTCGGTGGAGCGGCCTCGTTCCCCTCCTCCCGAGACCTCCCTGACGACGTCCTGACCTTCATCAAGGCCCACCCGCTGCTGGACCCTGCCGTGCCACCTGCTACCCACCAGCCTCTGCTCACCCTCACCAGCAGGTACGTATGGGGCCAAAGCGCTGACCACGCCCTCGCCCTCAGCCTCTGACCCCACAATGTGAATCACCTTGGGGAGCTCAGGACACCCTGGGTCCGGGAGTGGGAGCCAGGACACGCGGGCTCCTGCTGCTCAGGCCGCCCTGACCCGAGGCCCGTCCCGCCTCCCCCAGGGCCCTGCTGACCCAGGTAGCCGTGGACGGCGCGGCCGGTCGCTACGGGAACGCCACCGTGCTGTTCCTCGGCTCCAGCGACGGCACAGTGCTGAAGGTGCTGCCCCCCGGGGGGGAGCCTGGGGGCCAAGAGCCCGTCCTGTTGGAAGAGATTGATGCCTACAGCCCCTCCCGGTGAGGCCCTGGCGAGGATGGGACGTGAAGTGGTAACGGGAGGTGATGGCTGGGGGCCGCCAGCGCCGGCTCTGCAGGGTGGAAGCTGGACATGGGGGGGGCAGGGCGGCGCCTGGGCAGCCCCAGCTCCGAGAGTTACTTGTGTGCTGCCCGCCTTGTTCTTTAACTCACCCAGGGGAAGAGGAGCCTCGCCTGCCCCCCTGACCCCTCTGCCTCACCCTAGGTGCAGTGGGAGGCGGGCTCCCCAAACAGCTCGGCGAGTCATCGGGCTGGAGCTGGACGCCCAGGGGCACAGGCTCTTTGTGGCTTTTTCTGGCTGCATCATCTACCTCCCCCTCAGCCGGTGCGCCCGACACGGGGCCTGCCGCAGGTGAGGGGCCGCTGCCAGGCCCTGCTGCACACGCGCCCCCCGGGCCACCGGCATGGCGGGATGCAAGGGGTGGTGTGCGGGGAGCTGCCTGGCGTGTCTGGGGATGGGACCAGAATAGGCATTGGCGGGCAGGAGGAACAGCAGGCTGGGCGCCTCCTCCGGGTGAGAAGAGGCGGGAGGGAAGGCGATTTGCGGGGAGAGGTCCCAGCCGCACGTGACTCAGCTCTCCCTAGGAGCTGCCTGGCTTCTCGGGACCCCTACTGTGGATGGCACAGCTCCAGAGGCTGTGTGGACATCAGGGGGCCTGGTGGGTAAGTGAAGGGCCCCTGGCTCCCCAGGAAAGAGTTCGGTCCCACTGAGGGAGGAAGTGGAGGGCTGGAGGGGGGCGGGGAGATATGTAACTGCCCTGAGCACCCCCTTTTCCTCCCAGGACGGATATGGATCCATCTGGGAACCAGGAGCCCACGGAACAGGGTGACTGCCAAGGTGAACGTTCGAGGGCTGCTGCCACCGCAGCCGCTGCTGCTCGTGGCCATGGCTCCGCGGGTGGCCTTTTTGTCTGTCTCTCCACCCGGCGTACAGGCACCCCCAGCAGATTTTCAGGGTTTCCCTGCCCCCATCTTGACCTCCTCTCTGTTCGTCACAGATGGATCCACGGGGAGTCAGTCTGGCACGGGGGACTCTGCTTACGGTGAGCGCCTCGGCCCGCCACCCCTTCCCGCGCTCAGCCCCCCGCACCCGGACGCTGGGCAGCCTCAGAGGGGGTTAGCGTGCCCCACATTCACCCCACACAGAGCTCGGGCGCGGCTCATCCAGGTGCTTAGTAAATGCCCGTAGGCCTTGAGGGCCTGGCGAGCCTCCCACACCCGGAGGAGAGCGGAGGCTGGAGCTGTGCACCTTTGGGTTCCAGAGTCGAGGGTGGGGGACCCAAGTGGGTGACGGGGGCGGCGAGCAGGGGCCTCACTCGCTCTGACCTGGTCTCTGTCACCAGTGCTTCTGGGTCCTGGCCCTTCCCCCGAGACCCCCAGCCCCCCCAGTGACGCCCACCCCGGGCCCCAGTCTTCCACTCTTGGAGCGCACACGCAGGGTAAGGGGCTGGGGGCGGGGCAGGTGCGAGGTGCGCGGCTGCTGACTGGAGGAACTCACCCCTCACCGCCCCGTGTTTGGTGCTCACTAACACCTCGCGCAGGGTGGCGCCTGCCCCTGGCATGGCTACGCGGCCCACAAACGGGCCGCTGTGTGCGCTCAGGGGTCGGGGAGGTGCCGTCCAGGTGCCTGGTCGTCCGGGCACAGCCGCCTGGAGCTGAGTCTCGCTCCTCCCTCGGTCAGGCGTGCGCCGGGACCTGCCCACAGCCTCCGCCGCCCGCTCCGTCCCCATCCCGCTGCTCCTGGCCTGCGTGGCCGCCGCCTTCGCCCTGGGCGCCTCCGTCTCGGGCCTCCTGGTCTCCTGCGCCTGTCGCCGCGCGCACCGCCGTCGGGGCAAGGACGTGGAGGCGCCGGGCCTCCCGCGGCCTCTCTCCCTGCGCAGCCTGGCCCGGCTGCACGGCGCGGGCCCCGAGCCGGCGCCGCCGCCCAAGGACGCCGACGGGGCGCAGACGCCCCAGCTCTACACCACCTTCCTGCCGCCCCCCGACGCCGTGCCCCCGCCGGAGCTGGCCTGCCTGCCCACGCCGGAGTCCACGCCCGAGCTGCCGGCCAAGCACCTCCGCCGCGCCGGGGCGCCCTGGGAGTGGAACCAGAACGGGAACAACGCCAAGGAGGGCCCGGGGCGCGCGCGCGGCGGCAACGCGGCGGGCGGGCCCGCGCCGCGCGTGCTGGTGCGGCCGCCGCCGCCCGGCTGCCCGGGCCAGGCCGTGGAGGTGACCACCCTGGAGGAGCTGCTGCGCTACCTGCACGGCCCGCCGCCGCCGCGCGGGGGCCCCGAGCCCCCCGGGCCGCCCCCGTTCACCTCGCGGGCGCTCCCGCCCGAGCCCGCCCCCGCGCTCCTGGCGGGCGCCGGCCCGCTGCCCCGCGAGTGCGCCCCGCCCCTGCGGCTGGACGTGCCCCCCGAGGGCAGGTGCGCGGCCCCCGCCGCCCGGCCCGCGCTCTCGGCCCCCGCTCCCCGGCTCGGGGTCGGGGGGGGCCGGCGGCCGCCCTGCCCCGCGCCCCGCGCGCCCCCCGCCCTGCTCACGCGGGTCCCCTCGGGCGGCCCCGCCAGGTACTCGGGGGGCCCGGGGAGGCACCTCCTGTACCTGGGCCGGCCCGAGGGCTACCGGGGCCGCGCGCTGAAGAGAGTGGACGCCGAGAAGCCCCAGCTGCCCCCGAAGCCGCCCCCGGCCGGGCCCCCCTCGCCGCCGGCCGGGCCTGGCGGCGGCCACTTCAACTTCTAGGGGCGCCGCTCCCCGACCCCGTGGCCCGGCCCCCCGCTCCGGACTCTGGGAGTCGGGGCCGCGCCTCGGGTTAATTTATTGACCGTGGACTGTCTTCCCGCCGGGGGGCGCGGGAGCCGCGCCTCGGCGAGCCAGCTTGGGGCGCTGGCAACCCCCCCCCGCCGAGCTGCCTTAACCCGCCCTCGGGCGCCCCTCGGCGGGCCCCGGGGGGCCTCCCGGGCGGCGGCCGGGCCCTCCTACTGTGTAGGATCCCGCGCGGCCGCGCCCCCCGCCCGGGCCCGCCGCCGCGCCCCGAGCGCCCCGAGGCCGGGCGGCCCACAGGCGGGGTCCCCGCGGGGGGCGGGGGGGCGCCCTCGCGGCCCGGATGGCGGGAGGGGCGGGCGTTTTTGGAGAAATAAATGAAGCTGCAGCGGAAGTGACTGAAGTCGCCCCTCGGGAGCTCTCGTGCTGCGGGGTCCGGCCGGGGCGGGGCGGGGCGGGGCGGGGCGGGCAGGGGCGAGCGCAGCCCCCTCGGCGGGGCCCGGGCCGTCCCGCGGGCGCCCTCACGCGCATGCGCAGCCCGCGTCCCGCCCCGCGCGTCCCGGGGTCGCGGCGAGGGTTTCTCGGCGGGGCGGGCGGGGCGGGCGGGGCGGGGCGCGGGCGCCTGCCGGTCACCCCGGGCCAAAGGCAGGGACGGGCCGCCCCGCCCAGCGCCCCGGCGAGGAGGCCGCCGAAGGCCTCGCGCGGGCGGTGGCCGCTCCCGCGGATCTACGAGCCGGGTTCGAGCCGACGCGTGGCCGTGTCCGCCCCGGCGAGCGCCCCCTGGAGGCCGGGCCGAGCCCCGCGGCTGGAGCCCGGGGGGCGCGCCCCGCGCCGGGCAGCGCTGCCCCAGGAGGGCGCCCCGCGGGCTGGGCCGGGCAGGCTTCGAGCCGCGCGCCGCGCTCGCCCCTCCAGGCACGTGTGCAGCTGTCAAGGTTGTGCGCGTGCCCCGAGCTCGCGCGCTGCGCCCCCTGCGCCCCGAGGCGTCGCGGGCCGCCCCTTTCCTGCTCGCATCCCCGTCGTGGTGGGCGACGGCCTTGGGCCCCGGCGTCCCTCGCTGGGTGCCCTTCTGGGCCCAGAGTGCTCGGTTCCCGGGGAGCGGAGGGAAGCGCGGGGGATGGAGACTGGCCGTCCCGTGACGTCACTGGCCTGCTCAGCCCCAGGTGCTGAGGCAGGACAGGGCAGGACGTCACAGCCTTGGGGGGCAAGTGTCACCTCGCAGCTCTTCTCCCGGAGGTGGTCACAAGGGAAAGTGGTGAATGACCCCCGGTTTTAAATATAGACCCCAAGGGGAAATAGTACAGAAACGGAGCCCGTGGCTGCCCGGAGCAGCCGTTGGCAGGTGAAAGCCCTGGTGTCCACTTGGTCGTGAAGAGCGCTCGCCCGTCGGCACGCAGGAACATGCTGACCGCTGCAGGCCGGAGTCCTGAGCCGGACTCAGAACCTCCTCCAGGCCGGTGAGAGCAACGGGACGGCCGTGAGAGCAGCGGTTCTTCCACTCGGCCTCAGGAGTTTTCCCATGGAAAGTCAGCAGTGCAACTAATCTGAGCATTCTTCGGAGGAAAACATGCAGAGAACATAGCCCACAGGGTCTGCAACTCGCCATACACGCGTAGGCTTCAGTGAACTGCTCTGTGGGAAAGAGTTATGTGCTCAAAATAGACTATCAAGGATGTAATTCATTAATACTCACAAAATACCTCATCCCAACAAAGTGACTAAATTAAAGGGATGATTTCAGTGAAGTTATCACTGACAACAGAGGGGTAAACACGACCTCAATTAAGAAATCGGCTGTTAGTCCTTTTTTAAAATTAGGAATTAGCTCCAACTTTGTCTTCAGAAAAAAACAGAATGTGCCAACAGGAGGATAAAGTTGGCGTCCTGAGGGCTTTCTAAGCTGATTTCTCAGAGGCATCACGGGAGGTTATGGAGAAACCAGAGCCCCAGTGGGCAGAGTCCATCAGCTTGTGCAAGACTTTGGGGACCTGAAACACAGAAGGTTCCACAGCCACAAAGCTGGAAAAGCTGTTCAGCATCTTGGGTTCTCTGGGAACCAAGTCACAGGGGCCTGAGCTATTATTGTCTCTCGGATTTGTGTCTCCTCGATGCCACTACCTCGCACTCGGGAGCCACGCTGGCATGAGTTACTCAGCCTCTGCTGCTAACCCAGCAGCTGACCTGTCAGAACTGTTGACTCAAGAATTAAGATTACATGTTTGAGTGTCAGGGTCAAGTGCACCATGAATTATGAAACCTCTCTAAGGATCACCCACCTTTATTTTTTTTAAAGATTTATGCATACAAAAGCTGGGGTGTAAGCCAGAAGTGTGTGGGGGGTGAGAGGATTCACCAGAGACAGAGTGGGGACCAGAACAGGTGGATCTGTTAGGGGGAAGGATGTCCTCTGCTAATTCCATACAGGCTTTGTGGCTGTCCAACTGTAACAGATCCACTGAAACCCACTGCTGAGGGGAGCAGTGGGGAGACAGGAGAGGTCTGCTGCGCCCTGTGAGTAGCTCCCTGGCTGGGGCTGGATCTCGTACTGGTACTTCAGTGGCTGCCAATAGCTTCATAGCGCTGAGACTTAACCCCTGCGCCCCCAGGGAGGCTCTAGATCACCCACCTTTAACACTGGACTGGGTAATAAATGGGGAACAGATGCCATGCTCAAAATAATGGACTATTTATCCAAAAGTATGGCTTAACCCAACTGGAAGCCAAAACACGTGAGATCCTGAATGAAAGTTACACAGATTAGCCTCCCGGGAAAGACAAAAAGTACAGGAGGGAGGGGAGTGGTCTGCAAGGACAACGCTCTAGTTTCCTGTCACTGGGCCCTGCTGGGAGAGAGGCGCAGTTCCCATAAGTACTGCTGAGTGGCCACTTTTTGCAGATGCCTCCTCAGTTAGGTTGGAGCAAAATTTGCTTTAGGGAGTTTGTAGGAAAGGCTGCTTGGAGAAGTTACTTCGGTCCCTAGTTGTTGAACTGCAGCTTGAGATGCTGTTGAGTAAGGCGGTGTTCTGATTAAAGGACTCGTAACCACACAAACTGTCATTTTCGATAGAAGAGATTTTGAAAGCTGAGGTGCTGGGGCAAAGTCTCGGCCTCGTCTTTGTAGCCATATGCTGAGGAGAAAACCTCCGGGACGGTGTCTGTGCCCACGCAAAGTGTTGCGCCTCCTGCCAGACGTTCAGCAAAGGTGTAAAACGTGGAAGCGACTGCAATTGTCCTGCTAGTGTCTTCTTGCATGCAATAAAAACTTTCTTAAACCGTAGGGCAGGTTGTGGGAGTAGAGGGCAGGCCTACGCTACGCTCAGGGGCTCTGACGGCCTTCCTGTTCCCCGCAGACACGTTGCACAAACCTACACAGGGGTGGGTATCACCAAGCGGCTCCCATTCAACCTTCTCTTGTGCATTCTGGCCGCTGCTCTCCTTGGGGGGCTCCCTTTCACAGAGAGCTCTTAGGACAGTTCTTCCAGTTCAACTTCCCCTTCACATAAGCACATTACCCTTCAGACAACTCTGGGTTCCTGTCTCTCTGATTCCCTCCAACAGTCCCATGGTCCTGACACTTCTCTCACCAGGATTTTTTTTTTTGTGGGACCCTCACTGGTGGCCGGGGAAGGAATCAGCACTGCAGAGGCTGCGGGCAGCCTCGCAGGCCAGCGCTCAACCGCTGCGCCACTAGGGGAGGCCCACCAGGATTTTTTTTTAAAAAGATTTACTCATACACACAAGAGCTGAGTACAGGCCAGAGATGTGGGGGCTGAGAGGATTTACCAGAGACACAGTGGGGAGCAGAACAGGCAGATTGACCGAAACACTGCTGAGGGGAGCAGCGGGCGAGACAGGAGAGGTCTGTGGGGTTGCTCCCTGGCCAGGCCGGGGATCTAACTCAATGCTGCAGAGGCTGCGGACAGCTTCGCAGTGCGGAGCTTAACCCCTTGCGCCACTGGGGAGGCCCTCTCACCAGGATTTTAATTCAACAAGACTCTTAGTTCTTTGCTTCTCAAGTCCCTGCTTTTTCCCTCAGCAGAAACTGCACAGGCATTTATGAGGGACCTGCCAGAATTACTTTAATTAATACACGCACACAACAGTGACTATACGTATCCACCAAAAAGCAATGACCTGTTAGTGGCGGGTGTAGGGCTTCCTAATTACTGACTGAGAGAGCTTGCCCAAAGGTCCAGCTGATGCTCATGCGCCGGGGAGACGCTCCTGTGTCCATGACTTTGGTCCCGCCCTCCTTTGAGAAAGGCTTTCTTACTGCCAAGGGAGCAGCTGAGAACACTGTGCACTAGGTGGGCACATCCCTCTAGGGTGCTAGGGTTACCCCCTGGAACCCCGGCTACTAGGGCGGGGGGCTGTGCCACAACTAGGCTGCTCCTCGAGTTTGCTTACTAAACATGTGCCGGATCAGACCGAGACAGCAAGCAAGGAGCTTACTAGAACAGCTGAGAAACCAGCAGAGGGAAGCCACTATTCCCAGGATTCCCTGAGCCTGATGGCCCCCCGCGTCCCCACCTCAGCACTGACCTCACCCCCACACAAAGCACAGAACCATTTCCCTCCGCTGCTGGTCTCTGCCCTTGGCGGCGGTTTGAGGGGGGAGGGAGGGATGAGAGAAGGGAGGAGGCTGGAAGTCTACCGGGTCTCACAAGCTCTCCCCAGCCTCACTTCCAGCCTCACCTCCACGCTCACCTCCGCGCCTGCCCGTTCAGAGCAGCGGCTGAGCAGCCAGACAAGGAGAGAGAGTGGCTGGGCGAGAGGAGACCCCAGCAGGGGAAGAAGCCTGCCCCCCTACGCCTTGCCCCCCTTTGGAGAAAACTGGCTATTGAGTTTCATCCTGTGATCAGGGAGTAGACAGAACTTTTGCTCGGGAGATGGGAAAAAATTCAGCGACGCCCCGAAATGGTAAGACTGCGCCGGTTTATTAAGAAACATCTTTATTTTTGAATGGCAGTACAAAAATCGAGTCTATACTATAGCTCCGTATCGCTGTGCATCGCACGAATGCTCGCTCGCTCTCTCACACGCTCGTTAGAATCAAACCCTATTTCATTCAAATCTGAATAAAAAAAGAAAAGTATGCTTTAGTCCACGGCAATCACGCTGTACATAAAGCTGCCAGACGACCTGAAAAACGGAGGCTGCTGGGAGAACAGCCCAGGCACCCACCGCCGCTCCCTCTCCCCGCCCTCACGGAGGCGCTCGGGCCCTACACAGAGCCGCTGTCAAAACTGCCGCTAGAAGGAGCCGCCGCAGGCTTCAGGCAACGGGGAGCGCACGGGCTCCGGGTGTGACCTGGATTCATTCTCAGAAACCACCACTTCAGAGCAAACAGAAAACAAGCACGCGGGAAGGGGGGGAGTGGAGGAGGAAAGGGGAGGCCCGCGGGTTCGGGTGACCTACTAATTAAGGCCTGGTGCCTGGGAAAGGCCGGCGGAGATGAGAACAATGGGGTCACGGAGGCAGAAGCACTTGGGGGGAAGCGGAGGGAGGAAGACGGGGAGTCGGAACTTCCTGCCGTTCACCGGCCACACTGCGACGGGCGTCTAGGAACGTCCCCGCCCGACTCCCACGGAGGCTCCTCTGCGGCTTCATCCAAACCCATACCCTCGCGCGGGTCCCGTGACATCTGCCTGCGGAGGGACGAGGCCTCGCCCGGCACCGCCCCGCGCACACGGGGTCAGGCGGGCACCGCCGGGGGCACGGGGCACTCCCGGCACGCAGTCCGTCCTGGCCACTGCTTCTCCGCGGGGCACTGACGCCCGCTCCACACCAGCCTTCTGGGGCCGGAGACCAGGAGAGCGGCACTTGTCACAGAGCTCCGGCCGCAGAGGATGCGCTCGCGGGCTGGGAGGGGAGAGGGGCAGCGTGTGGGTGCTTGGCCAGGGCCTTCTGCCCCGTGTTCGGAGGTGGGCGAGATTTCACAAGGGCCAGTCAAACAGCAGCCCCAGGAGGGGAGGCTTGCGGAGGAGGGGCAGGTCCAGCTCCCCCGAGACGCTGCTCCGCTCCAACCTCTAGGCTCACCTGCAGTCACCCGCCAGACCCAGACGCCGCAGACAGGCCTCTCTGAACCAGGCCCGGGACAGCCTCCCGCGGGTTTCCCATCACCCCGCCACAGCACACCTCCGCCAGAGGGCCAAAGGGATGTTCTGTCTTCCCCTTCCAGGGAGCCTGGAACGCGGCTGCTGACATGAAAGTACTCACGGGTTACACCAGGAACTTTATCGCTGAGCCTCGCAGAGAAACGAGGGGAATCGTGTGGCTTGTGAACACGTGCGCGCAGCCCCGCAAGGGGCCTCAGGTGCGCTGGCCACACACCTGGCTTCAACTGGAGGGGCCTCTGGTAAACATTTCTTTTACGTCAATACAAAGAAAAAGTAATTCGAATGCCAAATATTTCTAACACCACTGAGGAGACACATTTTAACTCTGCAATGATAAAGCTGGAGAGAGGGGAAGGCCAGCCAACAAGACCAAACACAGTCTGACAGAGAAAAAGAACATCTTTGAAGGCACTGAGTTCAAAACATAGACACCTGAAGCCAAGTTCTCCCACATTTCAATGAAGAGACCTCGGTGCTGGCTGGCACCAGGAGCAAGAGGTAGTGACAGCAAGGGAATGTACGTTCACACATTTTTAATTTCCCTGAAGCCAGGAACAAGAACAGAAATATGAAGATGTACTTCTCTTTCGGGGGAAGGCTTAGGACCAAAATGCAGATAGAGTCTAGAAATTGCTGCACTAATACTGACATTGTCAAAGCAGCTTTACTTCAGGGAGGGCAGCCAGCCCCGCTCCACCGTTCTCCTGCTCAGACACCAACGCTCGCCATTTGTTTACTTGATTCTCTAGTCCAACCCTGCCAATACGCCAGTTGGAATCCCCTAACCCAGGAGGTGGAGCCACATTTCCCAACTTCCATGGCTGATCCAGAAAGATGCGAAATCATAAACCGTATTCCCGTCATACATTTCATGTTCAATGCGCAACCACGGGGTCAGGGGACCCTGATCTACCGTTCTCTGCCATGGCACCTCCTCTGGAGATCAAGTCCTGGGACGCATTCTCTGATTCTCCGGGATGCTAAAAGGTCTATTCCAAGTAAATAAAAACAAATACTTTTTTTGGCTACCTCGCTCCTTTCCGACATCTTCCCATCTCGCTCTTCTCCCTACCTCAGAGACCCTCCGTTATCAAAGGTGACTTGGGCTATAACAGAGATTTTCCGGGTGGGACGACAGCCTCCACAGGAAGTCAGAGCCTGAGGTGGCAGGGACGCCCGTGCTCTGGAGGGAGCGGTGGGTGGAACTTCCCGCCCGGATCACACCACCTCAGAGAGTGAGGCAGCTGGGCCTGGACGCTCCTGCACCATCAGCCTCCACTCCCTTAATAGGAAGGAGGGAAAAAAGAATTAAAGTCAATATACACACCAAGAACAGAAGCAGGTACATCTACACCGAGGCTTGGTCCCTCCAGTCAAGCAGCAAAGCTCTGACACAATAGCAGCGTATTGTTAGCGCCCGGCTCAAAGGGGCGCTCGGAGAAAGAGAACATGGCAACCAGGAAGAGCCGACAGCAGAGACCGCATTTTATCTGCGCCCTGACCTGGGATCTCTGTAGGGTAAGGAAAAAGTATCAGGCTTTTCTGCCTCCCGCCATCAGGACAGATGAGGGAACCCTGAGGTCCCGAATGCAGGCCTGATGGCGGCACCTGCCGTGGGTGCACCTGGGCTGAGAGACTGAGTTTTTAAGGGCGGCGGCGCGGGGACGCCAGCAGAAGCCAAGAACGAACGGAAGCCGAGAGAAGAAGAAGAGAAGCAGAGAGCACGCCCGAGAGCCCGGACGGAGTGAGGATGTGCTGGGGGCTGGAGGACTGCCAGCCTCCCGGTGCCCCCCCGGCGCCCCTGCCCGCCGTGTGCCTGGTAAATCTAAATAAAGGACCCGCAAAAGCCACTGAGGCCTCTGACTCCTCCTCGACCCGGTCTGCTGGGTCAGAAAACCTGCCCCTACAATGTCCCACCACATTTTCCGTCACCCCAAACCGGTCTCTGGTCCTCTTGAGGGCCCAGTGCTCAAGTCCTTGAGAAACCCTAGTTAAGGTGGCCAGTAGCCAAGATTAACTTCAAAATGTTTTTTTCTTTTTTTGCCTATAAGCTTTTACTAGTCAATCCTATTTGTTGAATTTGGTTTGGGGAGTTAATTTTTCAGTCTATTTTATGCCCCCAAATGATTCTGCACCTCTGGAAAGCTGCAGCAAATTACTCCACTAATCAAGGTAAATAGAACCATGTCAACTGTCAAGTTTTATGCCAAATTAAAAATGTATGTTTTCTCCACGATCGCTAATTAAGAAAACTGTATTCTAAACAGTCATTCAAATGTTTACTTGGCACCTTTCCCTCTGGTTTCGACTTCTAATCTACAACAAAGCAAGCAAGCAAGTCTAGAATGATGAGGGCTCAATTTCAAAGACGATAACCTCTATGATGTAATTTCTCCACGACCGCTCTCTTTCCATCCATACTCTCTTTCGGAGAAAACTCCAAGTTGACACACAAAGAAAACCCAGCAATGACACACGCTGCAAGTGTCTGGGCAAAGGGAGCGGGCACAGAGGCAGGGGGCAATCGGGGGCAATGCAGCCTAAGTATCTGCCCACAAGCTCCCTCCGCTTGCCAGCTTGCTCCCTTTGCGCACACACCGAGCACCTATAAGGAGCCGTGACCCTGCCGCCTGCAGAGCCACTGACTCTCCCCAAGTCTAGTGGAGACAAAAACTACACAACCCTCAGCATTTACGCCTTCTACCTTTTTTGCATGTCAGAGGATACCATGTAAGTTCCACGAAAGGCACTTAGGAAACAGCAAAATCTTATGAAATTAAGAGTTGATTTTAAAGCTTGATATTACATAAATAAGTGTTTGGGAGCAAGTTGTTCTAACAACAGACTACCGGCCTGATTGTGAGTTTACAAAATGCAGCCAGAGCAAAGTTTGTATCTTGAGACCAGATTGCTTCATAACCCCACAAGCCTCTTCCTGGCCACTTTCCAGCATGGGGAAGCACAGCCTGGAGGATTCTGGACTTACATACACTTCTCCCGCATAAACAAGTTTTCCTCCCCTTCCAGTTTTTAAAAATTCTATTTCAGTTTCTTAATTTGACATCTGAACTAAGGCCACACAATGAATGCAAATGTCATCAAGCAATCACATTCCTTTTCAGGGAAACTGACTCAGGATGGTGGGGAATGCCTGCTGCCGGGGAAGCAGAAGCTCTTCCTTTCTCTTCCCCAGAGCTTGCTTCTCATGCTGCAGCCTCCCACCCTAATCAGCTTTCTCCTCTAGCAGGTACACCTCAAAAATCTGAGACAAATTATTAAAGGCTCTGGGTGTATCCATATTAGGAATATCATCTTAAAATCTTTTGTTAGAAAGTCAGTTATTGAAAAAATAAGCAACTATGACGTCCAGCCTTCCCTCAGCTTCATGCTCCAGCAAAGACGTGACCTGAGAAGTTCCGTCCATCTTCTCTCGGCCTTGCGGAAGTGTTCCCTAAATTTGGCTTTCAATTTTCCAGTTGTGCAGAGAGCCTTCCTAAGCCCCAACACTGTACCCCGCTTAGTTTTCTTCTTAAGGACATTCTTAATTTTTATATAATGTTTGTCCTCTGTGTTTTCTTTCACAAGGAAGGAAAAGATGGACGCAATACAAGTTGCGGACCTGGCACGTTAAGATGAAACTGTTTCCATGGAAACGCCAGCATGAGGCTCTGTGGTCCCTTCTGCCCCAGTCACTTCCGTGTCTCTCTCTTCCATCTCCCCCTCTGTGACCACTACAGCATCTACCTCAGCCACCTCTTCAACTACAGCGAAGTCAACTCCATTGGGCTGCTGCCGGGCCATGGCCTCCAGCCTGAGGCGGTACTGCTCTGCCTCCTGCTCTTTCTTCAGCAGCTGGTGTCGGTACTCCTGGGCTCTTCGATTGGCCTCCTGGAGCTGTTGCTGCAGTAACTCTCTCTCTGTGTCTTCCTGTAGAGGTAAATCATGTTACCAGCAGGTTAGAACTCCTGATCACAAATTATCCAGAGTAGACTAAAAGGCAGAGAGGCTGAAAAGTGACAGCTTTGAATTCCTTCCCTTGCCATTTCTCCAGCAAGGCTGAGGACACTACCTTGTTTTCCTCCACGCTGTCAGTCATCTCTTCTACCCTTGGCTTCTTAGTCAGTGGTAACTTCTCTGTTTCTACTTCCTCTTCTTCAATGACAGTCTCCTCTGCGACCTGACCGGCGGGTACCGTTAGAACTACAAGATAAAGGACGCCAATTGGAGGTGAGGAATATATAATAAAAGTGTTAGCTTGCTTCGAATTAGAAAATAAACTGAAGCACGTTTTCTCACATCTTATTTTTCATGTCCCTTTGTATTTTAGGATCAATAGATACGGCAAGGCTCTGCAGGAAGAAACAGAAAGAATTCAAGAGGTGCTAGGAAGCCTCAGAAAGGAAGGGCACAGATTTGCAGGGCTGGAAGCTATGCAGCTAGGATCCAGGCCTGAGGCACTTGTATGAAGACATCTGATGCTAGGTCAGGAGGGGTGAGTTACAGTTTTGTAGAAATAACTTGTCTAAAGAAGGCCTGATGTCTTTATATAAGAAATCTCTCGGGCCTCCCCGGTGGCGCAGCGGTTGAGCACTGGGTTGCGAAGCTGCCCGCAGCCTCTGCAGCGCCGGTTCCATCCCCGGCTGCTCCCTGGCCACCGGAGGAGGGTCCCACATGGCGCACAGACCTCTCCTGCCGCCCGCTGCTCCCCTCAGCAGTGTACCTCGGTCCTTCTGCCTGCTCTGCTCCCTGCTCTGGCTCTGGTGAATTCTCTCACCCTCCCGCGCTTCTGACTGTACCCAGTGCTTGTATAAAAATAAAATAAATAAATCTTAAAAAAAAAAAAAAAAAAAGAAATCTCTCCTGGGACTCCCTGGTGGCACAGGGGTAAAAGACAGCGCCATCTAGCTATCACCAGTCATTGCTGCACGAGTTCCATCCCCAGGCGGCCAGGAAGCAACCCACAAGGCACAGCAGACCTCTCCTGTCTTGCCCGCTGCTCCCCTCAGCAGTGTGTATCAGTAGATCTGCCTGTTCTGCTCCCCGCTCTCCTGGTGAATCTTCTCACCCTCTGCACCTCTGGTCTATACCCCAGTTCTTGTGTGCATAAATCAATCTTTTTTTTTTTAAAAAAGATTTATTTATTTATTTATACAAGCACTGGGTACAGTCAGAAGTGCAGGAGGGTGAGAAGATTCACCAGAGCCAGAGTGGGGAACAGAACAGGCAGACTGACGAAATACACTGCTGAGGGGAGCAGCGGGCAGCAGGAGAGGTCTGCGCACCGTGTGGGACCCTCGCCCAGTGGCCGGGGATCGAACTGGCGCTGCAGAGGCTGCAGGCAGCTTTGCAGCCCAGCACTCAACCACTGCGCCACCAGGGGAGGCCCTTATTATTACTATTATTATTTTTAAAGAAACCTCTAAATAAGAAGAGAGTCGGCCTCCCTGGTGGTGCAAGGGGTTAAGAACCGCACTATGAAGCAATCCTCAGCCTGTGCAGCAAAAGTTCGATCCCCAGCTGGCCAGGGAGAAACCCACAGGGCGCAACAGACCCTCCCCTCAGCAGTGTATTTTCAGTCTGCCTGTTCTGCTCCCCACTCTGTCTCTGGTGAATCCTCTCACCCCCTGCATCTCTGGCCTGTACCCTAGCTCTTGTATGCATAAATAAATCAATCTTTAAAAAAAAAATGAGAAGAGAGTCAAGGTCAACACATCTGCATATACACACGTTGCCATGCTGTCAGCATGGCAATAAATAAATAAATAAACAGTAATGAAACCCACCAGGGAGGGCCCATTTCTTTATTGTTTTTCATAGCTGCACAGTATCCCAGTATATTGGCGCACATCATTTATTTATCCAGTCCCCTACTGAAACATACTTACGGTTCTTTCAGTCTTTTATGATTATAAATGATGCCATAATTAATAGCTTAGTATATACATCATTTCTTTGCATGTGACTATAATTCATACAAAAAGAATTTTTAGCTAAAAAGTATGTGCATATTTAATACTGATAGATATTGCCAATTTGCTCTTTAGAGGATTATTAATTTACATTCATACCAGTGATTTATAAGAGTACCCATACCCCTGGGCCTTCCTGGTGGTGCAAGTAAGCACAGCACTGTGAAGCTATCTGAACCCTCTGCAGCAAGAGTTCGATTCCGGCCCGCCAGGGAGCTACCCACATGGTGCAGCAGACCTCTCCTGTCTCCCTGCTGCTCCCCTCAGCAGTGTATTTCAATAGATCCGCCTGTTCTGCTCCCCACTCTGTCTCTGTCGAATCCTCTCATCCTCCCCACCCTGCACCTCTGGCCTGTACCCCAGCTCTTGTATGCATAAATAAATAAATCTTAAAAAAAAAAAGATTACACGTACCCTTGACAACCAAGTATTACAATGGTATCTCAATACATTTTTCATTTGCATTTCTCTTACTATAGTTGAAGTAGGCTGAACATATGCTCACACTTTTAAGAATCACCAGTATTTTCTCTTCTGTGATCTAATGGTTCATGTTATTTGCTCTATTTTCTATCATGCTATTATTTTTTAACTCATAAATTTTATATACTTGTATATTAGACAAATTAGCCCTTGCCAGCCTGGTTTCTTTTTTTTAGAGCTTCTTTGCCCCATCTGGCATCTGGCATTCCCCTACACCCACTACTTGCCTTAATGCCTCATTTTCACAGGCACGTTGAGGGTTTACAATACCGTTTAATTAACAGTTGTCTAAACAGGGTAACTCACCTTGCTGTCCATCTTGCATAGTGACAATAAAGGGCTGGCCAAGGCCTCCAGCAGGAATTGCAGTTTGGATACCGCTTAGAGGGACTCCATCAGTGACTATGGTGATGACCCTTTGGCCTCCACTCCCTACTACTTGCTGGATTGATGACTCAACAGAATTTCCCTCCACAATCTCTTCTGTATTAGCTAGAGATGAGAAAAGTAAATTCAGAATTTCAGTTTTTTAAAAAATTAGTAACATAGCACGTTCATTCTCCTTGAAGTTGATAATATCAGGGATAGGAAAAATCGGGAAAAAATGTTAGGCTTAACAGTTCACAAAAGCTAGCCTTTACAACAATGCTAAGGCAGAGGAGGAAAAAAAAAACAGGGAATATATTTGAACAGTACTTTTTTTTTTTTAAAGATTTATTTATTTATGCATACAAGAGCTGGGGTACAGGCCAGAGGTATGGGGGGGTGAGAGGATTCACCAGAGACAAAGCAGGGAACAGAACAGGCAGACTGACCGAAGTACACTATTGAAGGGAGCAGCAGGTGAGTCAGGAGAGGTCTGCTGCACCATGTGGGTAGCTCCCTGGCCGGGATTCGAACTTGTGCTGCAGTGGCTGCAGATTGCTTCATAAATTGTGTCTTAATCCTTGCACCACCAAGGAGGCCCCTGAACAGTACTTTCTAAAATATCTTTACCGAGATGTTAATAGTGTTCACTATGGGTTTTTATATACAAATATATTTTCAAAATGCTGTTTCAAATATGTTTAAATATTTGTTTGCTTTGTAGGAAGTATCAGAGGCCCTGACAAGCTAGTGAGTACTGTGATTCTCCAGCAGAGAATAAGACATGCTGAATTTCCCCAGCAAATTTATTTTGGAATGCTTTTTTTTTTTTTTCCAAAGATTTATTTTTTTTTTTTTAAGATTTATTTATTTGTGCATACAAGAGCTGGGGTACAGGCCAGAGATGCGGAGGTGAGAGGATTCCCCAGAGACAGAGTGGGGAGCAGAACAGGCAGACTGACTGAAATACACTGCTGAGGGGAGCAGCAGGCAAAACAGGAGAGGTCTGCTGTGCTGCCATGTGGGGAGCTCCCAGGCCAGGGATCGAACTCGTGCTGCAGAGGCTATGGAAAGTTCACAGTGCTGTGCTTTAACCCCTTGCGCCACCAGGGAGGCCCCTGGAATGCTTTTTAAGGAAGCATCTTCAATGCTTAAATAAATTTAAAGAACTTAGAAAAAAATACATAATTTATTTTTGTAAGAAAACTGAGGTATTTAATAGTAAATTAATATAACCAGTAGTTAACACATTGAAGGAGTCTGACAGACAAAAATGGTAGGTGGCTTCTTTCTCTGACAGATCAACAATAATATTGACAGTAACTAACATGGACTTACTTAGTGCCAGGTACCTTCACATGCGTTATATTGAATCAAGATTTTCAGTGTGCTTAGTCAATATCCATAGTAACTAGTAGGGGAGACCATTCCTACCACTAAGGAGTTTCTCCACCTAAAGAGTCACAAGTAATACTTTGCAATAAGTGGCGCACAGGTTCTCCATAGGAAGACACATTCAGGTTTTTCAATGGAAACAGAGCATGAACATCTCTTCGAAACAAAGAACAGTCAGGGCCTCCCCGGTGGCGCAGCGGTTGAGCGCTGGGTTGCGAAGCTGCCCGCAGCCTCTGCAGCGCCGGTTTGATCCCCGGCTGCTCCCCGGCCATCGGAGGAGGGTCCCGCATGGCGCGCAGACCTCTCCTGCCGCCCGCTGCTCCCCTCAGCAGTGTACTTCGGTCCTTCTGCCTGCTCTGCTCCCCGCTCTGGCTCTGGTGAATTCTCTCACCCTCCCACGCTTCTGACTGTACCCAGTGCTTGTGTAAATAAATAAATAAATCTTTAAAAAAAAAAAAAGCATTAAAAAAAACGAAACAAAGAACAGTCAAATGGTATAGCTGAGTGGACCCTGATCATCTTAATCCAACCATCATTTCGGAGATAAGGAAACTGAGATCTAGAGAAGTCAAGACCAAAGAGCAAATCAAAAGAAATAAGCACAAATTTATTACACTGCTTTTCCCTCTTCCATACTCTCACTCACACACATTTGACTAGAGACCTTTATGGTCACTGCTAGTCAGAAAAGCATGATGAGAGGGAAGTTCTCACCATCCGAAGGTCAAAGGCAGAAAGAAATCAGAATAATCTGCTTTTTCTTTGATGGAGGAGGCAGCCAGGGGGTTCCGACAGAGTCCTAGATGACTACTTGGCTCTACTTCTATTTGCCCTGCCTATATGAAGCCTTACGCCTTTTCCCCACACACCACAAACTCCAGCTAAATGACATAAAACCGTCTTGTTTTAAATACCAGAAGGGCACTGTAGGGTCAGGACAGGACATGGAGCAGGTTTTCTGATCCAACAGACCGGGTAAAGGAGGAGTCAGAGTCCTCAGTGGTTTTTTTGCAGGTCTTTTATTGGGATTTACCCGGTACACAGCTGGAAAGTGTGCTGGGGGGCCAGGAGGCTGACAGGCCTCGCAGCCCCCAGCAAATCCTCACTCTATCTGGGCTCTCTGGTGATCTCTGCTTCTCTCTCGGCTTCTGCTGGCGCCCCCGTGACGCCGCCCTTAAAAGCCCAGTCTCAGGCCAGGTGAATTCCATCTACCTATGCCCACACCCTATTCCAGGTGCCCGCCACCAGGCATGGGTTCAGGACCGCAAGGATCCATCATCTATCCTGATGGCGGGAGGGCAGAAAAGCCTGACATTTTTCCTTACCCTACAGACACTATACAGCAAATATCTACCCAATTTCCATCAGAAATATCAGAATTACCAGTGCAAATACAAGCCAGCCAGCTGAAGCACACAGGCTTGAACACGGAAGAGACAGCAGTCCTATGTGCTTGATGCTTTGCTACAAGATACCTAGGCTGTATTTTTGAATCAGTCTATGATAGCATCAGTCAAAACATAATGTAGATTATTTCCCAAAAAATCTGCTAATATAAGGCTAAACATTTCCTTCTGAAGCAACTGGAGTCAGGGCAAACAAATTGGAAACTGCAAAAACACAAAGGAATAACTTAGTCATTCCCTGATATTATGCAGCTGTCTGACTAGATCACTTACCGATGTTTTCACTCTGATGCTCAGTGAGTCGACATCCCTTTCTCCTAGCTGTCTCTAATTAATCCTAACTCTTTAATAATTTGTGCAAAGCAAGTTTCTGGAGGCTTAAGAACAAATAAGAACTGGCGATTCCCCTGGCCACGAGCCCTCACCTACCTGTGGCTCTGTGTGAGTTGGCGAGGGGGGCTGATGCCCCAGCAAGAGCTGCGAGGGGGGCCAGCACTGAGGTGGTACAATTTGAGAAGTGTGCTGCTGAGGAGGCATGGGGGCCACCTATTTCAGTAAAAGAGGCAAATGAGGCCTGAGGCAGAGAACGAATTGAGATTAACTGAAAATGGCTTATTAACTCGAAACCTCAGCTTTTCATCCAACTGTCCTTAATTCTGCTAATTCAAACTGAAATAAACCAATTATCATGGTGTTGGAAACTTTTAAGTTTTAAAAAGTTTCCCCTTGAAAGCAGATTAAAGTAACATGCTTGGTGCAGGGCACTGCCTCCCTCCTCTGATCACTCTCTGGGCACTGCCCATGCTGAGCATCAGCAGCTAACAGACCAGGAGAGTGCCACCCACTCCCCAGGCTGGCAGCGCAGGGTCCTCCTTGGCAGTGGGCAGCAAGCATGTGCAGTGGGCCTCAGCCCAAGCTAAGTGGTGGTGAGGGAACAGGCGCCTCCTGGACTTCACTCAGCCACCAAGCACTGGTCATCAGGTAGCGGGGTGAGGAGAGTGTGACTGACCTCTTGGGCAGGGGCAGTTAAAAACTAAAGTTTCACATGTTAAACGTCAGAGGGCAATCAAATAGTGCTAAAAAAACAATAATTATCTACCTTAGTTATGTCATGATATGCTTTAAAAATAAAACACTTTGTTCCTTAAAAAGGTGGATTACTTGTGGAGTACTCGTAGCTATAAATTATCTTTTTTAAAAAAGATTTATTCATTCTTATTTACTTATTTATTTATACAAGCACTGAGTACAGTCAGAAGCGCGGGTGGGTGAGAGAATCCACCAGAACCAGAGGGGAGAGCAGAGCAGGCAGACTGATGAAGTACACTGCTGAGGGGAGCAGCGGGCGGCAGGAGAGGTCTGCGCGCCATGTGGGACCCTCGCCCGGCGCGAGGGGATCGAACTGGTGCTGCAGAGGCTGTGGGCAGCTTCACAACCCAGCGTTCAACCGCTGCACCACCGGGGAGGCCCTATTCATTTATTTTTAAAGATTTTGTTTATGCATACAAGAACTCGGGTACAGGCCAGAGAATGCATGAGAGACAGAGTGGGCCAGAACAGGCAGACTGACTGAAATACACTGCTGAGGCGAACAGCAGGAGAGGCAGGAGCCGTCTGTTGTGCCATGTGGGTAGCTCCCTGGCTGGTTAGGGATCAAACTCTTGCTTCATAGTGTGGTGCTTAACCCCTTGTACCACCAGGGAGGCCCAGATTTATTGATTTATGCATACAAGAGCTGGGATGCAAACCAGAGATGCCTGGGGGTGAGAGGACTCACCAGAGACAGAGTGGGGAGCAGATAAGGTGGATCTACTGAAATCCACTGCTGAGGGGAGCAGCAGGGAGACAGGAGAGGTCTGCTATGCCCTGTGGGTCACCTCCCTGGCTGGGGATCAAACTGGTGCTGCAGTGGCTGGCAATAGCTTGACAGCGCTGTGTCTTTAACCCCTGCGCCACCAGGGAGGCCCCCCTGTAAATTATCTTAAAGCTTTTGGAAGATGACTGTTGGAGTGGGGATGAGGATGGAGATAGTAATAATATAATAGGGATGTTATATTATCTAATTCTCTTTAAAATACTCAGGGAACGAAGTACCTTGAGTCGAGCACAGTACCTGAATTCCAGAAAGGATCCACTTCTACCTGACGACTTCATGCAGAGCCAGATCCAGCTACAGTAGCTTCCCTAATTTTCTTTTTTAATTCATGCTTTCCGCATCACTCATCCTATCACAACAAGTGCTGATATAAGAATGCACAAATTGGGCATCCCCCGGTGGCGCAGCAGGCTGAGCACAGCGCTGTGAAGCTGTCCGCAGTCTCTATAGCACCGGTTCGATTCTGGGCCAGCCAGGGTAATTCCCACATGGCACAGCAGACCTATCCTGTCTCACTCGCTGCTCCCCTCAGCAGTGGATTTTGGTCCATCTGCCTGTTCTGCTTCCTGCTCTGTCTCTGGTGAATCCTCTCACCCTCCTGCGCCTCTGGCCTGTACCCCAGCTCTTGTATACATAAAACAAACAAACAAACAAACAAAAAAAACCCTCACAAATTAAAAAGAAAAACAAGGAAGAAGCAGTTTATACACATATTTATGGAGATTGGAACATACTAGCAACTAAAAACCAAAATACCAAAATCAAATACAGTAAGTATGCTATCCAGCTAACGGAGAAGAGCGGCATGGAATTGATGAGAAAAGCATTATATGCAAGTTAGCATATGAACAGTTCACCCTAAGGTTGTGCTTTAATTCAAATATAATGGCTCACTCAACTTCCCCTCAACAGCAAAATGACAAAGAACATAGTGAAAAACTGAGTTTAGTATTCTGACATACACAGCTGAAACTGAAGAGACAATGTAAATTACCTTAGACTTATCCCAGTGGATTCTAGGAAAGTAAAGTACTTTACTGTTGCTTCACTTCAATATAAAACCCAACATCAAATCAAGTGCAGTGTGTATGGGTGCTATTGCTTTTGGAAAGGAAATGGCATTTATCAGTAACAACTCTTGTGACTTAATCAGAATGTGGTCTATATAAATAAACTCTCAGTCCAGGAATTAGGGGTGTGCGCTCTGGCAGGCTAGACAATCTCAGTGCATTAGTGAAAACCAGACCAAGAAAATCAAAGTAACTTGCCCAAGGTCACACTGCTAGTAATGTCAGAGTCCAGGTTAGAAACAATTCATTAGATTTCAAAACCTATATTCTCTTTATGAACCAACACAAAACTTTATATTTGATTTTGGAGTGCATCTTTTTATTCTCCAGAAACAGGAAATTTATCTTCACAACTGTGTTTTGCCCTGGTGACTGTTTAAACTAGCCTGCCTCCCCAATCTGCTGCAGTGTGGTGCTGCTGCTAATGTCTGGGGTCTTTAGTCACAAATGGAAATCTGAAAGCAAATGTTGGCATAAAAAATACCCACCAAAAAGATAATCCTAGGCTGCACTCTGTCCGCCCACCTGTGACTATGCAGGTGCTTCCTTTCACCAACTCTCTCCCTCTGCAGGACAACAGCCTCCTGCCTGCCCGTGACCTGTACCTGCCGTGACTTCTGCTCACTGGCCTCCCTCAGCAGAGGCAGCTCTCCTCAGGGCCGCCTGCCTGCAACCACGCAGGCCTCCCTCAGCAAACCTGTCCCTCTCGGGCAGCTCTTCCTGCCCGCTGCTGTCTATGCAAGTGTCCTTTATTCCTTTGTCCCTTTCCCTAATAAACCTGCTCTTTAAATACATATATATAAAGGTAATCCTAGGATATGTTCAGTTAAATTTTTTTTAAAGATTTATTTATGCATACAAGAGCTGGGGTACAGGCCAGAGATGCAGGGGGTGAGAGGATCCACCAGAGATAGAGCGGGGAACAGAACAGGCAGACTAACTGAAATACACTGCTGAGGGGAGTAGCGGGGAGACAGGAGAGGTCTGCTGCGCCATGTGGGTTGCTCCCTGGCCGGCCAGGGATCGAACTCGTGCTACAGAGGTTGCGGACTGCTTCATAGTGCGCTGCTTAACCCCTTCTGCCACCAGGGAGGCCCCAGTTCAGTTAAGTTCTTAAAAATATTCCTGAATGATGGGAAACATTCAGGAAAAAATAATTCTTTAACCCAGTTGAGTAACATAACCTGAATTTGTCTTATAATTTTTTCTCCTTTCTTTTATATGTACTGATTAAGCATTCAGGAGGTCAATCAGCTTGAGGGGGCAGTTAGGGAGAACTGCTTCATGAGTTAGAGAACACTGCAGAATCCAGCTCTTGAAAGTGATGATTCAGCAATTTCAATCTGTAGCTGTCAACATACAGGAGAAAGGAGAGGTCTGCCAAACATGTAGGCCCATGGGAACCAAGGCTAAGAGCCTCATTCCTGAGTGTCTTCAACTCTGCTCATCATTCCAGAACAGGATCTTAAAAATTTCAGTAGTTAGGGCCTCCCTGTTGGCACAAGGGGTTAAGCACCGCACTGTGAAGCAATACACAGCCTCTGCAGCACAAGTTCGATCCCTGGCCGGCCAAGGAGAAACCCACATGGCGAGGCAGACCTCTCCTGTCTTGCCCGCTGCTCCCCTCAGTAGTGTATTTCAGTCCGTCTGCCTGTTCTGTTCCCTGCTCTGTCTCTGGTGAATCCTCTCACCCTCCTCCCACCACCCCACATCTCTGGCCTGTACCCCAGCTCTTGTGTGCATAAATAAATAAATCTTAAAAAAAAAATTTCAGTAGTTAAATGAAAGACCAACTCTGCTTCCTTTCATATGTTTGTGAATATGCAACTTTACTGGCTCCTAAAGACTTTGGATTACAAAAGCATTTGTTCTTATCAGTGTGGCCTGAACCACTACAAATCCAAAAGGCTGTGACCACTGTGATTATATGCGTGTGTATCTGAGCTAAAGTTTTTGCATCATCTGGCCAAAAGCAAAGCACAATGACTTGTAAATGACAGTTGTCGGTGTATAAAATGAAGGTTACTGTTGCCCCCTTGTGGGCATGACAGAGTCAACTTTTACTGGGAAGTTGCATTTTCATTTAACTTCAGCTGCTCGTGAAGCCTTGCTATATAAAGTGGACATCTATAAATGCTGAAGTACAGAATCTCGAAGTCGCACAACCACCTCATGAAGCATGTATTATTATATCCCAATTTTACAGATAAGCAAAGATGGCTTACAGAATTAAATCATTTTGCCAATGTAAGGCATTTAGTCAATTAATAAATCAATATTTGAACACTGTTCTAAATGGGAAATTCTGTGTACACTTTGTATACAGTCTTGCTATTTTACCACAGTGCTCTTTGATATTGTATAGACTTAACCAGGAATACAGTCATTTACTTTAAAATGAACATCAGAAACAGAAAAAGAAACCAATAGTCAATTGGAAAATCTAGATTTAAATGAGGATAAAAGTTCATTGTAAAAAAAATTTGTAAGAAGATGTTGAAAATAAGCTCCGTTGGCTCCTTTTTAGATAGATGTTTCATTAAAACATGCTCAGAAAATGCTTTTCTCTACTTTGTTGTTATATATGTTCTCAGGAACAAATCAAGACTCATACTTTATTCAAATAATCACATATACATCCTTCACTCCAACAGCCACTTACTTATAATTACTTATCCTACTTTATTGATTGCTACTTTAGACTACGAATATTTCACTATTCTCCTGAACAGGTCCAGAAGTGAAGCACCCTACGGATTCATTTTGGGGACAGGCATAGCACTGTAACAGACTAATCCGTGGAATTGTTTACTTTTAACACAGTAAGCACTCAGGTATAATTCCTATGTATGACCTACCCTCCCCTTAGGAAGGTTAACTCCATTAGCTTTAAGTTTTATTGTAAATCTTCTATTTGGGAATATTTTAATAAAGGAGCAGGTATTAGACAGGGTGTGCTTTCATCTCCTAGGAATCTGTGGGAGTTCTGTTCATTTTAAGTCCAAAATAAATGATACATTATCAAAACATCACCTGAGGCTGTTTTGGTGTTGGCTGAAGAAACAAGGCTGGCGAGGCTGACGACCTCTCCTGACGTGAAGAGGAAAGGGGTGGCCACGGTCACCGGCGCGGCTCTCTCGGGGTGAGCGTTCACCTGGTTGTGCATTGCTTCCTACACAGCAAGGCAGAATATTTCAAAGTCAGAACACTCACTAGCTCAGGTTATACAGTTACTAAACAGCCACCCCCTACAATGCTCTATCAAGCAGAACTAGTTCCGGCACACAATGTCCCAGGGAGGCAGCTGAGAGTTCTCATTAAGATACTGTTTTTTCAGACCGAGGGGAACAGAGATATTTGGTTGCTTTCCCATGCTTATTTGAACTTTAGAAAAGCAAAATGTATTATTTGCAAAAACTTCTAGAAAATTCACTTCCAGATCCTGAGTATTCTTTTTTTTAATTCTGAAACACAAGAGTGCTATCTGAATCGTCTAAAAAAGTAATTTCCAGCACTAATATTCTATGATCAATTATCTACCAGTCATTGTCCCTGCAGAGATTCTACAGAGAACAAAATTCTCCAGAGTTTTCTCCAACAACTTGTTCCATTCTGCCACTGAAGACATGCCCGAGAGACCATGTAATGAACAAATAACGAGTGCCAGGTTTGAAAGTCTAGTTCCATATGCTGGACTCTTCCTTCCAGGGACAGTTGTACAATTCCAGTATAAAGATGCTTATCTGTATTCATTTATTGTACTTTCAGAAGCAGTTTTTTACAAACAGGATCGCTCCTAAAAAAAAACCCCAGTTATGAAAGGGCTTCTGAGCAAGGACCTGAAAGTTGAGCAGGATAACCGGTCTACAGGGAACCAACCATCTGCAGTAACCAACCAACCCCTGAAAATGCGGCAGGAGAGGTGATCTGTGTTTCGCGTAATTATCCTCTTGACTGAGAACTTCGGTTGAGACAGATTATCCACTCTCTAGTTACTGTTAAACTCCTTGAATCTGCCTCTTCTATAATTCAAGCCCTCACTGGTTTGTTTGTATTTTTAAGCTTTATTTATTTATTTATTTATACAAGCACGGGGTACAGTGAGAAGTGCGGGAGGGTGAGAGAACCCACCAGGGCCAGAGCGGGGAGCAGAGCAGGCAGAAGGACCGAAGGACACTGCTGAGGGGAGCAGCGGGCGGCAGGAGAGGTCTGCGCGCCATGTGGGACCCTCCTCTGGTGGCCGGGGACCAGCCGGGGATCGAACCGGCGCTGCAGAGGCTGCGGGCAGCTTCGCAACCTAGCGCTCAACCGCTGCGCCACTGGGGAGGCCCCCTCACTGGTTTTTACCTGCTCTAATGAAAGCCTAACCGTATAGCTCTTCAGCATTAAGTGTCTCCTCACTCCAGTGTGTGTACCACACTCTAAACAATCATTTAAACAAAAAACCTAACCACATCAATCCACCATTTAAGAGCTTTAGTTGGAGGGACCTCCCTGGTGGTGCAAGGGGTTGAGATGCAGCACTATGAAGCTATCCACAGCCACTGCAGCACGAGTTCGATCCCCAGCAAGGGAGCTACCCACATGGCGTGGCAGACCTCTCCTGTCTCTCCCCTGCTCCCCTCAGCCATGTGTTTTAGTAGATCTGCCTGCTCTGCTCCTCACTGTCTCTGGTGAATCCTCTCACACACTGCACCTCTGTCCTGCACCCGTTTTTATATGCATAAATAGAATAAAAAATAAATCTAAAAAACAAACAAATTCTATACAGATTTTAATCCTTGCCTTAAGCATCATTAACACTCCTCTGTGCTCCAGTAGCACTTGCTAGATACGTGTTTACGCTGTGGTAGTGTGATGCTTTATTTCCTTCATTCCAAGGGCAGGGCCATGTCCTGTTAATCTCTATATCCCTTTTCACCCTGGTAACAAATGCTGGCTTAGGAAATTAATGGATGAAATAATTTCAGATAATTTTTAATTCTGAGATGTCTTCCTTATCACTTACCATGCTTTAGAGCTACATGCTATTTCACATCAGTTGATGGACATTCAGGAAACAGAGAAAGGCATTTAATACTGTCCCAAGTCAAGGTTAATTAAAAAGGGAAATTTTCATAGCAGGGAAAAAATATTCCAAGGCGAAATAAACCTCATTTGTGTACTGGCCATGACATTGTTCTTCAATCGCTGCAAGTCACGACTTTATAGAACCTTGTTTTTTTTTTTTTAGAAAGACACTAATGACACAAATTACAAGACCGAGGCTTACTGGAATTACCACTTTGATAAGACATGGATAATTCAGTTTTGCTTCAGCGCCTACCAAAAATATCCTTAACGTTAACTGACGCATACTCGGGGGTGTAAAGAGCAGCACACCTGAAGGATGACCAGGATCTCAGCGTTGTTCTTCTCCAGGGCGATGTCGAAGGCAGATTTATCAAACTTGCTGAAGGCATGGACATCAGCGCCGTATTTAATAAGCAGCTCCACGACGTCCCGGTGGTGGTGCTCTGTGGCCCAGTGCAGCGCTGTCATCTTCAGCATGTCCTTGGCATTCACATCTGCGCCGTTCTGTCACAGAAAAGCAGCTTTTTCACACAGACATTGGTTATAGCAGCACAGGTGCAAGGGCCCATCACCATAGAGATCACAGGTATTCAAATTTAGATCATGTCTCAAAAATATCAAAAGGAAAAACGTTTCTCACATTCTCCTGAATGCTGACAGACATACTGGCTTCAGCGAGCGGGTCTTCTAAGGACATGACTGGGAAGTCATAACAGATGGGAGAGAAAGAGGAAAAGAACAGGTTTTTGTTGCATTTATTAACAGAGAGCGGAGCGCTTGAGAACTAAGCGTGAGTGCAGGGAACACCTGCAGAAAGGGAAGGAAGGAAAATCAATAAAGTCTGTTTAGCGTAGGAAACAAATGGTCACAGCCACGATGCCTCCTGCAAGAGATGCCACCTGCTGCCACAACTGCCCTGAACTTGCTGCCGGAACTGCCCTGACCTTAAGCCCCCCCGGCCGCGTCCTGCCACCACTCAAGGACAGAAGAAGGTGGGACCTTTGCCTCGCTTTACCCTAACGAGCAGGTCCACGATGCGAGCATGTCCATCAGCCGCGGCCATGTGCAAGGGCGTCCTGTCCACTTTGGTCCGCGCGTCCCTGCTAACGCCTGCCCGGAGGAGTACTTCTGCTGTGGAATAATGGCCGTACTGGGCTGCAAGGTGGAGGGGTGAGGTTCCAAGCTGTAGGGAAATAATACTCATTGAATGTCAAGCGGGTGCAGAGCGCTAACTCATCCCAGGACAGAAATGAACAAGAGGTAAAGTCTATGGTTCCTGTCCTTGGAGAGAGAAGCTGGGCAGATAGGACAGAAGAAATTATTTATTAAAAAAATAATATACTGGGCCTCCCTGGTGGTGCCAGGGGTTAAGTGTCAGCACTATGAAGCCACTGCAGCACGAGTTCGATCCCCAGCCAGGGAGCTGACCCACATGGCGCAGCAGACCTCTCCTGTCTCCCTGCTGCTCCCCTCAGCAGTGGATTTCAGACAATGCACCTGTTCTGCTCCCCACTCTGTCTCTGGTGAATCCTCTCACTGCCTAGTTCTTGTATGCATAAATAAATAAATCTTTAAAAAAAATAACATACTAGGTTCCTCAGCCTGCTAAAAATGGAGCTACCATAAGACCTGGCAATTCCACTCCTAGGGATCTACCCAAAGGACACAAAAACATTGATTCAAAAGACCACCTGTACCCCTATGTTTACTGCAGCACTATTTATAATAGGTAAAACCTGGAAACAAGCCAAATGCCCCAAAATAGATGACTGGATCAGGAAGATGTGGTACATATACACAATGGAATATTATTCAGCAATCAAAAAAGATAAACTCATGCTATTTGCAGCAACATGGATGGAACTAGAAGGAATTATGCTCAGTGAAATAAGCCAGAAGGAAAAAGAAAAATATCGGATGGTTTCACTTATAGCAGGAATATAGGGGACCCAAATAAGACATCGGGGAAAAAATAGTAACAGTACAAAACACAACAAAGCAAAAACGGACAATTATAAACCAGAGACACACTGCAGGGGAGGAGGAGGGAGAGGGAGCCAAGGCAGGGAGGGAGGAGCACAGGGGACTGAGGTGATGGTGCACTGGGGAAGGAAACTCTATGGGGACTCCACCCGAGGGGGTGGGAGGAATTAAATATTGCTTAAAAATGAACAAAGATGTAAAAAATTTAAAAAATTTAATAAAAAATAACATTACTAATGGGCCAGTAAAAACACCAGCAATTAAGTATGTGCTAAGTCCAATGGATTTAAGTGAAGTGGGCTTATTAGGGAAGATCCCCTAAAGGATGTGCTTGAAGCAGGGCTTAGAAGAAGGTAAAATACCTGACAAGACAAAAGCATTCTGAGTCAGGGGTAAAAAGAAGGGATACTAAGTTCAAAACCTAAAAAGTTACAGGTGGTATTTGGGGTGTTCATTTATTGGCTGGAGTAAGCTTGTTGCCACATTAAAATAAAGCAAAAAAATGTGATGAAGAGGGGATACAAATTTAGCAATGATGTGTCAACAGCAGTAAGACAGTCTATCAGGCTTCCCTGGTGGCCTAGGGTTCAAGTCTCAGCACTCCCTGTCCTGCTCTCCACTCTGTCTCTGGTGAAAACTCTCACCCCCTCCCCACCGCTGGCCAACTCCCCAGTTCGTCTACAGAAAAAAAAAGTCTATCATCTCAAAGTAAATCTCTCCGGAGTCATCTGTCAGTGCGCACTGTGCTCAGCAGCCTGTCCCTTTCTCTGTATTATGCGCTTTATCTTCTGCCTGTTCATTTATTCTTTGCCTTTCATATGTTCACCCTCTGCCTGACTGGGTTTCATTCTCACACTGCTCTTTTCAGGTCTATTTATAGAAACGCTAATCTCATGGGTTCCCTTTTCTTGAAGTGCTAAGAACCTGCTGACCTCTAAAGTCATGAATTAATCACCCCAGAATAGAGGATACTCATTCACTGAATTGGTAAAATCAGGCAGTGCTCACAACCATCTGCGCATGCTAAGCAAGCCCAGTGACACCCTGGGCCTGGATCTTCTGGAACTGCTCTCCAAGTTGTCTGTCTAGGCTCATGAAATCACACCTTACTCTTTAATGTTTTTTAAACAGTGTAAAGGAACAAAATGGCTAGACTACGAACCAGGACATTTTAGAGAAAAGGAAAAAGGGGCTTATTATCTTGGGATTTCACTCTTATTATACTGATTTTATTCAATTTCCAGCTAATTACAGAAGCCTACAGCCCAAGTACACTCCAGGGAGAATTAAACCTTACAAAAATACTCTAAAAAACGGGTCTCCCTGGTGGTGCAGCTGGTAGAGCGCCGCACTGCGAAGCTGGCAGCAGCCTCTGCAGCGCTGGTTCGATTCCTGGCCGATCAGGGAGATGCCCACATGGCACGGCAGACCTCTCCTGTCATGCCTGCTGCTCCCCTCAGCAGTGCTTTCTGCCTGTTCTGCTCCACGCTCTGTCTCTGGTGGATCCTCTCACACCTCTGGCCTGTACCCTAGCTCTTGTGTAAATGAATAAATCTTAAAAAAAAAAATACTCTAGGGCCTCCCTGGTGGCACAGCAGTTGAGCACTGGGCTGCGAAGCTGCCCGTAGCCTCTGCAGTGCCTTTTGATCCCCGGCCCCGGCGAGGGTCCCGCAGACCTCTCCTGCCGCCCGCTGCTCCCCTCAGCAGTGTACTTCGTCAGTCTGCCTGTTCTGCTCCCTGCTCTGGCTCTGGTGAATTCTCTCACCCTCCCGCACTTCTGACTGTACCCAGTGCTTGTATAAATAAATAGATAAATCTGGGCCTCCCTGGTGGCTCAGCAGTTGAGCGCTGGGTTGCGAAGCTGCCCGCGGACTCTGCAGCTCCGGTTCAATCCCCGGCTGGTCCCCGACCACTGGGTGAGGGTCCCACATGGTGCGCAGACCTCTCCTGCCGCCCGCTGCTCCCCTCAGCAGTGTCCTTCAGTCCTTCTGCCTGCTCTGCTCCCCGCTCTGGCTCTGGTGAATTCTCTCACCCTCCCGCGCTTCTGACTGTACCCAGTGCTTGTATAAATAAATAAATTAATTTAAAAAAAAAAGAAAAATAGATAAATCTTTAAAAAAAAAGTCTAAAAAGTATTATAGAAAATCACAAGTATATAATACCTTACAATTACCACCAATATATTCACAGGAGACTTTTTCAATGTGGCAAATTAAAAGAGAAAGAAAACCACATATTCAGATGAGACAAAGAAAATAAAACTCTTGTAGAAGAATGAGACAGAAAGGGAATGAAGAAAAATCAATAAAAGCTGTTTAGCTTTGAAGAAAAGGATTGGTAACGGCTGACACTGGGAATAATGAAGAGGGCTCACCCAGTCCGTGGTGAAAGGGGCACCATTTGCCATCAATGTTCTCACTTCATCATCTTGGCCTTTTCTTGCTGCTTCTAGCAACCTCTTCCCCAAGTCCACCAAAGACATCTTTATGCATAGGAACAAAAGTTTTCGGGAAGCTATAACTCAAACATAAGGGAAGGTGCCTGTAAAATGTTTTTCGAAAAAACCCTCGTACTCAAACCTACGGCAGTATCTTCTTATGCTGCCTACCTCACCTGACGCAATCAGATGGCTGGGGAAGTTTCAGGTACTTAAGGATAGTGCACTTACTTTCAATCTCCAGAAAAATAGTTAGGAAATATGTGTAACACATTACTACCTCTCCAGCTTAAGGAATAAAGTAGAATTTTATTCTTTGAAATAAAATGTATGGGTACATATGTTATGTGGAGGAAAGAGTAATAGACAAACCAAGGTCACTGAGACTCAAGTATATGGCAGGCACTTTTTGAAAAATGAATGAAGTATGCCTGACACTTCAAGGAAATCAACTGATAGCATTTATTGCCAATTATCAGTTATAATTCGGGCTTTCAAGTAAAAATTAGAATTTCAGGAAACCCGTATGCATCAGCATAAATTGACAGTCTACTACAAATGGTTCTGATGAAATCAGTGGTGACTTTTTTTTATTATTATATAATAAAATGAATCAACATGTGGCTGAGGTGCATTATATGAACCATTATTTTTCAAATGATCAATAAATGTTAGTCAAGCAAGGGTAAAAGAGTCATTCAAAGTGAAAGATCAATGGACTTCAAAGTAACAGAATACAAAAAGTTCATGGACAAGGTTTCTGATTCCTCACTGCAACTAACTTTTAAGAAAATGCCATTCACCGAGTTTTTGTGTGGCATTAAATTCCCACAATTACCAGAAAAAACTATTAAAATATCCCCCCTTATTCAAGTACATTCCTCTCATTATTTCTTTAACTTATAAAATATATTTTTCACTACAATGTGTTGTAACACATATTAGATTTATTACTGTATTTTTACAAAAGACTTATTTTATTTATTTATGCATACAAGAGCTGGGGTATAGGCCAGAGGTGCGGGGGTGGTGGGTGGTGAGAGGACTCACCAGAGACAGAGTGGGGAGTAGAACAGGCAGCTATACTGAAATGCACTGCAGAGGGGAGCAGCAGGTCAGACAGTGGAAATCTGCTGTGCCATGTGGGTCACCTCCCTGGCTTGGGATCGAACTCACGCTATAGTAGCTGTGGATTGCTTCATACTGCTAAGACTTAACCATTTGCGCCACCAGGGAGGCCCCTGTTGCTGTATTTTAATTAAAGAACATTAAAAAATTAATTTCTAAAACAGTAAATAGCAACAGATGTAACATCTTGGAGCCCTCAGTAATTTTTAAGATTATAAATAAATTCTGAAACCAGAATCAATGCTTCACTATGTGAACTTAATTTTCCCATCACAGAATACTGTGCTCAAACATGGGTGTCCAGGAGACCACCAGGGCGGTTTGTTAAAAATGAAAATACCAAAGGTTCTAGCCCAGGTCCTCTAAGCTCAGAAATAGAGGGTGAACTTTAACAGTGTGAACTTCTATCATGGGATCTAAGTGTTAGTTTTTTACAACTCAAGAAAATGCTAGAAAAAAAAAAAAAGGATAACAAAATCTTACAGAAAACTAATACCTCACATTTCCCCATGGTTATTTCCTTTCAAAAATTTAAAACTGGGCCTCCCTGGTAGTGCAGGCCTAAAAGTCTCAGCGCTATCAAGCTACTGCCAGCCACTGTAGCAAGAGTTCGATCCCCAGCCATGGAGCAACCCACATGGCACAACAGACCTCTCTGCCTCCTAGCTGCTCCCTCAGCAGTGGATTTCAGTGGATCCGCCTGTTCTGCTCCCCAATCTGTCCTTGGTGAATCCTCTCACCCCCGCCCCCAGCACCTCTGGCCTGTACCCCAGCTCTTGTATGCATAAATAAATCTTTATAAACCACATTCACGTCTTAAAAAAAACAAAACAAAACAAAACACTGTCTTTCCATTATCTAAAAGGAAATTTTGGAGTCCATGCATTCGTGAGCACTGAATGGTAGCCAATCTCAATCTGTCACCCATTTAAGCAGGCAGTGAAAAGCCTTATTTCTTACAAAAAAAAAAAAAAAAGATAAGAACTGAACTTTGGGATTAGAACTTAAGTGGGTCTTTATACTCTTCGCCGGGTACACACAGCAGGTCTCCTAACGCGTCAGGGCTCCTGCCTCCCCTTGTGCTAAGTTACTCTCTCCTGCGCTAACCCCAAACACTGATCTTAGGAAAGTGAAGTGTATCTTCTAAATAACCGCATTTTGGCGGCACGCCCACCGGCGAGGGAGTCCCCAGGACCCGGGGGAGGAGCGCACCCCCGCAGGAAGCACCCAGATCCGTCCTCGGCTGTTTAAAGACCGGGAGGGCTGCGCCGCCGCCGGGCGCGCTGCCCTCGGGGCCACGCCCTGTGCCACAAGCGGGCCGACCGGGCCCGCCGCCGCCAGGGCGCGCGAGGGCGCGGGACCCGGGGCTCGTCCACGGCGCCCCGAGCCGGGCGGGGAGGGGCGCGCCGGCCGGCTCGGAGGCCGCAGGAGCGGGGCTGCAGCCCGAGGTCCAGTCCGCGACCAGGCTCCCCGCGTCCTCGCGTCCCCCGCCGTGCAGACTCGGGGCGCAGCCGGAGGCGGGGCTGCGCGCTCGCGCTCCGCGGGCCACGGTCGCCCCAAATCTCCAGGCGCCGACCCGGGTCACGGGCCTGGGGGCCCCCCGGCCCCCTCGGCCTCCGGCCCCCGGCGCCAAGTTCTCTTTCTGAGCACGAGCGAACCCGCGGGGAGCCCGGGTCAGCCTCGGGGGCCGCCCCCGGCCGCGCTCCGCGCCGCCCCCTGGCGGTCACCCCCGCGGCCCCGGCTCCCCGCCGGCCGCTCCCGGCCCCAGGTCGGCCCCCCCGCACCTCCGCAGTCCCCTCCCCTTCCTCCCGGCGGCGTCCCCTTCCTCTCGGCCCCCTCCCCAGCTCCCCGCGCCGGGCAAGGGGCGCCGCTCGGGAGCGGCCGCAGCGCGGGGCGCCCCCCGCCAGCCCCGGCCGAGCCCGCGCGCCCCCGCCGCTCACCTCCTCGCGCGGGGCGCCGCCGCCTGCGCGCTCGCCGCGCCCGCCAGCTTGGCCCCGGCCCCTCCGCTACTCAGGAGCCCCTGTCAGTGGCGGTTCCTTTTGGCCTTTTCGTGTATGCACATTTGGGGGGCCTGGAACCCCCCCTCGCGGAGAAATGGAGGCAACAAAATGGCGGACCCGGAAGTGCGCTCGCCGCGAAGGCCCGCGCCGGCGGAGGAATCCAAGACGGGGCCCCCCCCGGCGAGCCCACATCGCCCCCGAGCCGGCAGGGGGGGCGCCTCCGAGGCCCCCTTCGCGCGCGCCGACGGCCTGGCGGGGCGGGGGGTGCGCGCCGGGGGGCCTCGCGCCCGGACTACTTGGCGCGGCGGAGGCGGCGCTGCGCGCGCAGTCCCGGGCTGGGCCGGGCCGGCGGGGATGGCGGGTCTCGGCCCGGCCGCGCCGAGTGGGGCGCCGGTGCCGGCCGGGCCGGCGGGGCTGAGCGCGGAGTCGCGCCCGCGGGGGGCCCGGGAGGATGGGGCGTGGGTGCGCCCGGCTGTGGGACGCGCCCCCGCCCGGCGCCGGGCGGCCGGGCCTGCACCCCGCTGCCCCTGCCCTCTGCGCCCCGGCACAGCCCCCGCTCTCTCCGGCCCCCCCAGAGTCAGAATCTTGTCTTCCCGTGTCACGTCCTCCTGCGGCGTCTGGCGCGCCTCCCTGGCTCGTGGGCACCCCCGACTGTGAGCTGGGCCAGATCGCCTTGTTTTTGCAGTGAGGGGAGCGCGCGCCGGTTGCTTACTGGGGGCGGGGGACGCGTTTATTTTCCGGGGCACCGTGGCTGGGAGCATGTTGGTAGCCGGCGGCAAGCGGAGGCGGGGGCTGCAGTTTCCTCCCCAAACACTAAAGTATTCTTAAATTCATTTCACCCGTCCCCCCCCCCCACCCCCGGTTCGTGACGTGAGTATAAAGGCTACTCTGGTCACTCAGGGTCGAGCACTAGGGAAGGTCTAGAAGGTGGAGGCCGGGCCCTGAGGCCCTGAGGCGCAGCCGCTTCCCTGAGAGAGGCGCGGAGCTGGGGTTGCATGTCTTTATTAAAGAAACAGTCAGGGCAGCACAATCAGCAGCAACACTTCAGGGGGGCGGGGAGGTGCGGGTCAGGGGTGTTCATTCCTGAGCCGAGGCCCAGGCGGTGCTGGACATGGCGAAGCAGAGGCAAGACTAACACCGGCCAGGAAACCTGTGCCTGGGAAGCGGGCAGAACCTTACAGATGGTTACTCCCGCCCGCGGGGCTGCAGCTTACAATGTAAAACTGATTTCCTCGGTTCGGCCCACAGTGGGGAGCCAGGCTGTCCAGTGAGCTAACTCGAAGAAGGGACACCCTTTTGAGAGCACAGCTCGCCATCGGTGCTTCTCATTTTCCAGAACGTATCAGCTCCTTTTGTTTTAGGTAACCTTAACCCCAATCTCTGAGGAAAAAGTGTATTACAAGGAGGAATAGGATCAAACAAGCAAATCTTCCTTATCACCTTAGCCTTCTAGAAATCCTGCCTCCTAGGAGATAATCTCAAAATCTACCTGGTTTTCATCAACCCTGGAAGAAATGCTTGTGTTCACTGCGTGTAGCAGCAAATTAGGAAGGCGATCTCTGAAGCTGATTAAAGTGAAGACCAGTCCTCCATTTCACACTACTGGCCTCCTCTCTGGTGCCCCCACGCCCATTCCTCCATTGCTTGAGCCCCTAGGTGGCTTGCGGGCCTTTGAGAGAACTGGGAAGATAGTTACATAAATAAATAAATAAATAAATAAATAATAAATAAATAAATACAACACGACTGGCAGGTTCATCAGCACCACCTCAACACAGAAGAGGGGAGAGCGAGGTTAAATGGGCAAAGGGTGGACAGGAGGGGTTTGGAGAGGAGATAATGAGGGCCAGGCGGCGGGAGAGAGAAGTCAGGGCATCAGAGCAAGTCCAGTTCAAAGGCATGGATGCTGGCGATGGGCGCTCTCCAGAAGTTGAAGGTGCTGTACTCGAGCAGGGCCTCGCCGTCCAGGTTTTTCTCCTCTGCTCCAGCTGCTTGCCCAGCCATTTTGCCAGCTTTGCCATCCTTGATCTTGTAGGTGGATGTATCCGACAGACCCAGGCCTTCCAGCTCTGACAGATCCAGTTCTGGAATGGGCATCCTCCAGAAAAGGAAGGAGCTGTACTGGCTGCTCACAGGGTCCCTCATAACTTCCTAGAAAGAAGCCACTTGTCAGTCTTCCTGCTATAGCAAGCTCCCTGGCCCTGGGCCTGTCCTTGCTTAGAAACTCACATCCCCATCTGCCTGTGTATATAGCCAATCCCAAGAGCCAGGAACCCTTTATAACCATTTTTTTTTTTATCATTTCCTAACTTCACCCCATTGGGGAATGACATTTTAACGCCTACTACATCAAGTCCATGGGTCTGGTTTTCCAGGCTTTCCAGAATCTGGCCCCGCTCTTAGCAGGACATTCTCTGCTAGTTATGCTACAGCTCAACCCTGTCCACTCTCAGCTTAAATGCTACCCACGTTCCAAGTCCCTAGAGGAATCCTTCCCCTGAATTCCAACTATATTTGCAAATATTTGACTTTTTTCTTTTTTTTTTCATTTTTTTATTTTATTGACTTTTTAAAGAGTTTTATGTATTTATGAATACAAAGGCTGGGTGAGAGGATTCCCTAGAGACAGAGTGAAGAGCAGAATGGACAGGTCCACTGAAATCCACTGCTGAGGGGAGCAGCGGGGAGACAGGAGAGGTCTGCTGCGCCCTGTGGGTAGCTCCCTGGCCGGGGATCGAACTCGTGCTGCAGTGGCTGCAGGTAGCTTCACAGTGCTGAGACTTAACCCCTCACGCCACCAGGGAGACCCAATATTTGACTTTTTCCTTTCTGTGGCTTAATAGGTAATGGTACCACTGAAAAGGACTTCCATGGCATTTCAGCTGTTTTCCTCCCTGCCTTCTAAAGTCTACAGTCTCTTCTTGGACAACTGACTTCCTTAAGCTTACTCAGCTCCATCTCCACTATTTCCTCCAGCATCTGCCCCCAATACCCTGTAGAGTTTTACCTGACTACATGAGTTTGGGGTTATAGATCACTGTTATGTCTCCTGTGTAAAGGGATAGTCTCGCCTTCGAAGGACAGAGAGTGTCACCAAGGGAAAAAACCAATCTTCTCTGTACGTTTGTCAAAAGTGTTGGGCTTTGCACACAAAAGACATTCCAGGCTGCTGATTAATTTTCCCTCACTGTTTAACACAATGAATACCTTGTCACTCTAACATATTAGCCCACAGACAAGCCTTAACAATCTGCTTTTCTTTCTCTAGACTACCTCTCCTGCAGAACAAAACCCCTGGTGCTAGAGAAGAATCTTCCTATGCTGAATGGAATCTCTTCTCTGATCCCAGTGTTAGAACGTATCTGATGAAAGCGAGAGCAAATGGATCGGAAATTTCAGGGAAGGAAAGGAAAGTCTAGGTTGGAAGGAGAAAGTCCTCTACAGAGTTAGCTAAGTTCCCATGCTTCAGGACTATTTCTGTTGCCTTTTTGGCTCATCCTACCCACATCCTGATCTATGACTGTTCTGCCTCCCTGCAAGCTCAAGCTGCTTTACTCGCCAAGAGAAGGGGCAAGAAGCATTTGTTGAAATGTTCCCAAAGGAGCAGAAAAAACATTCCACTGCCTCCTAAAATAGAGGCCCTGTCTCAGAGGCCTTCCTGCAATGTGCTCCACTAGTGCTCCCCAGGCCTTGAGACTCCTAAATAGTGGCCCAAAATAGCTCCTAAAATGGCACCATATAATGTGTTAGGCAAACCTGATAACCAGTACAGAGACTTTGTAACCCTGCATAATGTGAAAAATCTCTACTCAGGAGAAAAAAAAAAGTCTTAATCTAGAACACGGTTATGAGTGGGGGCTTTAGGAATGGTGAATGGGTAGGCTATTTTTAATGTTTAAAAAGAACTGAGTTGCTCTTTTTCTCCTCAGACTCATGCTCCAAAATAAGCTTTGGAACCTGAGCATTACTCAGCAGAGAAGCTGCTTAAGAGGGTGGTGTGGGAACTGGAACTGGGTGGGGGAGCGTGTTGGAAGGTGAAATCATCATCCTGTGATACTCTGCTCTGATCATCCCCATGTAATTTGCAGAGACGTGCACAGACGGGAGCTACAAGTAAAGGTTCTACCTATTAACCAGCTGCTCAGGGGACGTTCAGAAATCCCAAGAAGCAGATCTTAGGAGTCAGCCGTGTTACTGACTTGCCACAGGAATTTTTTTTACGATAACATTACAGTTATGTGCCTCCCAAACTGTTTTTTTTCTTTTTTAATGTCCCCCAACCCTTACCAGCACTCACCAGAGCAAACTTGGTATAATGCTGGGCACATAAAAGACTCTTTAAAAAACAGAAACCATGGTGGTTGGGGGGAAGCAGCAAAGAATTTTAAAACCAGAAAACACCTTCAAAATTATCTAGTGACTGATAAGACCTTCAGCCAGTTTGGACAGAATCCGGGCCTCCTACTCCCAGTCTGGTTCATTGGTACCAATATTCTCAAAACTTGCAGCAATTCTTAGTTCCTGAAGAACAGAATCAGTGGTTTAGGAGATGACTATTCTGGTGATCCTGACCTCACAGGTGAAAATGCCAAAGGCAGCAAGTGAGAACTGAGAGGGAAAGCTCTGATAGACCGACCTAAGTTCGGAGTATATTTAAAAATCATCCCTGGGTGTCTGGTAGGGCTCCTCTTGCAATTAAAAAAAAAAGAAAAAAAACTAAAGGAAATTTTATGAACTATTAAAGGGCCAAAAAACCTCCAGTTGTGCTACTCACTTGGAGACGTGTGCCGTTGCAGGAAGACGCTCATACTGGCATTTAAACTCAAGTAAAGGACACTGACTGGTCAGAAGACTGAAGCTAAAATACTCTTCACATTAGTAATGAAACTGCCAAATGTAATCAGGGTGGATGAACTCCCAAGCCCCCAAATTTTGCGAGAGGTCCCTTTCCGTTAGCTTGCTCTTCCCCTCCCCAGATGTCCGCCACCCACACCTCTTCTGTCTTCACATCTCCCGCTCGCTTGTCTGAAGGCTTGGACAATGCCTTCTAGCCACCCTGTGCTCAATAGCTCCTTCCCACTATCGCTCATTAAAATTACCTACATATAGTAGGCAGAGGTAATTTTTAAGTGTCACTCGTACACGGTCAGCAAATTTATAGTATGGAAGGACACATTCTCTTTGAGTCAAAAGGACACACCCAAATACCCTTTGTCCAGACCCTCCGTGGGCTGCAGGGCCTACCCAGCAAGGCCTTGCTGTGTCATGCCGCCACTGTGGGGAGGACAGGGGTGGTGGCGGCGGGTGACAAAAGCTCTCGCATCTCATCTGTGCCTCATTCTGGACTTGGGTTTTCCTATTAGCCATGTTCTCCCCCCCCCCCAGCTGCAGGTGAGTATTCCTTTTACAGAATCTGATTTCAATACGGGAGGAGGCAGTTCTCCAATACAGAGAACCCCTCCTTGTGTACCTCAAGATGCCTCTTTGGAGCAACGGTTGGAGATGGGGAGCAAGGGGCTGTTAAGGGAGAGGTCAGGATTCTCTCAATATCATCATACATGCACCCCCAAAGCTCCCTCCTATGAAGGCAAATTTGGGGTGAGGGTAGGGACATCAGTACAACGGTACTGGAAAAAAAATTGGAAATGTCGGGAAGTGGAGGCTCCAGCAATCCAGAAAGACAAAGCTTCCTCAAAAACCTGATAAAACAAATGATGCCTTGAAAAGACCGACAATTAGATGAAGATAATAAAGGACGCAGAACAGTGAATTACAGCCAAATGCGCTTGAAATGAAGAAATAAAAGCTGGGAAATGCTAACTTCCCGGAAATTGTCAGGAACCAGCGCTGTGCAGGGCCTGCGGCCGCGGGCCGAGGCTGGAGGCAGAGGTGGACAGCGGGGCCCCGGCCTCACCGCCCGCGGTTCCCCGCGCCGCGGCCCCCCCTCCCGCGCGGCCCCCAGCCTCGGCCTCCCTTGGGGTCTCCGCCCGGACCCGAGCGGCCGCGCTCCCCCCCGCCCTCGGCTCGGCTCACCTGTCGTCGGGGCTCGCCGGCGCCTTCCCAAGACGGTGGGGACCGGGGCTCCGGGCCTGCGCTCGCGGCGGCGGGGAGAGCCGAGTGGGCTTCGCGGCTTTGTCTGGCGCTGGCGCGGGCGGCTGCGCGGCTGCGGCTCCCCCTGCAGAGCCGCCCCTCCTGCGGGCGGGGGCGCGCCCGCCCCTCCCGCTCGGCCGCTCCCGGCGCGCGGCCCGGGCCGCTGGGGGAGCCGGGCGGCGGGCGGCGGGCGGCGGGCGGCTCGGTGCCCCTGGGCCGAAGCCGGGGGCGAAGCCTCCGGGTGGACGGCGCCCGCCCGGCCGCCCGCGCCGGGGCCGCGGGTCGCGGGTTCAGAAGCGGGTTCGGGCCCCGCGGGCGCCCTCCAGCCCCGCCCCGCCCCCCCAAGCGGGGACGCAGCGCTCCCCCTGGCGCGCGCGGAGGGGCGCCCGGAGCCCGGGGGGCGCTTCTGCGAGTGCCCGAGCTGGGCTGGGTCGGGGGGCTCTGGGGACGCCAGTCGGTTCGGCCCCTCAATACCTGACGCGCGGGGGCGGGGCGGGCGGGGCTGGGGGCGGCCTGCGCCGGGCGGGGGGCGGGGCTGGGGCGGCCTGCGCCGGGCGGGGGGCGGGGCTGGGGGCGGCCTGCGCCGGGCGGGGGCGGGGCGGGGCGGGGCGCCTGCGCCGGGCGGGGGAGCGGCGCGCCGGTGTCGTAACCGCGTCGCCGCCGCTTCCGCCCGCCCCGCCCGCCCCGCCCGCCCGGCGCCCGCGCGGCCGAGCAGCCGAGCCCACGCCGCCAGCGGAGCCCCAGCAGCCGCGCGGCGCCCCGATGCCCGCGGCGAGCAGGTGAGGGGCGCCGCCCCGGCCGCGGGGTCCCCGGCGGGCGCGCGGGATGCGGGGGGGAGCGGGCCCGGCAGACGCGCCGGCCTCGGCGCCGGGCCGGGGGAGCCGCGGGGCGCTGGGCCGGGACCCCGACCCCAGGGGTCCGAGAGGCGCCTGAGCGCCGCGGCCCCGCGCGGCCGGGCCGGGAGTGGGCCGGGGCGCGCTGGGGAGGGGCGCGGGCGGCGGGGCGCGCTGGGGAGGGGCGCCTGGGGCCTGGTTCGGCGGCCCCGGCGCCCGCCGGACCTCCCCGGAGGAGCGCGGGGGGTGCGGCGTCCTGCCCCTCCCCTCGCTGAGAAGCGGGGTCTCCCTGCCTCCTCCGAGCCCGGGGTCTGCAGAGGGACCAGCTGCCCCCGCCTCTCGCTCGCCGGGTCTTTCTCGGCCGCTGCCTGCGAGGGCTTGTCGGGCGGCGGGCAGGAGGCCCCGGGCTGGAGGCGGCGGGACCGGGAGAACCGGTTTGGGCCCGCACAGGGCCTGGGAACTGCCTCTGCACATCCTTCCTCCCCGACCTCTGCCGCGGCTTCCCTGGCGCCCCCAGGCCGGAGGCCGAGCCCCGGTGACCTTGGCGTCCTCCCCGCCCCAGCGCACCCTCCTGCTTGGGACTCGGCCGCGTCCGGGGCTGCCCGTGGGCAGGACAGGGCCGGGCCTGGAACCTGGGCGCCCCTGGGGCTCTCCGGCCCTTCCCCTTCTCTGTGGGCTTGAAGTGCTGGGCAGGGGACCCGGGTCTCTCCTCCTGGACTTGGAGGCCCTAGACTGTGTGTTTCCTCTGCTCTCCGCATGCCTGACCCGCTGGCCCCTGGATGTTTTAAAGGAGGGCCATCCAGCTGCTCTTACTTCCTTTTCTGTCCCCCCCCCATTTACCCTGCCTGTCTCCACGCGGACCCCACCCCCAAGTCTCTGAGACCCTTGTTTTGTGTCCCAGGGAATGGAATTTCCTGGTCCCTCCTCATCATCGCTCGTTTCATGCCAGTTCCCACTCACACTCCCTCCACCCAGTTCTGGCCAGTTCCCTGGAAAGGGAACAGAAATGTCCTTGTTCCCTTCACTGCCCCTTTCCCTCTCTCCCCCCCCCTTCCACCTCTGTCCACTCAGCTGTGCGCAGGGAGGGGACCACTGGGGGAAGAGTCGGCCTGACTGGTGGTGTTGGGGTTTTCCTCCGATTCTTCATTGTTTTCTCGACTCCCCCCCACCCCCCAGCCTTACCACTTGCCACCAGCACCGGCTTGACAACCCTGTGATGACAACCCTGTGACCGGCCGACTTCCCCACTGCCCGCAGCGCCCAGTCTGGACAGCGGGCTGCTTCTACCCCCTGCAGTGGCGGGAAGGGAAGGAAGAGACAGGCCCTGTCCCAGAGGCTGGGTCCGGGGTTGCTCCCGAGGCTGTTAAATCAACCTCTCGCTCCTGAGACCAGGTCGGGCCCAGGGTGCCCACGGGCTGGAGGGGAGGGCGACTCCTGTTTGGGCTAAGGTGTGAGAGGCGGAAGTGGCCGCGTGTCCTGCGGGAGGGTGGTTCAGGACGGCCCAGGTGTGTCCTGCCCTGGCCAGCAGTAACGAAAGCGGGAGGACGTTCCTCCGTGGACACTAATGCCACGGGAAAGTTCCTGCTGGCTGGCTGGCTGGTGAAGCTTGGGGTGGACGTGGGAGGGGAGGAAGGGAGGAGAGAACAGGTCGCAGCTTGAGGGGGGGGCGAGGCAGAGCCCCGGCACGACACAACATGTGAAGAGGGTGGGGAGGCTGGGAATAAATTCCTCATGGGCCAGAAGAGAGCTGGCCCAGGTGCCTCCGCCCCGCGCGGGCGAGCTGTGCACACTCACAGATACGGCCATGACACACATGTGCAAACAGGGCTGCTCACCAGGAACGCGGTGATGCAGACACAGGATGCGGGAGAGTGTGCAGCCTCCAGGAGCGACCTCAAGGCCAAGCCATAAAGCCTGTCGTTGGCTGGGCTGGCTGGGCTCGGCTGGGCTCCGCGTCGGCTCTCGGGGAGGGAGGGGAGGGGGTAACGGCAGCCGACAGGGAGAAGTTGCTCCTGCATTTCTTACTGGGGTTCAGCCTGCTGTGGTTGGTCATTAGGGCCTGGGGCGTCAGCACCTACCTTGGCCTTAAAATCTACTTGTTCAGGGTGAGATACGGCAAAAGGGAGGGACTAGGGTGGAGACCTTGTTTGTGAGAAGAAAAAAACCACCATTTCCTCCTCAAAGTCACTGAATGCCCCTCCCTTCAGCCCCAAACCCCGAGAGAAGAGAGGTGGCTGTCCATCTGCTCGTTTCGCCCCGGCCCCCTCCCATCCTCTACCCTCGGCTCCTGCCTTCCTCTGCCTGGGCCGGCAGCTGCTGCTCCTTCACCCCTTGGTCTCCTTTTGGTCCTTTCCCTTTCCCACCGGGAGGGTTTTGGGTTTGGGGAAAGTGTTGGGGTACAGGACTAGGTCCTCTGAGGGAGCATGAGAAGCCGGAGGTTCCTCAGGATGGGGGTTTCTCATTCACCTTCCTTCTCTCTCCACCTTGTTCTTGTCCAGGGTTCCAAGCCCACGGAGGACGTGACCAGCGCCCGCCGGCCCACCCTGCGCGCTGGCCCTGCTGGCCTCTCGGGCCGCGTCGCTGACCCTCACCGCTCACCTAAGGACTCTGAGGCCTGCATCTTTGCTAGACACGTCCCTCTGAGTGAACCCCGTGTCTTACACCTGAGGGGAGTGAGGAGTGGGCGGTCGAAGCACCACAGAAGAGCCCCGGGGGCCTCCGGCGAGGAGTGAAACTGGAACCCTCAGGGAACATGAGTGAATTTTGGCACAAACTGGGCTGCTGTGTGGTAGAGAAACCCCAGCCGGTGAGTGTCCCCAGCCCGCACCCCGACACCAGACCTCAGTTACCGTAAGTGACGCGGACACACCTCCTGGGGCTGCTGTCTAGAGGCACACGCTTGCCCGCTTCTGTCGGGAGAGTTTGTGGGTCTGAGCGAGTGTGTCTGTGGACTGAAAGGGACAGGGGACGGAAGAGGTGACCGACCCAGCTCTCCCTTCCGGTCCTGTCCTTCCTGAGCTGGGCAGGGGCTGTAGGTGGGGCCTGACACCTGTCAGCTTTCCCCATTGTTTTCTCATCAGCCAGGGGTCCCTCTGCCACGGCCTTTCCCTGTCCAGTGTCTGCTCTGTGGGCCGCCCCCCGCCCCGGCCTGCGTCCGCTCTGTTGAGCGTGCCCAGCCTGCTGTGCGAGCCCCGAGCCCCTTCCCCCGCCCCTCAGCTCAGTGCCTTTCGCGACTCCTTCCCTCCTCCGCTGTGCCTGGAGGGGCGGCCTCAGCTGATGCCCCCCGTCTTCTCCAAGCAGAAGAAGAAGAGGAGACGGATTGATCGAACCATGATTGGGGAACCAATGAATTTTGTCCACCTGACCCACATCGGCTCCGGGGAGATGGGGGCCGGAGATGGACTTGCCATGGTAACGAGGGCGTGGAGAGGGCTTGTGGCTTAGAGCTGTTCCCCTTTTTGAAAGGTCAAGTGGGGGGCACAACGGCCCATGCAATGGGGAAGCAGGACAGGGCTCTGGTCCCGCTCGGCAGGTCCGGTCTCTGGGCCTGCCCTGCCTCACCTTCCAGCCAGCAGGTTCTCCTGGGTCGGGAGATCACAATGACTTGGAAGTTACTGGGGGGCTTTCCCGCAGAGCCATAGTGCCCCCCTTTCGTTGATGAGGCATGGTCTCGGGGCCGTGCGTGGTACTGTGGTCGCAGGGCCGGGGCCGAGGCCGAAGTAGCCCAGCACTCTGCCCCCAGAGCGTCCGGTGTGGATCTGTGCCCTCGGAACCAGGCTGTGGGCCCGGAGGGCCGGAAGGAGCCCCCCACCGATTGCAAGAGTCAGATGCACTAGAGGCTCCTCAGGCCCGCTTGCACCTCCTGGGGCGGGTGGGCCTGAAGGGGGCGTTGCCCCTCCCGGAGAGCCTGGTGGGTTTTCACCTTTCCAGACTGGTGGTTTTGTCAGGGGGCTGGGGTCCATCTTCTCGGGGGACACGGGGCAAGCTCTGTGCGCGGCCCGCAGCGGGGTCTCACGCGCGCTTCCCCACAGACAGGCGCGGTGCAGGAGCAGATGCGGTCCAAGGGGAGCCGGGACAGGCCGTGGAGCAACCCTCGGGGCTTGTAGCTCGGACAGGAACGGTGGGTGATGGAGGCCCCAACCCTGCACCGGGTACGCCCCAGCGCCCTGCCTCCGCCTGCCTCTCTGCCTGGACGGGAGGGAGGACGGGACGGGAGAGCCGCGAGCGGGGGCTCCGGAGAGGCTGGGAGAAAGCGGGACAAGACCCGGAGGCGCACCCTGCCTTGGCGCGGCCCTCTCCCCGAGGCCTGGACGTTCCTTTGGAAGCTAATCTCCCTCCTTTTTTTCCTTTTGAATCCAGGTTCTGCTGTCTTGAAGCCTCTGCTCTGTCCAGCCCCAAAGAGATGCTGCCCCCACCCGCCCCACCCCCGCACCAGTGACCCGGGCCCCTGCCCCTCCCGCCTGATAGTGCCTCAGAGGCTGGGGGCTGGGCTCCCTCCGCTCCCTCTGGCCAGCGCCCCTCCTGGAGACGGGTCAAGGCAGCAGGACTGACCACGAGACTACTGGTTGGCCAGAGGAGCTGGCTGAACCCTGGACACGCTGGGATCTGAGATAGGAGCTGGCAGCGCTCCCGCTCCTGCATGACGGTCGTGGCGCCACCTGTTTCTACCCTCTTAACCTGGGCCTCCTGACGCGGGCGGGCGGGGAGGTTCCCAAAGCTGAGGCCGGCTCTGCCGAGATGCTCCCTCCCCCCCTGCCTTCCTCTCTCCTCCTGGAACGAAACAGACATCGAGCAGGGGCCGGGAGGGTCCTCTGCCTCGCCCGCTTTCTTGAAACCTCAGCCCTTAGAGCTCATAGCCCCTCAGCATTTCTGCCAGCGCCAGCCTCTTCCTCTACTGAGGCCTCTAGTCCAGTGTTTCTTAGCATTACTAGCTCCGTAACAGCTTTTTCTTTTTTTAAATTAATTAAACATTTAATTTAAGAAGAGTTCTCTTAATTACCCCAGCCTGCTGCTACCTCTGCCCTTAGCATCATCCCTGTTAGGACCTCATTTTTCCCCACTGAATAGGGGTCAAGAGGTGGACCTTCACCTGATGACATTCCACTTAAGTCTTGGAGACCTGGCCTGCCCTCTGTTACCCTCCCTGCTGGCCCAGGTGAGAGGAGGAACAAGGATCTGGGGAGAAACCCAGCGAAACTAGGAGCGATCTCAGCTGCGCTTCCTGGCCGCCGAGGAGGGGTGAGCAAGGCTGAAGGCTGTTGCCTGTGAGTTTAGGAATCTTGAGCCCCTCCCAGCACAGGCCAAGGACCTCCCTCCAGAGCAAGTTTTTCAGTGCCTTCCGCACCCCAGCTGGTCACTCTGCACACTGGCCTGTGCATTTTAGGGTGTTTGGTGGCTGCCCTGGTTCTGACAACCAAAAATGTCCCCAGATCTTGCCAAATATCACCCGGTCGAGAGCCTCTGCTCCAGGTCTCTTTCTCTTGATTCCGCCCCCACCCCACCCCACCCCACCCCACCCCGTCCTGTTACTCACGATGAACTCGGTCTCCTTACAGAGCAGGCCCGTTCCTCACTGCGCTTGCCTGGGTTCCTATCTCTGGCGGAGACAGGTGGTTCCCCCCCCATCTGGGCTTGTCTCTGGAGGAGGGGCCTTTGCCACACCGGGAGGTGTGATGGGGGATGTGTGGAGAGAAAAGCATTAGAGCTGGAGACACCCCAGCTTCTCCATGAATTTCAAACTCTTTCTGTGCCCTGCCCTACAACTAGACTCAAATAAGACTCAGGGAGTTTCATGTGAACAGGCCTTCTCCTCCAGCTGAAACACCTGCTCTCGGGGGCAAAGCAAGGCGGCGCAGGGGCTCGAGGCACTTTGGTTTCTCGCAGGTGTTTCTGGTCCTGGCCCCTCTTGCAGGGCGGTGCAGCTGCAGAGCAGGGCGATGAGCTCTCACCTGCTGAGAGGAGGGCCTCTCGTCAGCTCTGGGACAGGAAGCGTCCAGCGTGCGGGGAGTGGGGGTCGGGAACGAGACTGGGGCTCACTCTGCCGAGTCCACCGTCCAGCTGGCCCCACCTGCGGTGACTGGGGTTCTGTTTTCAGATCTCAGTGCGTTTCCTGCCATTCACTTGTCAGGGTCTGAGGTGGGTCCTAGAGGCGTGTGCCCGGTTTCCTCTCAGTTCCAGCCCTACAAGCTGCTCTGGTAGTAGCTCTGGGCTCGCAGGACAGGCCCCAGAGGAGCCCTTGCCTGTCTTCCAGCCGCCAGGAACGGCTCTCCCGTGCTCTTCGCGGTGCTCGCCCCTCCGCCGCCGCCCCTGCAGCGCGGTCCGGTGCCATGGGTGCCGCCCTCGCTGTGACACGAGTCGGGGGAGTGCGCTCGAGTCATAATTTATATTCAAAATTTGTTGGACTTTTAAATACTTTTTTCAAATAAAAGTTTAAGCGAAACAGTTGCACTGTGCTCACTGCAGGCGCGTGTCGGGGAGAGGGTGGAGGTGGCGGGTCAGGTGACTCCTAGAAAGTGACTCTGGGGTTTTTGTCAACACCGCCCTTCTGGGGGAGAAGGCCAGGGGGTGTGGAGGCAGGGGGGGCACCGCTGTCTTCTAAAGGCCAGATGCCTCGTTCTTGGCCTCTTGGCATTTATCTGAGATTTTAAGACTTTAAAGAAATACTTGTTGAAGAAGAGCCGTGGCAATGAGGAAGGTGAGGCCATCAAGATTTTCTGGGGAAAACCCGGGGTGGGGAGGGCACGGCCTAGCTATACTTGGAAGTTTACTTTCAAGGTTCAAGAGATTCGTGGTCTCTCCTCCCTCAGATGCCTCTGTAAAAAGACACAAGACCAAACAATGTTTTTTCTAGTTCTGTTTTTTTATACTAAAAATACCCAGTGGATGCTGGGAATAAAAGGGGAGGCGAGGCTGAGGTGCTGGCACCTTTTCTTGCACATGGAGTGGACGTCACCTCTGGTTTCTGTCTATCTGGGTAAGGAAACAAAATAGAGAGAAGGGGAAATATTATGACCTCGTCTGGACTTTGGTCCTTTCTCACTCCAGTTCCCCACGAGCCCTCCTTCCCGCGACGAGATCACTGCTGCCCCCTACTTCTGCCCTCACATGGAGTAAGGGCCCTGGACACGAGGAGAAGGCAAAGCTGTCACCAGGACAGAGAGCGCATTGTGTTGCTGTTCCCCTCTCCTCAAGTGTCATTAGAATGTTTCATCAGGTCCGTCAGAACCTTTGGCAGCTCTTGTGAAAGCAGAGGCCCATCCTTCCTCGATTCCTGGGTTGCTGGGAATAACCCCAGGGACAGTTCTGGGGAGAGCGGCTGTTGACAGCACAACACCAGGCATGCAAACCTGCCTCAAATCCTGCTGTGACTGCCACTGACTGGCTTTGTGGACCTTGGCTTCCTCACCTGTGAGGTGGGGTCAACATCTCCAGGCAGTGTGACCCCTGGCCAGGTGTGTGCACACACCTGCACATAAGCCACCTCAAACAGCGACTGCAGGGCCTCCCTGGTGGCACAGGGGTTCGGTCTCAGCACTATGAAGCAATCCGCAGCCACAGCAGCACGAGTTCGATCCCCGGCCAGGGAGCTAACCACATGGCTTAGCAGACCTCTCCTGTCTCCCCGCTGCTCCCCTCAGCAGTGTGTTTCTGTGGATCCACCTGTTCTGCTCCCCACTCTGTCTCTGGGGAGTCATCTCACCGCCCACACCTGTGGTCTACACCTCAGCTCTTGTATGCATAAATAAAATAAATCTTAAAAAAAAATAGGAGCTGCAGTTCCTGTTAAGCTGCGCTAATAAGCTGAAAAGTATGAACTGGTTACTATCTTCTCTATCCATTAATTGTACAAGAATTCTCGGCGTATCTATAGCCGGAACAGTCTGGTCAACAGCCATCTGATGACCAGGAATACACGTGGCCTGGTAACCCACCGGCAGTCGCTTGGGAAATAGGCGGGCCCAGTGACTGACAGTGAGGTGAAGTCCGCGCATTCTCGAGTCAGTAACCAAAGGAGCAGCCGCGAGCAGGCAGGCCGGTCAGCGACAGGGTCTGGACACCAGCCTGGCAGCCCCTGGGCAGGGTCCCGCCCCTGGCCACTTACTGGCTGCATCTCTGTGAACACTGAGGAGAGGCTGTTCCAAATATCCTCCAGCCCCAGCCTGACCCGCTTCCAGAAGTCAAGGGCAGAGTCGTGGCTGGGGGCCTCCAAGGGCCGGGGCATGGGTCTGAGTCTGCTGCTGAGGGGAGGCATGCTGGTGGTGGTGCTGGGGGCCCTGCTGCTGCTGCTGCTGCTGGTGGTGGTGGTGGTGCAGCTGGCCTCGGAGCAGGGCCCGTTGTCCAGCGGGCACTCCTCGAGGTGGCGGTTGCAGGGGCACTGCTCGTAGGTGCAGGGCCGGTGCTCGGTGCGCAGCTGGCTCAGCGCGCCCACGCGCAGGCGCCCCGACAGGCCCTGCAGCTTCCCGGCCCGGGTCCGGCTCATGGTGCCCGCCTTGCAGTGGCAGTGCCACGGGCCCCAGGGCATGAGCACCAGGTGCAGGTCCTCGGGCGCCGGCATGGCCGAGGGCGAGGTCGACAGCCCCGGCCACCCGCTCGGGGTGGAGCCGGCCGTCGTCCAGCGGCTGAGGGTGGTGCCCTCGGTGGTCAGGGTGTGCGTGGTGCTGTCCAGGCCCGCCTTGGCGCTGGACGGCTGCAGGCTGGCGGTGACCCTGATTTCCGGCTCCTGGATGTTGGCAGGGAACCTGGAGCTGGGCCCCTCGGCCGTGCTGGTCGGGCCCCCCTTGCTGGCGTTGATCACGACCCCCTCCTCCAGAGTCTCGTCCTCCTCGCCCGGCTGCAGGCGGCTCACGCCGGTCACCGTGGAGGCCAGGAGCTCGGCGGCGGCCGGGCCGGCCAGGCGGTCGGCGGCGGCCCCCACGTCGTCCTCGTCCTCCATCGTGACGCTCGCCCTGTGGGAAGCGCGGGGCCGCGGGGAGAAAACCGTGCGGCCGGCGGTCCGGTAGCTGCGGCCGGGGCCCGCGGGGTGGAACGTGGTCAGCGGCGACCGGGTGGCGCCGTGGGCGTGGGCCCCCGCCGCCCGGGCCCCCAGGCTCAGCAGCAGGGCCCCGAGCAGCGCGCAGGCGGCGGGGACCATGGGGCCGGCGGCGAGCAGGCCCTTCTCCGCTAACCCCCGCTCGTTAGAGCCGCGCGCGGGGCGGGGCGCGCGCCTCGCCTCTCCCCCAGCCCCGGCTCCGGCCCGAACCCCAGGAGGCCGCGCCCGAAGGGGCCGGGAAAGCAGGGCACGTCCTCGGCGCGCTCGGTTCGCTCACGGCAGTTTATTAAGCGGAATCGGGGCACACACACAGGCCGCGAGGCGCCCCCGCCCGGCTCCCCGGCAACAGACGCCACCCAGAAGGAAGAAGGGAATGGGGGGCTCTTCAAGAATTCGGGCGCTGACTCCCGGCCCCAGAAGGCGGGCTCCCCGCCTCAGAGAAACCCTGCGCTCTGCCACCCCCTGCAGACCTGCAACACCCAGAGGGGAAGGCCCTCAGCCCTAGATGCAGAGAAGGAAAAGGAGACCCCCGAGATGAAGGTTCTGGAAGGTTCATGCACCTTCCCACACGAAGCCCTGCTCCCTGCACCCTGACCGCTGACATGGACATCCCCAGCACCTCGGCTTCCAGACTCAGAGCCTGGCCTGAACAGGGGTCCAGGAGGAGGGCCCCGCTGGCGTGAAGACAGGAGGTTACAAGCAGCACAGGTGCTTGGGGTTGGCGCAGGCAGGCGGCGTCTGCTGGGCTCTCAGGCGCCTCACTCCAGGCCCTGCTAGGTCCCTCCTGAGTTGTGGGCATCATGGTCCAGCCTAGAGGGCAAGAGGGGTGCGGTAGAGGGCAGCTGGGGTGTCCCTTGGTCTGGGCACAGGTGGACTGGAAGAGCCAGCAGAGCGGGTGCTGAAGGGGGTCATCACTTAGGGTCCTCTGGGCCCAGTCCCTGCCCTGCTAGGTGCTCTCTTCTCCACTGCCAGCATCGTGCCCCCATCCCTAGGGCTGGCCTGAGTCGCCTGTGCAGCCTGTGCTGTCTGCTGCCAGCCCGACGCCGTGGGCCTGTGTCCACCCACACGCGTGTGGGGCGGTGGTGTCCGTCCCGCCTTCGCTTGGGTGGCGGCTTCCCGGGTACACTGAAGCATCTAAAAGTGAGGCCTCTGGCGCAGTTCCTTTGTGCTCCTCCCCAGGCATCAGGAGAGTGGGGGCTGCCTGTCCACCCCAAAACCCTCGCCCTCGGCTCAGCACTCACTGCCTGACCACGTCGGGGATGTGGACCTGGTCCAAGGAGACGAGCTGGGCCAGCTCCCCCAGGCTGTTCAGGAAACGGATCTTTCGCGTGAACTTGGAGCTGCAAAGAGAGGATGCACCCCCATGCTTACTCAGGGCCAGGGCTCCTGAGACCCTGACGGGGACTGTGGCGAGGGAGGGTGGTTGGGGGCAGAGAGAGGAAGGTTGGGGCCAGGAGCCTGAATCTTGGTTTTGAGAACGGGGAGCAGGGACGAGCCTGCTCTCCCCAGAGCGCGTACCTGATGAAGGGCCGGAGCAGCGCCAGGAAGGCCTTCACGTACCAAGTCGCGTGGACGACCACCAGGGCGCGAAGGTTTTTCCGGAGCCTGAGGAAGAATATGGGGTCGCTCTGTTTCTTCTTGCACCTTCAAGCCTGGTGATCGGGTGGAGCTAGCTTCTGCACTTGAACGTCCTTCACGTGTCTCATTTCCGGATTTCTCTGGCGCTGGGTCCGGTCCCCATTCCATTAAGCACAGTCTCAGCTTCATCCACTTTGCTTAGCCCTTCATGGTCCTTATTTTTGGGACATTCTGCTCCAGGAATCCGTCAGCCTGGCCTAGCCCTACCCTGCACACACCCCTCCACTACTCGTCCCCATGCCTCCATGGGGAGGACTATTTATAAAGCCCCAAGTGGGGCTCCCTGGTGGCGCAGGGGTTAAGTCTCAGCACTCTCGCCACCGTGGCATGAGCTCGATCCAGCCAGGGAGCTACCCACATGGCGCAACAGACCTCTCCTGTCTCCCCGCTGCTCCCTCAGCAGTGGATTTCAGTGGATCCACCTGTTGCGCTCCCCACTCCGTGTCTGGGGAATCCTCTCACCCCCTGCACCTCTGGCCTGCACCCCAGCTCTTCTACGCAAACATAAATAATTAAAGCGCCAAGTGGAAAAAAGAGCAAGAGGAGAAAAGTGAGTAAAGGGAAGGTGGGGGAAGGAGGAGGGAAAAAGGCTCATCGGAGAAGAGGCCCCAGCGGCGGGGAGGAAGGCAGAGGAGGAAAGACGGGGGTGCGGAAGGTGACGTCACCGCAGGACTGAGAGCAAGAAGGGGCGTCCGGGGCTGGTGACTTCCCTGAGCCCCACAGATACCCAGAGGCAAAGGCCATCCCCATGGCCTCTTTACAGATGGGGAAACTGAGTTCCAGAAGGACTAAGTGACTTGTTCAGGGTCACACAACCAGTAAATGGGAAAGATCTGAAACTAGATTTCCCGGCCCTGTGGAGAGGCTTGTGGAGGGCGGAGAGGAAGGACTAGATGGAGGAAGAATGAAGGATGGAGAAGCAAACGGTCAAGGCGCTGGTGCCCTCGCCTCGGCGCTCACCGCCGGTCCAGCGTGCGGTAACACTGGCGGATCCAGCTGAGGGGGGGCACTTGGGCCCGGCTGGTGCCTCCGCTCAAGTGGACAAGCAGGTAATTTTCGGCCACTAGCAGCTCCAGGGTTCCCACCATATACCTGGGGAGGAAATTGCCAGAGAAGGCCTGTTTCTGGTGTGGAGGGCCCCAGAGGGAGGCGACCGTAGGCTTCACTCAGACGCTGACCCCGGCAGAGGCGCTTCTCTCCCTTCCCGCGCGCGCCCCGGAGCCCGCCGGCCCGCTCACCTGAACAAGTGCTCCATGACGTAGGTGTAGTTGGGGATGCTGCTGCTGGGCAGGTAACAGGAAGCAAAGAGGATGACGGCATTGAGGCCGTCGCCATGGTAACCTGGAGGAAGGAAGGGGAAATCCACTGCCTCAGGCGTGTGCTGACAGACCGCCTGCCCCGGCTCTCCGCGAGCTGCAGGACGGAGTCTGAACCCAGTAGCTGCATTTCCAGCTTAGGTGTCTCATTCAAGAAATCACAGTGTTTACGCCTCGCAGCCGTGCTGTTACCTCCGTGAGACAGGACCTTCTTGTAGGGCTCGATGACGGTCATGTCCACCCGCTGCTCCTGCTGTCCTGTTCGGAACACCCTCCAGCGACGCCCATCTGCCCCGGCAACGTCCCACATGCAGCCCCGGCCCAGCCTTTCCGCTGCCTCGCTGGCCCCCAGCCCCTCGGCCCGGGGGAGGTCATCTGCAAGAGAGGGTGAGGACGCGTCGGCCAGGCAGAAGACACACCTTTCAGCGCCTTTTCTCAGCATTTCGATACCAGCTATTCTCACTTTGGATGGTTTACAACACTGTGTATGATTCAGAGGTGCAGGCTCACACCTCTTCAGATGTGGGTTATCGCACCACACCCACCACAGATGCCTCAATGTTCTTCTACCATAGGGCCTCCCGGGTGGCCCAGGGGTTAAGTCTCAGTGTTGTCACTGATAGGATCTGAGCTGGATCCCTGGCCAGGGAGGTGACCCACAGGGCGCAGCAGACCTCTCCACCTGTTCTGCTCCCCACTCTGTCTCTGGTGAGTCCTCTCGCCCCCCCTACCTGTGGCCTGCACCCCAGCTCTTCTACGTAAAAAAAAAAAAAAAAAAATCCTCCACCACAGACCACTGGGCCCTCTTCCCACTTTATTCCCAGCCTCCACCTCCCCCCTCCATAACTTTAGTCACATCTCAGGGTCTTGGACCTCCCCCAGATTCCTGGAGTTTATTCTCTAACCTCTTAGTCCTTAATTTTGCCCATGCCTCTGGCTGGTTTCTCTATGCCGTGACTCATTATCCTCACCTTTTCACTAGACAGTCACCTTGAAGTGACCTTGGGCCGTGTGAGGCGTGTGGCCCTTCCAGTATCAGTTATTCTCAGATATTTGTTTCCACACTTTTCTGTGGACAAGCTCACCTATTCCCGCGTCTTCAGCTGCATCGTGGGGATGACTCCCCAGTGCGCCTCTGACCCAGATTCGTCTCCCAGCTCCAGGCCTAGTGCCCAGGGTGGCTGCTCCGGTCTGGGCTTCTGTCGTCTCTAAGTCACCAGGCCCCAGTGTAAGCACCCACTCTCTACCTCCTCTCTCCCTATCTCCTTTTTGATGAGTTTGCTAATGAGGTGATAATTGCAAAGTTCCCCAAGATGGGTGTCTGGTTGCCAGGGAAACCAGCCATGTGATTTTAGAGGGTTGGAGGAGACTAGATTCACTAAGTGCCAGTGAATCAACCCAGCGGCCTGCAGAATAAGGCCCTAACTGAGAGGCTTCCGTGAGCGTCCAGGATGGCGATCACGGCCCACCCCGGCTCCCCACCACGCACCCTGTGCGGCTCTGCTTTCCGGCCGTTCCCGAGTTGCAGCTTCTTCTAAACCTGTGAACTATTTTCCTGGGTTCTGTGCGCAGTTCTAGAAAATGATCACATCTGAGCAGGGGGTAGTGGGAACCTCTGACTTACAGCCAGTCAGTAGGTGGGAAGTGGAGGTGACCCTCTGACCCCTGGTGTCTGAAGTGGGGTGGGGGGCAGTCTTGTGGGTGAGCCCTCAACCTGGGCATCTGTGCTAACTCTAGCTAGTGTCATACCTTTTTTTTTTTGAAGATTTATTTATTTATGCATACAAGAGTTCAGGCTGCAGGGCCTCCCTGGTGGTGCAGGGGTTAAGACATAACCTATGAGGCTGTCCACAGCCACTGCAGCACGAGTTCGATCCCCAGGCAGGGAACTACCCACATGGCGCAGCAGACCTCTCCTGTCGCTTGCGGCTCCCCTCAGCAGTGGATTTCAGCTAATCTGCCTGTTCTACTCCCCACTCTGTGTCTGGGGAATCCTCTCCCTGCCCCACACCCTTGGCCTGTACCCCAGCTCTTTTACATTAAAAAAAATTAATTTTTTTTAAAAAGGGGGCTTTTTAGCCCCCGCCTCTACCGACTACTCTCACACACGACCGGCAAACCTCTCCGTTCTCAAGAAATCTACTTTGCCGACTCTACCTCTTGGTCCCATCTAACTTCAGGCCTAACTTCAGTTCCACCCAGTCCGTCCTGAGGCCCTCAACCCTGGCCTCCAGCAGCTCAGTCTCCAGGTTTCTCTCCCACCTTCCCACTCAAATTCATGTCCGCTGTCCAGCTGCTCTGAGTCGGAAGGGGTCTCCAGCTCGTCCACCTCCAGGTCGGAGCTGCCGTCAGGGGAGGGAGGCTCAAAGGAGGTGGGGGAGGCTCCGCGGGCTCCAGGCCCCTCGGTCAGGTTCAGCAGCATCTCTGGGGCAGAAAGTCGCTTCCGCATGGGGCGCTGGCCACCCAGGGCCAACGTGCTGGGGGTACCTGGCCCGAGGGGGCGAGAGAAAGAAAAGACGTGAGTGTTCCTGTGCTGGGGGCGACAGTGTGGGGGATGCTGAGGAAGGGGGGACCAACACAGGGGCCATCTGGGGGAGCAGTAGTAGCGCCCACAGGGACAGGGGTGCCATGACCCTTCCCAGGACTGGGATCGGGAACTTGAGGCCTATGTTCTGATTTTCCTACCTGCCTGCGAATCGCTGTTAGGATCTTCAGAAGGGCCCGCCTCTTCGGGAAGCAACCTGGAGGGAAGAGCTCACAGCGGGCAGAAATCCAGGCTAACGGCCTCAAGTCAGGCATCAACAATCCCCTATGCCCACCCCGGTGGGGTGCCCCGGACTTTCTTTCCCCCACCTTCCCTTCAAGTCCTAATTTACCACCCCTGCCCTGCTGCCCCCACCCCCTCCCACCCAGCTTCCTCACCTGGGGAATTCCTCGTCCTGCCATTCCTCCTTCAGCTCCAGCTCCCCCAGGCTCAGGGCTCCGCCCGGCCCTGCCTCCTCTGCCTTCTCCCTGACCCTAAGATTGTCCCCAGAGGAAAAGGTTCTCATGAGACAAGCTGGGCTGTGTCTAGAGGGAACTGGACGGCAGGTAGGAGACACCGGATGAACAACAGCTGAAGCGCACAGTGGACCTCACCAGAGCTCACACCTCGGCTGAGCGTATTTCCCCCCTTCCACCACTCGCGGCAGCTCCCTGCCCTTTGGGTGTGAGAGCAGAGGGATGTGTGACACTGACTTGACTTCCTCTGTGACTGTCCCAGCTACAGTGTGGGGGAGGCGACTGGAATAGGAGTGACCGGAAGCCACCTGTCCCGGGCAGCCAGGCAGGCCTGCCTCTGTCCCACCATGCAGGGGAGCGGTTGGGGGAGCCGGACTCAGGGAGGAGGGTGGAGATAAGGTAAGGGGGAGAGATTTGCGGGGAGAGCCTGGACCTATACTTAGTTCTAGGGCAGCTTCCTCAGGGCCCTTCCGGAGGGTGGGGTGAATGAAGACGGCAGTAGGTTAGTCACCCACAAAATGTAGACTCTCTCTTTGAAAGAGAGAGGATTTCCCCGAGGATCTTGTTCTCCAGCTCCCACACCATGCTGCTACCTCCTACCTCGAGTCACTCATGCCCTCCCTGCCAGTCAGTTCTCGGCCTGTCTCCTCGAGGAACCCCTGATCAGATCGGGCACAGGCATCGACCGGGCGGGAAAGTCACGCAAGCCGCCACGCCTTGTTTCCGGCCGACTAGGCCAGGGTCTGTCTTACCCGAGATCAAGCGTCCCTTCTGCCTCTTGTGCGCTCCCCATCTGCACAGTCCCTGGGCGCTGCCTGCTGCCTTCCGTCCTGGGAGCTTCACCTCTCGGCACTATCCTGTTCTCTGCTGTTGTTCTGGCCTCCGCAGAGGGAGGTGTGGAAGGGAGGCAACCTCACTTCCAAACAGGTTTTACCACCTCCCGTCCCAAGGAGCAGGCTTGCCCAAGAAAACCCTGCCTGTCTGGGGGCGGGCTTTGGGGAGGAGAGCACATTTTCTCAAGGGGCTAGTCTCAGATGAGTTTAGGGAGGCAGCTTATTTTCCCTTCCAGACTCCTTAAGACCTTTGGAAGCTTTCCTTTAAAAAAAAAATTAAAAAAGCGATGGCAGGGCCTGCCTGGTGGCGCAGGGGTCAAAAATCTCAGCACTATCAAGCTATTGCCAGCCACTGGGGCCTGAGTTCAGGGAGCTGACCCACAGGGCGCAGCAGACCTCTCCTGTCTCCCTGCAGTTCCCCTCAGCAGTGTGTTTCAGTCCATCCTCCAGTTCTGCTCTCCACTGGGTCTCTGGTGAATCCTCTCACCCCCATACATCTGGCCTGCACCCAAACTCTTGTATGCAAAAATAAATCTTTAAAAAAAAAGGCGATAGTAAAAATCATTTGGCTTTAAGACCATCTTGGGTTTACTGTACAAGCACCAGTAAGATCAGGAACACAGAGATATGTTCCAAGAAGGGTCTGGAAGAAGAAAGAAACCAAGGAAGGGCTGGGACGAGGGGGTAGCAGGCTGGTGCTCCTCACCCCCAAAGGAGCAGCACCAGGAGACGCTGGGCGCAGCACAGAGAATGGAGGCCCTTCAGGAGCCTGGAGCAGTTATCCAAGGCTCAGGCCTGGCCGTCGCCGTAAAAAGAGACAGTAAGAGCCCACACAGGAAAAAGGTATTTAATACTTTAACAAAATGCAAAATAAAGTACCCAAGTTACAAAACATAAATTCCTTTGGTTCAGTAATCACACGACTAGTTTTACCTTCTAACGGCTACAGAGAAAATCCCCTCAGAGCAAAGTCAGACTGTTCCCCTCCTACTGGAGACGTCAGGCCTGAGACATCACAAACCCCACTAGGCAGCCAACTGCTGGCAACTTACACGGAACAGAGCTGTGGGGCAGGGCGGGGGACAGGCTGGTCTGAAGACGAAAGGGAGACTCTACATGCAGAAGAGGTCAGGGGCGGCAGCTCTCAGCCAGCACGAGGGCAAGAGTCCTGGCCCTGCATGGACGTGAGGCCGGGCGCCCGGCGCCATCACACACACAGTCCAGCGGCCCTGAGCGTCCCCAGGGAAGACGGAAAGAAAAGGAAATACAGCGAGGTGGAGGGAGGCCGGCCCCAGAGCAGATCACGGACACCAGAGAACATTTAGTCCAGGTCCTCAGTCGCGAGTGGGGACGAGGCCTAGAGAAAGGAAGCATCTTGCAAAAGAAACACAATTCCCGGCCGCCAGCCTCAGGACTCCATATTCTCTTCATGTGGATGGATGGACAGGAAATCGATGGAGCCCCAGGGCCAGGGAGGAGGGCCTACAGGTGTCGAGGCCTTCCTGGGCGCCCCTGATCTCAGCAACCAGGGTCTTCTGAATGTCTAGGTCCCTGGGCTCTAGGACCAAAGGAATTGAGAGCTGGGCCACCTGATGGGGATGGAAGATCATGGCCCCAAACTGCTCCCGGCGAGCCTGAGACACAAGAGGGTGGCTGGAAACGCAGCCGGCTCAGAGTCAGACGCTGCCACCCAACAGGGCGGGAAGGGGGCTGCGGAGCCCGGTGCAGCTGAACCAAGACCAAAATGAGAGTCTCCAAAGCACAAACTTTCTATCTAGCTGAAGGCAGGTCCTCAATAAATACTAGAAACCAACGACCGAGGACGGCCCCATGGCGACAGTGCGTGGTTCTGCGTGAGACACGGACCGTGTCCAAACAGCCCACGGAGGACACTTTGGGGGTACACGTTCTTTTCGTGCCCCTCTGCTGGAACTGTGCGCGCCACATTGTGCCCCTGCCGAGTGAAAGAGGAAAGTCAGTGCAGATTTCAGAATTAAATTAAATAAGAACACCTGGTGCCGCGGCGCGCAGGGGAGGGAGGAGGCAGATCCGGCGCAGACACGCTTTCGCTTTCCTCTCGGGTGGCGGGAGCAGCGCGCCAGGTCCCGGAGCAATGAAGACAGGACTGCTGAAACCTCTCACCACATGCACTTGAGGGGTCGCAAGCAGCCCCTCCCCAGCCCCCCCCTCAGTCACTTCTTGGCCAGGGAGGCAGACCGGGACAGCGAGATCTGCCTGCACTTCTCAAAGACGGCCTCCGCCGAGAGCTTGGGCAGCCCCTGGTCCAGGGGGCACTCGTCCACCAGGCTGTTCATGGGCGTGGGGGGCAGTGCAGGTTCCTCCTCATCTTGACTCAGTCCGGAAACCAGAGAGTTACCTGCCCTGTCCAATTCCTTGTCCGCCTGCTCCCTGGACATGCCCCCTGCTTCAGGCTGCCCTAAGGGGACTCTCCCCGAGTCAGGATTCGCTGACAGGGCTTCCTGGAGCAGAGGCAGGAGTTTCTTTCGAGAGACCTGGGTGTTGCCTTGATGGTAGGCTTGGAGACTCGGGTGGATGCTGGGGACCGGGGTCAGCTTCAGAGACGGAGAGTGGGAACGTTCCAGGACCCCGCAGATCTAAAGAGGAGATGCGGATGGAGAGATGGCGCGTGAGGTGGCGGGCAGCGAGCCGAGGCTTCTGAGCGCAGGCTTCTCTTACGGGGTAGAACACTTTTTAAGTCACCACAGTTCAGTTTTACTGCTTGCAATGAAAGGCGCGTCCGCTAATACACAGAGCATTTCACGAACACTTGAGCTCACACACGGGGTCACTGTCTGGAGCTCACACATGACTCTGAACCAGCACCCAGGACCCCAGGACCCCAGCACCCGATTTCGGGCTGCTTCTGGATGTGTTCTGTGCTGAAAAGCCGACTCTATCCTTAGCTGGGACAGAACACGCTTCTCGACTGGGGCATGAAAAAGGCAGAAAGACAGCGCAGGGGGTGGAAGGGCCAGGCATGGCGCGACATCTGGACACTGCAAATATTCTCCCATTTCATCCTCCCAGCCAGTGTGCCAGGCTGGCATTACTACTACCCTCATTTTTTTTTAAAAAAAGGCATTGTCCTCATTTACAAGGAGGGAAACTGCAGCTTTCTTAGATCAGGTAACTTGCGTAAGGTCACAGTCTGAATGACGCCAAGTTGCCGCCTGAGCCAGGCCTGCCCCGGAGTGGCGTCCTCACCCTGCACACTGTTCCCGGCACAGGGGGAAGAGGGTGCGGGGGGCAGGCAGAGGCAGCCTGGCTGGTTAGGGAGGCTCCCTGGGGGTCTGCACAGCTGTAGGGGAGGGAGGGTGGGGAGAGGCTTCTTTCCCTGGGGACTTGGCCAGTGAGAACACCATTTCCTCCGTGCTTGCTGTGTGCCCAGCAATGGGTCTCACGTATCTTACGCTGAATGATGGCATCTGCTAATTAGCAGGTAGCGTGTCACCTACAGACTCGGAAGCCAAGCCTTGCTGAGCTCACGGAGCAAGCACGTGGCAGGGTGAACAGAAAGGCACGTCTATCTGCTTTACACACTGTACTTTTCCCACAATCCAAGCTACTTTCATGAGTGACGTGACATCTACTTCCTGGAGAAGACAAAGGCGAAGGGAGCGGGAGGCCCGACCCTTACGGCCGATCACTGGCTGGCTGGATCAGGCCGCCGAGCTTGCGCGCAGCCAGCGACCCAGCGTCCAGGCTGCCTGAGTCCACTTTTAAATTCTTCCCTGGGCTGACTCATAACCAAGAGAGGATGGGGGTGGAGGGGGTGGGGGGGAGTGGGAGGTGGGGGGTGGGGGGGAGCGGGAGGTGGGGTGGGTGGGAAAGGTGGCCGTAGGGAAGCGCGGGGGGAAGGGTCACTTGTCTACACAGCCAGCGCCCCAGAGAGCGGATCCCCCCACGGTCAGCAGCAGAAAGGTTTCTTTTGTGTTTCCAATTTTCAAGGCAAGAGGGTAAAAAGAAAGGAAATGTTTTATAGGGGCAAGGAATGAATGATTAAAGCAGGATTTGAGCTTTCACTCCAGATTTATAATATCTCATTTTAGCTGGGTGTCAAGTGCCCTCCAGGCAGGCACTGTGTTCTCTAGCCCTCCCCGGCATCTCCCTTCTCCACGACAGTGTGGTTAAGGCTGTCTGAAGAAAGCGGGGAGGGAAGACCTGGAAATGAGTCAAGGGACTCCCGTCTCCGTATCAGAGGCGGGGCAGGGGGCCTCCCCAGCCCGCTCCCCGCGGACCCTGGGCGGCAGGAGGGACACTCACCGTCATCCGCAGCACTGTGTGGGGACAGAAGACGGCCAGCTGCCGCACTGGCTCATTGTGAGAGTTGAAAAAGATTGTCATGGCGACCAGGGCATCATAGCTGAGGGCCTGGCAGAAAGCATGCAGTTCCTCCATGAGGCCGGGCCTCTGCAGGAAGGCCTGAAAGAGAGGACACGGCCGGGCGTGAGGGCCACACACGGATGCCCCCCCGCCGCCAGTCGCCATCATCAAAACACACCCATGCAGGGTTTCTCTGCAGTTGACCTGGACCGGGACTCCACGCAAAGGGGACCGGCTACTGCTTGGCGTTACCTGTGTGCTGGGAGGCGCGTGTGCCGGGACGGAGTCCAGGCTCTGGGCTCAGACAGAGCGCTCTGTCACCTACTGTGTGGTGAGTGACATGAACCTGCCTGAACCTAGGGTTTTCTCGACTGTAGAGTAAGAATGAAACATTCACTGCTAGGGTTGCTCCGAGAGCTCGTCACGTGTACCGCCCGCTCACTCTCTGGGCTCACCTGCTCGTGAGGACAAGCACGGTCCTTGCCCGCGAGGGCTTTTATTCTAGACAAAACGAGGGGACATAGAAATAAGAATAGACACTTGGAAACTGCACCCGTGGCTCTCGATGGCCCCTGAAGCTCAGCACTGAGTAACACCTCCAGCTGTTTCAGACCAGGGTTTCTCTCTATCCTTGGCATTTCCAATGTGTGGATTTGTACCTGATGATGGTGCTTGGCAAGCTGTTTATGTTCCTGTGTTCGTTTCCAAACTAGGTCATGAATCACAAAGGAAGAGGCCATGCTATTTTATTTTATCTAATTATTTAGTTATTTCCATGGAGTATTTAGTAGAAGGCCTTGCAGACTCTGAGAGGTTGTGCAGCCATGGTCTAAAGCAGCATAGTATGGAGGCAGGTAGTGAGACACCTGTATCAAGGTCATAGTCATTCAGCAAAATGCTCTGAGCGTCCACCGCACGCTGGGCGCTGTGGGAGGAGGGGTGAGCAACAACTAAGGAAGCAAGTCCCTGTCTCAAAGGAGCGGGTGGGCCAGCGGACGGCAGAGATGACAAGCAATGGAGCCAGGGGACGCTATTTTAGTGTTAAGTGCAGGGAAACAAAAGTGCAGGAAAACAAACAAACAAACAAAAAACAAGTGCAGGAAAACAAGGAAAGGCAATTGTGGGAGATTTTTAACCTAGACAATTACTTATTTTAGAGCGCCTCCTAGGAGAGAGGCCATCTGAGTTAGACCTGACTCTCCCCGGGCCGAGAGAGCAGCCAGGGGTGAGAGCAGAGGGGGAGGCCAGCAGGAGTGCAGGTGCATTTCGGAAGTGAGCCGACATCTTGCTCTTACCTCCAAGTCCATGTAGATGGCGCTGATGGCCACCTTGGTGCCCTGCCTGGACAGGGTCTTCTGGTCTTTCCTCAGCATCTGCTCGGTGGTCAGTCCTAGGGAGTGGATGTGAGACAAAGGTTCAAGCAACAGGGTCTGGGGCCCCAGAACCAGGAAAATGAGGAAGGCGAAAAACAGTCTAGAAAGTGACCGTGTCTAAGATGTACTTTGAATTGCCTCTGCAGGAAGGGCTGTGGAGGGAGGGGAGGCAGAAGGAAGAGAGGCTTTCACCTCTGATTTTTCCTTTCGGTGTTCACTTTTGGACTAAAAGCACATGTGGTAATTGTTTTTCTTTTTCATGTCAGTGGGTGGCAGCAGGTAGGAAAACACGCGAGGCTTTGTCTTCCCCTCTTTACAGGTCCCAGGCGTTGCTTCCCTTCCCCAGCCGATGCTCTCCCTCTCGCCTGGCACCTAGCGTTCCCTCAGCCTCTCTGGCGGGATGTGTGCGCTGATGAGCCTGGAAACCTCCCCATCCTGCCCCGTGGCAGGAGAAAACAATCTAGTAAATGCTGGATTATTTCGCGACCAGACCGGCCGGCCGCGTGTTTCTCTCTGGTGTGACCCCTGGGCCACCCGCCGGCGGCCTTGCTGATGGCGCTCAGGAGGCAGTGAGCAAGGCCACCCCATTTTCTCAGGTGGGTGGAGACCCGCCGCCTGCTACCTCGTACCTGATACATCGAACTTTGCCTTCTGCAGAGACTCGAATATGTCGCTCCTCTGGGGCAGGTCCGGGAAGAGCGCCTCCAGTTTCTCCACGTACTTGTGGTCCTTCGGGGTTGCTTTTCCAATTTTAAGGTCCATGTTGACACAGTCCAGGATGATTGTCCCTGTGAGGGGAGAGGCTGCAAGTGAGGCTCAGGCGGCCCCGCGGCCCGGCCCCCAGGAGCTGTGCAGGCCGCCCCCTGCCGCTGGTCTTCCCTGTCCAGGGCGCAGCCAGCAGCCCCAATTCTGCCTAACGTCACCCAGAAACACAACCTTCAAACCCAAAGGACGCAATACCGAGATCAGCGGGCAAACTCACTGAAAACAGCAAGAAACTGGGGCTGTGTCCCGAGTAAGGCCTCCCAAGCTAAAGTGTGCACAGAAGCCGGAGAGGCAGAGCGGCCGGGCCGCGGGAAACCGCCCCGAGGCTGCTCGGCCGGCCAGACCACCACGGAACCTCGTGGGGAAGAAGCGCCTCGTCCAGCTCTGTCCTCTTTTCACAAACAGAGAAAACCAGAACAAGAACTCCTGGGCTTCGCGCGACCACTTCCCGCGCAGAAATGACCCGAGTCTGGGCCCGGCCTCCCCGGCCATCCACTGCCCTCCCCGGCCATCCACTGCCCACTGCAGACGCGGCGTCCAGGCCTGCTGTCCCGTGCCTCGCCTGTTTTCTTCACTGAAGCATCATGGCCTTCTAACGCCTAATCTCCCCCAAAGGACTCCACCCTGCCCCAGGGGCCGAGCGGCGCCCTGCCCGCCCGTCCCTTCTCCTGACGGCCGCCCGGCCTCACCATGCAGCAGGGCCGCGGTCTGCCGGTCCAGGATCTCCGGCGCCCCCTGCAGGATCCTCTCGGCCACCAGGGTGGCGCAGGACCCCACCAGCTCCGCCGTGACCTGGCAGGGCGGGCAGTGCCTCTGCTCGATGGGCCGATGGTCCAGCACCTCCACCACGGCCTCCTCCAGGGCCGCGTCGCTCCTGCGCGGGGACGGGGGGCGGGGGAAAGAGAAGGTTGGCCAGGGCGCTCAGGCTGCTCTGGCCAGAACCCACCTGGGCCTCTGCCTCCCTCCTCTCAATTCTTCCCTCCCCAGCTGTCACCAAAACCGCCCGTAAATGGCCTGCACGAGAATCTGGCGAAGCACCTGCTGCAAGTATCCACTGTTTGCTGTCCTGGGGTTCCATTTCCAATCGACACCCTTGCCCCAGCGTTCCAGTGGCTGCTGCTCCCTCAATCCATTTAATACGCACCCTCCATGAAGTCGCCACTTTCCGTGGCTCCTACCTCAATTCCTAGCCATTCCTTCCTTCCCAGCCCTCTGCCACTGCCTTGTTTGAGGCCCTCAGCGTGCCTCATCTGGACTCTCCCACAGACTCTTCCAGTCCCGGGCCCCGGGAGCCGTCCTCCACCCTGCTGCCCGAGCCATTGTGTGGACAGTGCAGAGTGGATTCTGTCAGGACCTGGCACAGACATAATTAACAATAAATATATACCCCCTGCCCTAAAATGAAGTCCAATCTTCTAGGCAGGGCCAATAAGGTCTTCGTGATCTGGCCCGCCGGCCTCTCTAGTCTCACCTTTGTCCATGTCCTACTCCATCATTTTATGCTCCACCTATGCAACAAGTCCCGGCTGCCCCACTGGCCAGGCTGTTTCACGCCTGCCTGCCCTTGCTGCTGTTAATTGCTTCTCCACCTGGCTGCTTTGCCTGGTGACCTTACCTCCCCACTCCCGGGGAGAACACCAGTCCCCCTTCAAGACTGAAGTCAAAGGTCAGTTGTTGAGAAGACTTCATGACATCCTCTGCTCCTCCTTGGTGCTCGACTGCCCCATAGGGTGACAGTTCTCTCAGCTCGAATACCCCTTAGACCTGTTGCCTCGTTCCCTCTTTCTGACTGAAAGCGTCTTGAGAACAGGGGCTCTGCCTCACCTTTATCCCCTAAACAGAAGTTTACTGACAAGCACACGAACAGGTGGATTAATGCCTTGAGACTACCCTGCCAATGACCTGCTGGAATCATGGTGCTCAAAGGAAAAACATCCCTTCCACATCAGCAGGCGCAGCTGGAGAGGAAGGTCTCAAGCTCCCGTTGCTCTCTTGGCAGTTGTTGCCAGCCCTCAATTAGATACATGGAATGATTACAGGTGTGTAGGTTTGTCAACCAGATACTAACAAGATGCCTTATGCAAGAAATAATTTTGCTAACTTTAAAATTAAAAAGAACTGGGCCTCGGGACCTCCCTGGTGGCGCAGGGGTTAAAGTCTCAGCACTGTGAAGCTATCGGCAGCCACTGCAGCACGAGTTCCATCCCCAGCCAGGGAGCTACCTACATGGAGCAGCAGACCTCTCCTGGCTCCCCGCCGCTCCCCTCAGCAGTGTGTTTCAGTGGATCTGCCTGTTCTGCTCTCCAGCCTGTCTTGGTGAGTCCTCTCACCCCCCTGCACCTCTGACCTACATCCCAGTTCTACACAAAAATAAAATATTTAAGAAAAACATTGCAATCATTCAAAGGTTTCTACTGTAATAAGTCTATCATGAAACCTTAAAATAAGGACATCAAAGGCAAACTTAAATGATTTCCAAGTTACCCTTTAGTTTGAGCTCTCCATGTTTCTATTTCTATTTATTGCTGGCGTAACTGGAGAACTACTTTCTGTTGCTTTTCTTTTCTTACTGTATTATTTTTAAAAAAAGATTTATTTTATTATGCATACAAGAACTGGGGTACGGGCCAGAGGTGTGGGGGGTGAGAGGATTCACCAGAGACAGAGTGGGGAGCAGAACAGGCGCATGTACTGAAATCCACTGTGGAGGGGAGCAGCAGGGAGACAGGAGAGGTCTGCTGCACCATATGGGTATCTCCCTGGCCGGGGATTGAACTCGTGCTGCAGAGGCTGCGGACAGCATCATAGGTTGTGTCTTAACCCCTTGCACCACCAGGGAGGCCCTATTGTATTTTTTTATTGAGGTAACATTGGTTTACAACACGGTATGTGATTTAGAGGTAAAGCTCACACCTCTTCGGTTATATTACCACACCCCACCCACCACCATCACACACCAAACCCTCCTCCGAGGCTCACTGCCCCTCCCCCTTTCTGTTGACATGACTATCCTCACGATGAGCCTGTTTTCTTCTCGCCTCTGGAGCTCACTGTCAGAGCAGCGGGCCCCGCCAAGAGTCAGCCTGACCCCCCTCACCTGGGCAAGACGTGGTGGTCCACGAGGACGAGCGTGAGCCGGCCTGCCTGGTGCAAGGCGTGAAGGTCAATCTCATCCCGGAAGATCAAGAGGGACTCTGGAATGTGAATCTTCTGAAGGAAGAAGACACTGTCACCCCGCAGAGGTAGCTCGGAGCGTTTTATGTTTAAAACTGGCACAAAGACTTCCTCGGCCTCAGCCGTCTGGGCAGGAGAGCGGAGAGAAGACCGGTGCACGTTGGAGGAGAAGGGGAAAGTAAGGCGCCAGCGAGCGAGGAGACACAATGGGGGGGGGGGGAGTTACTGCCAGCCCCAGAGCCGCAATCACCAGCCAATAAAAGGAAAAGGGGGCCTCCCTGGTGGTGCAAGGGGTTAGATGAAGCCTATGACGCTGTCCGCAGGCTCTGCAGCACGAGCTCCATCCCCGGCCAGGGAGCTACCCACATAATGCAGCAGACCTCTCCTGTCTCCCCGCTGCTCCCCTCAGCAGTGCTTTCAGTCCGTCTGCCTGTTCTGCTCCCCACTCTGCCTCGGGTGAATCCTCTCACCCCACACCTCTGGCCTGTACCCCAGCTCTTGTATAAAAATAAATAAATCTTAAGGAAAAAAAAAGGAAAAGGACGACTCTTGCCCTTCCTCCTCCTCAGCACTAACACGGAGGTCAACAAGATAACTCAGGAAAATGGAGGGTTACTAGGCCTCAGCGCTGACATGGGCAGAGGGAAGACACACCCGATCACGCACAGCCACACAAAACTCGGCAGCAGCGACTCCAATAGTGCTTTCTGGATCCCCATGTCTCCGGATTACCTTTCCTGGCCTGATCTCACAGCAAGCATTATCATATCTATGGGGGGGGGGTTTCCTCGGATCTTGGGGCAGGGATGGGATTCTCGGATCTTACAGAGGGGAATGAGATTCAGCCAAGTTAAAGGATTTAACTTACCCAAGGCTAAATGGTGTTAAGAAACAAAGCTAAATCTTGAACCCAAATCTTTTCACTCTAAGGGCTCCTGCTCCTAAGTACTTACCTTTGACAGGTAAAAAGCCAGGGCGAGCGCTGACACCATGGAGTCCAGGTCACAGGCCTCATTCCCCAGCACCACGTGCAGCGGCCGGGACGCCTGCAGGGCGAGAGAGGGAGGCTGTGGGTGCTTACCTGACGCTCAAGGAGGCCTGATGTCCTGCACTGACCCTGGAGAGGGGCGGGACAGGTCGCCTCAGGGCGCCTCACTTCAGGGCCGAGGGCGGTAACTGAAAGGCACACCTGTTTCAGCTACGTTTTAAGCATTCCACGCGCAGCCAGGGCTCTCCTACACCGTCCCGTGAGTGTTAACTCGTGGGAGGCAGCAGTGAGCCTCTACCTTCCGAGGCGTCTCTGGACACCTGAGAAGTCAAAGCTGAGCACTTGGAGCGGCTGATGTGTTCAAGCCACGACAGCCCTGGCTGGTTTGTCTGTTCCCCCATTTTCATAATCGGGGAAACAATTCTTAACTCCCCAAGTCATGGGAACAGGTGAAGATACCCTGAGAATAAAGGTAAAAGATTACGCAGCTCATCCGCCAGTGAGGACCCCCGCCCGAGGCCCCCGGGGACAGCCAGCACGACCACCCCCGCCGGGCAGCAGGCGCTTCCCAGGGGGCTCCGAGGCGGCTCGAGGTGCCAGTCCTGCCGGGACTTTTATTTTCAAAGCTCTGAAGAGTCTGGCCGCTGCCAAGAACGCTGGGGAGAGATGTCTGCCAGTATTGACTTTGCCCCTTGCCGCTCCTTGCTAACCAAGTTAGAAATAAAGCACATTAAACCCTAAGTGCCCACGCAGGTTGCGGTGCAGCCTGGCCGGGACTGGGGTTGGGTTTGCTTTGGAAAGGGCTGAGTGTGCCAAGCCCTGTCCTGCTATTTTCACATGAATCAACTAGTCAGTCACTTGGTCTCAAAACAACCTGAAGAGGCTGTCCGTTAAGAATTAATACTTCTGGGGCCTCCCGGGTGGTACAGGGGTTAAGACGCAGCCTACGAAGCTGTCTGCAGCCACTGCAGCACGAGTTCCATCCCCAGCCAGGGAGCTACCCACATGGTGCAGCAAACCTCTCCTGTCACCCCACTGCTCCCCCCAGCAGTGTATTTCCGTGGCTCTACCTGTTCTGCTCCCCACTCTGTCTCTAGTGAATCCTCTCACCCCCCACACCTCTGGTCTGTACCCCAGTTCTTGTATGCATAAATAAATCTTTAAAAAAAAAAAAGAGAAAGAATGAGGGCCTCCCAGGTGGTACAGGGGTTAAGACGCAGCCTGCGAAGCTGTCTGCAGCCTCTGCAGCATGAGTTTGATCCCAGCCAGCCAGGGAGCTACCCACATGGTGCAGCAGACCTCTCCTGACTCACCTGCTGCTCCCCTCAGCAGTGTACTTTGGTCGATCTGCCTGTTCTGTTCCCCACTCTGTCTCTGGTGAATCCTCTCACCCCTCCCCACACCTCTGCCCTGTACCAGCTCTTGTATGCATAAATAAATAAATCTTAAAAAAAAAAAGAAAAGAATGAACACTTCCAGGTGGAATGAGACCCCAAAGTCCGGGGCTCAGGGGAGGGTGCGGCTGTCTGCTGCTGTACTTCTGGGCTGCTCCGAGGCTGCTCCTGAGAGAGGAGTGGACAGGAGACACCCCAGTCGCAGAAAGGTCTCACTCCAGCTCTGCTTGTGCTGGGAATGCGCTGTTGCAGCAGCTGCCTTGGGTACTACAGGCTATCTGGCAGCACCCCTGGATTCCACTCACTAGATGTGAGTGACACCCCCAATTCATGGCAATCAAAAATATCTCCAGACTTGCCAAATACTGCCTGGGGGACAAACCTCCCCTGGCTGAGAACTACTGGGTTATGGAAAGGTGAAAACCCCAATTCTCCTGCTTCTTCGGCCAGGGAGTATCTGCTACATGGAAGAGTCTAGAAAAGTGGGAAGGGGATTCATAGGAGCAAAAGTAGCAAGAAATAGTCTTTACGTAACAGAATTTTAGGAAAAAAGAGACCCCTGGGGAGCCTGGGTCACCTCCCTGCACTGGCTGTGACCAGCCCCACCCCGCCTGGAAGCCCTGGCCCCAAGGGGCAATTTTGGACTCCCCGTGTCATAAACTGTCCATGGCACAAAGATGTTTGTTTTTAAAACACCTCTCCTCCTTCTACTACTACTATACTTAGAAGTACAAAAGCCAGGGGTTACCTGTCACGTCAGACAAAGGCCCCTGGGGAAATGTGCTCCTGGGGTCTCCTACCCCCTTCCGGGGCTGTCCCGGTGGGGGTGGGGGTGGGGGAAGAGACTCATTTTCATATTTTCCAATAATAAGCCCCCAGCTGTCCCGTCCCATGCCAGCCCCTCTGACTTGCAGCTGCTCTCCTGAGACTAGAGAAGGCCCCTGTTTCCTGGACACCGAGAACGGCCCAGATGGCCGCGTCCCCAAGTGACAGCCAAGCCCCTGAGGCGAGTGCAGCAGAGTAACCTGCTCACTGGAGCAGCGTGTCTGTGGTGCAAGAGCGCGTGCACACCGCGGTTCTCTAGAGAGGCGAGAGGCCCCAGCGGAAGGAAGGAAGGCAGAGGAGGGGCGGGCCACGGGAGAGACCTGCCGAGCCCCCCTCCGCGTGGCGCCTGACTCGGGTGGGCAGACCCCAGCCCCGGAGAAGCAGAAGCAGGACCGAGTCCGGCCGTGGCCGCGAGGTGCGGGCACACACCGCCAGCACAGGGTGAAGGACGAAGCCCCTGGGCCCAGCGTGGCCAGACAGACAGACAGTCGGGGAGCCAACAGGAAGGAGGGACGCCAGACTTGGCCAAGCCAGGGCAGGAGCGGCCCGGGAGGTGGGGGCGGCTGGCCTGCAGGCGCTGGCGGACACCGTGGCAGTCCCAGCTCTGCCCTTTGCACTCTTTGCTCCTCCCTGCTTGACAGCCGCGGCGCTGCCATCTGAACGGACCCCGGGCTGGGCCCAGATCCCGCTCTGCTTCCTGCTGGTTGCGGGACTTTGGCCTCGCGAAGCCTCATGCTCCGCATATGAGAATGACGCGACTGCCGCGAGCCATTTCACGAAGCTGTTATGAAGAGGACACGGGCTGGCGCGTCAACGGGAACCCCCGGCTCCCCTTTCTCCAGCCCTCCTGGCCGACCTAAAGGCCCCTCTGCAAAGTCTTCCCTGACCACCCAGGCCAGAGCGTCCTCCCCCCACGCCGCCAGCTTCTACACCTGCGGCTCCCACATGCATCTCAACGCCCCTTCTTTCCGCGGGCACGTACCCCAACCCTTACCAGGGCTCGCGAGCTGCGTGACCAGATACTGTGTTTTTCCAAACTGAGACTCTTTTGAGAATGAAAAGAGGGGCAGTTAATGATTACACTGGAACAAACCAAGACTGTCCTGGGCAAACAGGATAAACGTTGCCCAACTTAGAAGATGCCATTCTCCCCCTCCTTTAGAGAGAAGCTCGGGCGGTGTTGCTGCAGCAGCAATACAAGAGGAGAAAAAAACCCTAAAACACAACCAGAAAGATGTGGGAGAAGAGGAATTTGACCACCACATGCCTTAGGTCGCAGGGTTTGCTTCTTTTTCTACTTCTCTAGAATTTCACAATTTAATGAACATGGATTTATATTCAAATTTCATTGTGACTACCATAATCTCATCGAATTGCAAAAGAAAATATTCATTTGTGGCTATAAGATCAATTACTAGAAGTTGAAATATTTCAGAGAGTTTCTCTGCAGCTGAAGTGGCTGAAGTTAAGCAGCGCGCTGTCCGCAGCTCAAGCGTCCAGACAGCCCACTATGTTTAGATGTTTAGAATCTTTACTTAGAATAAAAAATTAAGCCTGCGGGGGAACACGTGTAACTCATAACCCCGCCCATCCCCCCGGCCAGCAGAAGCCCAAGCCAAACAGCCTGGTTTCTGACCATCAGAGCATCCAGCTATACTTAGCAGCAGGGAGAAACCCGAGCTGCCCATGGAGAAACACAGCCTGAGAGTCGCACATAAATGTAAACTTCTTTTCTTAAAAAAAAAAAAAAAAAATCCACCAGTTGAAAGACTGGATTCTGATGTTGTCTGTGGCCTCCATGGGTAAGTGGGCATGGGTGCTATGCTGGCAAGGTAAATGTCCCTTCCAGAGCGGGATATGGGCTGAGCTTACTCTACAAAATAGCTCATGAGGGAGAAAAATGAGACAAGGCACCAGAAATAGAGCCGCCCTCCCAGCAGAGAAAAAGGGCCTGCCTGAAACCGATGCCCGGATTGCAGATCTCTAAGGACAGCCACGCTCCGGATTCCGCCTCATGCCTGAGACGAGTACAAACACAGATTGTCCAGAGGCTTCTGGGTGAGCACCTACACTTGGCTGCAGCCCCACCCTGAGACAGATTTCCCCCCATAAAAGTGAGCGATGAGTCACCATGGATAGGACATTCTAATGATGAAACAGGATTTCTTTCAAATGGAACATCCTACTATCTCTGTGGCAGAGGCGTAGGAAACTCTGGCATCCAGTGCTAATAAAAACATGGTGTCAACAGGAGCTTGGCTGGTTTGTGAGCTGTTTCTACCTGTGTAAGAGTTAAGCATTTACAGCTCCCTGAATGTTATAATACAGTTTAACAGACAGACACTCCGACTGACCAGTGTCTGTCTAAATTATTCCTCAAGGGAAGAGAGGGTAGTGTGGCTTCTGGGAAATTGTATGGGGAGAAAAAAAAGGATATTTTTCTTTTTCATTTTATACACTTCTACATTTTAAGTGTTTTCCACTATGGATATTTATTACTTCTCTAATGAAAAGCACTCTAAATTGTGGGTGTCCACTTGTGTGTGTCTGCCAGCAGTTTACCTAGAACATTCCTCCTGGCCCTGGCTAGGCTGTGTGATGATGACTGCTCTAAGACACAACTTCACTTTCCCAAAGTTCCCTAGTTTGGAAAAAGGAAGATCTAGATTTTGCTTCCTGGGGAATGAATGCAGGCAGAAGAAAGTCAGGATGCCAGCAATACTAGAAAACACCAGTAGTTTTGACAGCAGCTGTAGAAGACACTGCTAAGCCCGCCTGGCCTCTGGGAGGATAGGTGTATGCAATAAAGTGGTGAGGCGTTAGGGCCCAGGGCTCTCCACCAAACGGTGGAACACAGACTCGTCATTTGGGTTACATAGAGGAAAAAAAAAATCCAACTCCTTAGACTACTTTAGACCTCCAGTGAGCTCCCTGTGTTGGAAATCGGGGGAAACTAAAACAAATTGGTTCCAAACTGTCTTATTTATTTGCATTAAAACAGCTTTCCCAAAATTTGTATTTCACAAGGAAAATTTGGGAGTCACTGGCGTTAAAATGGAAGTCCACTTTTATGTCAGCGCCTGCGGAGGAATTAGGTGACTTTTAGGATTTGCTAAAGACAAGACTCCATTGTCCAGGGGAATTTGTAGATTAAGATACTGAAACAGGGAGGCAGAGTCCACGATCTGTCCAGGTCTCTAGAGGGGCGTGTGACTTGAGGCAGGGGCCAGCTGACCTGGAGTCTCTCTCCGGCCAACTTTTTGCAGCTCACCGGGGTGAGCTTAATGTTCCATGACTGGTCAGCCCGGCTGGGGCGGCCAACTGCCTCCGAGAACACCAAAACAAAGCATTCCCAAATCGTGCTTACAGTTCTGATTCCAAACACACTCTGCGCTCGTCCCTTCCAGGCGGGGGTTTTGTGTGCTTGAGGCCAGGGGAGAAGACCGAGAGGGCAGCAGAGGAATGCAGGTGTGGGGCCACAGAAATGCCTGACGTGCGGGTGTTTATCTTGAAAACAGAAGTAAAGTAAGCCGCCACGACCGTCCCTAATCCAGAATGAGCTCGACCCGCCGGCCAGAAACCGCCACCCGGAGGAAATAAGCGGGCGCAGGTTCGCTGTCCCCCCGGGGTTCACCCGCAGGCCACGGGGTCTCGGAGGCCTCGTGAGCAGAGAATTTAGGAGGGGCGGGGAGAGAGGAGCAAGTGCACCTCGCGGGGCACGACAGGCGGCGGCGCGGCCCTGGGGAGGGACCCACCCGGGGGACGGCGCGGGGAGGCGCAAGGCAGGACCCGGACCCACGACACCCCTCCCCGCTCAGACCCGACGCCGGGGGCCAGAATGGGGAGGCTGAGCAGCATTCCCGGTCTCGAAGGCTAAGTTCTCACTCCCCCCTCAGGCCCCGAGCCTGAGCAGACCCCAAGCCCCCCACCCCCGACCCTCAGGGAGTCCACATCTTCGTCCTGCCTGGACCCCGATTCTATTCCTCACGGTCACACACAGCGACCCGTTACCTGCAGAGCAGCTCGACAACCCTGCAGGTAGCACTCCATGGTGAGGTCCAAGGTGTGCCGCCGCCCCTCGCGGCGGAGCGGTTACCCGGCGAATGCGCCCCGCCCCGGACTCGGGGGCGAGAGACGGGAGTCAGGAGGCGGGACTCGAACCCGCCACACAGCGATTCGGCCCCGACCCCCCGGGAGGAAGTACGTCACGGGGCGCGCCGGACTCCGACGTCGCCCCGCCCCCGGCGGCGGAAGCGGCGCTGCTCCCGGAGCGTCGCGGGTCGCCCTCCCGAGGGCGCGGGCGGGGCGGGCGCGGGGCGTGCTGGGAAACGTAGTCCAGGGGCGCGGAAGTGGCCCCGGGAACCGGGCAGCGCAATTTTCCGGGTGCCCCGCTGGACACACACGTGCCGGGGTCCCCGCGCGCTGGCTCCCTCGCGGCGAGGCCGAGGGCGCGCGCCGCACCCGCGCGTGCTCCGGCCTCTGGGCTTCTCCCCTGCGCGGGGCCCGAGTCCACCAACACCCGGCCCCGCCGACCGCCCCCGCCTCCGGCGCCCGAGCCCCTCCGGGCCGCCCCCGCGGCCCCCACCCGCTGGAGGCGCCCCTTCGGGCGGGCGCGCCCCTCGCCGTCCGGGGGCCCCTCGCCGTCGGCCCGGCCCTGAGCCCCCAGCGTTTCCCGAGGCCCGGCGAGAGGCCCGGGGAGGTGACTCGGGGGACGAGGCCCGCGGGGGCGCGGCGGGGGCGCGGGGCCTGCAGTCCCCGCTTGCCGGGTCGCGCCCCCGCCGCCCGGCTTCGCCCACCCCTTCTCCCGCAGCCCGGGCGCAGCCCGCCGGCCCCCTTGCTAGATTAAAACTACGTATAAAACATGTGTGTGCACCCATGGACACGCGGTGCGCGGTGCACACACCGCCGCGCGGCCGGGAGGGGACCCCGACTGCCCCCGCGCCCCCCGCGCCCCGCAACCGCGCGGGCAGCGCCCGCGGCCCGAGGCGGCCGCCGGGGGAGGCGCGGGCCCCGCCGCTGCCCAGGGCCCCTCCCCGCGCGCGGGCACTGGCTCTTCCCCGTCTCGCCAGCAGGCTCGAGCCCGGCCCCTCCGGCGCGGGCGGCGGGAGAAAGGGGCTGTTGTTTTCCTGCGCCTTCTGCCCTCGCGGCCGCCCGGCCGCGCCCGCCGAGCTCCCCGGCGCGGGGCCGCCCTCCTGCGCGAGCGCGTCCTTGACTGGTTTTTCTTTGTCCGGATGGGGAGAAAAGAGAGCGCGAGAAGAGGCAAGAAAACCCACAAACTTCCTCTGAAAAGCAGTTTGCAGCCGGGCCGCAGGGCGCGCCGCGCACCGGGCGACCCGGGACCCTGAGGGCCCGCGGCGCGGGGAGCACCTGCGCCCGCCCCGGGGTGCGGCCGGGCTGAGTCGGGGCGGCCGCTGCGCGCACCGGCCGCCCCGCGGTGACAGCGGCGGGCGCCCGGCCGCGCCCCTCCTGCGCCCACCTCTGCGCCCAGTGCCCAGAGCCCAGCCCTCCCGGACCAGCACCCACTTCTTTAGGTAAAAACTTTGTTTTAACCTTTTCCTCCCCGCTCCTGCCTTCAGCCCTGCGTCCCTGCAGCCTGGTGCCAGCACTGCCCCACCTCCGGCGTCCACAGCCGGGAGCAGGGGCCGAGGCAGGAGGCATGAAAGGGACGTTGCTCCCGCCCTTCATTTCCTTCTTTTAATGGCACCTGCCCTCCGCCTTGCGAGCCGTGGACAGGGCTTGGTGCTGGTGTCGCTTAATCTTCCAGGCAGTGAAGCCCTTGGGCTGCTTGGAGACTCGGGTCGGGACCGCAGGCAGGAGTGGGGCGGTGAGGGCGGGTTCCTGGGGGTGCGGCTCTCACTGCAGCTGTGCCTGCTCCATGAGCTTCTCCCCACTTTGGGCTCTCTCCCAGCGAGGCCGGGGAGGCGGCAGGCAGGCTCCTTCAGATCCTCACCCGCTACCTGAGGATAGCTCCCAGTGAGAGGGAAGAAGGAGATCCTGAGCTGTTTGGGGACCCCTCCCCCGTTCCTGCTCCTGCTGGGAGTGACCCCAGGACACCCTCCATGCCAGCTCCTGTGCCCCCTCCGAGGACTGAGCCGCTTGAGACCCGCTCCCTCTGGTGTCAGCTCTGGTTTCCTGTGGCTCATCCCTCCGCCTGCCAGCTGCCCTGCCCCCACTGCATTATTGATTCTTGCTGGCCCTGGGCAGGGAAGATCAGCGGCCTGCTTTCCTCTCCGCTTTATTAACTCTCCCTGGTGTCTGCTTATGGGGCTCATCCTCAGTGTCATTTGGGAGGGGAGGGAAAAGGAGAGGGAAAAACAAAGTGTAAGGCCTGCGGGCGATTTTTGCTGCTCTGATTCTAAATGAACAACATATAATGAGATACAGTGAGGAGAAATCATCCCGGAACCAGGGAGATGGTCGTTCTTGGTGCGTAACTTCATCTCGCGGGCCTCCCCTGCCCTGCGTCTTGACCAGTTTGCACGCGGGAAGCGCGGTCTCAGGTCAGAATGGAACTAGAGAAAAGACAACACTCTGACCAGTCTAATTCCCCCCTTTTCTCCTCCAGAGTGAGGGGGGCGGGGAGGGAGGAAGGTGAAGGGAGAGGCTCTGCAGAGGACAGGAATTGTGACTTTTCCCTTGACTACCCACGTCGGGAATGAACTGTCTCTGCGCTGGGCTGGACGCTGGGGCTGGTCGCGGACCGGTTGGACCGGTCGGTGCACGCGCCTAAGCGACCCGGGCGGGAGCAGATGCGGACGAGCCGCGGCAGGGGTGCACCGGGAGTACTTTTGATGTAACCCAATAATCAGCTTCTTCATATTCTGTGTAAACAGGAGGCGAGAGCACCTCCGGGTGTCGGCAGGCTTTGGACCGAAGAGGACGACGGAGGCCCGCGTGCAATCTCAGCTCCTGGCCTGGAGAGAACCGCAGGAGAAGCTGGTGGGTGGCGGGGCGGGGGTGGTTTGTGCTCCCGATGTGAAGTTATTCCTCAGATCCGGCTCTGATTCAGGTCCCCAGGGCCTGCATTTCCCGCTCCGGCCTACAGGAAGCCCCTCCCAAGACCTTCTCGCTGCGGCTTGGGGTTGTGTAAATTCGGTAGAGGCCTTTGAGGAGAAAGGGGAACCCTCCCAGGAGCCCTGTCTTAGGGGCTTGTCCAGGCTCTGAGCTCCACTCTCCACCCCAGGCGCCCCCTCGGGCGCAGTCAGAGACCAGGTCCCCTGCGTGGGGTCCCCGAGGCTGCTGAGCAGCCCGGGGTGGCCTGTGCAGGGCAGGAGAAGCCCTCCCCGCTTGGTGGGGGTTACTGACGGATGCCTGCGGGGTGAGGTGGAGATCCCCGCGGTGGTGGTCATTAGAGTTTTAACATTTTTTCCTCCATCCCTACCCCCTCTGTGTTTCTCCCCGTCTTCCTCCCTCTTGTCTTTCCTCCACCCCTTGGTCTCTGTCCCAGGGCCCAGTGTCCTCACACTCAGGGGAGTCACCCCTGCAGCCCGGAGCCGGTGGCATCATCGGTAGCAGCAAGTTAGAGCGACGGCTTCAAGAACAAGCGGGCGCCCTCTGTCCACCCCACGGGGGGGACACACACCCCACAGACCCCCCAGCTTCCACACCCGTGCCTCCTCCCAGCCTTTTCTGGGTCCGCTGCTTTCCAGGCCCATGATCTCCTCACTGGAGCAGACTCTTCTTCGCCGGCCACGCCGGGGTTAGGCAGGCCCCTGGAAACAGCAGGGCCCCCGGGCCCCCTTCTACCATGGAGCACCCTGAGCCCCCAGCCGGCGGTGAAGCCGGGACTGCAGGACTAGTGAGCCCTGAAAACCACGAGGCTCTGTCAGAACTAGATAAACCCCCTCAGGACACCGACGCCAGAGAGGCTGCTGGGGCCAGAGACCAGGAGCCGGCAGAACCTGCTTCGCTGCCCGCGGGGAGCCAGGTTGGTCTCGAGGCCCTGCCACTGGATGCTCCCACAAGCCAGGACGGGCCCACCCGTGAGGCCGCCCCGGAGGAGGAGCTGTTGGGGGTGAGCCCCAGGCCCCAGGAGCTCCCCCAGTCCCCTAGGGCTCAGCAGCCCGAGCAAGATTTCTACTGTGTCAAGTGGATCCCCTGGAAGGGCCAGCGGACGCCCATCATCCTGCAGAGCGCCAACGGCCCCTGCCCGCTGCTCGCCATCATCAACATCCTCTTTCTTCAGTGGAAGGTGAGAGCGAGTTGAGGGGGGCGCGGCTCAATTATATGGGGGGAGAACTCTCCCTCGACCCACCTCCTCAGTCACCCTGATTTTCTCAAACCGGTCCAAACGTTCCAGGTTGTTCTCCCTGTGTCTCCAACTGGAACACATGAGATAAGATGTTGAGAAAAACAAAGCAGCGGCCTGGCCTCCTGTGTCCACTGCTCTGGCCAGCGGGAGGACAAGCGGGTTTCACAGCCGCTCCCTTACTTGTTGCTAGCCTGGGGTCTCCACGGCACCCTCGCTGCACCCTCCCCTCCCCACCTACTTGCTGTGGCTTCCCCCAGGATTCTGTGGAGGAAGGAGGCACACCCACGGCTAACCCTTGGGTCGCTCCTTCTGCCCCCAGGTGAAGCTGCCCCCCCAGAAGGAGGTGATCACGTCAGAGGAGCTCATGGCCCATCTTGGTACGTGGCTGGGCCTTGAAGGGGAACTACCTGAAGAGTCGAGCTGACCACTCAGCCGGAAATCCAGAACACGGAGGGACTCGCCCAGGGGGCTCCGATGTAGCAGGGAGGCTGGTCTGCCGGGCTTCTCTGGGGAGTTAAAAGCAAAAGCTGGGTGCCAGGAGATCTGCGTGTGACCCCAGTCCTGCCCTGAGCTTTTCCAGGTGACTTTGGGTGGGCCTGTCTCTTCCTCTGAGAAATGAAAGGTCTGGATTAGATTAACCCCAGCTCTGAAAGCTGGGGTTCTGACATTCCCCCCACTTTCCAGAAGAGGATCTGCCTTTAGCACAGTGGGTGGGAATCTGATGGGGCCCTGTATCATAGGGGACTGCCTCCTGAACATCAAGCCCCAGGAGAAGTCAGAGGGACTTCAGCTTAATTTTCAGCAGGTGAGGCAAGGTCTGTGAATAAGGGGGTTACAGGTGTGGGGGGCCCCGAGGCTATCAAGAGAAGCCTTTCTGCTGCTTCTCAAAGGGATCCTTAAACTATGATTTAAGGAGGAGGTGGAGGACATATTTCTGACTTAGAAAATAATTTCATTTACTTAAGATGGCAAAAGGGTGGAGGCCAGTGGGGCTGGAAGGACTCAGGGCAGAAGTCGGGCAGAGAAGCACCAAGTCTCACTTTTTATTTCTGGAGGTGGGCGTGCAGTGGGGGAGGGGAGGCTGGCGTGTATCATTTTCTTTTCCCTCCCCTAGCTTTATTGAAATAAAATCAACATATAAGATGGTGAGAGCTAAGCCAGTGTTTCCCTTTCTACCCCAGAACGTGGACGACGCAATGACAGTGCTGCCCAAGCTGGCCACAGGCCTGGATGTCAACGTGAGATTCACGGGCGTCTCGGACTTCGAGTACACGCCCGAGTGCAGCATCTTCGACCTGCTGGGCATCCCCCTGTACCACGGCTGGCTCGTTGACCCCCAGGTGAGGCCGACAGGCCCAGAGGACACTCTGTAGCTCAAGCTGATGTCAGAAAGGCACCCACATCAGTGTGGGTGCTGGGGGTGCTGAGCTCACTGCAGAATTCCTCGAATGTAACCTTTTGGGGTAAATTCAAAGCCAAGCAAACCATAGGCAAACAGATCAGATCTTAAGATAGAAATTTCAGGAACCTTCGGTCATAGGGTTGCAGTTCTTGCTGGCTTGGTTCATTTCCTTCCTGAAAAGATTCCCCCTTTTTTTTTTTTGGGTGCCACCCGGCCCCACTCCCTGCAGAGCCCTGAGGCGGTGGGCGCAGTAGGGAAACTGAGTTATAACCAGCTGGTGGAGAAGATCATCACCTGCAAGCACTCCAGCGACACCAACCTCGTGACAGAAGGTGACCTGCCCCACTTTCTTGTGGGCTCGGCTTGTCGCCCCCGTGCCCAGGAGGAGCTTGAGGGGCCGCCCAGTGCTCAGTGGGTAGCAGGGAAGGTGGCGGCTCAGCGGAGCTTGTTGGACGGGTGGCTACAGCCAGGCTCAGGGAGGGGATTTCAGAAGTGGGCCTTTCACAGGCGACCCCACCTTGTGCCTGTAGGTCTGATCGCCGAGCAGTTCCTGGAGACCACCGCGGCCCAGCTTACCTACCACGGCCTGTGTGAGCTGACAGCGGCCGCCAAGGAGGGGGAGCTTAGTGTCTTTTTCCGAAACAACCACTTCAGCACCATGACTAAGCACAAGGTCAGGAGGCTTCAGCGGTGGGCGGTGGGCGGGCGGTGGGCGGGCGGGGCCCAGACGGCTCCTTGGGCCTCTGTGCCAGTTCAGTGTTTGAGTCATGGCAGCGTAGGTGAAGCTGTGGTAGCAAATGACCCCAAGCCCCTGAGCTTCACCACAAAGAGCTGCATCGCTCGCTCTCCCTGGGCGTCCACTGCAGACTGGCCCACACCCTCCTCAGTGGGCCCTGCACTGACCAGTCAGCCTCGTCTCCAATATGGGAGGGAGAGGGACAGAGGAGCACTTAAGTAGTGCTTCTGCTTGGAAAGGCTGGGGGCGGGGGAGGGGTGTTTCTGCTGCATCTTAATGGCCTGAGTGAGCCTGAGGGATAGTGTGGCAGGAAAGTAACATCCTCTGAGCAGGAAGGAGAGTTTTGAACACGCAGCCTTGCAACACTGGAAATTGCTGAAATTCTCTAGGGATTGAGCAGAAGAGGGAGAGGCCTTTGATTCTGAAAGGATTGGTCTTCCTGGCCCCGGGAGGCCAGAGGACCCTGGGAAGCAGGATCTCATGTGGGACCCCAGCCGGGAGGCTCTCAGGCTTGACCACACCGCTGCCACGCTCACACCCACTGGCCACGCGCTCAGGCAGCCCTTCCCTCTGCCCACGGCCACCAAGATGGATGCCCGCTGACCAGCCCCTCCGGGCACAGCTGGGTCAGGTCTCTGCCTCCAGGTCGCCTCTCCTGATTCTCCTTGTTCTCTGCAGAGTCACTTGTACCTGCTGGTCACAGACCAGGGCTTCCTGCAGGAGGAGCAGGTGGTGTGGGAGAGCTTGCACAACGTGGACGGAGACAGCTGCTTCTGCGACTCCGACTTCCACCTCAGTCACTCCCCGGGCAAGGTGCAGGGAGCGGAGGGTGCGGCTGGCTCCCCAGAAAAGCAGCGGCAGGTCGACCAGGTGTGTGGGACCTGGGGGAGATGCGGGGAGCCTTTGCCACGGGCGAGCGCCTGCATGTCTCCGCTTCAAGGCCGTGGCCCGAGCCTTTCACTCTGTTGCCCTCCGTCACCTTTGGCCCGTCCCCACTTCACGTGTCTTTCCTGGCACTGCTGATAACACCCTTACTGGGCTGTTTTCCGCTCTCGCTCTCGAGGACAAGCAGAACATGGAGGAGGAGGAAAAACTGGTTTGGAACCTAAACCCGGCAGAGTGGCCCCTGCCCCCGCCCCCTTACAGCTCTGGCTCCCTCCCCAGGACTACCTGCTCGCCTTGTCCCTGCAGCAGCAGCCACAGGGCGCCTCGGGACTGAGCGACCTGGAGCTGGCCCAGCAGCTTCAGCAGGAGGAGTACCAGCAGCAGCACGCTGGCCAGCTGGCCCCCGCGCGGGCGCCCTCCCCCAGGTGGGCCTGCGCCTCCCGCCTTTCTGCACCCCGTGCTCTGCCCCCCCCCCTGCCTCCCCGGTCCTGCTCGGACACTTGTCCTTCCTGCAGCTGGCTGGCCAGGGCTTCCTGGGGTCCTGCTCCTGTCTGTCCCTGTCTGGCCTCTCTCCCCTCGCGCCCTCCCTCCAGAATCCCCAAGGTTGCCCTTCTGGGATTAATGGATGACCGATTGTTAAATCCCTCCAGGGGAGAGGAGCGGCAGCTGGACGCCCAGCGGGGGAGCGTCGGCAGAAGCCCAAGCAGGAGTCCGACTGTGTCCTCCTATAGCCGGCCAGCCCCGGCCTCGGCCTCTTTCTACAGCAGCTGCAGCTACTTTGCTTGCTCCCCAGCTCGGCCCTGAGACTCTCGAGACTCTCTCGCAGGGTAACTTATTTGTGAACTGCTGGGGATGGAGTGGGCACCAGATGCCAAGGTCAGAGCAGGGATGTCCTCGCCCTCAAGTGCTGCTGCGGCCTCTTCCTCCAGGCTTGGGGTTGGTGGGGGAGGCTCGCAGGTTCCCAACTCCCTTTCCCTGGACTAGCCACACTAATATCAGGCTCAGGCTGCGGCCTGGCCCCGCTAGACCGCACCACCTGCCTTCGCCCGCTGGCCGACTGCCATCAGCCCCACCGTCCAGTGGGCCCCCGCCCCCCCCCCTTTGGTCGGGGGTTTGATTTAGGTTTCTAGCCCCATTATTTGTAATGCCTTCCTGGGGGTTTGGAAATAAAACTTCTTTCCTGAGAACTGTTGTTTGCCTTCGCCTGCAGCAACCGGGTTAAGTATTTGACCCCCCCCTCCCCCACAGGAATGCAAAGTGGGGGAGGTGAGAGGTGTGGGTGCTGCTGTCATTCCTGACGGAGCCGGCAGGGGGAGCCAACGCCTCCCTTCGTTTTTTGGTTTCTCTGGCTTCGCTTGGTCCGCCTGGGGAAAGAGCCCTTTGACCTGAGGGGTCTTGCTCCCTGCTAACCCGAGACCTCCCCAGCAGTGGGGGGGCCGCCTGAGGCTCTGCCTGATTCCTGGTTTATACAGATGGCCCGCGGCCACCTCTGACCATCTCCGACCCCAAGCTGGTGCTTGTCTCTCAATTATTTGGGGGAAGAGAGTCCAGTGAGGGGGAGGGGAGATGCGGCGGGGGAGGGGATGCCGCTGAGGAGCCCCAGTCCAAACAGGGCTCCTGCTGAAAACCCAAGTGCACATCCAAGGGACCTCCGGCTTCCAGGCCCGTCCCGCCCTGTCCGGCTCCCCCCACGCTACGGTCAGGGAACACAAACGACAGTGAAATTGGCCAAAAATTCAAGTATCAGTGCGCTGTCCTGGCCAGGGTCCAGGGAGGATGAACAGAGCAGAAACCATCGAAGAGACCCCAGACCCCACACCCAGGACAGAGCCGGGGACCCAGGTGCAGGCAGGACTGAGACGAGGGGAATGGGCTTAAAGGGAGCGTGTCCCAGCCTCGCTCCGCGGAGGCCGTCCTGTGGCAAGCCCGGCTGGCCTGAGGCCCGGAAGACAACCCCGCGTCCTTGCGTGTCATCTGGGCGCGGGGACAGGGAGGTCTCAAAGGTCTTCAGCCCTGCACAGAGCGAGGAGGGGGAAGCGGCAGTCCCCTTTCACGGCCTCCTGCGGGCCGGGAGTTGTGTTAGGAGGACCAGGCCCACCAGGCCGGGCCTCGCCGTCCCCTCCCTCCTGCTGGCCCGGAGAGCAGCGTCTGGGAGTCCTGCGCGAAAGCAGCCCAAGACCCGTGACCTCTGGACAGGAGCGCGCCCCTGAGGGAGTGGGGGTGGAGACCAGGGACCCAACCCGGCCCCGGCCCCAGAGCCAGCTGGGTCTCACCTGCAGAGAAGAGTAGAGGGACTTCCCAAATTTCTTTCTGAACTCGGCACGGATGCTCAGAAGGTCAGTCTCACTCCGAGAGACAAGGATCCGCGCCAGGACCTGGTAATTGGGCTCGGTTTCCTGTGGAGGAAAACAGATGGGGAAGGGGCAGCAGTCGCACCCTCGCGGAAGGGGTGCAGGTCTCGGGAAAAGAGATGTCTCCATGATCCGGGGGCAAAAGGCAGCTTTGTCCAAACTCAGGAAGATGGCGCCGCGGGAAAGGTCACGTCCGTGGGGGCTTGAATCTGCTTCCTTCCTGCCACTGGGCTTTCCTGGCCCTGCCGCCGGGTGGGGGGCGGGGGGCGGTGCGCGGCTCCAAAGGCAGATGAACAAAATAGGCTCAGGAAGACTCGCCACCTGTGGCGGCTTCAACATGAAAGCCAGGAAGACTGTTTTTAACTTCAAAGTTGGTGGATGTCCAAAGGGGGGGTGTGCCTCCCGCCCACCGCTGTTGATGGGTGCTGATGGGTCTCTGGCGGGAAGCAGGGTCCTGGGCCTTCTGGTTCTGAGCCTGACCCACCAGGCTCATCTCTGCTCCCCATCTCTCCACAGCAGTTTCTCCTGGTTGGCCCCTTGGGGTTCAGCATCTGGGAAGACCTCCTGCCCTTCGGTTAGTGAAAGGAATTGAGAGGGGGCCTCCCTGGTGGCACAAGGGGTTCAGCACGGCACTATGAAGTTATCCGCAGCCTCTGCTGCATGAGTTCGAGCCCCGGCTGGCCAGGGAGCTACCCACATGGCGCAGCAGACCTCTCCTCTCTCCCTGCTGCTTCCCTCAGCAGTGGATTTTAGTAAATCTGCCTGTTCTGTTCCCCATTCTATCTCTGGGGAATCCTCTCACCCCCCCCACACTTCTGGCCTGCACCCCAGTCTTGTTTGCCAGGAGGGGACAAGCTCTCACCTGCAGGGCGTGGTGCAGCTTCTCGGCAAAGTAGAGCGCCGTGTTCCTGACCGCCGCGGCTGCAAGCAGAGGGGCAGCATGGGGACCCGACCCCCCACCCCCGCCCGCAGCGCCCCCCGGCCCGAGGGCCCCACCTAGGCTGAGCAGGGCCGCCTGGGCGCCTCCGTGGACGCTGGTCTCCAGCTCGTGGCCCGTGCGCTGCCGGTACCCGCGGAGCACTGCGGGGGGGACACGAGTAAGGCACCTGCGGGGACGGGGAGGGCCCCCCTGCCAGGGCCCCACCCCCTTGCTCAGCCAGGAGCCGGGGTCGCGGGCTGTACCGCGCTGGAGGTGCTCCTGGTTCCGCTGCGTCAGGATCGAGACCCACGCGCCCTCGGGGCCGGCTCCCCCGGCCTGCACCAGTGCCTGAGGAGGGAATGGGGCGCTGCTGGGGCTGCTCCCCGCGAGGACCGTGGCCCCGACTCTGGGATCCCCTCTACCTCAGTTGTTTAATTTATCAACCAAAGGAAAGGCCTGAGAGGGCCTCTGTCCTCACGGCTCCGCTCCCCCATTTGGAAAACTCAGGGCACTTCAGGAATTGAGTAGCCCCAGGGAGTGGGGCCCGTGGACCCCCAACCCACAAGGGCCCAAGAAAGGGGAGTCCCTGTTCACTCCCCGGGGTCAGGAGTCAGAGGCTCGGCAAGGGGGTGGGCTCCAGTGGGGGTGCTGGGGGGCATTGGGGGTACTGGGGGGCGTTGGGGGTGCTGTGCGGGCCTCCGCCCAGCTTACCTGGACATCCTGTTCTGCCAGGTTGTAGTCGATGACTCCAGAGAAGCTCTCGCGCCCGCCCTGGGAGGAGAAACCCCCAGGAGGATTTTGGGGCGCAGCTTTTTATCTCCAGGCAACAAACTGAACCCCCATCTCCCCCAAACTCTCCTGTTCATTGCATCATAATAAACCCCCCCCCCACGCCCCGCACCTTGGCCAGCGCCAGCAGCAGGTCCCGCAAGGCGCCGCTGGTCTCGGATTTGATGTCCTCCTCAGCGTCCACCTGGAAATCTGGGGTGGGGCCGGGGGCTGGCTGGGTGCTCCTGATTGCTCCCAGCGTTTTGTCCCCGTCGCACCCACTGTCCCCTGCTCGCAGCCGCTCCATGGCCGCTGGTTTCCAGGATGCAGACAGACCTTCCCTCACCACCGCCCCTGACGTGCCCCTGTGCCGCGGGGCCCAGGCTGCATGGGGTGAGGCCCTGTGGGGTGAGGCCCTCTGGGGTCAGGCTCCGTGAGGTGGCTTCTCCTCCAGACACTGACAAACGGGGGGCAGGAGGTGTCTTATTTGGTGGCCAGGCAGTTAAGGGGGGATAGGGAAACCCCTATCATAAGGTGAATGACTCGGGCCTGGGCCTTCTTTGGAGGGAAGGGAAAGTGAGTGGGAAGTCGGGTGTGAGGAAGGGAAGAGCAGGAAGGGGAGAAAAGGAAGGAGATGAGAGGAACCCAGGCGAGGGGGGGGGAGGGCAAGAAAGGGACAAGAGAGGGCAAGACCCGACAGCAGGGGCCTCGCTGGTGGGCAGGGGTCAGAGGCTCAGCTGCCGCCTGCCAGGGGGCCTGAGTTCGGAGCTGCCCACAGGGCGCAGCCCTCCTGCCTCCCCGCTGCTCCCCTCAGCCGTGTGCTTCAGGGGATCTGCCTGTTCTGCTCCCCACTCTGTCTCTGGGGAGTCCTCTCACCCCCTCCCCCCGCACCCCAGCTCTTACATGCATAAATAAATAAATCTTTGAAAAATTAAAAAAAAAGATGGGGCATCAAAGGAAACTTTGAGGGGGGCTGTGCAGACATGAAGATGAAGAAAGGCTCCTTAGCAATTAGTGGGGCCTGGGAGGGGACACCCTGGGAGGGGACATCCGTGATTCACAGCCGGCCCTGCCCTGGCCCCCGGCTGCACAAGGTTCCCCTGCCCGGGACTTGGGGAGAACCAGCGGGGGGCCGGGGAAGATGAAGGGTTCCCGGGATGATCACAGTCCCCAGCTTGTCCTTATCCTGGAATCTGCCCCGGAGCCCCAGACTCAGCAGGTGAGTCCTGGCTCCTCGCCTTTAATGACCGGCCTCCCGCGGGGCGGGGGAGGGAGGCAGCCCCCAGGGACAGGCTCCCCGGCGAGGGGAGGGAGGCTGGAGAGGCAGCCCCGGCCCCTGGAGACCCAGCGCGAGCCCCACCGTGTCTGTAGGCCGCCAGGCACTCCTGCAGCTGCGGGGGGCTGCGGGTGGCCAGGATCTCCACGGCCACGTCCTCCGCGGACCCCGAGTCCTGGAAGAAACGGGAGGCCCCCCTGAGACCGGCCGTCGGGCGGCAGCGAGCGGAGGCTGACAGCTTCTGCTGCGACGGGGCCTGGGTGCTAGGAGGGGACCGCTGCCAGCCATTCGCCAGCTCTCTTCCTCCCCTGGTGGAGGGACCCCCAGACTCCAGCGAGACTGCCCCCCGGTACCTTCAAGCTCCTCCGCAGCTCCTGGGCATCGAACTGGGCGGCGGGCTGCAGCAGGGCCACCACCAGGTGCTCCAGGGGGCCGGAGAGCGCAGCCCGCAGCGATGGCAGCAGGTCCTACAGCAAAGGGCCCCACCGTGGTGGGGGGAGGAATGTTTGGCTGGTCTTCATCTCAGCCCTGAAGCCACAGACCCCCCCACCTCGGCCCCACGCGGCCGTCGGGGCTGACCTGCTGGGTGCGCTCCTGGAAGTTTCTAGAGATGAGCTGCCTTTGCTCTCTGCTCCTGTTGGTCAGCACGTCCAGGATGGCGATGTGGTCCACACCTGCACCGAGGCGGGGCAGGGATGTGGCTGGGCGAGACCCACTGGGGTCCCCTTACTTCCCAGAACCGGAAGCCTCCCGAGGAGGCAGGAACAGATCGAGGAAAGGACTGGGGGCACCGGGAGCAGGGCCTCCGCCGGCCTCCTTCCTGCGGGGTCTCCGTGGAAGACACAAGGAGCCACGATGGGGCTTCTCTGGTGGCACAAGGGGCTGAGACGTGAACTGTGAAGCTGTCCACAGCCTCGGCAGCACGAGTTCGCTCCCCAGGCAGGGAGCTGCCCACATGGCGCAGCGGACCTCTCCTGTCTCCCCACTGCTCCCTCAGCGGTGTCCCCTGCCCCCCGCACCTCTGGCCTGTGCCCTGGCTCTTGTATGCATAAATAAGTAAATCTTTAAAAAAAAAAAAAAAACCACAATGCCGTACAAATCTGACCCCAATTTAGGCAAAGGTGGCCTGGGGGGGGAGTGGCAAAAGGCCTTTTGGGACCCCAACTTTGGGCAAGTCTCTGCTCTGAGCCCCAGTTTCCTCATCTGTAAAGTGGAAACAAGACTCACTCCCTGGGGTGTTGGGGCATGGGCGTGACACGCCCGCCAGTGCAGGGTCAGGGCCTCGCAGACCAGCCTGTGCATGGCTCCTGCCGACTCCATCTGGCCTGGGGGGGGGTCTTCGGCGGTGGGGGGAAGAGGGGCTCACCTTGGCCTGCGATGGCTTTCAGCAGCCGCTGCACGTCCTTGTCCACGCTGAAGCTCAGGAAGGTCCTGAGGGTGCCCAGGGTCCCCCAAGCTGCCGTCTGTAAGAGTGCAGGGGGCACTGCAGGCTGCCCAGGCCCAGCCAGTCTCCCCACCCAGCCCCTGAGCTGAGTCGCCGTGGTGGTTCCTGCTCCCTCGCACCCAGCAGTCCCTACCTTGCCAGCAAGGCCCAAGTGGCTGAGGATCTCCTGGGTCAGGGAGGCTCCTGTCTCGCTGCTGCTCATAGACATGGTGCAACTGCCCCAGGGTGGAACAGAGGAGGGGCCTTCAGTCCTCTGGGTCTCTTAGCGACCCCCAGAACCTGGAGCCGGGGGCTTCCTGGCCTGCCCCCTCCCTGCAGAAAGAGCATCAACCTGCTTGGCAGGTTTGGCAGCCAGAACTGGAGCCCGAGTGGTGGGCATAGGAGGAAGCCCCTTCCCACCTCTCACCCCTCCTTCAGGAGCGAGGGCCCCTAGAGCCAGCACCGCGCCAACCCTTCCTGGGCTCCAGGGCTGGTCCCCAGCTCCCAACCCTCAGCCTGGGGCAGGAGACCCCGTGCTGAGACTCATCCTTGCCCTCCGGGCCAGCTGGCAGCTGGGCACAGCAGAGGAGGGGGCAGTGTTGTACTCTAGGTCTCGGGGTGGGAGATGACAGCCCCAGCAGCACCTTCTCCCCTCGGCCCCACCACCAGGTACCCCACAGAGCTGCCTACCTGCCGCCTGCTTCCACCTCCGGAGTCCAGGTCTGGCCTCAGGGGGCGTGGGTGGGCGCTCTTGCGGGCCAGAGGCACCTGGGCGGGGGTCGGGCGATCACGTCAGAAAAGAAAAACTCCTTTCTCCCCCCTCTGAATGACCCCAGCCCCCTGGCCCGTGGTCCTGGGGCCAGCTCTTTTCAGAGGGCAGGGGCGAGATGCGGGTGGCACCGGCGCAGTGGCCTGGCAGACCAGGGGCGTGTGCCCGGCGGAGCGGCCAGTCAGACGGCCTCCTCGCGGCCAGCCCAGCTGCTGTCTTGGCTCTGGCCCCTCCCAAACGTGGGAGAGGACCAGCCCGTGCCTGGCCCCAGATTCCGGCGCCTCCCTGCCAGCATCTCTGCTCCCAGGGGCTGGGCCTCCACCCGGGGACAGAACCCGCTCGGCCCCTGAGCAGCGCCGCACACACAGGAGGCTTTGTGCGCTGGGGTCCCGGCCGGGGACCACGGGAGCCCAGTTTCCAAGTCCAGCGCCTGACCCGGCTCTCCTCCGGCTCGGCTCCCTGGGGGGCAGGTCAGACAGGCTCCAGACTGATCTCCAGGCCGATAGAGTAGAACCTGTCAGGGCACATACCAGCAGGCACCCCAGCCTGCTCTCCAGAGGGGGTCCCAACCCAGAAGCTCCCTTGGCCGAGGACCGGCTGAGCAGTCAGCTGGCTGGGCGGGGCGCCGAGTGGCCTGTTTACCTCGGAGGGGCAGGCAGGGCACAAGTGTCTGGAGGCAGGAGCAGGTTGGTGGAGTCAAGAGAGAAAAACGCAGAGTGTGTGCGCGTGGGCTCAAGGGCTTCGCTCCCCGGGGCGGCAGGCGGGCGGCTGGGGTCCCTACTTCTCTGGCACCTTCCACGGCCTCCGGCTGCCGGCGCTGTCTCGGTGGCAGTGATGCAACCTCACCAGCTGGGCTGGAGGCTTTGGGGCGCAGAGCAGCAGGTGAACAGTCCCGGGGAGCCTCAGGGGGCCGAGCAAGCTGCCACTGGAGCCTCGTGGCCAGCTCCCTAGGGGCCGAGAGCAGGCGCCGTCCCTCCCCCCGGGGCCGGCCACCGAGGGCCTGGGCCCCTGCCCAGGAGGCCCGGGGTTTCCTGCCCTCTGAGGCTCGGGAGGGGCCCAGTGGTGTGCGGACTCTTTTGAATGGAAAGAAATTAAGAAACAAAGGATCCAAGAATTGCGTTTTGCCTAATTACCCTTTTTAATGACGAAAATATCACCTTTAGAACTAGCCAGCTGGACTCAGCTTAGAGGGTCCCAGTTTTGTTGGCAACGTCCACAGCCTCGTGGTCAGAAGCCAGTGGGACATTGGCCTTCTCGCCACCGGGTGTGGCCGGGTGTTGACCTTGGCCCTGTCACGGGCAGAGCGCTTCCTCACAGCCTGTCTGAACAGGGGCTTGTTGCCGCGACGCTCACCATGACCCAAGGGTGTTGTCTCGCTCATGGCTGACGCAGTGGTCAGGGGACTGGATCATGGCCTAGTGGTCAAGCAGGTTTCTTCAAGGACACCTGGGCAGTCTTGGAGCTGGTCTTTGGTCATTGGGAGGCGGTAGAGTGTGAGCCTGTACCCTAATATATACATAGACACAGTGTCTGTGCCTATGCATATATGTAAATCAATGTTACTTTTTTTTTTTTTAAGTTTTTGCTTTGGCTAGAGATTTGGGAGGGGCACGGTGCTTCTTTCTTTGCTTGTGGTACCATCTTAGCGAAAAGAGAAAAAACTTCTTTTTCTTTAAAATAACAATCCTGGGGTCTCCCTGGTGGCACAAAGAGTGAAGTGTCAGCACCAAGAGGCTATCCACAGCCTCTGCAGCACGTGTTTGATCCCCGACCAGGGAGCTACCCTCATGGCGCAGCAGACCTCTCCTGTCTCCCCGCTGCTCCCCTCCGCAGTGTATTTCAGTCAGTCTGCCTGTTCTGCTCCCCACTCTGTCTCTGGTGAATCCTCTCTCACACATACACCCACACACACCTCCGGCCTGCACCCCAGCTCTTAAATGCAAAAATAAATCTTTAAAAAATAAAAGAATTTCATTAGAATAATGTGTTGTTGTTAAGTGTGACCCAAATATATCATAGGATACACTTATGCTAACAAATTATTTATTGTTTATCTGAAATTGCAATTTAACTGAACTTGCTGTATTTTAACTGGCAACCTGCAAAATGGGACTCGGTTTCAGCATAATGGTCAAAAGGAAAGGACCCGGAGCCACAGTCCCGAGACTCTGGTCTGCTGTGTGACCTTGGGCAGCTACCTCAGCTTTTCTGTGCTTAGTTCCCAGTCACCAAGGCTGACATAATAATGGTTAAATAACAGGTTATTGTGAGAATTAAAAAATTAACACACTAAAATCTTTAGAAGGAGGAAGGACAGAGTGGCAAGCACACTCGTCAAAAAGTTAATATATAAAAATTTCGTTAAAATGTTGCTTTATAGTAACTTCGTAACGCCTCCTTCTGCAGCTCCTTCTTGCCAGTCCCCAATCTGGTCACCAGAGGGCATCAGCAGCCGCCGAGCACCTCGAGCCCCCTAGTGGCCTCCGGGGGTTTCCCAGACCCCAAGGGGTGCTGCGGCCCGCGGACTTGGGGTTCCCGGTGCACTGGCTGGACAGGCCGCGTCAGGGGAGAGCGCAGGTGGACGTCTCCTCACTGGACTCCGCTGGGTCCGAACTCAGGCCGCGTGCAGGAGGCGGCGTTACCGCGGTGGGGGGGGCCGCTGTCCCGTCCGCCCCTTGGGCTCCCAGCGCCCTCCTGGGTGTCTCCTGGGTGCCCCTTCCCAGCAGGCCGAGGGCGAGATGCAGGGACAGAGAGGGCTTTTGTTCTCCAGTCTTCGCTGCAAGGGCCTCCTGAAGCGGCTGCAAGGCTGAGTGCAGCCTGGACACTGCAGGAGTGTGAGCGGCCAGCAACGCGCTGCACTCCTGTCTCTGGGCTCTGTCTTATTTATTTATTTTTGAAGATTTATTTATTTATTTATGCATACAAGAGCTGGGGTACAGGCCAGAGATGCAGGGTGAGAGGATTCACCAGAGACACAGTGGGGAGCAGAACAGGCAGACTGACTGAAACACACTGCTGAGGGGAGCAGCGGGCGAGTCAGGAGAGGTCTGCTGCACCATGTGGGTAGCTCCCTGGCTGGGGATCAAACTCGTGCTGCAGAGGCTGTGGACAGCTTCGTAGGTTGTGTCTTAACCTCTTGCGCCACCGGGGAGGCCCTCTGGGCTGTTTTATTCGGTCTCCGGCTGGGTTGAGGTTGTTTCTGTTCACTTCACGTTCTGCATTTAGCGTTTCTGCAGGAGATCTTGGAGATGACCTTGGCAACTATCTCTGTGGTTGGACCCAAGAGGCCAGGGGATTTCTCAAGGTCACAGCAGTGAAACCAGAATCTAGGTCTCCAACCTACTTCTCGGTGTTTTCCCCACTCAGATGTGAGAATGACCAGATTGGCGTCCCTCTTGGGGGGACATAGGGAGATAACCAGTAATAGATAAAGCCGCAACAGGAACCTCCCTGATGGCGCAAGGGGTTAAGACGCTAGCTGCAGCATCCCCAGGCAGGGAGCAACCCGCATGGCGCAGCAGACCTCTCCTGTCTCCCCGCTGCTCCCCTCCGCAGCATATTTCAGTCCCTCCACCTGTTCTGCTCCCCACTCTGTCTCTGGTGAATCCTCTCACCCCCTGCATCTCTCGCCGGTACCTCAGCTCTTGTATGCATAAATAAATAAGTCTTAAAATTAGCTGCAACAGTCGATTTGGGAACACACCTTCAATCCTAACTCAATATTAGTTTTCTGCAAGCATTTTGCACTTGCTGGATGTCGGAAATCACAGGCATATTTCTCTGCTATTTGTCCTCTTTTTCTCCCAGAACTGCTGACACCTGAGTGTCTCGACTCACGCTCCAGCCACGCCCCACTCCTTGGCCACCAGGGCTTCTGGGTGGCAGGAGGCAGTCTGAGCTGGGATAACCCACTTTCCACCATGGTGTCCACGTTCTGGGGGCCCCAGAAGACTGTCCAGATACCTTGGTCGCAGACTGAAGGCTGGTGGGGGCGGCACCTCCGAGGCCCTTGGAGAGGAAGTGAGTCAGGCCGGGCAGGCAGCAGCCCTGGGGCACTGTGGGTGTGGCCATGCAGCCTGTGGCGTGGGTGTGGCCATGCAGCCCGTGGGGGATGGGCCAGAAGGGCCACAGGATGATCCCGTGGGCCGGCCAGCCGCTGTGCCCTGTGCCCGCTGTGCCCAGGGGGTGTGTCCTGAGTGCCTGGCAGAACTGGCAGCATCATTGTGCTGCTGGAGACCCAGTTTCCCGCTCAGCACCCACCTTCTCTGGGGTGAAGGGGTACATGCACCCTCTTATCTTTACTTCTCAGGCCTCTGCTATCCGACTTCTGCCCCTAAACTTCCCCTCCCCACGGCTATCTTTAAAAAGAGTTGACTGTTCTTCAGCTCCCCGAGGAATCACTTAAAATGTCTAGCAGGGGCCTGGGAGGCCCGGCTTCCAGCAAGGCGCCGAGACAAGGGCTCGAAACCAGGAGGGGAGCGGGGGGCCAGGCGTGTGGGCAGGGGTGAGACCCCAGAGCTAGCTGGGCCTGCAGCGGAGTCGCCAGTCCTGCTGGGAAAGGGTGTGGGTTTGCAGAGGGAAATCTGGGGTGAGCACTGGAGACAGGCAGAGGGAGCCTGGGGCGTGGAGGCGGAGGACGGGAGGGGTGAGGCTGGGGTGAAGCCTGGGCAGAGTCCGGGAAGCCGCTGCCAACTGGGCCACCCGGCGGGCCTGGGGCTCGCAGGCCGCGGGCTCCCCGGGGGCGGGGCAGGCCAGGGGCGGGGGACACTGGCCCCTTCTCTCCCGCGCGCCGGGCTGGGGGCCTCCGCCAGGAGGTCGGGGATGAAGGGCTGGAATTCAGCCCTCCCGACCCCCAGAAGGAGCGGGGTGGGGGGCGAGGTCACCCGCTGCCCTCCGCGGGGGGGGGGAAGCAGGCCCAGGGAGGCCGCCCCGCCAGGGCCCTGGCCCGGGTGAGGAACCCCGCGCGCCATCGGGGTGCGGCGCAGGGTTGCGCGGAGCCAGGCGGGCCTCGGACGCTCGCGCCGCGCCTCCCGGAGACTCCGCGGGGCCCGGGGGGGCCCGGCCGGGCTGGACTCGCGGACGGCCTGGCCGGAGTCGGGCGGCCCTCGGGGCCCGGCCCGTCGGCGCGCGGGGTGCTCCGCGCAGGGGCTCGCGCCGGGCGGTGGGGCGCCCGCTCCCCCTGCAGCCGGGGCGCCCAGCAGGGCTCCGGAGAGCGGCCGCGGCCGGCCGGGGCGGGGGTCTGAGCGGCCGCGGGCGGGCCGGGGGCCCGGGGGGTCCGGGGGGCCCGGGGGGCGGGGCCGGGCACGCCCTCCCGCCGCGGCCCCCGCGCCGGCCGCAGCCCCCGCCCCGCCGCCGGCCCCGCCGCCTCCCCCGGGCCGGGCCGCGGGAGGAGGAAGGGGCGGGCGGCGGGCGGGCGGAAGGGGGCGGGGAGAGCCGGGCCGTCCCCACCGCGGCCGCGAGCGCGACGCCGGACCGAGCCGGCCCCGCCCGCCAGCCCCGCGCGCCGCCGCCGAGTGAGTCGCGCCCGGGCCCGGGCGCCGCGCGGGGGGCGGGGGGCGCGGGCGGCGCGGGGGGCGCGGGGCGGGGCGGCCGGGCCGGGGGCCCCGCGGGGCTCATGGCGGCGGCGGGAGGCCGGGCCGGGCCCCCGCGCCGCCCGGGGCAGCCTGGCCCGGCGCCCGCCGCCCTGCGCGCCCGGCGCCGCGGGAGCCGCGGGGCCACCGGCCGGCGGGGGCGCCCCTCTGGTGGGCGGGGGCCCCGGCGGGCGGGCGGGCGGGCGGGCGGGCGGGCGGCGCGTGTCGCCCGGGCCTGCGCGGGCCCCGCGGCTCGGCCGGGGCGGGGGCGCGAGGGCCCCGCTCCCCCCGCGGCCCGCGGCGCCCCCCCGGGGCCGGCGCCCGTGTGCTCCGCGGGGAGCGGGAAGGGGCGGCCGGCCGCGCCCCGGGCCCCGCGAGGGCTCCCAGACCGTTATGGGGTGTGGGAGGCTGCAGTGGGTGGGGAGCGCCGGGGAAACTGGTTTTCTGGGCCGCGTCTTGCTAATTGCTGGCCCGAGGCCGCGGGCGGGCGGGCGGGCTCGCTGCAGGTGGCGGCCGCGACCTTCCTCCCGCCCCGGCTCGGCCTGCCGGGCGCCGGGCGGCATCAGAAGCGGGCGCCAGTCCCCAGGAGTCGGGGGTGTCGAGGACCCCGGGGAGGGGGCTGGGCCGGGCTTCCCAGAAGTGAACCCGGGAAGGCCGGGGCGGCAGTCGCCCCAGTCAGCTGGCGATGGGCGTCTTAATGCGGGACCTGCCTGCCTGGTGAGGGGCTCCTGAGGGAAGGCCTCCGGCCTCTCACCCCTCAGGGTCCGGCCCTAATCACAGGTGACCAGCACAGATTGCTCTAAAGACAACAGAGGGACCCCAGCGTCCGCACCCCTCCCTCGGGCCCCCGGCCAGCTGCCCCCGGAGGAAGGGCCCCCTGGCTCCCCCGCCACTGACCCCAGCTAATCCTGCTCCTGAGCCCCCGTCTGCCCCTTCAACCTGCTGGCCTCTCCCTGCCCCTGGGGGGTGTTGGGGCTCTGCTGGGGTGGCCCCGGCCAGCTAGATTTGGTTTAGGGATCCGCACCGAGCGGCCACACCTCCCGTGCCCTCAGCCTTCTGGTGGCTGCTGACCCGCTGCTGTGGCTGCTGAAAACAACCCTCTCACCAAGGGGCGTCTTCAGTCCTCCTCAGCCCCCGTCCTCAGTGGAAGCCGGGGCCTGGGGGACGCTTTTGTCACTCTGGCTGGTGCCGCCCCAGGCTCTTCAAGCTGGGTACTGAGACCCTTCCTGGCGGGTAGCTCTGCCCTCCTAGCGCCCTGGGCTGCAAACCCCACCCTGTGCCTTGAGCCCACCCTGCGGCCTAGGCAGGCCCTGCCCGAGTTCCTGGTAACCCAAGGCCCACAGTCCCAGCGCTGGGCCCTCCGGCCGTGCCTGGAGCGTCTGACCCGGCAGGTGTGTGACACCCGCCCCCTTGTCGTGCGGGGTGTGGGGGGGCTAGCTGCAGAGGGGGCGCTCTCCATCTGAAGAGCAGACATCAGCCCGAGGGTCTCGGCGCCCCGAGAGCAGGTGGTGTCCCTGTCCTGAGTCTCAGGTCCCCTCTTCTTGCCCCGGCCTTTTGTTTTTGGGGTCCCTTCTGTGCTGCTGCCAGGCTGCCACCAGGACAGCGCTGAAGCGGACACGCTGGCTCTGGGGATGCGTGAGGGAGTCCTGTACCCGCTGCCTCTTGTGGGCTGGGACGGGCGGGGGGCCGGTGGGTGCTGGGTGAGGTGTGCTCCTCTGTTCATGGAGGGCGGGCAGCAAGGCCAGGCCTGGGCACAGGCTGAGACCGGCTGCGGGAGCACCCCGTGGCTGCAGGGCCCCCGACGCTCTTGACCTCTCACCTGTCCCGACCCCGTGGCGGGCAGAGGGGCTGCTGGGCCTTGGCTGAGGTAAAGGCACTGCGGCACTTGCCTGTCGCCCGCTCTGCCTTCTCTGTAGGGTTAAGACCGGAACCATTCCTGGGCCTCAGGAATCAGGGAGAGGCTTGACCCACACCCTCCAGGACCCCAGCAACCCCCCCTGAATCTTTAATCTGCCAAAATGTCCCTGATTAACTTCCCTGCCAGTTTTCACTGACCGGGCCGGGGATGCAGCGGGGTCGGGCCCGGCCTGCACCCTTAACGTGGGCCCGCAGCGGAGGCCAAGCCGGAGAGTCAGGTGACCGACCGGCTGGTGTGCTCCCACCTCCCGTCCGGGCCCAAAGGGGAGGAAGAGCCAGAGGCGCCCCGCAGTCTTGCCTCCCAAATTGTTTTCTTCTCTACCTGCTTCTCCCTAGGGAGGACACAATGTGTGCGCGTGGCTGCGTGGGGAAAGTGCCACTGTGGCTAATTGTGTTTAATTTTGTTCAGTTCAAAGGCTTCCATCTCTTTTCCTAATTAAATATTTATTCTGGCTAAGGTAGAGGGGGAAGGGGCAGTGCCCTCCGGAGAGCCGGCCCGGAATGTGTGTGTGCGCCTGAGTGTGAGTGTGAGAGAGAGAGAGAGAGAGCGCGAGCGCTGATTGGGGGAAGGCAGGCCCGAGCCTCCTTTATTGTCAGCGCTGACCTCTGATTCCCTCCGAAAGAGCAGTGACCAGGAGTGGGGACCGGAGGGTAAAGTCCTTGGGCTGGATTCTGACGTGCCCGGCCCAGGCTGAGGAGGTTTCGCAAGGCCTCCGTGGGGGGCGGAGCTGGCAGCGGCGGGAGGACCAGCCTTCCCCTAGCCGCCCCAGCTGGTCTCAGGTTCACGGTGGACAGTCCCCCGCCCTCTCTGGGGGACGCCACCTTCTATGTGGGCTCTAAATCTCCAGGTCAGCATGAAGGCCACGACCTCTCGCCCGCAGGGAGGGTGGGGGTGGGAGCTGCCCTGGCCCCCACCGTGTTGGGGGTGCAGTTCTAGGGCCACCCGGGTGGGCTGGGCCCGGCATTGCTGACCTCGCGGGCCACCTTGTGCTTCTCAGCTGCTGCCCCCCAACCCAGGAAGCACAGGCCACCCCTCCCTGGCGGGGAGCCGGTGGTCAGTAGCACCCTGTTGGCCCTTCCTCGTCCATGGGGCGAAGGGAGAAGGGAGAGGAGCGGCGCCGGCCTGAGCCGCCGTCTCTGGAGGACAGTCCCTGCGGGCCGGTCTTTTCTGGACGGGCGTGAAGATCGAGCCGCCCTTTACCCCGCCCGTCTCGGTCTCCATTTTGCCCACCGGCTCTCGACGCCGCGGTCTTGCCCTCACAGCCCGGGAAGGGTATCGCGCAGGGCTGGTCTCATCCACCTGTTGTCCTGGAATTCACATCACTTGGGGATACGATGGCCTTTTGCTCCGACCTCTGAACTTTCCCGAAGGACCTGCTGCCCACGTGCTGTAGGGGAGCGGGAGGAAGGCTTGCCCCCGTCCTGGAGTCTGCTGCTGGCCTTCCCCAGCGAGCAAGTGTCCAGCGGTGGGCCTGCTTGGGGGCTGGAGGGGGCGACCCAAGAGTGGGTTGGGGGAGGGCTTCCGGGACCAGGTCCTGTCTGTCCTTTGTGTGGGGCATTGTGATGGGGAGGTCCTGGGGCCCTTTTTAGGGGGTGTTGGCCACTCCTTTGCGTCCTGTGAATCGCAGGTGTTAGAACTGAAAGAGCCACCGCGTCACAGGAGGAAACTGACTTGTCCAAGGTCACGTGGACCTAGACCCCAGAACTTGGGTGTCTGGCCCGCACCCCTCTGCTGGCTCCATTTGAGGCCTCTCCCTTCCCCTGCTCCCTCAGGATGCTTCAGACCCTGTATGACTACTTCTGGTGGGAACGGCTGTGGCTGCCCGTGAACTTGACCTGGGCTGACATAGAAGACCGAGATGGACGAGTCTACGCCAAAGCCTCAGACCTTTACATCACACTCCCCCTGGCTTTGCTCTTCCTCATCGTGCGATACTTCTTTGAGCTGTGAGCATAGCCGCCCTCCAGGGCCCACCCGGGCCGCCCGCCAGTCGTTGGCGCTTCACGTCTGTCTCTTGCTAATTGGCCCTGGACCTTGGGGTTCTGACCACCCAGGTCCCTGCCGCTGTGTGTTCCTCACTGAAGGCAGCATTGTCTTCCTGAGGGCGCAGCACCCCTAGGCCCTCACTTTCAATGGTTATTTGTTCTCTCCCTCCGCCCGCACGGTCACCGCGAACACAGGCAGCCTTGTCAGCCATGGGCAGCCCGACATACAGGAGGGGGTTGCTGGGAAACTGAGGCCCAGAACAAAGTTGCCTGAGCTTGCAGTCTCTGCCCCTCCCAGCTGAGGGGCTCCCAAGAGGCTGAGGTGCTCCAGGAGCGCCGACGCCTCACCCATCTCCCCTCCCCAGTTACGTGGCCACACCGCTTGCCGCCCTCCTGAACGTAAAGGAGAAAACTCGGTTGCGGGCACCTCCCAACCCCACCTTGGAGCATTTCTACCTGACCAGTGGCAAGCACCCCAAGCAGGTATGAGCTGCAGGCCCCGTTCTGAGGGGTTCTGAGTTCTGGCAGAGGGGCGGGTGGGAAAGCCTGCTCTGGGGGTGAAGGCCGGAGCGGGGACCGCAGCTCCAGGTTGGACTCAGGGTGCTTCTCCCCTGCCCAGGGGGACGTGGAGCTCCTGTCCCGACAGAGCGGGCTCTCCGGCCGCCAGGTAGAGCGCTGGTTCCGCCGTCGCCGCAACCAGGACCGGCCCAGCCTTCTCAAGAAGTTCCGAGAAGCCAGGTGAGGGCTGGGTAGGGGCGATGGGGCCACCCGCTGAGTTTGGCTCTTCATGCTGCCCTGGGGCTGTCGGGAGGGACTCGGAGGGCGGAGCCTGCCCTCTCCCGCCTCCCTCTTAGCCATTCCCGCTTCCTCTTCCAGCTGGAGATTCACCTTTTACCTGGTGGCGTTCGTGGCCGGCATGGCCGTCATCATGGATGTGAGTGGGCCTTGCTGGGCGCCGGGGGCGTCCCCTGGCAGCGGGGTAACGGAGTTAGACCCCTCTTCTAACTGCTCATCATCTCTCTGCAGAAACCCTGGTTCTATGACTTGAAGAAAGTTTGGGAGGGGTACCCCATACAGGTGAGGCGGCCCTGGCTCCTCACTGGGGGTGAGCACGAGCACAGCAGGGCCGTCCCGGGCACACGTGCGTGAGGGGACGGTGTCGGGCACCAGCCAGAGCCCCAGGGGCTGGAAGGCTGGGCTTGCACAGGGAGGCCTGGGTCCAACTGCTCTGGGCCCTCACCGTCCGGTCCTCCCCCAGAGCACCATCCCTTCCCAGTACTGGTACTACATGATCGAACTTTCTTTCTACTGGTCCCTTCTCTTCAGCATCGCCTCCGATGTCAAGCGAAAGGTAGGTCGGCGGCCGCCAGGAAGCCTGGGAGCCAAGGGACGCTCCGCTGAGCAGCCTGAGCTTTGATTTCTGGGCGCTTTGGCTGGGCATGTGGGGCCTGGGGGGCTGAGGGTGGGAGCTGGAGAGCAGTGTGGTCCCTGGAGCCTGTCTTTCCCACAGGATTTCAAGGAGCAGATCATCCACCACGTGGCCACCATCATCCTCATCAGCTTCTCCTGGGTCGCCAACTACATCCGCGCGGGCACACTCATCATGGCGCTGCACGACTCCTCTGACTACCTGCTCGAGGTCGGGGCCTGCCGGCTCGCCAGTCCCCCTGCCCTTTTGGGGGGAGGGGCACGTCCCGGGCCCACGCGGGGGGCAGTGGTGGGGAGGCCGCGCGGGCGGGTGAGCCGGAGTGACGGAAGGGCCGTCCACGCAGTCCGCCAAGATGTTCAACTACGCGGGCTGGAAAAACACCTGCAACAACATCTTCATCGTCTTCGCCGTCGTCTTCATCATCACCCGGCTGGTCATCCTGCCCTTCTGGTGAGTGTGCAGCCAGCCCGGTTCCTGCTCACGGGCAGCGGGGGCGCTCGCCTCCCCCATCCGTCCTCCAGCTCCTCCCGGGTCAGCTGTCTCTGCTCCTGCCCCCCAGGATCCTGCACTGCACCATGGTGTACCCCCTGGACCTCTACCCTGCCTTCTTCGGCTACTACTTCTTCAACTCCATGCTGGGGGTGCTGCAGCTGCTGCACGTCTTCTGGGCCTACCTCATCCTGCGCATGGCCCACAAGTTCATAACTGGAAAGGTGAGGGCTGTGCCCCGCGGGGGCTTCGCCTGTGGGGGAACCCCTGCCCCCTTGCCTGGGCCAGCGGCCGGGTGCGGCAGGACAGGGTGGGCGCAGCCGCAGCCACAGGGGATTACGGACATCCTCTTCTCGCCACAGCTGGTGGAGGATGAGCGCAGCGACCGGGAGGAAACCGAGAGCTCGGAGGGGGAGGAGCCCGCGGCGGGGAGCGGAGCCAAGAGCCGGGCCCTGGTCAATGGCCACCTGGTCCTCAACAACCACCATCGAAAGAAGGACTGAGCCGCCGGCCCTGCTGCCCCCAGATGACGCAGAAGGCCAAGGAACTACCCCTTGGGGTCCCTTTAATTTCTGGGGAGAAAGCAGAGAGTGAGGAGCTGTTCTGTCCCCTGCCACTGTCACCCAGTTGCCTTTAAACCAAATCTGAGCAGCCCGTCCCCAGGGAGAGGGGACGCTGGTTGTATCCTGCTGGGGGGGATGGTCTTACCGTCCTCTTTTGAGACCCTGCCTGGGCTCTGGGGGAGGGGCCACGACTCACATTCCTTATGGCTTCAGAACTTGGCCCCAGAGATTTGCCTTTGACTCCCTGGCCTCCAGGGCCAGGGTCACGCCTTACCGTCCACCTGTGGGCCGCATTCTGCCAAAGAAGGACCAAGGTTCGCCTTTTTGACCCAAGGTTTTCAGGCCAAAAACCAAAGCTGATCTGATTTTAACCTTTTTCTTCCTAAGACACAAACGAACTGAGTGTAGGGGGGTGCATATGACCTTTACCCTACCTCTGCCAAAAAATGGGGGCCATATTGGGGCTCAGGCCATACTTTGTGTCACTTCTCTGCCAGCCTTCCCTGCAACTAAGGTCCCCGATCTTACTGCCTCCTTTCTCTGGCCTATTCCGCCAGGCTAGCTGGGTTGTAGAAAGGCACCTAGTTCTAATTTTTATTTATTATTTGGGGTTTTGGTTTTAAAGCCAGACTTCCAGCTAGCACCTGGCATTTCAGCAGAGGGACCACTTCTGACCAAAATGTACTGTTAATGTTTTTTTTTTTTTAATTAAAATATATTAAAGATTAAGTAAAACATGGCAACAAGTGTTCCAGACTATTAGGAATTGAGAAGGGGGATCCACTAAATAAACTAAGACCGTCTCCTCATGCCATCCTCAGCTCTGTAACATTTTTTGTAAATTTCATATGGCAAAAAGGAAAAGCAGAGAAGGTATGAGAGCAACGATGGTGGCCCGATGGGAAGAAGGGGGGCGTGTCTCTCGCTGGAAGACTCAGAATTGGGAGTATGGGGGCTGAGGGAGAGAAATGGAATCACAATCTCAGTTGGAGTAAGATGTTAAAGACTTGCAAGAAACAATACAAACCAACGATGGCAACACAGCCCTCGTGCCAGGAATAGAATCTGTCAGACGCATGAACACTTGAACAGACGGAGGCTGGGCGCGAAGAGGGACTCAGGCCCGGGTCAGAGCGGAAGCCTCTGCTGCCCCTTGGCCTGGGCGGTGGAGGAGGGGCCCTGCCTGCTAGCACCACATTGGAAGGAGTCTCCTCATCCAGAACCCCCGCTGTCAGGAGCTGGGGGAGTAGCTAGACTAGAGACTTGGGGTCAGAGTTCAACAGCCAGGAAGACCCAGTTCCTGAGGAGAGGACAGTTCAGGAGGACGCGGAGGCGCGGGGCCTAGAGAAGACGCCCTCTGCACTCGATGGCCCCGCAGCAACAGAGCAGCTCCTTGCCCTCCACGCTGCCCACCTCGTAGTTGTAGTCCCATGTGAGCTCCGTGCCAGCCCGGATTCTCCTGAAGGGGGAAGAGCGGGACGTGAGGACAGCAGATGACCCGGCTCCCAGGGCCGCATGGAGGCCCACCCTCAGAATTCCCACGGGTCCTTCCCACCCTGGGCTGCTGCTCCCACCCACCCAAACCCTTTCCCAACGCCCTCTCACTTGCTGGCAAAGAAGGCCACCCAGGGGAAGCGGAGGTCGTGCGTGTCCACAAAGACATTCTGGACGAACAGGTTGGGGCTGCAACTGTGCTGCAGGTGTAAGGACAAGACCCGGTGAAAACCAGGGAAACAGAATCCGGCTTTGTGGGGTGAGGGCGGGAAGAGAACAAGGCCACTTGATCCTTCCCATCACAGGGAGGTTTTAAAAGCTGCCTCTGTAAGAGCCTTCGCGATCAGGAATTAGTGAGCAAAGAAAGAGGCAGAAACCGGAGGACCGAGGCGAGGGGGGGGCGGGGGGCTCACGTTGAGGTAGCGGCCCAGGTTGCCTTCGAGCTTGGCGTCGATGATGTAGCAAGACTCCTCGCCGTCGTAGAACTGGCGCGTGTTCTTGCGCACGGGCGCGCTCTCCCCCTTTTCCGCGGACGCCATGTTGGTTGACTTAATGGCAATCCCGTGGGTCGACTTCAGCGCGAAGCCTCGGGTTGACTTCACGGCCACCTGGCGCTTTGCTGGGCCTGGCCAGGAAGGAGAAACGGGTCAGGCCCCGTCCTCCAGACTGGACTTGGTCCCTCAGGTTTCCTCCCACCCAGGGCAGCTCAGGGACGCCGACCAGCTGGGGTTCGGCCAGATACCACCCCAGGTGGCTGCTTGTTCGCACAAGCTGAGACCGAGGATTCGAGACGGGAACTGGGCGAAGGAAAAGGAAGCGGGAGGAGAGGAGGAAGAGCGCGCACGCCGTGGCTGCGAGTCAGGGCATCCGAGGCGATGCTGCGAGTCTTAAGGGCCGGGCTTTCCCCTTCCCGAGCTTCCTCGTCCCCAGCTTTCCTACGGTTCCTTCCTACCACCCACAAGAGCCTCCCAGCCTACCAGACATGTTCTTCTTGTCCTCAAAGTCATCCCCCTCGGAGCCGGAGGAGATGGTCTGGATGTCATCGCTGTCCGCCGCGGCGGCGGAGGCCTGGCCGGCAGCGGGCTTGCGGCTGGTCCCGCTTTCCCCCTCGCTCTCGGTGCTGCTCGACAGCGTCAGGACATCCTGGGGGGCAGACGGCGAGGGAGGGGGTGTGTAAGTGGAGAGGGCCTCCGTGTCCCTGCCCTTACCCGCCGTCAGGCAGGAGGGGCGAGACTATGGCGCGAGAAGAGGTGCTGAAGGACAGTGAGGCGGGCGAGACCAAAGCAGCGAGACAGGAGAGATGGGACGAGGCGCAAACGTTCTCACTCGGACTCTCGTGAAACAGAGAGGTGGGCGAGGGCTCGAGGGGTGGCCACGTACATCAGGGTTGGCGTGAGCGGAGGCCAGCAGTCTTCGGCTCTGGTGCATGCTGGTCTTACTGGGTGGGCGGCGGAGTCCTTCAGTCTTCGCGGGGGAAGGATTGTAACCATAATTTCGGGAGCTTTCAGGAACACTGCTGGAGGGGAAGGATGTGGGGGTCAGGAGACTTTCTCAGGCTCCTTCTGAAGGCTTGGGGGGAGCAGACTTAGGTAAACAAGACACTTAAGGCCTCCCTGGTGGCGCAGCAGGTTGAGCGCAGTGCTGTGAAGCTGTCCGCAGCCTCTGCAGCACAAGTTCGATTCCTGGCTGGCCAGGGAGATTCCCACATGGCAGGGCAGACCTCCCCTGTCTCGCCGCTGCTCCCCTCAGCAGTGTCTGGTCCGTCTGCCTGTTCTGCTCCCGGCTCTGGTGAATTCTCTCACCCTCCCGCGCCTCTGGCCTGTACCCAGTTTTTGTATTAAAAAAAAAAAAACAACTTACAAACCCCCCCCAAAAAACGACAAGACACTTACAGTGACAGCTTGTTCCGGTCATCTGGGTCCTAGAAAAAAAGTGAAGGGTTAAATGTTTTCGGGGTCCTCGGTAACAAATCCGACAATTAAGAGTTCATCTCCAGGGACCTCCACGGACATCAGTGAGAGGTGTTCTAGGTGTGCTGTGTGTGGAGAACTTACCCTGCAACCTGAAAGCAACAATCACATTCTCACCAGTAATCCCCTGAAGGGGCCGTGATGCTGCCGTGAGGGGGCGCATGTGGCGTGTTCATGGCAGCCATGGGCAGAACCTCACAAGGACAAGGAGCCTCGAACACGGGACGTTTCAACATCATTAAAAATATATTTAAAATCGATTCTTGGCTTCTCTAACAGAACGATGTAGAAAACTCGAAACAGTACTCAATGAAAACACTCAAAAGCCTTTCACAATTGGAGTAATCGAGAAACCCTCCACCCCACAAGCAGGCTGCTTTCAAAATAATCTGGCTCTTTAAACACACAGGGTGTGCTGGGCCGAGGGGCGGATGCGCGGGCCAGGCCGCCGTGGGAGCAGACCACGGCACCCGAGCGTCACGAAAGCCACTGCTCACCTCTTTCTTGGCTGGCTTGATGTCAGCCTCGTCCTTGATGCCCACACCCGAGGTGGAAGCCTTTTCGGCCTCCCCTCGGCCGCCCCCGGCGCGGCCCTCCCCACCCTCGCTGGTCTTGAAGGAAGAGCGGCTGTCGGAGTCGGCAAAGCCACCCTCACTGACACTGTTGCAGCTCAGCCACGAGGCCACCTTGTTCTTAGGAGTCTCTTCAGAGGAAGGTGGATTGCAGCCGCCTCCAGGGGCTGATGGAGGGACGGGCGTGTGGGGGGGTCCGAGGTCTGGGGGGCGGGAGTCCTTGGAGGCCGTCTCAGAGAGCCCGTTCTCCTTCTGGCCCCGCGTCTGCCGCCGGGTGGCGTAGCTGCGCCACACGGAGCTGGTGCTGAAGTCCTCGTCCTTACAGAAGTTATCATCGGAGCTGTCATCGTTGGACTCCTCGGCGTCCTCCGTGCCACTGTTGCCGTCTTCCTGGTCCTTCAAGTCTACACCGCTGCTGTCAGAGGAACAGGGGGCGTCGCTTTCGTAGCCTTCCTTGAAGTTCTCCACACTCTCGATGTGGTCCAGATTGGCAAAGTACTCATCACCCATCTCCAGGCCTTCTTTGTCAGCAAAGTCATCTGTCAGGATTTTGCCTGGGAATGAAAATTAAATACCCTCTAGGGATGTGAAGCATTTTAGAAAGAATAAGGGTCATTTCTTCAACACCCCATCCGCCAGCAGAGTTGAAATGCCTCTCCCTGGCCTACACACCTCCTCCTCAGTGCCCTGAGAACAGGACGCTGACGGAAGCTTTTAGTCCCGGCCTTTCTGCCCTCCCACCCCTCCCCTTGACTCTGTTTACCGGAAGTCATCAGCCACGCGAGAGAGCCCTGGTGCAGTGACACAGGATTAAATCGACACACTGGACACTGTCCTATCATCTCTTCCCCGAAACAGCCTCATGTCCGGCTGCACCCGCCCCTTCTTGTTCCTGCCCCTGTGAAGCATTGATGTCCCTCCCTGGGGCCTCACTAGTTGTGTCATTTACGGAAGAAGATTCTGGCTGCCTCTTGCTCCTATGGCGAGCACTTCATACTTAGGGTCAACGCTCTCCTTCGCAGTCCTTTCACGTCATCACTGACCTGCGTAGATACAGACGAAGGATCCCTTGGCAATGTCATCCAGGCAGCGGATGCCCCAGCCCTTGTTCTGTGTCTTGAACAGCTGGAGCCGAACCTGCAGTCCGTGTTGAACCAACCGGTTGGTGCACATGCTGGGGTCACATTTGCAGCGCTTGTTACACTCATAGACTCTGGGAGGAGGTTAGAGCACAGTCAGCCACGACCGCACATGTCCACTCGGCGCACAGAACTGCGGTGGTTCTTCCGGTACCACCTGTTAGGTAGTGACCTACATGTGAAGATTTACTCACCTGTCTAAGCTTTGATTCATCTGGGAACACAGCCCAAGGAAATAATTCAGGGGGAGGCAGAGTAATTTATACAGGTGTCTACAGTGCCACAGTTACTAACAACAGTAAATACCAGAACACCTAACACCCAAAGAGAAGCCAAGGAAGCTAAGAGGTAAATACAGGTATTAAAGTAAGTACACAGGCCACATGCTAACTTGCAGAAATACATGCAAAAATTAAAACATTGTGCGAAAAACTGAAGCCAATACAACAGGTGCTGAAAGGGCGCAGAGTCGGGAGGAAAGTGTACTGAAGCTCAGGGTACTCTTTTATTGGTAAAATTGGTCTTCATTTCTTTTTGGAGGGTATAGCAATGCACCATTTCTTACAAAGATTCTCACAAAAATGAAAATAGCACCCCAAAAGGAAACCCCACGGCCAGCCTCCACTGGCAGAACTGAGGGCGCAGGCGGCGGGAAGTGTAGGAGTCTTGGCTCACGTGGGTCAGCAGGAAGGCAAGAGAAGGAAACTAACCTACAAGTGGCTGATGTTGCCTTAAGGAGGCTGCAAAGAACAGGGGTCCCTGAAGACCCAGCCACCCCTTCTAGAATGTTCCATGAGGCGCCTTTCCAAAGATCTTAAGCAGGCTCTCAGGCTTTGAGGACTCTGTGCTATGCCTGCCTTAGGAGTGAGCCTGTCAAGGGACACTCATAGCTGGGCCGATGAGGCAGTGCTGCCTGGGCCCGGTGTTCTGCTTCTAGTCCCCGGGAGCATTGATATGGAATGTGCTTTTACATAACTATGCAGAGATAGAAAATATAAAATCTGAGGGCCTGGGGGAAAAGGTGGAAGATGTTCTGAACCAGGGCAGTCTGGTTCTGGCGGAGATGCCAGAGCCAGGGCGGTCTGCTCAGGCCGACCTGAGCCCCTTTTGGCCCCATGGGCGTCCTGCTTCTCCTTGGTTTTCTCTCCTGGGTCGTCTTTCCCAGCTTCCGCGCTGCCTCTCTCGGCTGTTCCGAAGTTGGAACAGTTCTTGCAGCCACTGTCTCCCTCTCATCAGTCAGGAGGGTCTTCCTCACAGGCCACTGGCTGGTCAGAGGACACAGGCTGAAATGCGTTCATCAGGGTCACCTCTGTCCTCGCCTCCACACTTCCCGGGGGCGGCCCCCTCAGAAGTCGCCTGCATCGGGACCCCAGGTGCGTGAGGCAGGATTCTCAGGCTCTCACACAGGCGCCGCGTGGTCTGCTCCAGGCACTCGCCAGTGCCCTGGTTAGTCACACGGGACGGGCTGATGTGAAGTTTGAAACCTGGTCCAAAGCATGCAAAACAGCCGTGTGTGGAAGCTCCTTGGGGCTCCGTGTCCGGGGCCGACGCTGTTCCCACACCCAGCGTTGGGCAACAATACACATGGCGGTACCTCCACCAGCACCAGCACGGGCAGGCCGAGGCTCTTCACGGACGCACACACCCAGCATGCCCTTTATGTCAGGCCGAAGCAGCCTAACCAACCCCAGGGAGTCAGCCGCAGTGTTGTGATGGCCTCAGGCTGGAATGTCGCCATCTCCATGTACATGACTGGCTTGAAAAAGGCCTTTCATCAATATGACAGTTAACAGCACGATGTGTGCCTTCAGCAGTCCCAGTGTCCGCAGGTCCCCGAGTTCCCGGGGCGTGCTCTACATGTTTACGAAAGGGACGTGGTCATGGCCTGGTCTGGGGTAGAGAAGGCCTCTCCCATGCCATCGCCACGGCTAGTATGTTGATACACAGCGTCCCCTGGGGACAACGAGCAGTTCCAGGAGAGCCAGGACGGTCTTGCTGATGTAAGGACTCTGTGGCACTGTGAGGCCTGTGCCCAGTCACAGCGATGTCCTTCACTTGCCTGTTAAGTCTTCCGGCTCTTGCCACAGAGCTACTGGGAGGTAACTGACAACCCAAACAGGCCAGCAAGCCCTGGACCATCCTCACCGAAGCGCTCACCTGTTGGCTGCAGGCAGGCATGTGACTGGGCGGGTGGCGCACACTGCTTTCACGTGGTTACCACTTGGGCATCTTTGTAACAGCAACAGATTTCTATGGTTCTGTCGAGATGGCACTTAACTGTGGTAGTCAACTGTGAGTCATGCGGATCTGAGGAGGCTTCGCCTGGTGGCCTTGTCCCTAACAGTTAATTCCCAACATCCTCATCGTGGAAGTAACAGACCCTCCTCTGGGAGCCGAGTCTGTGCCATCTCGCGCACCTCAGGTTTCAGGTTTTTTAAATCAGTGAATGTTGGCCTCCTTTATGGCACAAGGGGTTAAGCACCGCACTATGAAGCAATCCACAGCCTCTGCAGCAGGAGTTCAATCCCTGGCCAGCCAGGAAGCAACCCACATGGCATGGCAGACCTCTCCTGTCTCCCCGCTGCTCCCCTCCGCAGTGTATTTCAGTCAGTCTGCCTGTTCTGCTCCCCACTCGGTCTCTGGTGAATCCTCTCACCCCTCCTACCCCCGCATCTCCGGCCTGTACCCCAGCTCTTGTATGCATAAGTAAATCTTTAAAAAAAAAAATCAGTGAACATTTATCAAATTCCCGGTGCTGTGCCAGACACCAGGGACACAGTGAAAAGGGTCCTCCTCTTACTCTCTAGGAGTTTAACGTTTTATCTATTTTGAGAATTTAACGCCTATTTTTAAAATAAACTATTAAGGTTGATCAGAGCTCTAGCAAATATGAGCATTAAAAGAAAACAAGAGTTACGCCAAGAAACAAATCTTTTCGGGTACCCTTGCTTCAGGCTCTATCTGCTTTGCTCAGTGCTGGAATTTCACGCATTTTCTTGGCATGTAAATGCAAGGGAAGTATTTGCTGCTGGAAAGAGGACGACAGTGCACTCGGTGGCTGATGATGTTAGTAATGTCCCTCTGGACAAAGCGGAGTGCAACGGTTATTTGCTGAACATACACTTTGGTTCTGGGTTATGTAAACGGTACATTTTCTTATTCTAGCCTCCAGCCAAGCCTGGAAGGCCACTTTCAAACTTTAAGAAAGCCATGAAAGCACAGCATGTCCAGGGAAAAGCAGGCGACACTCAGCTCTCCAGGAACACTCACACATGAGCTTCCTATGGAGTCAGCACCATCTTCGGGCCCTTAAATGTTTACTAGATCCCTGAAAGCCCCCTGGGGATGGGCCGGCGAGGAATACTCATATCCTCTGAGAAAACATGATCAGCTTGGAAGGGACAGGGACAGAATTTGACCTCAGGTCTAACCATGACCACACAAAACCTTCAGAGAGGCGACACCACGCAGCTCTCATCCACACACAGTCTGCTGGAGTGGCTGCTGCGTGCCACACTCCTGCGTAACGTAGCTTTTGCTCATCTGATGGCGAGCAAGACAGACAAGATCCCCGCCCTCGTGGAGCTTACGGTCTAATGGAGAAGTGAAGGAAACAAGTCAGTAAACGCATGACAGCCGTCACAGGCTCCCTAAGGGCAGCAACAGGCGCAGTGAGTGAGGACTAAAGGGGTGAAAATGGCTGAGTTTCGGAGTGACGGGGAAGGTTTCTCGGAGGAGGCGGGCCTGAACCCGAGAAGCCAAGGTTCGAGAAGACCACGAAGCAAAGACCAGCTGAAAGAAGCCAGCACCTGGAGAGGGGCGGCAGCCCCGGAGCAGGTCCAGAGCTGAAGAACATCGACGCGGGAACAGCGGTGCAGGGAGACCGGAAGGGCGCGGACAGCGCAGCGTCCCGCGACCCGGAGTGGGTGGTTAGCAGATGACCCAAAGGTCAGCGGGGAGCTATTTGAAAATATTCTCGTGAAACATTTCGACTGCAAAAAGTTGTAAGAAACATTCACGTAGCTACTCAGAAACACCAAATCTGAATGTTCCAAGATTCAAATTTCTTGTTTGCATTAAAGCAAAAACGACAGTGACACAACCTAAGCTAGTGCTGTCTTTCCTTTGCTTCATTTCCAACGTGGATTCAGCTCCAATTCATTCCCTGATTTTCCCGGTCGCCTCAATCTCCTCTGAAGAGACTGAAAAACCCACAAAAACAAAGACAACCAAACCCATGAGGTTTCTACTGACCCTGTGCTCCTGAAGAAGCCGCTCCCGCAGGCAGACCCAGCTCCCGGGCTGGCCTCTGAGCGCCGCCCTGCGCCTCGCTGCAGTCTCGGATCCCCCTGGTCCTCGCTCCCTGATCAGTAAACCTTCCTCTCTCGGCTTTTTCTCTCGTTTTGGGTAAACATCTCCAGTAACTTACTGAGAAGGGAGTAATGGAACATTCGGATGTGTTTTATGTCTAAACTACGCATTAGTCTACTCGAACACTTACCTTCGGGTTTATGTGGGTTTAGAACTCCAGGTTAGAAACAGTTTCCCCTCGCGATTCTGGATCGATTCCTCCATTGCCATCACACATCCAAGGTTATGGTGAGAAGGCCAGGGTATTTATTTTTTTGTGGTCTGTTTCTCTTCTCTAGCAGCTTTCAGGATTTTGTCTTTTCAGTGTCCGTGGACACAATGGTTACATTTTATCACCAGATACTTTAGAGGGGATCTGTTTTCACCTGTTATGTGGGACCTGAGCGACCCTTGCAATCTGGAAACACAGATGCTTCAAGCACCAGGGAATTTCTGAGTTATCTAACTGTACTTTTCGCCTCCCTCCTCTGCTTCCTCTGCTAATCACCATGTGTTCATTATGAACAATGAACTTACTCACATTTTCATAGAAACCAATTTACCGTGTCGCGTGTCACTCTCGTTCCGTCCTCCTCTCGCCCGACCCTGTCCCCGTCAATCTCACATGCTGGCCCCAAAGCCTCAGCTCAAGCTCTAAACGTTGGAAACCTGGGGTTCACGTCCGTGCCCCTTTCTCTCCTCTATCAGTAGTCTCTAGGGGAGACAGGCTTTTACTACCCGCGCTCACGCGTCCCAGTTCTTTATGTCCAACCTTGCACTCCTCTCCAGAAACCTCACTGTTCTCTTGGCAGTTCTGCGTGGACTGCCTCAGAGCATCTCAAATTTAAAGAGGCTGAGAATTTTACTCAGACCTACAGCTCCTATGGTATTTCACTTCAACAACTTCCACTAAATTGCAAGTGTAAAATTTACAAGCTGTCCTTGATTTTGCTCCCCACACTCTACAATCTACCATGTTCTGTAGCTCCACCGCCAAATGCAGCCCCCCTGTATTCTTTTATCCCCACTGCTCCCTCCATTCTCCCGCAAGCCCGAGAATGCACCAGCTCTCATCCATTTATGTTCCTGTAATTATCTACTAATTGGCCTTCTAAGTTTGACTTTTGCTGACCCGAGGGCCTGTTGTCCCTACAGAAGCTAAAGTATCTCCAAAAGGCAGATCATAAGTCCTTTAACTGTCAACATTCTCTAGCAGCTTAGCACACCATACATTTGATTCTAATTTTTATTTTCATTAACAGAGTCTTACATCATCAGACCCCTGCCTATTCCTCCTCTCTGAATACCTCTCACTTGCCAGACTAAAACCAAAATCTGTTAGGATACATGCACATCACTTACATACCTGTAAAATTAAGATAATCTATTCATACAAAAGAAAATTGCTAGATTTTCTCTTTTCATTTCAGGAAAGCCCAAGGAAGAAGCATGTGCTAGAAACTAGTAAATAAGATTAAATTGCTAAACATGTCCAGTTCAGCTTTTCAATGTTTGCTTCCAATTTTCAGAATTCGGATGGCTCCTCAGAGCAAAGGGAAACAGTGCATGCCCGCGGGTCTCTGGTGCTCCACCTCCCCTGGTGACTTACCCTGTGGGCAGACACTCCTCCAGTCTCTTGTACTGGTAGCCAGAGTTAGGGTTAACCTGGCCACCTGGTGTGCAGGCCGTCGCCTGGACAGTCAGCTGGTGGCAGGCACACTTGGACCTGCGTGAGAGAGAAGGGCGACAGCTAGAGCTGGGAGGCTTCTGGCAGCGGCGAGAAGCACTAACGAAAAGGGTGAGAAAAGGCAGTGCAATCTTTTTCTCCTCTCATGCAACGAGAAAGGAAAAGACATCGAGTAAGAACATGACAGGGACAGAATGAGGTAGACAGAGGATGCAAGTGGCACCTGAAAGCATGGCAGAGGGAAGCAAAGGAAAAGGATGCTCGGAGAGAAGGAAACAGGCAACACGGGCACAGCCCCGCAGGGTGGCCAGAGCCAACCCGGGCCGCTCCATCTCCCGGCTTTCACGGCGGCTGGAGGGCAGGAGCTCCGGGTGAGGTGGGAGGAGAAGGGGGAGGGTGAAGGAGGAAAGGTGTGCAGACAGAAGGCAAATGAGGAGGAAAGAAAGGCAACCATAATAACCTCGGCTGTACGGTTAGCAATTCCAACTCACTTGTCCCGGCATCCATCCTTGCAGTCACAGCCAACCAGAAATTCAGGGCCCGTGTTAATGAAAACACCCTTGCCCGGGATTCGCTCCTTGCTATAGGCCACCTGGGGTGGAGGGGTTGTGTCAATTTCATTGACACAGGATAAGGGAACATCTTCCTTTCCACAGGTGATGTCCAAAATGTAGTAAAAAGGCTTATAGGGCTGAAACTTCCGGTCCACAAGAACATATGGATCCAAACAGAACATCTCCAGGAAAAGGAAGTCACAGCCAGTCTCAAAAAGGTAACGTTCGATCTCCTGCATTGTCCGAAGGCAGAGGCCACAGGGCGTCTTATAGATAACGTGAAAGCCCATCTTTCGGTTAACTCGGCGCCGCGCTGTCATCCGCCGGAAGTCGTACAGTAGCGGCACCAGCAAAGGGTTTTTGCCGCGGTACTGGTCATTTCTCATCGGCCTGATCCGAGACAGACAAGTATAGCTGCAGACATGAGGTAAGTAGAAAAGCTTTTCCATGGGTGCTCGGTAGGAGGGCTCTGCTGGCGCCCTCTCCAGCATGCCATGGAAGGCTGGGGGGGCCGGGGGGGCTTGAGGGACTTGGGGGGCCGGAGGTGCTGGGGGTGCTGTGGCTGAAGTTGTTGAGCCTACAGGTGACCTGCAGATGAGATGCAAGATGTCAGATGAGAAGGCAACTGGATTTCTGTCATGTAACTACCCTTTCAGCTGGCCAAGCCTCTTTTCGAATCTGTCAAATAGCTGCATGTGCTCTTGAAGCTAATGTAACACAAGAATGTTAGATCTTCCCCTGCCCTACCAAATTTGGACAATTAAATGCCTTGGTTACTCTGCATCGACTGATATTATCTCTTTTTTCCCACAATGCACTTTTTCCAAAAGTTTTTTGCCTGTGAATTATGGAAATGAGTCTACTAACACTTTTTAATCCTTCTACATGTCCTACAAATGCCCTCACTAAGTCCCACAATTCAAGGAAAGAGGATGCAGTGTTTCTTCTCCATTGTACCAATGATGACACCACATTCCATGAGCAGTTTTAACAAATGACCTTCTGGCAATTTCTTATTTCTAGGTATCGGTCTCTTATTCAATTATTTCTATGTTCTCTTTTTTGCAAACTTCCAAGGTCCATTCTTTGCAAGTTCCAAGCTCCTTACCACCATAGCCATAACTAAGTCCCTTGGAGCCAACCCCCGCGGAGCGCCTGGGATTTTCTCACCGATACGCCTGGTTGACCACAGGCTTCCCACCAGGGACACTTTCACTGAGTGCAGGGGACGTAGGGGAGGAGTGACCAGAGCCCACGGATCCTGGCCGGAAGGAGGTGCTCTTTTTGGCCACCTGCTTCCGTGACTGGGCAAGCTGGCTTTCCAAGCTCCTGTGAGATGAGAGATCCTATAGTAAGGGATAAAGAAAATACAACACAAAAGGAAACTGGCAAAAAGAAGAAATAGCACTCACTCATTGTCACCTGCCTGGGGTGACAGAGGTGGGGCAGGTGGGGTAGGCTGGGTGGGTGGGACGGGTGGGGCTGTGGGCTGGGGGGGCTCCATAGGCTTGAACTGGGTTCCAGTACTTGTCAGATCCTGGGTATACTGGACCACAGGCCCTTTGCTCCTCACAGCACCTATAGGAAAAAAGGAAATTGGCCGGAAGATGACAGTTGTATCGCTTATAGTCACATGATCCTCAATTTGTATGTTATAATTATGTATTACAAAAAAGCAGCAATGAAAACATTTTGAGAAAGTACTAAGATGACAATCACCATCATTCATGCCAATGAGTGTGAATACTGGAATACACTGGCTTTGATTTTAATAAGACTTTAACTTCTTGCCTCAAATGACTTAAGAATTATGGTAGACTTTGGTGCAAATTTACAAAAATGGGTTCTTTGATCAGCTCACATAGTTAGGAAAAAAAATCAGCCAGAATCTCTGCTAGAAACATTTAAAAAGAAAAACAGATTGGGCTTTTGAAAAAAGTGATCACAGCTACCACAGGAAGCTGGCAATCCTCACGAGGATAAAAGAGGTGACTACTACAATCACTCCCCCTACCCTGAGCCAGGTGTTTTCAGATTTTTATGTGAGTGTTTAGAACCAATGAGAACTTTCGCACGTGGAGTCAGCACCACGACTCTATCACCACCTCTGCCAACAACTCAGGGCACGCGTCCTGTTTCCAGTGAGTCCTGGCAACAAAGGACAGCCGCGTGTTTAATCTCCTTTGCTGGTTGCCCATGTCTTCCCTCCCCAGGGCATCTGTCAGAACATACCCATATTTGGACGCGTCCTGAGCTGTCCCCCTTGCTTCTTCTCCAGGGCAGAGGCTGAAGACGTCTTCATGCTGAACATGGGTTCCAGCCGGGTAGAGCCCCGATAGATCCACTCACACCTCTTGTCATCCTGGGGGGTTGGGAGGGAGGGAGAGTGGGGACAGACGGGTCACAGGCTAGGCTCTAGCTCGCCTTCATGTGTCTCCTAGGGACACGTCGCCCTGATTTCCCCAGCTGGTCAGTAAGCTGATGTGCCTGGCTCCGGGACAGGTATTGGGAATATAAAGGAGAAAACACATATTCTTTTTTGGCTTTTTTTAAAAAAGGAGATAATTTCTTTTTTTTTTTTTAAGATTGATTGATTTATTTATACAAGCACTGGGTACAGTCAGAAGCGCAGGAGGGTGAGAGAATTCACCAGAGCCAGAGCAGGGAGCAGAGCAGGCAGAAGGACCAAAGTACACTGCTGAGGGGAGCAGCGGGTGGCAGGAGAGGTCTGCGCGCCATGCGGGACCCTCCTCCGGTGGCCGGGGAGCAGCCGGGGATCGAACTTGGTGCTGCAGAGGCTGCGGGGAGCTTCGCAACCCAGTGCTCTACCGCTGCGCCACCGGGGAGGCCCAGAAAGCACATATTCTTTAAGAAATCCCAGGAAAGACCAACGTTTACACGGAGTGTAAGAAGTGTGAAAAGGATCACAAGACTTAGGCACAAAGGGCTGAGGTAGCTCAGAGAAGAAACAATTCTGATAAGAGGATGGGAAGGGAGAAAAGGGCAGGCACAGAAGCTCTAACAGCGAAACTGGGCCATGAAACATCAAGGCCTCTGATTCCTCGGTCCCACTCCTTGTCCCATCACACTAGCCAAGCCCTGACCTGGACAGACAGCAGGGGCTGCCTTCTCCGTGCCCATGTGCGGTGTGAGTACGTCCCCAGAGAAGAGAAACCAACCATGCAGATCAGTGTCACGAGTAAGCCCAGGAATTTTATTTTTAACACTCATTATGAAACAAAAAAGTCAAACCTGCCCCGCACACCTAGAACAGACAGCGGGATAAGAAAGAGTAAAGCCACGAAGCAGCCACAAAGTCATCCTCATTCTGCCTCCTCCTCCCCACCACCCATCCGAGGGCTGCCTCTGCCGTGCCAGCGGAGAGCCATACCAGGAAGAGGATCCTGACGAGGCTGCCGTCCACCTCCTCGACGCGGGACTTCCACCACGTGCCCTCCCACTCGGTCTTGATGAGCTGGCCGCTCTTGAGCAGCACCATGGGGCGGTTGGGGTAGGCGGTGATGTACTCCTCGATGAAGTCTCGGCAGGAGATATCCTCTATGTCCTCCCAGGTCTTCTTCACTGTCCCAAGGAAGAAGGGGGGCTGAGGGAGGGCAGGCAGGGCGCGTCCTCACAGGGAAAAGGGGTTGGCAAGGACACATAGGTATTTTTCAAGTTGGGAGGAAGAGAAAAAGCACTCAAAATCACAACCTGAGGGCTGCAGAGCCAAGACCCCCTACGGTACTGGCCCTGATGAGTAAATGCACACACAGCAAGTAAATTCTGGAACAGCAACACACAAGTAAAGGTGAGCCACTCATCTCATGAAGAGATGTTTCTCCTTGGAAAAATTCAAGTGGAAATTCTGCTAATTTGATGCGATTTAGAGGCAAAAAAAAAAAAAAAAAATTGAAGCAGCAACAGATCATTGGTTTTAAAAAGTTATCCTCCTTCTTATTGTCTATTAGGCCTTAGGCATCCTGAAGACCTTTACTGCCATATCATGAAGAAATTATGTTCGTAGATTCTTCTGCAATTGAAAACAGCCGCTTCTGTAGGAAACTGTCCTGAAGCCAAAGCTGTAAGTACAGAGAACACCATGACCTCCAACTAACACGGTTTCTATAGGAAGCACCGTGCAGACCACAGATTTATACAAACGCTTGATGAAACATGAGACGAGGAAACGAGTATGGATGAAAAGCAAGCCTAAATCACTGAGAAATGAAATAACACACCCATGGTATGACTGACCCAACACCAATTATGATCGTCTAGGGCTTCACTCTTTGGCTACGAAGACTCAGCAATAGGGAGAAAGAAAAAAAAAAAACAAAACACTATCGCCTAAAAAATATTAGTCAAACTTATTCTTCTTAAAATTGGAACAAGATTAGGCCTTTTCAACTAAGAAAAAAAATAAGGCAGAGGAGGAAAAGAGAGACCTAATGAAGAAAGGAGGGACACTCACGTGGCCGGCAGATGGGATACAGTTCTGACTGTGTGACGTAGGAAGCGTAGCCGTCATCAAAAAAGATAAGAAACCTGCAAGGAAAGAGTGGGCAGAACGGGAATCACGCTACTGAACAGACCCGCGGGAACTCTCCCGGGCTCCGGTCCTCGGGCACACGACACCCTCTGGGGCTGCTCCAGTTACTCACTTCCTGCTGGTCTTTTTCTACCCAAGGGCTAGGAGTTCTCCCCTAACCCAACCAACATATTCCTGCTTTTCCAAAAGCTATTTATTCTTGCTCCACTACTAGATTCCTATTCTGCTGAAAACCATTTAATCTTTGCTTCATTTCTTCTTTCTGTATGTACTTTCTACCCCCTCACCATTAGTCAGTCCTGATTATTCTCTTCCTATTTTCCCCAATAATAAAAAAAAAGGCGGGGGGGAGGTGTACGTGTGATAAAGAATCACCCACTTGATTCCTGTGGCAAAGAAAAGAAGGGGGTTCTGGCCACCAGTGACTAAGAACACACAGGTTAATTGTGAGGTCTAGACCATGGTCTGAACAGGGCAGGCTCTGTGCCCCAGTCTCCACTCTCTTTATAATCCCCTGTCCCGTACCTGAGCTTGTTTTTGACGTTAGGTGTCTCGGCTACAATGCCAGCATAGAGCCAGACCTGACTGCCATCTTTGTATTTGGCCACCACTCGACTGCCCACATACAGTTTGTCAGCAGGAGGGTGGTAATCATAGGCAATATGGTTTCCCGACAGCAGACTCTTTCCTTTGTTGTCAAATTTCACCTTGTACTTCTTTCCGGGCCCTGAGGAAAAGGGGAAGGAAAAACAAACAGAAAAACCTGTCAGTTTCTATGTCAATCCTGGCTGTTATGAGAGACACAAAATGTAAGGCTATGGGGGAAAAATCAGCAATGGAGACTTGCAAGTTGCTTTTCCTTAGTTCTTCCTCTAGCTTGAACATACCAACCGTCTGGATGGCAATGAGGGTGCCTTTGTGCCACGTCTTAGTTCTCTTCTTGCCCAGAATGCGCATACTGACTATCAGGTCACCATCTTTGCTCAGTTCTCCAGACATTTGACTCAAGGTTCCTATGGATGAAAAACAAAGTTGGTCTAAAGAGACATGGTGTAGACTGGGCAAAGAGTGAAAAAGGAAAGGGAGCAGGGTAGTCAGGGTAAAAGGGGTTAACTTTTGCTCTTCTCTTGCTCAAGGGCAGAGATGCAAGACACAGCTGACATAATTGTTTATGGTAAGAGGAAGACTTGAATAGCTGAAGTTTACATGTAATCCAATTACATCTCACTTTAACCAAATGTTTCCAGTTCCTTATCAACAATATTATCTACTACTCATTAAATTCTAAGTAGCATTAATAAAAAAAGCCATTTTTTGTAGGGTATCTATTAGTAGCACCATTCTATAAACAAAGCCTCCCTCAGACTTCTTTATGAATCTGAATTATTCTCTTCTCCTGATTTCCAACTGGAAAAAGTATTCATGAGTATGGAGTGAAAAAGAAAAAAAAAGTATTTGTATCAGTGTGACTGGTATTTGACAGCTAACAAGGACAAGGACAATGAGCCTGTCATATCACAATCAGCAGACTAAAGACTTAAGTAGACAACAAGGAAAACAAAATCATAAAACTCTTACACTGACTTGTATAGCTTGTGGTGTTGAAAGAATCCAACAGAGGTGGAGAAAGGCATCGGAGATGCTAAACCAAAATCAGTTATCCAAGAAATCCCTGTCAGAATTCACCTCCTATCCGCACCCTGGCACCTCCTAACCCTGACCTTTATGCAGGTCCTGGGAGCTGCTCTTCTTGTTGACAGCATCCATGAACTTCTGGACATCCTGAGCAGACTTTCTCAAGGCAGCCATAGCCTCACGGAGCTGCAGGGCAGAGGAGGAGGGGAACAAGTTTTAAAACAGTGGCATAGATTAGAAATAACTTCGGAATAAGAAAAACACCGGTCCTTCAAAAACAAAAGGGAATAACCGATGCTGGAAAGCTTATGGTTTATACTTTATCAGGTAAAACAATGCTTTCTTACAAATCTGGTTCAGAAATTAGCCTTAGGGAGCATTCCTTGATTAACACCATTTAGCTCACCACTGCCAAGATCTGCACTCACACAGCATTCAACACATGCATCTCCAAGCGGCCTCTTTCACATTCTTAGTACATGTTTAAAGGCCAGCAGACTAGCGAGCTGACTGTAGGCTGAATGATTATATGTTAATGGCTGAACTCACTGGTTAGTCCAACAGTTTGGGCCACTTTCATATTTTTGTCTGTCACCATTCCCTTGCCCAACCCAACTCACCTTCTGGTCCTTTGGTGTTCTGCTCCCAGCATCACCTATGAATGAGAAAAACTCTAATTGAGTTTAAAAGATTTTACACATAAGAATTTATAAGATTATCAAGGTCTATATTACCTAAAAGCATTATCACAGATGCACTATCACAAGCAAGTGAAATCTAGACATAGATATACATGTAAAAGTGCCAAAAGGATCCAGAAAGATACACAGCAAAGAGGCGGCAACGCTTACCTGGAGGGAGTTTGGTTGTCCATAGGATTTGGGGTTTTCACTGTATACCTGAGTTTTTACAATAGTAACTTACTTACAGATGAAAGGATTAAAAAATTGAGATGTAATCAATGATTTAAGTAGCAATGTTATTCCTGAGTAGTGCTGCCCAATAGACCTTCCTGGGATGACAGGAATTCTGTATCTTAATCTGTTAATATTTGGCTATTTAAGCGCATGAAATGTGGTGAGTAACATCTGAGGAAGTGAATTTTAAATTTCATTAAATATGAAAAAAAAAATCAGATATAATTTGCAAACAATAAAATTGACCCTTTCAAATATTTAATTCAATAATCTTTTTTTTTCAAAAGATTTATTTATTTATTTATACAAGCACTGGGTACAGTCAGAAGCGCGGGAGGGTGAGAGAATTCACCAGAGCCAAGCGGGGAACAGAACAGGCAGACTGACGAAATACACTGCCGAGGGGAGCAGCGCAGGAGAGGTCTGCGCGCCATGTGGGACCCTCGCATGGGGGCCAGGGATCAAACCGGCGCTGAGAGGCTGTGGGCAGCTTCCCAACCCAGCGCTCAACCGCTGCGCCACCGGGGAGGCCCTAATTCAATAATCTATTGTATATTCACTAGGTCATACAACCACCGCCACCAGAACATTTTTATCACTCCTCCAAATAAGAAACCTCATTAGTGGTTATGGAATTTCTTTTTTGGGATGATGAAAAGACCCATTAGCACTAGCTTCCCATTCCACCATTCCCCCCCCACCCCCGACCCCTGCTCCCCAGCCTTGGTGACCACTAATTCTGTTTCTATATATTGGCTTATTCTGAACATTTTGTATAACTGGAGTCATGCCACATGTGGCTTACCATATAATGTTCATCTATATTACATTTATCAGTATACCTCAATACTTTTGGTGACTCAATAATATCCCATTGTATGGTTCTACCACATTTTATCAGTTTATTCATAGTTGATGCACATTTGGATTGTTTAAGACTTTTTGGCTATTGTGAATAATGCTGATAAGAACATTTGTATGCTAGCTGTTATGGGGGCATATGTTCTAATTTCTCTTGAATTTATGAGTAGGAGTGGAATTGTTAGGTTATACAGTAACTATGTTTTATCTTTTGAGAAACTGAAAGACCTGTCAAAACAGCTGTGTCATTTTACATTCCCACAAACTATTTAGAGGGTTCCAATTTCTCTACATCCTTATCAACAGTTGTTTAGAGTCATCCTATTAGTATAAAGCAGCTCTGATTTGTATATCTGTCCTTACTAAAATATACTGAGCATCTTTTCATCTATCTTATTGGGTATTTACATATCTTCTTTAAAGAAAGTTATTCAAATCCTTTGCCTATTTTTTTAGCTCAATTATTTGTCTTTGATTCTTGTGTTATAAGGGCTTTTTACATATTCTGGAAAATACTAAACCCTTAACATTTCATATAATTTTAGAGGCTTCCCTGGTGGCGTAAGGGTTTAAGACGCAACCTATGAAGCTGTCCGCAACCTCTGCAGCATGCATTTGATCCCCCGGCCTGCCAGGGAGCTACCCACATGGTGCAGCAGACCTCTCCTGACTCGCCCGCTGCTCCTCTCAGTAGTGTACTTCTGTCAACCTGCCTGTTCTGTTCCCCACTCTCTCTCTGCTGAATCCTCTCACTCCCCGCACCTCTGGCCTGTACCTAGCTCTTGTTGCATAAACAAATAAATCTTAAAAAAAATACTTTGAAAGAATTAAAAAAAAATTCATATAATTTTAGTAAGTCACATGTGCACAATGGCTACTGAATTGCAGAGTGCTAATTTAGAGATTTTAAAAACATGTATTTACAAATGGAAGGCAATGTGGGCCTCCCTGGTGGCCTAGGTGGTTAAGCGCAGCGCTATGAAGCTGTCCGCAGCCTCTGTAGTGCTGGTTCAATCCCTGCCAGCCTCGGAGCACCCCACATGGCGGCAAACCTCTCCTGTCTCACCTGCTGCTCCCCTCAGCAGTGTATTTCTTCAGTTTGCCTGTTCTGTTCCCTGCTCTGTCTCTGGTGAATCCTCTCACCCTCCCATGTCTCTGGCCTATACCCAGGTTCTTTTATAAATAGAATAAATCTTTAAAAAAAAAAAAAAAAAGAAAAAAAAGGGAAGGCAATGTTAGTAATCATTTTGTAATAAATACATTCATGAAATCATTATGTTGTATACCTTAAACTTATACAATGTTCTATATAATTACATCCCAATAAAACTGGAGTAAGAAAGTGGCTTAAAAAAAAAAGCAAACTATATGTTTTAAAATAACAAAATGGGGCCTCCCTGGTGGTCTAGGGGTTAAGTCTCAGTGCTACCACCACTACCGCCTGAGTTAGATCCTGGTCAGGGAGCTGATCCACATGGCAAGCAGACTTCTCCAGTCTCACCCAATGCTCCCCTTAGCAGTATATTTTAGTAAATATGCCTGTTCTACTTCCCATGCTGTCTTTGGTTAATCCTCTCATCTCCTGCACCTCTGGCCTACACCCTGGTTCTTCTATGCAAAAATAAAATTAAAAAGATAAAAAAGGTTAAATAAGCTGTAACAAATCCAAATGTGATTAATAATCTTCAATAACACAAAGCCATGCTAGTAAAATATTAAGAAACTGAAATTAATAATGTCAATCATCTTTTCTTACCACAAATGTTTTGAACTAGAAATCAATTACAAGAAACCTGGAAAATTTGCAAATGTGTGAAATTAACATGCTACTGGAAAACCAATGGATCAATCAAGAAATAAAAGAAATCTTGAGAAAAATGAAAACAGAAATACAGTCTACCAAAACTTATGGGCTGATGCAGCAAAAGGAGTACTAAGAGGAAATTTCATAGTAATAAAAGCCTACCTTAAGAAAGAAAAAATATCAAACAACCTAATTTTACACTTCAAGGAACTAGAAAAAGAATAAATAAAGCCCAAGGTTAATAGATGGGAAGAAATAACAAGGACCAGAGTGAAAATAAACGAATTAGAGACTAAAAAGACAACACGAAAGATCCATGAATCCAAAACTGGTTCTCTGAAAATATGGGAAAAAAAAAAATCAATAAATCTTTATTTAGCTGCACTCATTAAGAGAAAAGAGAGCTCAAATAAATGAAAGCAGAGATGTTAAGACTGAAATACAAAGGATCATACAGACGACAATGAACAATTTTGCATCACTAATCTGACCTAGAAGAAATAAATTCCTAGAAACATACAACTTACCAACAATGAATCGTGAAGAAACAGAAAATCTTAAAGATGGATTACTAGAAACAAGAGACTGAGTTAGATATCAAAGTCTAGAACTAGTTGGCTTCACTGGTGAATTCTACCAGTGAAGAATTCTACAGTCAAAGAATAATTAATAAATCCTTCTCAAACTATTCCAAAAACAGGAGAGAATGCTTCCAAACTTGTTTTATGAGGCCATCATTACCTTGATACCAAAGCCAGATAAGGCTCTCTAGCAAAGAAAATTACAGGTCGGTATTCCTGATGAACATACATGCAAAAATCCTCAACAAAATATTAGCAAACTAAATTCAACAACACATTAAAAGGATCACATACAATGATTAAGTAGAATTTACTCCAGGAATGCAAGGATAGTTCAATATACACAAATCACAAATGTGATACATCACATTAAAAAAGGATAAAAGGGCCTCCCCAGTGGCGCAGCGGTTGAGCGCTGGGTTGCGAAGCTGCCCGCGGCCTCTGCGGCGCCGGTTCGATCCCCGGCTGCTCCCCGGCCACCGGAGGAGGGTCCCACATGGCGCGCAGACCTCTCCTGCCGCCCGCTGCTCCCCTCAGCAGTGTACTTCGGTCCTTCTGCCTGCTCTGCTCCCCGCTCTGGCTCTGGTGAATTCTCTCACCCTCCCGCGCTTCTGACTGTTACCCAGTGCTTGTATAAATAAATAAATAAATCTTTAAAAAAAAAAAAAAAAAAAAGGATAAAAAACCATATCTTACTTAATGTGGAGAAAGTATTTTATTAAATTCAACATCTATTTAGATAAAAGCTCTTAACAGAGGGAATGTGCCGTCTCATATTAAAGGCCATATTTGCCAAGTACACAGCTAAACATATTCATGATTCTAATTACGTCTCACATCTTAGAAGAAAAGTTTTCAGCCAAGAGTTAGGAATATGAGGAGGCTCATGGTTTTTTTTTTTGCAATGTTATTTCAGTAAAAATATTTTTTACATGTCTCTCTGCTCCATGTGCCTCCTCCAGGTCATTAACTTATTTTTTATTCAGGTAACATTTAAATATCTCTTTCAGGTATTGCCCCCATAATGCACCCACCACCAAATCACCCATAGTCCACCATCGCAGGCCATTGTGTTTCCCTCCTTTGTTGTTCTTATCCTTCCACCACTCCCTCCCCACGCTGGATGCTTCAGTTCTGTGGCCAGCTTTTTAGGTTAAAGCTTGTCTTTATCTGACCCTTAGTTTAGTTATTCTACCTTCTACATATTTGTGACACCATCTGGTAATACTCTTTCTGGCTTATTTCACTTAGCACTATCCCTTCCAGCTTCATCCACGGTGCTGCAAATGGCATGAGTTCATTTGATTGCTGAGTAATAATCCATGTGTATATATACCACACCTTCTTGGTCCACTCATCTGTTTTGGGGCAGGCTGTTTCTAGAATTTGGATATAGTAAACAGTCCTACAATAAACATGGGAGTGCAAGTTTCCTTTCAAATTAGTGTTTTTCAATTTTTGGGATAGATGCGTGTGAATGCAATTTCTGGGCTGTATGGAAGATCCATTTTATTAATATTAAGTGACATATCCATACTGCTTTACATAAGGGTTGGACCAGTCTGCATTCCCACCAAAATTGTAGGAGGGTTCCCTTTTTCACACATACTTGTCAGCACTTGTTGTTTCTGGTCTTTTCCATATAGGCCATTCTCACAGATTTGAGATGGTATTTCTTTGTGGTCTTGATTTCCCTGACTGATGATAAGTGATGATGAAGTTTTTCATGTGCCTGTATGTAGACTGATATCTTCTTTGGGAAATTGTCTGTTTAGTTATTCTGCCAAATTTTTGATTGGGTTGTTTTCTTTCTGTTGAGTTATATAGTGCTTTGGTATCATCCCTTGTCAGATGTATGGTATACAAATATTTTCTCCCATTCTTTAGGGTGTCTTTACATTTTATTTTAGTTACAGTTTGGTTTGCTGAGCAGAAGCTTTTTAGTTTGATGTAGTCTCAGGTGTTTAATGGTCTCTTTTATTTTCCTTGCTGTTGGGGAAAGGAGGCTCATTCTCACCACTTTTATTCAACAAAGTATTATTAAGTCCTAGCAAGAGTAATTAGGCAGGAAAAGAAAGAAAAGGTATTTAAACTGGAAAGGGAAAAATATAACTAACTATTCGCAGATGACATATTATATACAGGAAACACTAAAGAACAAAAACTGTCACAATTTAAAAAATATTCAGTAAAGTTGCAGGATATAAAATCAGTGTATAAGAATCTAATATATTTTCGGGCCTCCCCTGGTGGCGCAGCGGTTGAGCGCTGGGCTGAGAAGCTGCCTGCAGCCTCTGCAGCGCCGGTTCGATACCCAGCCGACAGGCGAGGGTCCCACATGATGCCCCGCAGACCTCTCCTGCTGCCTGCTGCTCCCCTCAGCAGTGTACTTCATCAGTCTGCCTGCTCTGCTCTCCCCTCTGGCTCTGGTGAATTCTCTCACCCTCCCACGCTTCTGACTGTACCCCATCCTTGTATAAATAAATAAATAAATCTTTAAAAAAAAATCTTAAAAAAAAATCTAATATGTTTCTAGATACTAATAACAAACTCTGAGAGAAAGAAATTAAGGAACTGGAACCATTTACAATTACATCAAAAAGAGTAAACTACTTAAGAGTACATTTAACAAAGGAGGTAAAAGACTTGTACACTGAAAACTGGAAGTCACCAATGAAAGAAACTGAGGTAACATAAATAAAGGTATTCTGTGATCACAGACTGGAAAAATACTGCTAAAATGTCCACAGTATAGAAAGCAACCTACAGGTTCAATGTAATTCCTATCAAATTTCCAAAGGCATTTTTAGGGAGAAGTAGACCTACCAACCCTAAGATGTATACAGAGTCACAAACAACCCAAATACCAAAGCAATTTTGAGAAAGAACATAGCTGAAGGAATTGGGCTCCCTGGATTCAAAGTATATTACAAAGCCACAGTAATTAAAACAATATGGTATATGCATAAAAATAGACAAAAAACCCAACACAGCAATAAGGACTGTGGAAATAAATCCACACACATATGGTCAATTATGACAAAAACCTCAAGAATATAAAATGGGGAAAGGAGAGTATCTTCAATAAATGGCATGTGGAAAACTGGACAGTCACATGCGGAAGAATGAAACTGGAGTACTATCTTACCATATACACAAAAATTAATTCAAAGTGGATTAAAGACTTGAATGTAAGACATGAAACCATAAAACTGCTAGAAGAAAAGAGGCAGTAGATCATTGACACAGGTTTTGGGGATGATTTTTTAAATTTACTAAAGGCTAAACAGCAAATTTTAAATGGCAGAAGAAAGAAGCAGTAAACTAGAATACAGATTCCTAAACAGAGAAACCGTGCAATCCAAAGCACAGAGATTCAAGAAAAATGCGCACACACACACACACACACACACACAGATGCATACATACATACATAAATATGGAAACAAACACACATATCTGGAATTACAGAAGGGAAATGGAGAAAGGGTTAGAAAAAACTATATGAAGAAATGATGACTGAAACCATCCAAATCTGATGAAAAACTTCTCTCTATAGATTCAAGGGGTCCAATGAATCTTAAAACAAATAAACAGAGAATTATACCTAGACACACAGTAGCTACACTGTAAACTTATTTAAAAAAAAAAAAATCTTTCCACAAAGAAAAAAATCCAGGCCAACATGCCGTCACTAGTGCGTTTATCCAACATTTAAGAAAGAAATAAAACCCGCACACATTCAGAGAAGGAGGGAACGCTTTCCAACCTATCTCATAAGGCCCATATTACACAGGTACAAAAGACAAGCAAAGATAGCACAATAAAACTATAAATGAATAGCCCTCATAAACAGAGGTGTAAATGTTTTCAACACAATAGAAAATTAAATACAATGACATATAAATAGCATTATACTATAAGACAAAGGGGAGGGGATATACCTGGAATTCAAGGTTGGTTTAACATCCAAAAAATAATCATTGTAGTATACCCTATTAGTAGGATAAAGGACAAAAGCTATGTGATCATCTGTGGAGATGGACAAGAAGTAGCTGACCAAATCTAAAACCTAATTCAGCTATGATAAAAACTCTCTGAAAATTAGAAATAGAAGTAACTTTCCTCAATCTAACGAAAGATATCTACAAAATCTTATCGTTCACATCATAATTAATGCTGAAAGACCAAATGCTTTCCTCCTCAGACCAGGAACAAATAAGAGACGTGTGCTCTCAACACCTTTGTTCAACATTGTACTGGAGGTTCTAGTACAACGCAAGAAAAAGACATCCAGATTAGAAAGAAGTAAAATTGACTTTATTTGCAGATAACATGATCTAGCATATAGAAAATTCTAAGGAATCCACAAAAAGCTTCTGGAACTACTAAGTGAGCTTAATAAGGTCATGGACTACAAGATCAATACACAAAAATCAACACGTTTTACATCCCAGCAACAAATAATTCTAAATGAAATTAAGAAAATAATCCCATTAACATCGGCATTAAAAATAAAATGCTAAGGAGAGATGTATCATGGTCATGAATTAGAAGACTGAGTATTTGTTAAAATGATGATGTTACCTAAGTTGATCTTTAGAGTCAATATATTTTATATTAAAAAATCCTAGCAGTTGGTGGGCATGGTGTGGTAACATAAATTTGAAGATATAAATATACCCCTAAGACATACATAGTATTGTAAACCAACATTAACTTAATAAAAATTTTTAAAAATATACACATAAAAAATATGTGTACCAGGTTATAAAATTTTTTTTCGTAGAAATCGGCAAGTTGACCCTAAAAATTATTTGGAATATATGTGAACAACAAATAAATCTGAAGGACTTTCACTAAGTGATTTTAATATTTACCATAAAGTTACAGTAATTTAGAGGGTAGTGTTGACATACTGACATTTAGATCAATATGATAGAACAGAATCCAGAAACAGACCCTCATATAAATGGTGAGTTGATTTTTGAGAAAGTTCCAAAAGGATAGTATTTCCAATAAACGGTGGTAGAAAAACTAATAGTCATAAACAAAATAAACCACTTTCGACCCTTACCTTCAGAATTTTACCCTTTAAAAGATACCATTTAAGAAAATGAGAAGGCCACATATAGGAGAAAATGTTAATATACCTGATAAATAAACTGTACCTAAAATCAATAATAAAAAGACAACCCCATTAAAAAAAAAAAAGGCAAAACATTTGAGTAGGTATATTCCCAAAGAACATACTTAAGTGTCAAATAAGTATGTGCAAAGATGCTTAACGTTCAGAGAAATATAAACCACAGTCACAACGTGATACCACTCCACACCCATTAAAATGACTACAATAAATGACTGAGAACACCAACCACTGACAAGGGTATACAGAAACTGGAATCTTTAATCCTTACTTTGCTAGTGGAAATGTAAAATGGTATGGACACTTTGGATAACTGTACGGCAGTTTCTTAAAAATTCACAATAAGACCTAGCAATTCCACTCCAAGGTAGAATATCTAAGACATGAAACATGACATCTACATACAGACTGACATGCAAATGTTCACACCAGGAGTATTCATAACAGCCCCAAACTGGTAACAACCTAAATGTTTATCAATTGAGGTATGGGTAAAACATGTGGCATATCCATATACAATGGAACATTATTCAGCAAAAAAGGAACTACTGATAGATGCAACAACGTGGATAAATCTCAACAAGATCAAGTCACAGAAGTCAGACACTAAAGGTGATATATGATTCTACTTATGTGAAATTTCTAAACAAGGCAAAACGTTACAGCAAGAAAACAGGTCAGTGGTTAATGGTGGGGCATAATGGAGACTCTTGGCAAACAGGCACAAGGGGACTCTTCAGGGGATGCAAATGTTCTAAAACTGTATTGTGCTGAATGCTGCACTATTGCATAAATTTACTGAAAGTCAAATTAAACCTTACAGTAGGTGAACTTTATAGTAAATAAAAAATTTTTAAATAGACAAAAACAATCTACTGTTTTGAGATATTTATACATAGGTGTTAATGCCACCTATAAAGAAAAGCAAAGGAATTCAGGATAAAGCTTACATAGAATGGGGAAAGGAAGATACTTCAATGAGAAAATAGCTACTGTAGGACACCTATTACACTAACCACATTCTATTTTTTTCTGTAACAGACAAGTTCAACAGTTTGGAATATAGTTAGTGATGATAGTTTCTCCTTGCTTCCTTTATCTTCCATCTGCTAATCTTCTAGTGTTTCGGTTTCAATACTGAAACTTTCCTATTCCTAATCTCAACTCTTACCTGAATCAATACTGAGGACATCATCATCTTCATCAGGAATCTCAATTATTTCTGTAGGCCGGGAAGCTTCATCCTCAGAGCTACTGTCACGGTATTGTAGTCCGAGTTTGGAGTAGAAGTCCTTCACCAAAGACTCACAATTAGTCACTGCCCTAATATTGGAACACATGTAAAAAACGTCAAAGCCAGCAGAGAAATTAAGTATTTAAGTATACACTGAACTCAAACAGGCCATATTCCAAAGTCTATTTAGAATTTAATATGTTTTTTCCATAGAAAAAGGTTTAGTGATTTACATAGTAGTTTCCCCAAAATCAAAAAATAAGCCTAAAATCAAGTCTTTTCAACTCTACTTCATTATTTACCCTGCTATTTGAAGATGTGCTCCAGTGACAACTAGGGCACTGGACTTGGGTGGGGGGGGGGAGGTGGTGTTAGCAGATACAGGACTGTAGGAACTTATTAATATTCAGTTACAGAAGACAGTAGGCCTTTAGAATCTTCACTCCCTAGGGATCTTACTGGAAATAGAAAGCAAGTTTTCTGGAGTTCAAAAGGAAGGAGACAGGACTCAAGACCTGGACCCTCCTATGGATCCTGTATTAGCCTCTAATAGATAAACATTCTATAAGTGGGTGGCTGTGAGGTTGGATTCTGAGGAAGAGCCAGCTTCTACACACGTGTACCTTGTAAAGTACAAAGTGCCTGGCACAATGTCATGAGCAATCATACTTTAAAAGTGTCTGTCAGTGGAGGGATTTCCTTCCATTTCCCATGTGGTGCTCACCTGGATGCATCGTCGAAGAGCTGGTCAACATGGGCCACCTCAGATTCCTTTTGTATTACCCACGTCTCCAACTCTGCTAGCTGCTTCTTGCGCTGCTGTACGCAGTCCATCTTCTCCAGCTCTTCATCGATGAACTGCCGGAGTTCCTCCATGGAGATGCCCAGTTCCTCGACCACCGCTTGCTGCAGCTCTGCAATCTCTTCAGACTCCACTGAGGCGGCGGCATCCAAACCGATACACCCCGGGAGGGAGGACATGCTGCCGCCCTCTACGTGGAAGAGAAAACGGAAAGTACCACTTGAGCAAGTACAAGCACCACGGGGGATTCCAGTGCAAAACTCATTCCTGCTCTGCTACTGTTGTCCAGTCAGATGTGAGTCCCTGTGAGTCCCGTTCTCTCTGCCCATCTCCGGCATCCGATGCTGAGAGTCTGCAGAGTTCTCATCGTGGGCTTTAGGCCCCGGCCCTCAGGAGGATTTAAGCTTGAGGGGGCATGGAGAACGCGTATTATGCAACAGGGAGCAATAATCTCGTTTTAGGAAACCAAGAATCAATTTACCGGGGAGGAGATTTCTAGGACCTGCTGAGCTCCTGCACTCACTGACTAATCTGCCTCGGCTCCCGCGCTAACCAAACACACGCGGGGATGGGAAAGGATTCGTCCGTAACTCACAACTCGTCAACCTCCCTTTAATCACCTGCTCCCACGCCTTTGCTGCCATGTGGAAACCCACTGTGGAAGCCCCCCTCAGGCCGCAGCGGCCCGCGGCAGAGGTTTGGAGCAACAAGGCGCTGCGGGCTCGGCGCTCGCCGGCAGCCCTCGCTCCGCTAACCGCCTTTTCAGTCAGACGACCGGAGCCGGAGGACGGCAGGAGCCGCCCGCGCCCGCCGCGTCCATCTTCCCGCGGCCCCCCCACGGCCCAGCCCCGCGGCTCCCCTCGGGGTGCGTCCCACCCACCCGCGCCCCAACCCAGCCCCGCCCCCGCCCGCGTCCCGGCAGGACCTCCTCCCCGCCCCGGCCCGACCTCCTCCCACAAACAAAACATTCCCGGGAGCCCGGCACCCCGGCACCCCGATACCTCCGTGCACAGCCTGCTTCGCGCCCCCCGTTCCGGCCGCAGCAGCGCCCGCCGCCGCGCGGACCCCAGACTCGCTCCTCGGGCGGGGGTCGGCCTCCCAGGGAAAGAACGAAAGCGAAGGGGAAAGGGAGCAGGGGGAGGGGAAGAAGCGTGAGGGAGGGAAGGGGAAGCACAAGCGACGCCCGGAAGCAAACCTCAGGTGCCGTTCCGGGCCCCACGACGGTAGCCCGACGGGGTCAAATCCAAAGCCGCAGGGCGCCCCTCAGAGACGAAGCCGGGGAAACTCGGGCGAGTGCGCATGCGTGAGGGCAGAGCCGTCCACGGCACACGTGAGAAGCGGAGGCCGGGTGGAGGGGGCGTGGCCTGAGCCTCGCGGAAGCCCCGCCCCGCCCCGCCCCCTGCCCCGCCCTGGTGGCCGCGCTTAGCCCGGCGTGTGGACTCAGTCAGCAAACGTTCCTGGGGTTAGAGGTTTTTCTGTCTTTCACTTGAGTTTGTTTTATTGCATAAGTCGGGCACATTTTGACAAGTAAAAGGACATCAAAGTGCAGTAAGAAAAACAATACCCTCCCTGCGCTGGCCACTTACCTCCCCTCCCCGCCCTTTCTTTTGAGGTAAAACATGGTTTTTCTAGGCTTGTATGTACAAGGTCATGCCTGAGTTTTTTGGTTCTTTTAACACGTGGACCTGCCATCAAGTTATTAAAAGAGATAAAACTCATATTGTTGACAGTTGCGTACTACTTCACGGTACGACTAAACCATGGAGGCCTAAGGAGTTGTATTGTGTTTTGCAGATATCAAATTTTGTAGAGATCCAAGATGGGTGGCAACCCTTTGTTGGGCAAGTCTATTTTAGTCATTTTCACACAACTTGTGCCCACTTCAAGTCTCTGTGTCACATTTTTTAGCATCGTTTTAAGTCATGGTGTGTACATTGTTGTTTTAGGCACAATGCTGATTGTCCACTTACCAGACTGTGGTATAGTGTAAACATAGCTTTACACACACTGGGAAATGAAAAAAGCTGTGACTTGCTTAATGTGATATTTGTATTATTGAGGCGGCCTTGAGCTGAACTCACAGAATCTCTGAGGTGTGCCTGTATTTAGAAATGTAGATTGCTTTCAAGTTTCAGCCACCGCCAACAAAGCAATAACAAACAACATCCTCTTGAGGTAGTACTTTTTTTTTTGTGGAAGAGAGTCCCCAGAGCAGAATCTAAATCTAAAAAATATGTGCTTTTTTATTTTAATAGAATTTGCTGTCAAATTACTTATCAAAAATATTTTTTACTCTCACTAGCAAGTATCTGAACTGTTTCCCCACAGTGTGGTTAGGCCTGGGTGTTCACTCCCTAATTTAAAAAAAGCTGATATATGTTAAATAGTATCTAGCAGGATAAACCAATTTATGTTTTGGAAATAAACAATGCTGAAAACTTAAAACAAAAACGGTGCATTTCTTGCTCACACTGCGCAATCCTCTCCAGGAAGTTGAGAGAAGAGCTCTTACTCAGGAGCCACGCTGAGGCATAATGATGCCAGAGCCAATGCGGCTCCCGGCATCCAGTGGTGATAAAAGTGACTCAGGACACTTTCATTCACAGCTCTCCGCTGGACGTAGTGCTCAGGCTGCTCAACCACAAGGGGGCAGGAAGTCCAGTCATATCTCCTCTCTGAAAGGAGGGAGAACTGGGTGTATTTGATGACTCAGCAGTATTGACTACCTCTTATCTCTTTATTGCTCTAATTTGTTTCCCTGTCTTTACACTAACTATCCTTAGCTTCATTTAAAAGGTATGAACCAGAATCTTCTATGTAAGTCAGGAAACAGGGTCAGAGCAGCCAGGATTGTATACCTCCTGATCGCATTTACATGTGCTCCTTTCCCTGCCCACCACTTCCCTGGGAACACCCTAAGTGCCTATTTCCTATCAGGAATCAGGAACTGAGGTACAGAGAAGTGAAGGGCTCCTCTAGATATCTGTAATTCAGTCTCTTTCGAACTCATCTCTTTATGGTGTTGTCTTCTAACCCAAGCTTGAAATTTTAGACATACTACTCCCTATAAAACACACAATAAGCGTGCACACACACGCACACACACGCACACACACACACACAATTTTTTGAATGTTTACTGCATACCAGGCACTATTCTAAGCACGTTACAGTTAGTAATTTGTTTAATCCACACAATCATCCTATGAGATAGGAACTGTTATTATTTCTTTTTTATGGACAAGAAAACTCAGGCACCAAATTCAAAAAATTTTCCAAAAGTCACAGAGCTGGGCAGGTTAGCCCTGCAGCTGTGGCTGTCAATCATTATTCAACACAGTTTGTTTGCCTCTTTGGGAATGTTTATTATATATTTCCCTCCCTTCTGATTCTACGCCCTTTGTTTAGCTCTTATTTCTTGCCAGGACAAAACTGGCTCCTAATGGCTGGCAGGTCAGTCCTACATAGAACTCTGAAATACAGTTTTGATCCTGTCACTGTCTTGCTTTAAAATTGTGTTTTCTTTACGTCTTTAAAGTTCAAACTTGACAGTAAACAGTTTGATGTTCTTCTGAATTTGGTTCCAACTTACCTCTCTGGCTATTTCAATTCCTCTACTCCAGGTTTTGTGTCATTTCCTCCCAACATACTTATACCTCTCACTTTTACATCTCCTACTTTTGGTCAGTGAAAGGTGACATCAGTGAAGCCATATTATTAGAGCCAGAGAAATCCATCCCAGAAAAAAAGTGGCTCTCCTGTCCTCTTAAAAGTGGATCTGACCCTTGGGCCAAAGTGCCAACATTCCAAGAAGTCAGCAAGAATGAGAATGTTCTGTTTGAAAGGACTGATAAAGAGAACTTTTACCTACTCTGTCTGATCATTTTACCTTGTGACCCCTCCACTTGAACATTTTTACCTTGTAACTCATTCATTTGAACATTACCCCATCCTTTTTTTTTTTTTAAAGATTTATTTATTTATGTATACAAGAGCTAGGGTGTAGGCCAGAGGTACGAAGGATGAGACGGAGGGGGGAGCAGAACAGGCAGATCCACTGAAATCCACTGCTGAGGGGAGGAGCGGGGAGATAGGAGAAGTCTGCTGCGTCATGTGGGTCAGCTCCCTGGCTGGGGATGGCTTCATAGTGCTGAGACTTAACCCTTTGCACCACCAGGGAGGTCCCACTCTGTACCACTTTGGTAACCATTCCCCTGGACAGGAACAAACGAATTGCCTCCTATTTCACTTTTTTATTATTTTTTGAGTCACCCTCACATGCCTCATGTTGAATGCAGGGCTGAGAAGGCTGAGAAAAAGGGAGGTGAAATAATATAAAGTCTGGATTGTAAACATCTGATGATGTTTCTAGATTTTTTTTTTTTTTGGTGGGAGTTCATCAGGCTTTTTCATAATTCAGTCCAGACAGAGATGGTTCTATGATTATGGAGCTGGCCTCATAGGGATTCCTCACCAACTTGGCACACCGAAAGATCATCATTATTAGGAAGAGAAACAGGAGAATTATAAAAGCAATGGCAAAGCCTTTGTCTGCATCAACACCGCTAGACAGGCTCAAATCTTCCATGGGAACACCGACTTGTCCAGCTGTAGCTACCTCCTCAGGTATATCTTCAGGTTTGTCATATCACTAGACAAAAGAGGATAAAACAAACTTATTGTTTATATGGCTCTCAATGTGTTTTCTCAATAATACTGTATGGAAAGTAAAGAGGTTTGGTAAGAAAATAGTCAGCAAGTTTGAAGAAGCACTTCTGAAATGACAAAATATAGTGACTTTCAAGATATACACACACATATAGGAGCATGAAATAGCTGGAAAATCACTCCAAGGCAAAACATCAGCAAATGTGCAAACTCCGAAATCACTGGTAAAAGATCAGGTAAAACAGTCTTGAAACCCCCAATTCTGTGTTCATTCCAAATCTTTCTGTAAGATTTTTTTCAAATTCTAAGAGTAATTATTGTAAATAATTTGTTGTGGAGTCTTAACTTACACAATCCATCAACAAAGGAATGAATGAATGACCCAATTAAAAAATGGGCAAAGGACCTCAATAGACACTTCTCTAAAGACATCAGATGGCCAAGAGACATGAAAAAACTTACAACATCATTTATTATGAGAGAAATGCAAATTAAAACCACATTGAGCTGCCACCTCACTCCTGTGAGAATGACCTATATGAAAAAGTATAGAATTAAAAAATCAAAATCAACAAGCAACTATAAACCAGAGACACACTACGGGGAATCGGGGGAGGGGAGGAGGAATTAGGGTCAAAATAAGGGGGGTGTAATTGTATGGGGAATATAACCAAAATGAAAATGCATAAATTGTGCAAAAATGAAAAATGATGTAAGAATTATATAAAATATATTAAACATAAAAAAAGAAAAAAAGAAAACGAATAGAATTAACAAACGTTGGGGAGGTTGCAGGAAAAAAGGAACGCTCATGCACCGTTGGGGGGAATGCTAGCTGGTACAGCCCCTGTGAAAAATGGCATGGAGATATCTTCAGAAAATAAAAGTGGAACTCCTATTTGCCCACAATACTGCTATCAGGTGTATATCCACTTAACACGGAAGGTTTAACATGAAAAGATCTACCTACACCTGGGACATAGCGGCCCTGTTTACAATCGCCAAATCATGGAACCCAAGTGTGACTGTGATTCTTTTTTTTTTTTTTTTATAGAGGCATGTTTTTTATTTATTTATTTGTTTGTTTCTTTGTTTATACATGCACTGGGTACAGTCAGAAGCGCGGGAGGGTGAGAGAATTCACCAGAGCCAGAGCGGGGAGCAGAGCAGGCAGAAGAACCAAAGTACACTGCTGAGGGGAGCAGCGGGCGGCAGGAGAGGTCTGCGCGCCATGTGGGACCCTCCTCTGGTGGCCGGGGAGCAGCCGGGGATCGAACCGGCGCCTCAGAGGTCGCCGGCAGCTTCGCAACCCAGCGCTCAACCGCTGCGCCACCGGGGAGGCCCGTGACTGTGATTCTTGAACTGGGTTCTCAGTAGGTCATATGTTATTGTTTCATAATTGAAATGTTATGTAATGGGGGCTCCCTGGTGGTGCAGGGGTTAAAGTCTCCGCACCATCAAGCTACCCCCAGCCACCAGGGCCTGAGTTTGATCCCTTGCCAGGACCTCTCCTGTCTTGCCTGCTGCTCTTCTCAGCAGTGGATTTTAGTCGATCTGGCTGTTCTGCTCCCCAATCTATCTCTGGTGAATCCTTTCATCCTCCCCACATCTCTGGCCTATACCCCAGTTCTTGTATACATAAATAAATAAAAATAAATCTTAAAAAAATGAGGATAATAATACAACGATCTTATGAGGTCGGTTGAGATTAAATAAATAAATGTGTGTAAAACACTGCTGTGTGTTTGCTACTATTATCCTTCCTGGGTTTACACTATTCCTCAATTCTTGTAACTTTTCTCTTGCTCTGGAGAGTTTGAAAGTCAATGCCATTTTAATCTCTCCCTCAGGCCAAGTTCTGGAGTATACTCTCCATATGCCACACCTGTGCGGTTTTGAAAATGTTTGACATCAACAGAGAAGGATGGCTAAAGGGACTGGAGCCCCAGGTTAAATGCACTGACGATTCTCTGGGTTTTGTTCATTTGCTGCTGGAATGTAATGGTTGTTAAAGTTATGACATAGCTTGGAAAAAGGATTCCAATTTGAACTTGCAACGTACTATGTGTATCCTAGATTTTTAGTGTCAAAGCAAGTCTATATGGTTGAGAAGGAGCCTTTTAGCCATCTGGTTTACTTTGTTTTAAGATTTATTTATTTATGCATTCAAGAGCTGGGGTACAGGCCAGACATGTGGGGGGTGAGAGGATTCGCCAGAGACAGAGTGGGGAACAGAACAGACAGACTGACTGAAACACACTGCTGAGGGGAGCAGCGGGGTGAGGCAGGAGAGGTCTGCTGAGCCATGTGGGTTGCTCCCTGGCCAGGGATCCAACTCGTGCTGCAGAGGCTGCGGATTGCTTCATAGTGCGGTGCTTAACCCCTTGTGCCACCAGGGAAGCCCCATCTGGTTTATTTATAATTGGAGACTTCCTATTGAAAACTCACCCCAAGGGAGGAGACAGACAGTCTGGGTTCATGGGTGTGGCTAAGGTCAGAGCAGAGGTAAGATTCTGACAACAAAGAGTCTATGAGGCACTCATACCTGCGCTCCAGGTTATGAGAGGGTCAAGAAATACTCCTTTTTAATTGCACTGGTCACATTATTTCACCTGCAAACTTATGTGGTTTGAATTTATTGTAGACCCCACATGCAAAGCCGCCATATTCAAACATGGCCTCGACGTGCTGAGCACCACAGGTCAGTGATCTGAGGCAGGCCCCCAAGCTTGAGGATCACTGGGGCCCTGGTGGTGGGCAGGGGGTGAAAGTATGCTTTTGAGAAGGTTTGAACCTGTAGCCTCTGGAGTAGATACAAAGATGTGAGCCTACTTTACCTCAGTAAACATGATTTGGAAAAAGAGAAGGTATATTTTTGCATCAATTTTCTAATCATTTCTGCAAAACCCCTGCTTGAACTCCTGGGTGAGTTCCTCAGGGCCCCGCAGGGACCAGGAACTATCTCTCAAGGCAGTCGTTCTATTTCTGTACTAAAGTAATTCTTTGCATTAAGCCAAAAGTATCTCCTTAGCACTGTTCTACTATACCATGGGACCATCTAGTTCATCACATTTTGTTCATACACAGATTTCTAGGATTTGAAAGTAGCTATAAAGTACTTATTGACTCATTTTCCCAATCATTTTATCCCTTAATTGTTTCTCAGAGGATATTGTCTGTCTCTAGCCTTTTACCACTGATGAGATTCTAGTGTGTCTACATGTCTTTTAAAATGTGGTGCTCAAGAGTCTTTAGGGATTTTACTGCCTACAGCAGCCTTTACTTGGGGGAAATTAGGGAGGATTTAGGAACAAAGCTGGCTCTGAAAGGCCCCGTGACAGGAGAAGACTGTGATCGGCTGATGTGTCGCCCTAAAGTGCATGTGCAGAAACCCTGACCTCCAGCGCGATGGTGTTTGGCGTCGAGGGTCCTTGGGTGGTGACAAGTTTTAGAGTTCCTTTTTCTCCACATCCTTGCCAGCATTATTTGTTGTTAGTTTATTTATTTATTTATTTATAGAGGCATGTTTTTTTTTATTTGTTTGTTTGTTTGTTTGTTTATACATGCACTGGGAACAGTCAGAAGCGCGGGAGGGTGAGAGAATTCACCAGAGCCAGAGCAGGGAGCAGAGCAGGCAGAAGGACTGAGGTACACTGCTGAGGGGAGCAGCGGGCGGCAGGAGAGGTCTGCGCGCCATGTGGGACCCTCCTCCAGTGGCCGGGGAGCAGCCGGGGATCGAACCGGCGCCTCAGAGGCCGCGGGCAGCTTCGCAACCCAGCGCTCAACCGCTGCGCCACCGGGGAGGCCCGGTGGTGATTAGTTTTAGACAAGCATGTGCTGAGAGAGGTCGTGTGGGCACAGGGCAAGAAAGTGGCCATGGACAAGCTGGGGTGGTGGGCTTCCCGGTCTCCATAGGGTGAGAACTAAGTTTCTGGTGTTTGAATGCCCCAGTATGTACTATTTTGCTGTAGCAGCCCGGGGAGACTAAGGTAGGGATGTCATCAGCAGGAGCTGCCTTTCTTCTCTGTGCAGAGAGCGCAGACAGGCAAAATTACATAGATTGATAAATAAATAAAATGTGGTGCCCAATATAGAATAGGAAACCCATACCAACTCAAGATTGTTCTTCTAGGTAGTATATTTCTATTGCTGAGGTGAGATCATAGTAAACCTTCAAAGTCAGGGTAAAGAATTTGAGTTTTATAGGGGCCTGTCTTAGTATGTGCCCCAGTGACCAGTGGAATGCCAGCTCCACATGTTAGGCTGTGCCTGTCCCATTCATGGCACCACTTTAGTGCCCAGGGCACCTACGTGAATGAATTGATACCTATATCCGTGCCTGGCATATTGCACATACATGATTCTTGCTTGGGTGAAGGAAGGTAAACTATCAAAACCATACTTCAGGAAGATAACTGGCAACAATAGGTAAAAGGTATTGGAGACGGAAAATAACAGGCGACAATTTGTGCAATGTATTTGAGACAGGCAAAATCAGATACCGCAGGGCAGAAAGCAGTGAGGAGCCGTAGCAGCCTTAACAAGAAGAAACAAAGGCGTGAGCCAGGGTAGCGGAGAAACAAAAAGGAAATAATGGCTGTGAGATCATCTGAGCCCATTTGACATGACTGATAAACATTGCATGTGAGTAGGAGGAAGAAAGAAGTTATAAAGAAAATCCTGGAACTTTAATTTGGATGGGTGAAAAAAAAATGTTGAGGAATAGCAGATAGGTTAAGGCGCTATGATGAATTCAGTTAGGGGTAGGTTGACATTAAAAGTACTGGCATGGAATGTTCCCGAGGCAGAAACAAGGGACGGAACTTAGGGAAAATGAAGAGCAAGGTGTGTGGAGCAAAAATTCAGCCAAAGACGGGATAGTTGAAATCACAGGAGTAGGTGAGACACCAAAGCAGAATT